AACTAGTAAAAGAAAAGGACAGCTTTGTAGTTAAAGATAATGTGGTGTATAAAAGAATGCGATCTAAGACGAAAGACAAAAATGTGATCGAACGACAATTGAAATTCATCTCGTTCTCAAAAAGAGCTGATCTAATTGAAGACTTTCATCGAGGATTTGGCCATGCAGGTCAAGGAACTGTCTATCAATTGATGAAGACAAGAGTATGGTGGCCTAATATGCTGTCTGATATCACATATTGGTTGGCTCGTTGTCCTGAATGTCAATTGTTAGCAAATTCTGAGAAGAATATTCTGTCGTATTTGAGGGTAGATGATATACAAATATTAAAGATATAATTCACTTTATGAAGGATAAAGATGAATTATACAATATTGCAAACCAGAAATAATTAGAAACTACATAAACTCTAATATATGAGTACCGTGAATTAAGTGTTGTGTTTAGTTGACAGCATCATATGAGATGTGGAGAACTCGTATACAAATTATACAAGATCCTCACACCTCATTACTGCTGAAATAATATAAAGTAGAGTAGGAAACGAATATAGAATAAGTGATGATTCTTATACGAGATTAGCTCCTCGTATAAGGCTGAACAGGTTGTCATTTAGGATATATAGTTTACTTATTTTGCTATAATACGTTACTATTGACATAGGATATATAGTAGAATAACTCAGCTGTCAGTTTCTAGGTTCCGCAATATGAAGAAGATATTTAAATTTTTGCAGTAGATATTTTTTCTTCTCTTTGAACTTAACTTGATTCAAAATAAAGACCTACTAGTTTGATCTCGTTAACTTTTTATTGTTTTTAATTAAGTGATATTTAACTCTCAAGTCGTCAAATACTACAACTGTGATTTTTCTTGATATCAAAAATAATTATTCATTATGTAAAGTGTCGTTTTCGAGGCACGATGGCAATATATTATATGAGTAAATCACTCAAAACGTCTAAGGAAATTTAAAAAAAACCCTTTATCTCAAATATGATACTCCTCATATCTTCGTTCCCGTTTAGTAAGCGGTGTGTTCGATTGCATACATTTGAACTTTAGATCAAATGTATAACAAATAAAGATAAAATAAGAAAAGAATATGGATTAAGGATAATTCTTATGTGAGGTAGCTGATCTCACATAAGAACTGAACAGGTTATCTTTATGAAATATATTTTACTTAGATTATCTATGGATATATGACGTTTAGGTATATAGCAGGATTGGTATATGTACTCGGAGAATATATTGATTCAACAACCAGAACATAGTAGGTCACGGTACTGCTCCCTGCTCTGGAAATAAAGTATGGTGGGAGATAAAAAGGCTCAATCACTCTTTATAGATACAACAACTGTTTACGCAATCTAAAAGAATACCACGCACGAATATCTCTTTCTAGCTAACATCTATGATCATTCCCAACAGTATCTGAGCTACACAACTGGTGGCCGATAGATATCAGATTATAGATGTAGCTGCATAATAACCCTGGACCTGCCAGGATAGCACATAACAAATCATTCCACTCTAGGATGGACAAAAATTACAGTATCACTAAAAAAGGAAGACCCATTCTTTTACGAAAACTCTTGACTCACTGAATATTATTTAACCATAATACATCAGTGTCAGCTATAGATCCCAATACAATCATTTCGTAGACAGCAAACACTATAAGTCTTTATTATTAGCAGTAATCTTAGTTTTCTTTTCTTTTGTGCTATTCTTGATCTTAAATCCTATAGGTAGAATTTAGCGATTACCACATAAAGATTGAGTGAGTCAGCAAAACCGAACAAGAGTTCTAAGGTTATTTTATTCTGGTTTATAATTTTGAATGGTCTTTTATACGAATGCGGGGTAGAACTGAGCTTATAGTGGAATTAAGAAAGTAGTAATGGCAACCGAGAAATGTTGTTCCAGTTAATAACTTGTAAAACGCCCACTGCGAGATATGTAAATCACCAGTAGGGTTGCAGTGTGCCTGATGAAATCTTATTTGTCTTAGTGTGCCTGGAATCTTATTTGTTTCAGTATACCATGCTGGTTACGGCAGTAAGTCTGAATTATTTTTCAAATTGTTTTATGAATTGGATATCGAACATGACATTAGCTTCTAAAGAGTTTAAATCAACGATTTTTCAAAAAGAATAGAGAATAGTATTTATGTAGTTCTAGAACGATCACTTCTCTGAACGCGAATTTGACATAGCTTCAAATACTAGACGGGTTATTATGATCACACTGTAAAATCATAATAACACTTGCACGTCATCTTGGACTATAAAAGACAGGCTCATACTGTATATAGTATGCATTCGTACTATTGGAGAAAATAAGGAACAAGGATTTTTCATTCTCTCTTTTTTTAATACAAACGTTCTCCCATCTTTTTCGCTATCGATAACTATATGAATGTTATATATGCAGTATGAAAAGAATATGAAAGAGAAAAGAAGATAGAAAGGCAAACCTTGAACACCAAGTTGTATCTTCTTTAATTTATGATAATATTCTCTTTCACAGATTTCCTTTTTGTTTACTTTTCTCTGGATATTCTAGCTCTTTAATATAGCCCAGATACAACAATCTGCTCTTTCAACATAAAACATTTGCACTGTTATCTATCCCGTATCCATTCGCTCTCTTCGTTGCAATAAACTTCAAAAAAAAAAAGAAAAAAAAAAAGGATTTTTTGGTTGGCGATTTGTCTCTGTTAGTTAAATCACAAATTCTAAGGGGAATGTAGCATCTGTTACGAGTATTACCGGTTCTAAGATACTGACTGAGTAAGATCATTCTATAGTTCGAAAATTTGTTTTACCTTTCTGTCCAGCTCCTTCATGGCGTTCTATTTGTCTTCAAAATCATATCGGCGGTCAAGGATCTTTATCAGCCAAATTTGGCTCTTCATCTTAAGATCAAAAAACGTATTCTGCACCCAAAACGCGTCAAGTATTTCGTTATTTCTCGCTTATACATTTTGATGCTAGTTTAAATGGTAAAAGCGATCCTTTTTATTTCTGCTACTTTGGAAGACAGGCGTCAAGCTCGCTTGCTAAGAGTTGAACATGGTGAAAAAATCTCTCGCATATGCAAAGTATCAGGGTTAAAAATAATGAATATGATTCAGTACAACAGCCGTACCTACTGTATCACGTAAGAAACATAAATTAGGATCACGAAATTCATAGTCATTTCTAGTTGAGTTGAAAAACCAGAAATCCGAAATAATTTAAACCTGCCTTCTTTCATTTTCTCGGTTATACCTCAGCGCTTTTTAATATTTCCTATTTACTTTAATCACAATGCCTATTCGACATTTCGACAGTAATTATTGTTCTTTTCAAAGCGAATCTTATTTATACAAACCTCATCGTAACTCTTTAAACTGCTCGGATAACTTATCTCCTGCTTTTTTGTTCGTAAATAGTATTTACGGCAGAGCGTAGACTGATACAAACATCTGCTGTCTCTCAATTGAAAGACGTGCGATTGGGTATTGATGGCAATTATTGGGTGCGCAAAGTCGTTCAAAAGGAAAACGCTGTTGCGGCCATGGGCGGTTTACCCTTACGTTTAACAAGCTCCATTGAGAATGAATTGGAAGGATTCAAGTAAAGATTTGGTTTAACTTGGAATAGCAACCTAATTTGCTCTTATTAACTTAACTGCTTTGTATGAAACAGGCAAAGTGGCATTATACCTATCTTTGTATTCTCTGGTATACCTATATTGCGTAAAGATAAGCCCTTTTCAACTGAAGATACACGACCAAATCATCGCGCGACAGCATGGGATTTCTACGATCGTGGCAAAATTGACCTAGCTATGAGCAACTGGGCGAGCAGCAGTAGCATTCATTCATATGAGCTGATAAATGCTGTCTGTTCGATTTTGAGTAAGCACGGAATTGAGTTTTTACGAGCACCATATTCTTCCTGGGCTCAGGTAAGGCAAAACTGATTTTATAGCCTTTGAGCACCATTTCAAATGTCATTGACTTGTTGTTGACGCATGTGCAAAATTTTAGCTTGCTTATATGTATAATCATCCTCGACAGCTGGTACACTACGTGTGTGGAGGATCAGAGCTGCTAATGTGGGATGTTGATAAAATAATCACCAGTATTGATTTCAATAAGGGGAACTATAATTGGGTTAGTAAACGCACTGTCTTGCAAGATCTCCACGTGTCAGACGAACAATTTCTGGATATATGTATACTGGCAGGCTTTGAGTATTGCCCCAGTTTTCCGCCTCTCAGCAATCCTTCATCCTCTTCTCATGCCAGCTTCACTTTTAATGGCGTTCATGATTTAATCAAACAACACAAGACTGGGTTCAATGCTGTTCAGGCTTATTCCGATATCCCCATCGTTTCCAAATCCAACTATATTGATTTATTTTGCCGTACACGTTGTGCTGTAAAGTATCATCTTGTTATGTATGACGATGGCGAAGTTCGACCGTTAAACATGGAACATGCTCCAAACGACATTCACGAATTTATCGGCTACAGATTACCGGATGAGCTTTACTATTATTTGATGAAAGGAATGATTGGACCACAATCGATCAGTAGCTTGGTCAGTGGTGTGCTTGTTGAGATTGCTCCTTTGGACAATGGAGAATCCGTAGAATATCATCAATTTTTAACTCAATTATTAAACATGAGGACGCAGACCTTCAGTCTATTGACACAGCCGCTTCATCAATTTTTCAAAACAAGGAAGCTTGCTACTTATTTCTGGTTTGAGCCTACTGTTGAACGAATAATGCATCATCAGCCCTTATCTTCTTCAACAGTAAATAGTCTGCACAGTACTACATCGTCTAATACACTTACATCACCAACGTCATCATCATCCAACTACGTAGGCGCTTCACCTTTGAATACTGTTTATGAAAAAACTAGTAACTGGAACGTGACAAAATCATTTATTCAAGCTGAATTAGAGCAACGAAAGGTAGAAAGCATCAGTACATGATGATGTAAGCTTATTTAACAGTCCATATTAACGTATTATGCTTCCTTACGATTTCAGAGCTCACAGATTGATATTGAATTCTGTATTAATACCCTTCAAGATAAATTTAAAGCAAGTCAAACTATTACACCTCTTCATCCTGCTGAACAACTCGAGGAAAAGGATGAAATTATTGCCAATGTATTATGGAAAATGTTGGAGATCAGAGAGTAAGCTCTTTATCGCAGATCAATGGTTGAGAAGCAGTGTTACTTACAGCAATCTGCTGAATTAGTTTTGTAACTTCGCTCAAACATGTCCCAACACCCTGGGGAAAAGCCTTGGCATCCGGCTTAAACAGAGACACGGATACACCTACTGGGACACATGTTCAAGAAGCTTTGCTAACAGCTTTGGAGCTAATTCGGTTTGAAGTTTTAACAAATAGGGAATTCAGCAAAACTTACTCACGACCTCTGGGTGATGGCAAGTATAAAATTTATTATATGGGTAACATAGCCGCTTATTCACGTTGAATATTGATGCTATTTTAAATAGAAACACAGAAGAAGCATATCATCTTGTTAAGCCGTGCATTCAGTTTATTACCAATGCAATTAAAGGTAAAAATGCTGTTTTCGCTAGCTTCGTTTTCGTGGAAAGAACTTTGCTAAATCTCACTGTCGGATAGAGTCAACCTTGGTCTGGTGCACTGAATCGTGATTTATTAGCTTTCAACAGCTTTGTAAAAGCACTTGCACGTAGCTATCGAAATTTATGTGAAATGTTGACTCTATCATTCTTTTTAAATGGACTGGTTATGAAGGACAGAAAGGATTATTTTCAAATTTCCGAAAGGTGATATTTCAATCAGAGAGAGTCTTTAATTGGATCATGCATCTTAACGTCTCTTTTTTTTTCACAAAAAAAAGTCTCCCTTTTATGTCAGACCACAATGTAGCGTTAGGTCTAGTTTGCAAATATTATTTAGAACAGTTTGTCGAAGGGAAATCTCTTTCCGAAGCTTTGAAGGCTACAGAAAACGCTTTTCCTACTTGTCAGAATGTGAAGGATGACCTGAAACAAGGTTTCAAATTTTGGCAACTTCTGATTAAGGCCGTCAATATATTAGTTATAGAAGAGTCTATTGATATTGCTATAGGTGATATGTTCAAAAATGCAGACAAATGGCTAGAGCAAAATAGTATCAATAAGCTTTAGGCTATGCGATATAACCTGATCGCAAAAGTTTAATGAAATAAAGCACTTAAAAAATCCCCTGAAATTTAAAGTGCGGGTGGTCCTTGTAACTCAGGAGTAAATGTGCGGAATGACAGGGCCAAATAAATTATCGAGGGCTTTTCATTCAATATTGATTAATATTATATCCTTGATACGATATATAAATATACTTGAAATACAACTTGCCAATATGTTGAACAACTTGTGTCATTTTTATAGAGGGCGTACAGCTGGTAGAGTAATCGAAAATGTATATTATTTTTGCAAATGAAGTCTAACATTTCTAACTGCATTCAATCGAACATGGCATCTATTTCTTTCAGCTATTATAACTACGAGATGTACCAATTTGGTACCCAAACAGGCGCTTCATAATACACGGATTTCATTTGCCAAAAAACACCCTTTGCAAATCAAAAAAGAAAACCTAGCCAAAAAGGTTGAGCGATTAGCTGAATTGGAGCGGTCCAGGCCTTCCTATATCATATCGAAGCCCACGCCCTTTTTTAACAGCTTACATACACCAGAGAGTGCTTATAACAGTAATATTACTGAAAAAAATGATAACAACAAGGGCCATGATTATCAACATTTTCTGACGAATGACGATGAACAATTGCTCTTTAAAGACGCACCACGCCAATACATCAACGAGAACCATTTAAGTGCAGTGGAGGGTATGGAGCAAGCCCTTGTTCAAGAGGAGAGTAAAGTGAACATGGTTAAGCGCATGGTTGCACTTCAAAACGGAAATGCCAAGGCTGTACAGTTATGGAATATTCACAGAGCCATAGATTGGTTCAAGCGTAAAGAAGGTGATACGGGAAGTCCTGAAGTGCAAGCAGCAATTTTAACAGTGCGTATCCATAATTTAAACAGCCATTTACAACAGCATAAAAAGGACAAACACAACTACCGACAATTAAGACATATGGTACATCAAAGAGCAAGAATTCTGAAGTATTTGAAAAGGAAGGATGCAGACCGATATTACAAATGTTTAGAAGAACTAGGCTTGGAAACAAGGGCTGTGGAGGGCGAAATTACTATTTGAGTTGCAGGAGTAGCTATTTCTTTAGATAAATAAAAATAAACGCTCTTTATAAGGCAGCGACTCAATTGTTGTCTTTCAAACATCACTAAAATGTATTGCCAATGCTCAACTTCAAATCAGAAGCAACATTTTTGAGTGGGAAGTTGCAATTGAGAAGGTAGGTAAATCAAAATTACCTTTAGAACTGTTTACCATATCCATTTTCAGCCTTGTTTTTTTTTTCCTACCAGGCATGTGTATGTCGTTCAACATTATTTCTGTTAACATGTTTGAATAATGACAATGCCCTAATAAGTATCACAGTCAAGTGTTATAGTAACGCATATCACAACAACGTAATCACACTTCCGTTGAGTAGTGGGAGACGTAATAAGTTGGATTTTGTCTTGAATCATATACTGGGGCGGGCATTAAGTTCAATTATCTTAAATGATTCTTTCCGTTTGCTGACGCCAGCACTAAACCGATTCAACTGAGAATGTGTGAAAAATGTTGTCCCCAGCGTTTTTAATCTAATGCTTACATACGCAATTTTTTAAGGAGCCTACTGAATGCTTGTTTGGAATATTTATCAGATTCCTTCAATGTAAAGAATTGTAAGAAATAATGTGATTATCGACAAACGTCAAAATTGCATAACAAAATTGCTTGATTGGTTGGTATAACCTAAACTCTATTTATTCATGGGTAAAGCATTTAAAGCCTTTTTTTTGCCAGTTCCCTGTAATCTATTCATCCTTCATTATTCAAGCCTAACTAGTATGCAGCAGCAGGCATGGCAAAACTTGCCAGTTGAAATACTCAGAAAAATTTTCTCTAATTTGTCCACCGAAGCGAAGGAATGTCAGTTGACCTGTCGGCATTGGTATGAAGAAGCTCGAAAGCGACTTTATTATTCCGTTAAACTAGAGAGTACATTTCAAGCTACATTATTTGTTCGATCTCTCATATCTTCCACCGTTGAACATAAACAGTCATCAGAATATCTGCAAGACCAACAAGGGTATGGAGAAAACCATCAACAGGAGGTGACAATGTCGTTTATTAGGAATACCAATTTCGCAAAAGCTCGACGTCCTCGTTATCATAAAGAACAAAAGCTACTTGAAGAAGAGTCTAAGGATATAGTAGGCAAATACGTTCGCCGACTCTATTTGAAGCACATCTTTTCTCCTCATCTACGTCACTGGGATGCGTATGATGTTCTATCCAATTTGGTTACATATTGTCCGTATACGGAAGAGGTCATTCTGTTAGATAAGCCTTTCCGAAATTTTTGGGTCAAGCTCATGTCAGTTCGTTATGAGGGATATTGGCAATGTTTAAAGCGAGTATCCTATCCTTATCGTGAGAATGAGATTGAGTTTTATCTTTTGGCCATATTAGCATGCCGGCATACAATTGAAGATATTCTATTGTGTGATCAGTTAACAAATAGACCGCGAGGTGATGCAGATTATATCTATGAAAAGGAATATTATCAAGTGGCTAGTAAGCTACACGAATTCACCAACCTGAAGACATTAACAGTAAAAAGACACACACATGAAAGCATCATGAAGTTCAACGATATGATTGATGCTTGCCCGTTGTTAACGGAGTTATCTATTACCTTGTATAATTCTCGATCAATGCAGCCTATCGTTTCATTTCAAAACTATTCACATCCCAACAATTTCATGGAACGGAAGCAGATATCTTACCTTAAACTGGAAACAGTCCTCTCACAAGACGTTTTAAGCTACATTATGAAAAAATTTACTTCACTGCGCTGTTTAAAGCTCAATATGGAATGTGACGAAGCCAATGTTGGATGGATGAGAAAGCTACATACAAATTATAACATTGATCTTATAGATCAATTTATTGATTATTTGCGCTCCATTACTTCCTATGGCATAGACCATTTATATATCAGAAACATTGAGGATATGCTTTGCCGTTGTCATATTGGAAAAGAACATACACTGGAGATTAGATATGATCACGATACAAAAAGACATGACGAGGAAGATATGGATAACAAGCCACGTCATAGGTTTCGATTAGTAAAAGAAGAAGAAGAAAGCAGCTCTTTAGCTACTGTTTTCTATCCTGCCTGTCATGTTGATCTACCTCACATAAAGATCGTGGATAAATGCGGCGAACATCTAGAATTACTGACACTAGATATGCGGCAGTGGTCTAATTATAACTATACAAGAATACAACGTTTATTGGCAGGCCAACGTTCTACATCACCGAATGCAACCTCAGTTTCGGTATCTACATTACCACATGTAAATACTTTGCCCAATAATGAATCGCACGAATCACCAGAGGAGATGCGGCAACAAAATCAAGAAGCGAGCGGTATGGATCAAATCATGTATAACTATCATCTAGACCGTTTGTTTCGTGCCTGCACTTCATTAAAACGGCTGAATCTCATCGGCTTATTCTTACTCGACTTTGACCCTTATCTCAGCATCAATCAAAGCATTGAACATCTCTCTCTTCACCTTTGCTATATATACATACCAATTTTTTATCAGCTCTCTGTACGACTTCCACAGCTTAAATCATTAACTGTCAATGGTTGGTATTTTGTTGAACCTGATGGAAAAGCGCATATTCAAACGCATCATAATTTTCAAATTGATATGCCATATACCGCATTCGAGCAGATCAGTTGGTTGGGTGGAACCAAAGCAAATACCGACAGTAATAACAATAACGACAATGATTTTAGTATACCTGGCAGTAATATTAGCAATAGCAACAACAATTGTTATGCCAAAAAGTATTTTTATCTCAAAGTTAGTACTCTGACTGTCGAGAAATATTTGAAATTAGATAATCATGTGATTCAACTGGGCTCGCCAGAAGAATTCAGGAGATGCTTGCAAAATGACCAGATATTGACTTTCCATATTCGCTGTAAAAGTTTGAAAAAATTCACCATAAAGTATTATCAATTCAAGAGAAGTTACCTTGTATAAAACTTTAAAAAATCAGTAGACAGCATTTACGTTTTGATACAGCTCACACTCTTCTCTGAACCTACAACATTTTGAAGTCTAAATAAGCATTTCCTTTAATCGCCATAGAGTAACTCACTTGCGGATTCAAGGCTTATTTCTTATACATGCAGAGAGGCTGCTAAAATGCTCAAATCGAAGCAAATATGTTGTGCTGAAAGAACCGACTCAGTCAAGTCATTCAGCAATTATAAACATAAACATTATAAATATTACATTACTTCTATTCGAGACAGTAAATGTGGCCAGCGGCAGCGACGGCTTTAGAGATGTACAAAAAATGAACGGTGTCTCAAAGTAGAAAAAAGTATTAAGCCAGCTGGCAGAACATTTTTATGGTTTCCATCTGCTATTGTCCATGTTTACCTTTCCAAGTTCAGTTTTGCGCTAAGTATCGTAGTAATAATCACAATTGATAACTACCGTATCCAAAAGCCACCTATTAAACGGATATATTTTCGATTATTGAACAAGATTCCGTTGACCGCGACCTTTATAAATGAAATTGATGTAAGTAGTGAAGAAATGATCTCGCTATCCGAAGAACAACCGTTCAGCTCCTCAAACAAGTATAAACATGAATTTTGAAAATTTCAATTTTTCAATTTTTAAAGCCCAATAGACACGAGATATTCAACTTATCTAAATTGCCTTAAATCCAAAGGCTATAGTATCTAAAACCCCTTCAGGTTCAAGGGTAATAGGATTGCGGTCTATCAGGAGAAGGGGGAGAAGAGGGCAACCAGCCGAGGAATAGATGTCTCAACAGTGGAGGTGAAGGCGGCTCTTGAGAGTGGTGTAAAAAGTCGAGTTCAAATAATATGTAATAGAGTATAGGCCATCGAAGCCAGGCTTGTGCTTTGAGATGAAGTTTTGAGCGGATGAGTGGGAAAACGGTTGGGAACGTGTGAGAGTGGATCGCAGACAGATGGAAGGAGTCGTAGGCGGTCAGCTTCTCAAATACAGTTTTTTTTTTGGCATATAAATTAGACGAATTTTTTTATTCGCCCCTCTTCCAGATTGGCTTTTTTTGGATAATTGGTAAAAAAGGCACACATTTATGTAAAACAAAATGTGCGGCGTGTTATTTCACGCCAGTAGACCAGCATCTTCTTTTTTGATTTATCACAATATCCCAAATGGCTATTTTGAACGATGAAGAAGAAAGTGAACCACCTTCATCTTTTTTAATTGTAAAAGGAATTGGGAATAACAACATTTTTGAACAAAACATTGGTGAACAACGACAGCCAGATATTTTGCCCCTAGGCAAGGCTTTACATTTGCTTCTCAACGTCAAAGCGCCCATCATTGACAAAGCGTTGGCCGCGTTTGAGGAAGCCAAATCAGAGAAAAATGTCGCTCGTATTGTAGTAGTTAGTCAGTGTATGCATTACCGTGAAATTACTATTTATGCAGAGCTCCAAATCTGATACAATGATTGATCTGCTACGTAGCGTTAATTATGAAAGCGATCTACTCAATCGATCGGTATTTAGGAAAAGATGAGAATGTGAAAGAGCGGTTCTTTCATCTTTACGAACCTTTGAAAAAAAAAGTTTTATTGAAAGATTCAGCAGCTACAGTTCATACGTCGTCTATGATTATACTCCGTTATATCATTTCACGATATCAAGTTGTCCGGCAACATATTCTATTGACCGAATTACAACGTGAGGACAAAAAAAGCCAATTGGCTGTGATAATACTGTTACGGTTCGTAATAAAGAATCAACCTGCTACAGCGTTGGATCTAAACGAAATAGCAGCGATATACTTGATGCCGCTGATAGACATTTTGAAGAAGCAGAAATCAAGGATGCCTACTTATTTATCCTCTTTAGCTTGTGAATTGGCCACTGATATTTGTAGGAATCTTATGAATCCATCGAAACACAACTGCTTAATGAAAAACCAGCAACTTGAACCACAATTACCAACTTACTCAGGACCAAAGATAGTTGAAGTCGTACCAGGCGAAGATAGTACACCCGTCATCCCATCATTTGTGTGGCGCGCAATGCATGATTTAATCTTGGTATTGAAACAGGTAAAGCTAGATATTTACGAGGAACAAAGTGTATAGTATGCAGCTGACACACTGGTCTTCAGTGGCATAAACCCACAAGTCCTATAGAAAAAGCGGCTTATAACGATTTGCTTCAACTCGTCCAACAGCATGCCAAATTTGATTGGGGTTTACTATGGACATACTTCACAGCAAAAACTGTTTTGTGCAAAAGACCCTTTTCCATCAGGAAGCAAAAAATTTTGCTCGAACATTCTCAACATGGATTCTTTATTTTGTGCCTGTTTGAACACAGAGCAGGCTGGATTGAGCAATTTGGAAACAAAGCAGAGAAAGAGGTTTGCGACAGCGAGTATAAAGACTCAAAGCCGCTCATTCAAAATGCATATCGAACTCTTTGTAAAACACTACCATCAGCAATGTCTAACATAGATCACGAATTACTTATACCCCAACTCATTATACATCTGCCAAATTTATGTACAGCCGAGGATATTTGTAATCCTACTATGATAAAGCATATATTTAAGGTGGCAAACTATAGTGTAGATTTGATACCTTTAATTGTAAAGCGACCAGAATTATGCCTGTGCTATCTAATTAGGCAACTTGGGGACACAGCAGGAACAGATGAATCTACTTCTATCAACAACCTCTTAAAACGACTTATTCACCAAAATTCATCTGAAAAAATTATGACTATTTTAGAGAAGAACTTATTGACGGTTGTAGAGCAAAATGATAACGCTTGCAAATTGTTGATTGACTGCATGCCTTATTTGTGTAAGTGTTATATGCTTATATGTATATATCTTTGCATGTATTATTTGGTTAATTTATTCCATTAAATAGGTCTTCCTGTACTAATTGAAAAGCTGAGTTACAAAATGCTTGATGTGTTGGATATGGAAAGGGAAAAATTTGTTTATTCTGCACTTATTTCCAAAGCTTTGCTGCAAGAAAAATGGGCTCACTACAGTATTTTATGGTACATTGAATTTGTTCGGAAAGTGGAAGTTAGTAAATGCATTTGCTTCGAAAAACAACAACAAGGACAATCTCGGTCCATTCCGCCAAGTCATATATATTTCCGTAGAACATCTACAAAAAGCGTACAAGATAAATCTCTTGTTGCCGTCACAATGCAAGCATGGATGACACCGATACAATTGTGGAGTGTAAGAATGGAGGATATTGCAATATATGCTGCTACTATACGCCAACTTGTTGCATATTGTTATGGGCTATCGCATGATATAAAATTGCCAGATAAACTGATATGGATTCCTACATGGCAGCACTTGTCGTTTGGCTTTATGAATACGAATAAGTCAGCAGAATTAGTCCCTGTGGTATTAGAATGCTGTTTAAAAACTATGATCGACCAAAATTTTAATGTGCATCTACAACGCAAGGATAATTACGAAAAGACAATTTTCTTAAAATTGTGCCCAATGCTTATATTGCAATGTGTACAAAGAGAAGCTTTTTCGGCTGTAGAATTACCAACAAATTATGTGATTACCATATCTGACAAATTGTTTCAACATTATAACATCGACGCTAACGAACTCAAAACAAGTACTACAACCACGTCAAATAATCAGCATGCTGCCTTATATATACAGCTATTTGAAGAACTTTTGAACAGGGCTAAGGAAAATGAATCTGCAGAATTAGGCCGTTTGGGTAAAAATCTAGTAACTAAGATATTCTTTAAATGAAGGATGAAGTATTTTTTTATACCCCCAATCTAAACAGCAGACCAATGTTATAACATTTAATTGTCGTTTGTGATTTTGGACGAATTACGTTTCGTGATTCATTTACTGTATATTCCATTGTATTTAGTGATAATAAGCACTTTTACATTTCTTTAACTCTTTTCGGTCATGCATGTTATACTTGACCAAATAATTGGAAATACGTATCTTTGCCTATATTATTTCATAAAATCATTCACATCATTTTAGCCGGTTAAAGTATGATAACATCCTGTTCTTATTGGTTTTTGTTCTCTCACAACATTAGTAGGCTAGCGTTTTGTCAAAGAACATCTCTGTTTAATGTAATCTGAACACATACAACCGCACAGTTATATTTGAGTTATGGAGTTGTACCGACGTGTATTATACAAGTATTACTCTTTTGTAAGCATAGTTCTACATATGAACTGTGCCAATTATTAATGTTAGTGGATGGTGCTGGGGTTATTTGGAAGTGTATAAATATTATGTTCTTGATGGTGGAGAGACCTACGACAGTGTCAGTTATGAAAGAAAAGCATTACCTACAGTGTTCTTTCTAACTTACCAATATAACACCATCACCACGTACAAATAGCATCTCAAAATTTCTTTGCACAGTCTGTATTAGTAAAGAATTTTTTGTATAAGTGTCCATAAGATTTGTAAACAATATTCAAAAACCCTAATTGTTTTCTTACTCTGATGACTTCTTCTAAGGATTCCTCATTCACCTCGACAATGGTAATGGTCTCCTCAACTTCGCCCAATACCATGTTTAAGTGGCCATCATATGCCTATATAGTCATGGAAAATCATTTTCGTGAGGAATGGCTTTTAACACATATATTACAACTAAACTAGTAAACTGGTATGTTACATGTAAAACACCACGTAATTCACGATCGCCTCTCAGCTTCACGTAAATTCGTTCGTCTAAGGAAAGTCGAACAAGATCGAGTGGTTCCTCAACGGATCCTACATCCATAGTTGCTGCATTACTCACTTCGGCCATTTCTGTTTGTTGTTTTGTTTCGCAAAAAGGGAAAGTTGAGAGTCAAAAATGCCTACTTCTTTTTCTTTCTGCTTCTTCGGCTTTAAAAAAGATTCCGAAACCAACAAAAGCATAAGAATTTCATTTTTGGCATAAATCTCCTTTTCTATCTTTGTTGTTAGTCTTCAATTCTTCACAACTGGAATGGTGTCTGTAAGCGCTTTAAACGAAGAACAAATAGAGAAGCTTACTCAGTTTCAGGTAATTCTACGCAGTAATATTATGTATCGTTGTAAGAAAAACTAGAATGAGTCCTCATTAACCTTTTCTGGACCTCATCTACAGACCGTTACGCAAATAAGAGATAACAAAGAAGCTTTAGATCGACTAATTGAACACAATTGGAACTTGGAGGTAATTATAGAGATAATCTACTCATACTAGGAATAACTTGCTCAGACACTTTTTCCAATAATATAGAGAGCTATACAGCACGTGTATGATGGGAATAGTATTAATACTTTTAAGAAGCGGGAAGACTTGGAGCAGGAAGTAGCTAACAGTACAGCAATTGCAGCCACGCCAGCTATCAATGACCTTAGAAACAGGGCAAGCAGTAATTCTGACACTATACCAACGATAACTAATGCTAATCTTGGCAACAATACCTTTTCAAACGAAATCAGAAATTCTATCAGCGCTACTCGACAACCCCCTTTATTATTCTCTATACTATTATGGCCGTTTGGTCTAGCTTGGAATTTAACATGGTCGCTGCTATCTTTTGCAAGTAATAACAAACGGTTTTATCAAACAAATTGCGAGAAAATGGAACTTAGTTTTTTTGTTGTGTCTTGTAGACCGATTTTTATCTCTTCGCCCCACTATTACTGCTCAACAGCAGCAACAGCACAGAAAAAAAGATCCAAGAGTTCTAGCAAATGAGTTTATACAGGCATTTGAGTCGAAATATGGTACACAGCATATACATTTTTTCAAGGGTGGTTATCTTCAAGCACTAGAAAAGGCTAGAAATGACCTTCAGTTTATGATGGTTCTGTTACAAAGTGAAGATCACGATGATACAAATGCCTTTTGCAGGTAAAGATATGAAACGGATAAATAGAGAACTTGAAAAGTGATGAAGAATTCGACTCACATATATTGTATCATGAGTAGGAATGTCTTGAATTCACCCCAATTGATTGACTTTGTCAAGGGTAATAATATACTTGTTTGGGCGGGAGATGTACGTGAATCGGAAGCTCATAAGGTCAGCAGCACATTGCAAGCAGCCACATTCCCTTTTATGGCTTTGATCGCCTTACAACAACCGCGGGTAGGCTCCTCATCTGCAGCACCTAAAATGGGCGTTCTTGCGCGCATTGAAGGCTGCCAGCAATATAATAACGTTGAACTGTTGATTCAGCAATTGGAGTCAACTATGGACCGTCATGGAGCTGTGATAAACCGTTTACGGCATGAACGGAAACAACGCGAAATGGAACGACAGCTCTTATCTGATCAAGACAAAGCTTATCGTAAATCACTCAAAGCCGATCAAGAAAAAGCTCGTAAAGCCAAAGAAGAAAAAGAACGACAGGAAAGGTCAGAACGAGAAAGACTGGAGAAGGAGAAGCAGAAGGAATTGTTAGAGAAGAAACGTCAACAGTATATACGTTATTTATATACTCACTTGCCTGTTGAGCCTACAGAAAATGTGGCTAGGATTAGTTTCCGATTGGCTGATGGTGCTCGTGTGGTAAGAAAGTTTGCAAAAACTGACACTTTGGAATCTCTTTATCAATTTGTGGAGGCGTATCCTTTGATTAAAGAAGCAGAAAGCATTGAAGAAGAGAAAAGTAAACCCGATAATTATAAGCATCAATACAAATTCAAAATTGTTAGTCCCTACCCCAGAATGGAGTATGAGCCAGACGATACTAAAGAGATACACACTGTTTCAAGTCTTTGGCCAAGCGCTACACTTGTGGTTGATGCTGCGGATGAGGATGAAGATGTGGATGAGAATAATGAAGATAATGCTATTGATACTACTACATCAGTTGGAAATTCAGTCTAAGACAGGGCACTGTTTAAGGATTATGATGATATTGTATATGAAGAACAAGATATTGATCTTTTTCTTAATTGCCCACTTACATTTGTAAATATTAATAAAGTAAAGCTACATCAAACAAAGCATTGTGTAAGTTAACGTTTCTGATTGATATCCCTGTTGCCACAGAGCATACTGAAACAGAAGCTACGTAGAAAAATAAGGACAGAGTACAATTTGAGAAGTAATTGAAACAAATTTTTAGCAGGGCGGGATTATGCATTGCTACAGTCATTTGATAATACTTATAGCACTTTTAATAACATTCCTCTTTCGGAGGTCCATAGGATTTTTCAAACATAAATGACGGAACTTCGCGCGTTAGAACTGTCTCTACAAAACAGATTTGATTACTGCACTGGAAAGTTAGACACTTACTTCCCGTTCCTTAGTTAGAATATGACGAATTGATTGGGAAACGAAGACTCTTCCTTTTTTTATCCAGTTGAAATATCTTCCTTTGCATTTACAGCAGTATATGACTTGCAAACCAAAACTTTAAAACAAAGCGTTAAAACGCGAAGGAAACGGATTTAAGTGTAAATCATTATTCATACATATTAGAATACAGGGCCAGGCAGAGAAAGATGCAGAAAGGTGGATGGTCAAGCAAAGTTAAGAATAGGAGGATGGGGAAAAAAAAAAGCTAATCAATGAAATACAGGAACGTAAGCCTGATTGACTAATTTGTATTTTGTATTTATGTCGCCAAAGATGAAATGAAGGTTATAACAAAGAAAAGAAGATAGCTCTATTCTTGACAGTAATAATGCGAATCCAGGTGATCGATTCCGAATAAACCTCAAGCCAAGGAAGTCTCCCCTGAATATGTCATGGTTGAGCTGTTTTTCACCGGAGCTCATTTTAGCGATCAAGCCTATAATGATTTTTCGCTGACCTTGTTACGGAAAAAGAAAAGCAACCATATCATTACGCTGTTTCAGTAGGTGAGGAATGTAATATAAACAACGCAGCATTAATTGAGTATTTGGAGAATAAGAGGCGATGAATTAAACGTAGAGAGACTAAGTACTTTACTCAAAAATCGGACTGAACAATCGAAGCGATCAATACAAGTCTACATAAATGCTTCTAACTTAGAACGTATGCTTTTGACTGGTAGGACTGAAATTTTCAATTTGACTGCAAATTTGGTATTTTGGGATTTTGTGAACTTCTCTTCATTCCCTCGTTTTCGAGTATAACAAAGTGGTACTTGCGAACGCTAATCAAAGTGGTGCCTTCACACAAATATACTTTTCATGTTTCTCGATTGGATAGCTCAGATTCAGTTGCTGCAACATGACCCACGTAAATGGTTTAGTCTTCTATTATGTGTGTTTTCTTTGTAGAGATCCCTCATTTAACGAAGAGTTCTCTTTTAGAGACAAATATCTTGAATACACTACCTTTACCTATACGAAGGGTTTTAATTTCGGAAGTTACCAGTTATCTTCATCCGTCCTCCAACAAACAATCGCAGCCACCTGATCCCAGCATCTTTTCTTCACCTGCACACGTAAAATGGTTTATGGAAGTCATCGGTCAAGGTTTCAACTTACCTTTAGAAGACATGAGTATTACCAACGATAATATTGATATTTATGCAAAATGGCTTTTTGAGCCTCAACACCGACCAGCAGCTGTGACTCAGGAAGGATTAGAGCAGGAGTTTTATCAGATCATATTTCACCAGCTTTCTTTGTTATTTCAGCCTCGTATCCTACATTCGGCTAACAACGCCTATGCTTATAACACTCCAGCGAATTCGACGGCCTCAACAGCAAGCACTGCAGCTACACAGCATTCAACTTCGCACAATACGAAGTCAGCGTTTCATTTGAACATGCTAGCAGCAGGCGCTCACAGCACGCTCGTTCCTATACCTTTCAATGATACTCCTTCTAGTAGGCCAACAACTACCCCACAACAGCAGCAAAAGCAGCAGCAACAACAGCATTTGAGTCAACTAGTGCAGAAGCATGTCGAGTTATGTAAAAAAACACTCAAAGTATTTGCAATGGCAGGAAGAACTTTAAAATTGTCTCCAAAGACGTGGACGGATTTATTGAAAGTGATTTTAGGTATCTCTGACTATTTATTGAAAGAAACTCGACAGGAACAGCAAGTTGGATCGGGCTCCGATACCGCAGTGGATATCAATATGGCAGACGAGCTATGCGATACTTTATTGCAAGTGCTTTTCGAATTATGGCTACGGTCAAAAACCATGGATTTGGAAATGTGGAACATTTTAAAGACTTGTTTTGCGCGATGGACACACCGGTCCAAAACTATACAACAGTGGAGCTCCACTTCTTTGGCCCTCACTAAGCATATTCAGTTCTTACTCTATGGCGCGAATGAGGGCACTGAACGTGTTTATTTGAGCGGCCCTAACATTAAGTTAGAGCTTCCCAAGGAGTTTGTCCATTATGCGTGGTACCGCGTCTTATACTTACTACCTCATCCATTACAGCTTCCTCATGCTCATAACTTCACATTATCCATGTTAGCCATTGGAAAGTTGGTAGAAACGTTGTTGAATAATACTCAGCAACAACAAAAAGGTACAACCAATGTCCACACTACCACAGCTGTTAGTGAGGACACATATAATCAAAGTAGACCAAACGGAAATACAATCTTAAATATGTTTGGCACTTACCTGTTTGATGCTACATCAAAAACATCCATAACTATACCCACGCCATTACGGACAATAACATCTGCTTCACCACTATCAACCACAAGCATAACCAATTCTAATAATGGCCAAAAGAAGGATGATCTGCAAGAATTTCAACGTGGATGCGCTGAATCTTTTGCCACTCTATGTAAAATTTTCTGTACTCCTCAGCAGATAGAACCTTTTCATCGTACGTATATTGAGCGCTTTTATGCTGCAATACGTATCGGACTTCAATCAGATGTTTGTCTCCCTACTATCTTACTCTCCTGCACTGATCTATTCGCTGCTACAAATTTGGAAGGAGTGCGTATGTTGGTGCCCGATTTCATTGCTGCAATCAAGATGATTCTTCCCAAGTTGCGTTTTGATTACAAACTTACCAATGGCATATCCATTGACCAGTTAAGACTGGCAGCACTGAAAGTATTGAGTACAATCATGTGTATGCCTAACCATTTTGAAAAGTTGAAAGAAAAGAAAGGCGGTTTGTCAATACGGGACGACTACGAATTGTGTCGAAATAATTTAACTGAGAATGTGTCAGTAGCATCTCCAATGATAGGAGAACAGGAACAAATCATTACTCAATTGGTAATTTCAGCTCGCAGATTGAGAAACTATCGATGCCCATACTTATATTTTATTTTGTAGTAGATACGTGTACTATATGCGTCATCGGCTAGTACAGAAGAGTCTGATTTTACAAACTCATCTGTAAGTGAATTCTTCCTTTTAGATGTATGCTTTGATGAAAAAATCTAACGCGTTCTGCTCAGCTAAAATTTTACATTTTAGAGGTTTTGCTCATGTCGCTACGCACAGAAACCTCATCATATAATATGAGATATATTCTTCATTTAATTAACGTGTATGTGATAGAAGATGTTCCCTTTTGTCCTGGACTGGTTGGCACAGTTGTAAAGTTGATACAGGAGAAGGTGAAACCCAAAAAGAAGACGAAAAAACTATATTGCTCGGATGTTTTGTAGGTAATACTTACTGTCTGCTTTTCTTCATATAGATTCTCACAATGCAATTACCAGCAGATGTTACACTGGTGGCTTTCGATGTATTAATGAACTTCGTTGATCTATATGATTTTGTTAAGCGGGACAGTAAGGTTAGTACGCCACTGAGTAGAAAAGACTATCGTTTCAAACAGAACATCCTCATATATTTATTGTTTGCTTAGAACGTCGCAAGAGAACTTGTTTTGGCGCTTAGTCGCTATGTTGATACCCTGTTATATGCTGGCAAGCTTGCTCAAACTTATCCTCTCATTGTTCAAGCATATGATTGTATGATTAAATGGATTTTGATCAGTCAATGGATTATTGATGATAGTGATTGTTATAATGCTGTAATTGCAACATTAAGTAGAGGAATTACCATATTTGACAGAAATACGGCCGCAACTTCAGAAACCGTAGCAGAGCCCAATACAGCGGTTAATGTTGAGAAGAAAAAGAAAAGAGAGACAGCTTTCCCTCCACCTAAGCAATTATTCCAGTTACCACCTAGAGTGGGCAAGAGCGGGCATTCCCATCAGCATAACAATTTTCAGCAGCCGCATATGGATCCAGCGAGTACAACTTCCACAGGGTCGAATTCAACAGTTAGAAAGAAGGAAGAAGTGGCAGTCCGTATGGCAGCCGAATATTGTATGTCGCAATTAATAAACCATTTGGGACGTTTCCCGTTACCTTTGGAACAGGTAATACTAGGCAAGAAAACAATAAATAACGGCTCAACAGCTAGACTGGCAATGATGGATGACATTGAGTATCTAAAACAACTCGCAGTCAACGATAACAGCAATGAAACAACTGCAATATCTGATATGAAGTTCTTTTTGATCGATAAGAGAACGATCTTAACCATTATTGATGTAACTTATTCAGAACATGAAAAGAAGAATGAACTAGGGCAAGTACCATCCATTATAGTCATTATCCGAGATACAACAGGCAAATATGTTTGGTCTATGAAAGCACGTTATAAGGAAGACAGGGGAAAATTATCAGAGCAAGTAGCAACACCATCATCACCGTCGTTGATAATAGAATCGCCGAAAATTATGACACCTACAATGGACAAACAGCTGCAATCGTTGCCTCATGTGGCACCTACTGTTGCTGCTGTGAATGAGAAAGAAATGCCTACTATTAAAACTCTATTTGCACCAGAAACTGAAGCGTATGAGCAATGGCAAAGCCTTAAACAATTAATACAAAAGCAAGAGGAGCTCGAACGAAAGTTACCGTCAACTCAACACATCGATACAACGAATGTAGATCAGATCAGGACGGTGAATGACTCCAATTACCGGCAACAACATCAAGAACTAAATAAAGGATTTAGATTGTTTCTAGCACAAATTGGCTATCTTTTGTCTGAGAATAGATACCATATCACTCCACTACACTTAAATGACTCCCTAATATCAGAAATAGAAAGATTGGACCAACTCAATGAGTAAGTAGCAGTGGACCAAGATAGTGTCAGTTTAATCTATATTCTTAATCAAAAGATTATTCTAGGCGCGACTGTATATCAGTTTCTGCCTTTTTCACAAGGTCCGGAGACACAACCTGGGAAGATTTGATAAAGAAACCATCTCCTTTAAGCGAACAATTTCTACAATTCATCCACTGTCTAGGTTGGCCAGTAAGTTGAACTTGGTCGTGTTACCGTTTATATTATGCTTACTCCCAAGATATTACTCTATTTTCAACCGTAGATTAAAACAGTCGAGCATAAAGGATTTAAAGGCAAATTGGATGCTTCTTGCTGTGATACTATTCCATACTATTCGGATCGGACAGTGGAGTTTATGGTCAACGTTCCTTACTTTAATAAAAGGAAAGAAAATTTAACTCTACCTGATCAATTCAGTCAGATATCCTCTGAGGACCATGTATGCATCGTTTGGATAGAAGACATGATGCACTATAAGAGACTGGCCAAAGTAATCAAAAATTGTACGGCAAAAATGATGGTATATCTATTCATTCACCCGCTAAAAAAAAGCGCACACAGACTCTATTGGATACGTATATGGATACCTTCCTTTACCGATGCTAATCATGCTAATCAGCTTGCCAGCCAGCGATTAAATGAAAATGCTTTGGTAAGTGTTACAGAATGTTCAAAACAAGCGGTATCCTGCTCTTCCTTAACGACTTGTAAATTTAGGTTTTTGGACCTTTGGTGGATGGCATTGTTGTGAGCCGTCATGCGTTGGGCTCGATGGTTAGGAGTACAGCTATTTCTGCCCACCAAGCATGTAGAGTTGTGACCGACACGTATACAAGGCCTTACGTGATACGTAAGGAGTATATTGAAGAAGTAGCACTTCGACACCGGAGCGAAGTACCGTTATCTACGTAAGTTAAATATTCAATTAAAGTGTTCAATAAAAAAAAATACTGACTGATTGATGAACTCTTCCGTTGTTATTCTACTGCAGTTTTTATTCTAGAATATTTTCAAGCTAAGGAAATTGATAATTGATAACAAATGTTGTAGATTCCGAATTTCACAACAATCAGCAGCATGTACATACTCGTAGCATCGACTCTATTAATAATATTCATATTCCCCTATCCTACCATTGCTATTAGCTATTAGATTTAGTAAGAATAATCAAATCACCGACTACTGTCATTTACTTTTTTGTAGTTAGCATTTACTTTTCATGACGAGAAAGAACCAATTTGAACTCCACTAAACATAATACTATCGTAATTGCAAGATTTTTTAAAAAACCCAATGGACACGAGATATTTTAAGCTTATTCAAATTGCTTGAAGCAGATCCAAATGTTTTATGTAGCTAAGAACCCCTGTGGGCTTAAGGGTAATAAGGAACAGGAATTATGACGCTAAATTTGGGGAAGCAGGTAACCAGTCAATAAACTGCGGTGGAGGAGGAGGTCCTTGGTTGTCAGAGTTAACCAAGTTCGAATAGGACATGACATTGGTCGGTCCAACGGTAATACCATATTTGAGCTCGTTATGGGGCTTTGAAGGTGTGTGTTGGGAGGCAGTTGAGTATAAACGAAAATGGGTCATGAACAGACTAACTCCCCTCTGCGCCCTGACCACATTTCAAGTTAGACTGACGTTTTGAAACAGAATTTGTGTGGTTGTTATCAAGCCTTTACCAGAGGACATACGTTTGATAATTGCGTTTTCGATGAATACAGAGCTAGCCTTAAGGAAAAAACAATTGAAGCTTCATCAACCGTCCGTTATCTGGCAAATTATTACGTTTTCGAAAACCCGGCATATGTTGCCTTAAAGTGTCTGTTCACGCGGAACTTTTGGTATACGGTGATTAAAGTAACCAATGAGCAAATTGTTAAAGACACATCAGCACTTCTTCCAAATGAGTTTATATAAGCCTACAACAACTTAAAACCAACTACCCGACATTTACACGCTCCAGAACCCTCGCACCAGGAATCCCCCAATGCATTTCTGAAGCCTGCATGGAGATCGTTACTTCCTGCCTCAACAATATTCTTGATAATTTTTAAAAAAGGATTGTATATTTTTTGAAGTCCAAGTGCAAATGATGTTTTTTGGTACGTTGAAAATGGAGCGATACATTATTATGCTTTAAAAAACTCACTTAAATTTGTACATATCATAGTCATTGCACCCATCATTGGATGTAACTTGTTTTTGCTATCAAGAGATTTGTTGTGGAGAGCCTTAATGTCCAACGAGCAACTACTTCATTGACAATAATATTGAAAAACTAACAGGGGTATGTCTGGGAAAGATAATGTAAAAAACAAAGGTTTAAGGTGTGGTGTTCTTAGCAGATTCTTTGAAGCATTCAAAAGACGTGAAGCTGAAGGCGGCTTGATTGTTTTAACAATCAATGAAATAAAATTTCAAAACTCTGCAGCCTCTGTTATTCGACTTTGGATACTGTCGATACTAAAGGTCTAGCAGAGGGATGTTAATGCATCTTTGAACATGATCATAATATCGTTGTCAATTTGATCAAACAAAGGAAGATGGCAGAATTACAGCACTACTAAAGAAGTTCACCGTATTTTTCTTTGTATTTTTTTTTTTTGGTTTGTGTTTATTTACTGAAAAATAACAAATTAGTCACACATCGCGGAAGGGTGGGACATAGAGTTTACAACAACTAATTTGTGTTAGTCAAACGCAGCTGCTTCCTGCAACAACTGCGCAGAAGATAGAGTGACAGAAATGACATGTTGAGTTTTACGGATGACCGTTGAAGGGAATAGTATGGAAGACATTTATAAAAATGATGACCAAATTGTCCAATATATGCTGAAGCATATGATGAGAAACTTGGATTGCTCATTGGAAGTGAGGGCGGGAGTGGCGTCGAATTTGAGAGCAGCTTGGGTATCTTGGGAAGTGAAAAATCTTGACGAGAAATGGACAGCTAAGGCTTCTTTCCATATCTGCCATCTGTAGGAACAGCCGGATATAAAATGCTCAAAGGTATCGAATGCCTGATGACATAGTCGATACGTAATTTGAAATATACCGTAGTAAGCACGGTTTCTCGCAAGAGTTTTAGATCATTACAGGTAAAAAGTCTAAACATAAATTCCAATTCGTCTCCCAATTTTTCTCCAATTTATTCAAAAACAAATAAGCTAAACATATCAAAAACAGTTTTTGTTCGTCTAAAGAAAAACCGTAACATGGTCTGAATTTGAAGTAGAACTACTGTTAACTTTGACCTTGTTCCTAATATTACTTCTTTAAACCCCATAACTTTCATAGTGGAAATGCCCTTACTAGTGGCTCGTTCTACTTTACGGCCATATTCTAAGAGGGTAAGAAACGGATCAAGGGGGTTGTTGACTAAACTATGCTTTATCAACTAACTTTAACAGTTGAAGCTTTTAGATAGTCTTAAAAAAACAAACTTTCCGAATACTTGTGGCAGACCAAGTCCTACAATAACCACTTTGAATACCTATAACAAAAAACAGTTTACTACACTATACCCTTCTAGTATAACAATAAAATCTGCAACAATACGGAAGTAAGTTGCTATTAAAACAACTATGATGAGTAAGAGAATTATATGCTGTTACTCATGTCACTCATGTACAGCATTGCGAAATACACTCCTTTAAGAACGCAAACAACATTGACGTTTACAACTCATGTTCGAAAATACAGCTTGCATGTTGCTTCTATTGCTCTTGGTATACGCTTGTCTCACTCTTCTTTGTTTAGTGGAAAGAAACCCATCTTGGCTGAGGCCTTCCTACAACAGCCACCACCCGATATAAAGTCCCGTAAAGCCATTACCAAAAAAAGGATTCTCGACAAAATCGCTGAACAACAACAGTTAAAGCATAATATTGCATATGATATTTGGGAGTTAGTCAAACCTGATCTCTTACTGTTAGGCTTGATAGTTTTAACTGCTGTTGGCGCCGCAATTGTTCAGTTACAAACACCCTTAGTCACCGGTCAGCTGGTGAACCTTTTATCCAACATCAAGAACTCGGTAACCTTATCAATTAAAGATCTCAACGAACCCGCTATGAAATTATTCGGATTGCTCACAGCTCAGGGATTATTGACATTCGCTCATATCGCACTTGTATCGGCATTTGGAGAGAATGTTGCTAAAAGACTAAGGGCGAAATTGTTTGCATCGATAGTTCAGCAGGATATAACATTTTTTGATTGTCACCGAAGTGGAGATTTAGTAAGCCGACTTACAGCGGATGCATCTGAGTTTAAGGTAAATAAGCTTTTATATAGATGAGTACGCCTATCGTTGTCTTTGTATTAAAACAGATATTGATATAACAACTGGAACACAAGTAGAGCACCTTTAAACAACTTGTTACTCAGGGCCTGAAATCTGTCACTCAGACCATTGGATCTGCTATTCAACTCTTTCGCATATCCACACCCCTTACCGTCACTATGCTCAGCACCATGCCCGTTCTCTATATTCTACTGAATTTTTATGGCGTATATTTACGCCGCCTCAGTAAACATAATAAACAATTGGAAGGGCATACAAGCGGCGTAGCAGGTGAGGTAATTAGCAACATACGTACAGTAAGAGCTTTTGCATCTGAAGATCGAGAAATGAGCCATTACAGCGACACTTGTCAAAGAGTGGCGGAAGCAAATAAGCACCTGGGATTACACATTGGTCTATTTCAAGGGCTCACTAACATCTCTATTGGTTGCATGATTTTAACTGTTCTTTATTATGGAGGTTCGCTTGTTGCGGAAAATAAATTAACGAGTGGTGATCTGATGTCGTACATGCTTTCTATACAAACAGCTCAACATTCTTTGGTATCTCTGGGCGTGCTATTTGGCCAATCCATTAAAGCTGCCGCGTCTGCTACTCGTGTATTTGAATTCATACATTTACAACCGAATATACCTTTAAAGGGTGGCCTCCAACTGCCTATTATTAAAGGAGATGTTGTGTTCAAGAATGTTGATTTCAGTTATCCTACTCGGCCAGATCACCACGTACTTGACCAATTCAGTCTACATATTCGGCAAGGTACAACAACAGCTCTTTGCGGACCCTCTGGATCCGGTAAATCCACCATTGCCTCTCTTTTGGAAAGATTCTACGAACCTGTAAACGGAGAGATTCTACTTGATGGTCAGGCATGGACGTCTTTAGACCCTTCTTGGTTAAGACGTCATATCGGATTTATTAATCAAGAACCTGTCTTATTTGCTACATCAATTTTGGAAAATATTCGATATGGCAGGCCAAATGCAACCTTAGAAGAAGTCAAAGAGGCAGCTCGACAGGCGAATGCACATCACTTCATTGAAGCCTTTCCTGATGGATACGATACGATTGTTGGAGAGCGAGGAGCTGCTTTGTCTGGTGGTCAGAAACAGCGGGTTGCCATTGCTAGAGCTATTCTGAAGGATCCAAAGGTAATTTAGCCACAATACAGCCATGCCTCAAAGAGAATGTGTACCATAATTGACTCTTCCATGTATTTATGATCCATCTCTCTCCTAGATTCTTATTCTAGATGAGGCTACTTCTGCTCTGGACAGTAAGTTTCCAACTTTTTCCGAATTTTTTGTGTACATTTCGAAGTATCTGCTAACTTTTATATTAAAAAGCTCAAAGTGAAAAAATGGTTCAAGATGCACTTGATAGATTAATGCGCGGCCGAACAGTTTTAGTAATTGCTCATCGTCTCTCAACCATCAGAAAGGCTGATATGATCGTTGTAATGGGTAAGACACCAGGCAACATTTTAGAGAAAGGTAAACTGTAATTTTTTGTGAGTCATTCTATACGGCAGAGCCAACAATATTTTCGTTATCGTTAGGCACGCATGAAGACCTGATGAGGAACCAATCTATTTACTTCAAACTACATAATCAACTCGTTGATGCTGAAATTAACAATAATTAGACCTTTTCATCTCGTATTTTCCTCTCAATAAACTTGTTTTATAGAAACGGTACGCTTTTCTGATTGCACTCTATTGAATGCAACTTATTAACATAGTCGTGAATTCTACTTCTTTTAAACTGTGATGTACGATTATAACAGACGTGTTACAAATGAGGGTTTTCTCACTTGTTTTTCGCAGTTTTCCAACTGAGCACATACTATTTTTAAGTGGACAATGCCTAACCAGCAGAGTCAAGTTTTTCTTGCTGTTAGTTTTTGTGAGCCATTGACTAAAATGTAAGGGTTTCCGTATCAAGCTCGGGTATGTTTAATTATTTTTCTTGTGTTGAATCCTCTATAAGTGAACCATAGGAAAATAAAAGTAATATGAACTACAGTATATATATATAATATACATATAGGTAGATGTATAGAAGTATAGTGATGCGTCAACAAAATAGTTGCAGTTATATAAAAGGCGTTGCTTCCTTTTTTTAAGTTAATGTAAGAAGCTTTTCATGTCTTGACAGTTACGTTGCCTCCAGCTGAAGTTGTGGAACGCGTGTGATGGTGCTGGTAACTTACAAAACATTCAATTCAACTTCGTGAGGTGGTCGAAGTCCAACTTTTCTGGGGAAAATCAAAGGGTGTAACTGTGCAAGATAGGCAATAGCCCACCTATAAGAAGCGTTAAGTTAGTCTTAGTTTTCGACAGAGCAGCTAGTTTGAAGTATCCCAAAACTGAAGGAGTAGCAACTTACATAATATAGCAGCATATAAACGACATAATGATGACGGTTCGAATGACACTGAATGAGGAATAACATTAAAAGGATGAGTTTCACTTGATTAATTTAGTTTGTCCAATCGACAAAGAGACTTACGTTTGGTCATTTCCCTTAGGAGTCAATACATAGGCTACCGCACAGAGAATACCGACACCGAAAAAGGCCAAAACTATATTATATCCTGACATGTTACTCTCGAAGGGTCTATGAAGGGATGAGTTAATGAAATGAATTTGAAACAGTTTAATTTTGTGTGTTCTTTTTGTTTTAAAAAGTGCGGCAAGAATTCCGTGACTCTTCACTTTCAAGTAAAGTAGGGATTGGCTTTTTATTTCTGGATGCATGAAAATTATTCTCAGAGCAAGCTATACAGTATAATGCCTTTTTTTCCAGAATTAACCCTCGAAAGAAGCAGTTTACTATTTTTAATGAGCAAGTATTTCACAAGTATCTATTTGTCTGTAAATACGTCATCAGCTACGAATTATATATATTGTTACAGGTAAATGTAAACTAGTGTGAGTCGTATCAGAGGTTCTTTAATATTGTTTCATAAAATAGGCATTATATTGCTTAATGGAATGATTGTAAATTCATTATTACAATTAAAAGAGGTAATAACGTTTTTCAACAGGGACACTTATGGTCCATATGTATCTTTCTGTTTGTGTGCGTTTTGTGTGTGTGCGCGCTTTTACACCTGTACATCATATGTATATAATAGTTGAAAATCGAAAATATAAGGTAAAGTAGTATGTACAAAAAAAATAAAAAAAAAAAAATAGTAATGAGAAACATAGAACTATTTATAATGGAGGCAGCCTTCATTTTCTTGCTTAGTAAAAAGCATTTAAAGCCATTGTAGATTTGTGCAGAGACTGATGATGTGTTGGCTGCATTGTTGGTATGATTGAGGTGACAGGAGTGCCCATAAAAGCGTTCGCTTGTGTAGTTGGATCAGATGGAGAAATAGTATTAGTAGTAGTAGTAGTAGTATTCGAAGGTATAAAGGAAGGATAGCCAACACCCAAGGATAGCCTTTCAAGAGCAACAGAGGGAGGAGTATGTCTCATCAGTACCGAAGGATGTTGAACTTGATTTGTAGCAGTGATGCTAGCGGGAGATTGCTTTTCAAAGTGTTGCCGCTCTTGTTGCTGTTTGAATGTCTTCTTCTTGTTTTTTGGAGTTTTGCCTTCTCTTTCCTTTTTTTGTTCGCGCCATTTCCTTCTCATTTCTTTGAACTCATCAGGAGAACGTTTAGGGCCCTACATATAGATATTCACAGTATATTGTTAGTGTATTGCTAAAGAAAAAGGCGTAAGCGCATTACTATCAATGGCACCATGAGAAGGTATACCTACATGTTTTTGCATTGTAATGTGTGCATTCAAATGATTCAGTGTACCATAAGATTTTGTACAATTTTGATAATTACAATGATAAAGTCGTTCAATTTCGTCGTATCTTCTGCGCGGTCGTTTCTTTTGATTGGTGCCTGGAATGGAAACAAATGAGTACGCTTTTCCACCTGCACTATTTTTGCGGGATCTTTGAACGCCAGTTGATGTAGCGCTTTCAGATGCCATACTAACAGGGTTGGTGGTGGCAGCTGTAGTAGGTAAGACACTAAATTGTTGCTGTGCATAATCTGATACGAATGGATCTGCCGTGCGATGGTTGTTGATTGCTATATCATTATTATGAGTAAACTTTCCCAATGGGTTTCTGTTTATCTTCGTATCTGGTGCCAAAGCAGTTGTAGTAAGGGTACTATTGTTACAAGGTGCAGCTGTGCCTATAGTAGGTATAATAGTCATTGCGGTTAATGGATTCATTGCGTTTGTTGTAGCGGCATTTGCACGCGTAGTGTCGTTATTAGTTGTAGGAGGGAAGACGACAGCTGTCGGAGCGATCAATTGAGCTATTTCTGCTGTGGTTGCTGAAGTTGCAGTAGTAACTGGTGGCTGATGTGCTTGTAATTGAGAATGTGGGTAAGTGGGTATTATCCCTGCCGCCATTGCTGCTGCTGCTGCTACGGTTGCGTCAGAAAATGGGATCGGGTGTTGTAGTTGCTGTTGTTGAGATTGTACTAAAGGCGCTTGTACCGCAGTTGCTATCTCTGGATGCTGGGGTAACTTACAACTACTTCTAGTTGTAGACCTCCCTTTCGTCTGTAGTTGCTGTTGTTTGTCAACCGGTAATAATTGTGAAAGGGGCGGAAGTGAAGGCAATTCAAGGTTTTGGAGGTAAGCTGAATGTTGTTGACGACGATTCAATAAGCCGCTACTCTTCTTCGCCGCACTGTTGTTTCTTATCGTTGTTGAAAAGTTACTATCTTGAGTCATAAATTATTGAAGACGAGAGGTGATTGAGAAGGGGTAAATGCAGATCAGGGTAAGAGTTGTGAAATGTTGCAATTTAAAACGGAGAGATCAGTATATACTCGTAGGCCTTTTTCTTTGAGTGATATAAGAAACAATATATGTGCTTTATACAAAAATCAGTGATAAAATAAGGGGATAGTTGAAAGGGAGTAAACCTTGTTTAAGAAACAAATAAAAAAGAGAGCAAATAAAAAATTGACATCCATTCGAAATAATCATCGCCCATACGTCATAAATGTGGAGGAACACAGAAAATTACCATTTAAAGTTAGCCTTAAACAAAAAGAAATGAAATTGCCTCCAATAAAAAGCTGGATATGACATAAGTTCTATTACGAATGAAAGAAGGTAGAAACTTTGACGTGCAAGCAACAGCAGCACCTCTTACTTTTACATTTTGAACTCTGTAGTAAATAGTATGATTATTGAGACATATACAATAATTGTGCTATAACTGTTATAAAGAAGGTTTTCCCCGCATTTTCTACAATTTCTAATCGGAAATGCAAAAAAAAAAAAAAGTCAAAAAGTGTAAAGATGCAAAAAGCAAATGATGTATTTTGGACCCTGTTGGACTTCTAAAAAAGAAAGACTTATATCATTGTCTTACATAAACAAATCCAAATCAGTCACACAAAATTTCCTTCTTTGTTTACTGTTTTTTCGCTGACATTTGCACAGAAATGGACCATAAATTGACACATCTCTATACTTGAAACATTAGGCTGACTGAGTAATTTATTTTGATAATATGCATAATTCTTTAGAATTTACTCATTCTGCCAAAATGCTCTATACCAGATGTGCGATTTACTCATATTCAGACAAGATAAACAAAATGCGATGAGAGCCATAAGTAGCAAAGGTTATTTGGAAAGGTTACTAATCCTCTCAATAATTAGCCTTTTTGTGCAAATTCCAAAGGAAAAACAGTACTAGAACGATGGTGATATGATTAATATCGTGGTTGAGTGGTATGAATTTCATGTCAAGTTTATAATGTAATAATTAGAATAGGAGGCTTCGTTTACAGAAAAACGTACTACGCACTATGTGATAGACTTCGGCGTAGCAGGCTTCGTTTACTTTTAAACAAGGATTTTTATTACTGACATTTTTAAGCCCAATGGACACGAGTTATTAAAGCTTATCTAAATTGCCCGGGGCAGCTCCAAAGGTTGAGGAGAATCTAAAACCCCTTAGGGCTCAAGGGTAAAAAGGATTATGTACTAAAGGGTTGGAGGAGGGGAAGAGGGTAACCAGTCGAGCAATAGGTGCCCTAACCGAGGAGTTGTAGGCGGCTCTCGAGAGTGGTGTAAGTAGTCGAGTTCAAACAAAATGTGACAAAGTACTGGCCATAGAAAATGCCAGTTTTGTATTTGGGATGGGTTTTTGATCGGATGTGTAGGAAGACGGTTGAGGACATGAGATATGGGATCGCAGACTGATGAGGGGAGCAGGCTTCGTTTACAGTATTTCAACTAATATTTTTATTTTAGACAAATTGCAATTGTGTTGTAGACGAAAATATAAACCGTTCAAACAATGATTCAAATTCAAGAACTTGTCAGTAGTGCGAAACAAAAAGAAAAAAACGTACTATTCCTCACCTGTAATGATCCAAGTCCTTAAAATGTAAGGAAAACCGTGTTTGTTACGGCGATACTTTCTTCTTCGCTGGCTTGAAAACGTCGGGTCTTCCATCTCCAGACCAAACTGCTCGAGATATGGTCATCATATTGTTAGCGGCGTTAACGTCTCTCTGTCATAGCTTCAGACATGTTTGCAATAAAGAACGCCGGTACCCTTAAATTTAGGAAAATCAACAATTTGCATATCATCATAGAAACAGAGGCTGCATGTTTTAGAAGTTTTGAATTCATCGATTGTGACAACAATCAATTGACCTTCAGCTTCACGTTTCTTCAGAGTTGCAAAAAGTTTACCGACAAAACCACATCGTTGCCCTTTCAACTTGGCTGCATCTTTGCCAAACATTCCAGCACCAAACACAATTAGGGGTACCCTTCTAGGGGATTCCTAGTACTTATCAGCCTTCCACTTCTGAACGCATCGATTTTTGTCCTGGTTGTTTGCATTTGGTACAACATGCAATGTATTTATCTAGTTCTTCATTCTTCTCTTTCCTTGCTTTTTTCTTTTCTTTCTTGATTTCGAAGTTCTGTTTGCGTTTTTTATCTTTCGAACCAACTATAGGTACAATGAAGTCGCATACTAATGATGAATTAACCAACTTTTAAAGCCACATGAGGTGCTTACCTTGATCTGCAGTTTTTGGTTCATACAATTCACATTTAAAGTATTTTTTGGTGTAATGACCCCCTTTACCACAATCAATACATGTTGCATCTAACAGTACACGATGATTAATCTATATGTATATTGTCCATGAAAAATTGTAAATCGTCTAAAATGTAAGCTAAAACACTGTATTATTCAGACCACCACATTGAAAGAACGCTCCTTCGTCCTACAAGCTAAGTTCCTATTACGTTCTACTCACTGCCTATTGATACTTTAATCTCAATACTACTCCCATATATAGGCCAGCAACAGAGTAAATCGTTATATTGCAAGCTTGCTCGTTCTCCGATCTGGCAAGATTACACTTCTTCTCCGATCAATCAACGATCCGAATCAGCTGCTCTGCGACGCTGTATCGCTAACTTCCGTACTAGCCTCCTTCACATCCAACAATCGAACAACCCCAACTCCAAACTGATCTCTCAATGCCGTTCTCGATTAATGATCGACCCGATCCTTTATGTTCCTGACGTGTTTGGTGAGATAATAATTACAATACTCGACTACGTACAACCAGGTAGAGAATACATTATACCACGGTCTATCTATATTGCATCTAATATAGGTTATGTACAACATAGAACAAGGTACAGGGCTAAGTATAATAATCACACAATAAGCATTTGAACCTGAAATTGGTGACTAGCATACGCGTCCTCAAATATTATAATTCCCATTAAACCTCACAGAGTATATAATCCTTCTACTTCATCTGAAGAATAATAAAGAGACCTAAGTTCATAGTCATCGACTTACAACGGTTATCAAAATAAGCAAAGACAACAAACTGAGGGTAGAAAACATTCAAAGCGTAGCCAACAATTACCTTTAAATAAAATCTCATCTTGTTTCGATCATGAGTTCTTCGTAAAAGATACTCATCTTTTTTCGGCAGTAAGCCAATAAAAATTAGGGTTTTCGTAGATCACTTTTTTCTTCGCTCGGATCAGCGATCAGTTTTTTTCTAATGACTTGTCATCATTTTTATTACCCGCTGATTGGTTTCTATGCTATCCAAAGAACAACATTGGAACCTTTTGCAATTTGTCAATAAGTTGCTGTTGATATTTAATAACTTGATCAGCGGAGAAATTATAGGATAACAAAAATAAAATGGTAATCATAAATACAAGCAAAATCAGCAAGTCAAAAGAGGACTAGACTCAGTACTGTGAAACGTAAAAGATGTCCGTGATTCTCTTATAGCGATAGCTCATTTCAAATTACACCTGAACTTCTGCTACTACATGTTATACAGATTCAGAGGGTGGACTAATTTAGCTCATCTTCTAGATTCTCAGTGTAGGAGGTTAAAAAATTCAGAGCTGATACTTGGATTCTATGTGGCGAAATGCTTGTTTTTGTTGATCATCCGCGAGGTACACGATTTACATACTTGAACATTCAAAAATAGCCAATATCATCAAGTACAATTTACAAAACGTAATGTGAGCCTAAAAATAAGAACCTGAAATAGTATTGATGCTAAATCAAGGAGTTGCATGTGAAATAATTAATTGAACAGATTCTTTGATACTTAGATTAATTTAGAACAATAGGTGTATTTATAGCATTTTGGAGCTCAGCTAAATAGTACCTTCAGCTTTCTGGAAGTTGACGCGTTTAATAGTAAAAGAAAGTGATGTTCGTTCATGTCATTTATTACTTGGTGTCATTGAGGAATACTTAGAGACCTATGGGATTTGTGCCCTTACCAATCCACATAATAATCTACTACATTGTTGACGGTTAAACGAGACAGAGTACAACTTATTGTTAGTTTCATTTACCTTAACTATTGAGTAATCCAATAGGATCGTCATATGTATAATGAAGCAACGTTCTCTTGCAAACAAAATTGAGCGACGCTATTCCTAATTTTCTGATATCATTATTAATACCTATATGGTTTATAGCATGTTTGTTAACCTAATAAAGGCTTATTTTCTCTTTTCAAACTTTTTTGTTTCAAAGTTCTTGGTCATACTTCCAAGTCATGGGTAACGCCCGATTATCATAATTAACAGAGTTCTTAAGCGCTTCATCAGAATTTATTGTAGCCATGAGCGTTTTATTCTGATGTATGGTATAGAGATAAGCGCCTGAGTACATCAACTGAATGGCTGGTTAATTTACCTAATAGCAAATAAGCGGCGCTTCCCCACTCTAATATTTTTTGTTCGGTTTTTAAAATTTTGTTATGTACCTTTTTTGCTCGTGCTTCTTATATAGAATCTTATCGCTTATCATGCTATTTTGTAACAGGTGTGGGCAACTTACTCAGTATTAAGGTAGCAATCGAAGTTTTATTTCTAAAATATGTGAGAGAGAGAAAATGTATATAAAAAGGACAGTTTTGTCGTCTTTCCTGATCATCCATTCAATCTCTACTCTATTTGAATACAAAGATGTTTTCTCGTTTTGCTGTTGCCCTTACCACTCTCGCTGCTGCTGCTGTCTGCTTTATGAACGGTGCTGAGGCCCGTGGCTCCTCACCAATTGGAATCTCTGTTAACAGTTCTTCCCATAAGAAAACCTTCAACAAGTTAAACAGACGTGGTCGCGATGACGATGAAGATATCTTTGAAGGCAAGGCTACTTGGTTCATTCCTCACAAACATGACGGTGAAATTGGTGCCTGTGGTGAATATGAAGCTGACGATGACTGGATTGTAGCTATGAACGCCGATCAATATGGTGATATGGATGAAGTTAGTGATGAAGTCTGTTTTAGAAAGGTCAGAATATACCACGAAGATAAATCTGTTGATGCTCTTGTGACCGATGCCTGTCCTTCTTGTGATTACGGTTCTTTGGATTTGACCCAAGTGGTTTTCCAAGAATTGGGCAAGTTGAAGACGGGCGTCCTCGATATTACATGGGAATTCCTTAATTAAAGAAAAAAAAATCAAATAGAACTCGTTTTCCTCATTCATACTCATCTGTATTAGTATATCCCTCCCTTCGCGCATTTAGTACATAAGTATATTTATACATACAATTTCTCTCTAATTTTTGTTCGCTTTGAATGTTTCATTTAGTTTGTTACCTATATAGTAGCATGTAGCACGCAATCTTTGCTTTATTTTCGTTTTCGTTCAATCATCCATATCATATGCTCACCGTTACAAAACCTCATCTTACCCTTCCCCTCATCCCATAACAATAATAAAATTAGGCTGTTGAAAAGTGATATCTTTTATATGCTTTCTTTTTACAATGATGGAAAACGACAATTTCTTTAATTTTAATCTTATTCTGGCACAAGTGAGGGGTTTCAATAATAGTTGGAATCAAAAAGAAAACGAAAGAGCAAAGTAGTGGAAGTTATATATAGGGTTTATGTACGAGACTTTCTACTACCACTACTGATACTTGATTTCGTTGACGAACTGGAAGAATTAGTAGTAGTGGTGGTAGATGCTGAAGAAATGGATGAATTTGTAGTGGTAACTGTGTTGGTTGGTGATAAAGAAACTGACCGACAACCAGCCATATTGTAGCTTTTTCGTCTTTCCTGCCATTGACGTGATTCTGTGTTCTTATTTCTCTTAATGCTACTGATACTGCTACTACTAATGTCGCTACTGCTGCTATTAGTATTGCTAATTTTGTTTATTCCGCTTGCTGATGCTGCGAGAACGTTGTCTCCTATTAACGATCTATATGAGGATGATCTTCTTCTTCTGTCGTTGCTATTCACCGTTATTAGAGGAGGCACGGTTAAAGCATTGGGGCTATACCTTTCTCCATTGGAATATTGCTGCTGTTGTGGTTGCAACAAGTGCGTTTGATTTGGAAAATAGTAATTGTTATAAAAGCCCATTGCAGAAGCTGGCTGGGAATAGGGTGTTGGTGAGGTTATTGTCGGTGCTGTTACTGTACCATATTGCTGAGGGTAATAAGGATGCCCATTGCTCATCATAGGGGCAGTACTTGAAGGAGGGAAATAAGGGTTAAATTGAGGTTGCTGAGGGGAAAGAAAGGTGGTAGCTGGCGGTGTTCCTGAACGGCTAAGAGAGGGTGATGAAAACGGTTGTTGCTGTTGCTGCATCATGGCTAAATTAAGCGGACTCAAAGGGCCTAGAGAATTGATAGGAACAGGTGATAAAGGATTTACAGATGGTATTGTTCCATTAGCCATTCCAGTGGCACTTAAATTCATAACAGGACTAGCAACACCGGAAGACTGTCCAGGGAATGGAGCTGGCATGATTGGGATGGAAGGAGGAGGAGGTATACTATATCCATTTGCAAATAACATCATCTTTTTTTTTTTAAAAAAAAAAAAAAAAAAAAATAGGAAAAGAGAAATCGTTTAATGATTGATTTTGCTTTTTCAATTGAATTGGCTTTGCTTTTTTACCTGATGTTGATAGATTTGTTGTTGTCTTTGCTCAAAGAGTCTTCTTTCTTTCTCTTTCTCCATCATGTCTAGATGGTGTTGATTTACTTTTTCTGCTACTCTCAATCCATTACCTTCTTTACGATCCTTTTCACGCTGAGAAATCATACCCACTAAACCTCCTCGAGTCGTTTTGTCTTCTTTCTTCTTCGTGGAAAGCTTGATCAATGGCTGACCTGTTGCTTTCGCAAATTCAATTTGCTCTTTGGCACTTAATTGCTCACCATGATAAGTATCTAATAAGCTGTTCTGAGGTGCAAAGTGATCGCCTAAGGAAGGAATTAAAGGGCCATCTTCATCGTCCTCTTCCTCGTCCTCTTCATCCGTATTATATCGTTCTTGAGAATGACGATGTTGATAATAAACATAATGAGGGTCCCGATGATGTTGTTTCATTATCTGATGATCGTCATCACTATCTTCATTTTCTTCGTATTCATAATCATATTCTTTGTCTCCTTCTTTATCAGCAACAGCAGCTTCTTCATCTTCATCGTAAGGGTGTCGTAAGCGAGGATGTTGATGATAGCGGTAATTTTGTTGGTTGTGACGGCTATGACGGTGATGATGTTGGTGGCGGTGCTGACGATGTGAACGAGAGTGACGAGAAGAAGGACGGCGATGTCCTTCGTAACCTGAACCATAACCTTTATCATTACTGTAACCTTCCCAAGAAATACCTGCTGATGACGATAATGATGAGTTCAATTTGACGTCAGCGGGTAGAGAGTATTTGCGTGGCTGTAATGAAGAAGATGAAAAGGACGGTTCTTTGAGAAAGTTCCCAAAATCTTTTATCAAATCAAAATCACCAAAAAGGTCTGTTGCTGTTGATGTAAGCTCTGGTGAAGAAGGTGTGGGCGAAGCAGATTGCTGAGATGCTGCCTTTGGTACTGGAGAAGCGCTATTCAGCGATCGAGGGCTTTCAGTGGATATAGAGGCTTTAAGCTTTGGTGGATTTGGCATAGATGCTTTACGTGCATGAAGAGGAAAAGATCCTTTGAAACTGAAAACATTTTCTTCTTCTAATTCCAAACTGCCAAACATTGCAATGGAGCTGTTATGTCGCGCTGTCCTTTTTTTCTTATTCTTCTTTGTTTTGTTACGTGTTGATAATAATTCAGCGTTATTAGTAGTTGTAGATGTAAGGGCTGCAGCTATAGTTGCTTTCGGTGCATCTTTTGAGACGTCAAATCCATTACCGAAGTCAAAATCAGGAATTAAAGTATTAGCAAAAGATGGCGTCACTGGTACAGGGGATAACATATTATGCGATGAAGTTTCAAGCTCATCATCGTCGTCATCGTATTCGCTATCCTCTTCATTCGTTTCATTATGAATGGCATTATCGTCATGCTCCTCTTCCGTATCCTCATTATCATCACTTTCGTCGCTTGAATTAACTACTTGTCGCGTAAGCTTGTACCCAGGTATATGGGCTGGTGATGATAAATCTAATGACTTTGAATTTGTTTGACTCACACCTCCAAGCTTTTCCGAGCTTCCACCATCCTCTGCATCTGGTATCACTGTGATTAATGGCAGACTATTTGCTCTGTTTGTGAGACGACGTGACAAGTCAACATTATTTTGCGAATGCTGCTGTTGTTGCTTTATGAGGATGATATTATGGAATGAAGAATCTGTTTCCTGCTGCTTACCAATGGCAGTTGTTATTACCGATGACATATGATAGAACACTTCTTCCGTTTCGAGAAATAGTCTAGCATTTACCGCGGATGTGGCTAATTCACCAAAATTCAAAGCGTCAGGATGAGTAGCATCTGTCAGTAATCTTCCAGGCCGACCATAAAGACGAAAAGCGTCGTATACTTTCAGCAACCATTGAAAGGTGAGTTGACTTGTATCTGCCATGAGCCAACATTGAGTCGTCGCCTCTTCATCGTGTCCAATTGTTCCTTCTGTCGCTGAAGCAGCATGTTGTTGTTCAGTCATGACAGCCATTGCAGTGCTTGTATTCAACTGGCACTCAAAGCGAAGTATAGAACACTTTTCAATCAATTGCATCGATTCTGGGAAAATAGCGTACGCTTGCGTTACTTTAGTCAATGTGAAGAGTGGTTGTTTGGACTTTTTGGTCTCATATATAGAAATAGTCTGCTCTCCATCTGCTGCCGTATGAGAAATGAAGGATGACTTCTGCTGTTGCTTTTTATGCGTTAAACTGCTAAACATATGTTTCTTTTTCTTTTTGCTACCGTTGGCTGCGGCGTGTTTTTTGTCATCTGTATGACTCAAGACTACCCAGTATCTCTGCCATGGCGACTCGTGAGACAGCTTGATCTGCAGCCACGTACCAGCCTCTAGGTTATTAATCTCAGGAGCATTGTTGGACTCGATGGAACAGTTGCTGAGCTGTTGTATTGTGAAGAGTTGATGCAACTTTTGCTTCTCAAAGTAAGAGAGACGTACAGCCAGAACCCATTTTCTCAACGACTTTTCATCCGACGTTTCAAATTGGATGCTGGTTGTTTTATTCTTAAGCGTGAATACATAGTGCAAATGACCTGTTTTATTGCCGTGCTCTTGAGAATTAACATTGTTGTTATTGACGTCCTCCGGTAGTATTTGAGCAGTAATGGTTGTATTGTCCGACAAATGGAAAAAGCATGCAGGCATGACGGAAGCTTCAAGCTCAGTAGGAGCTGTTGATTTAGTGTCCGTATTGTTTGAAGATTCAGCATCCCACATGGTAATCACAGATCCGCATAACTCTACAAACATCTTTGTTCGAGTCTTGCTTAATTGCTGATGTTTCCTAGCTTGTTCTTCTGTAAGACTGGTAGACATATGGTGCTTCATTAAGTAGCCTTCCATGTATAATTTTTGGCTGAAAATATCATAGAGGCGATTAAAGGAAGACAGGTGCTGGTGCTGCTGCTGCTGCTGCTGCTGATCATCTATATTATATCCAGGGCTACTCTCCTGGGATTGGGTCTTCATTGAAGAAGATGATGATGAGGTAACAGAATGATTTGTACTAAAGGTAATGGTGGGCGTAGGAGAGGAGGAGTTGGAGGGAGTTAAAGGGAATGGATGTGTTGGCGCTGAGGAGGAGGACATAATGGTTGTCGTTGGCAATTTCAAGAATCGAGAGGGCCGTCTACTTTTTAAAACTGAGAAAGGGGATGTTTGATGCTGGTTAGGATAAGCGATACCATGAATGGTACGTGTGCTCCTGTTACTACTAGCATCCGTAGTATTCATAGCAGTATCGGGAGAGTATTGAGTAACGACTACAGTTGGTGGGACTTTGAGAGCAGGATCTGATAACGAAGCCTGGGTCAATTTCGCTGGTTGAGGTAAAGCTGGTAGTTTTGAAAATGATTTCCTTTTCTTGTAATTGAGAAAATCGCCAGGTGATGACGCACGACGAAGAAACGGATTTTGGCTGGGCATTGTGTACTGTTTGTTTATTTGTTTTTTTGTTTCCTGTAAAACGTTTCTATAGTGCACTAGCTTCATAGTAAAATGGATTAGACATTACCATGTTTATGCAACTAATGGTATTTTGGACTTGCTTGTGTTACCTCTTCAATAGAAAGAATATGTTGTACGTGAACAATTTATATTGTTATCTGTAGTAGTATGTATATGTCCGGCAAGGTGCAGATAATTGTCAGGTTGAAGAGAGTATGCTATATCAATAAAGAATAGAAGAATAAATAAATAATGAAAAGGAGAAAAGGTGTAAAAAGAAAAAGAGAGGTCAAGTTACAGCAGGTTGAGGAACGACTTTATTTTTGGCACAAGCCTTCTAAATAAGAATTATTATACAAAAAGGAGCCAAAGGGAACAAAGAGAAAGAGAAAAAAAAAAAAAGTCAGGGCACTGACTAAAGACGAATTTAGTTTATTTCATTCAATAGGGGATATTGATCATGAAGCCATCGAATGTAGTTACTAATAATGCTATCAAGACCAATGATGATTAACCCAAAAAAAAAAAGCCAAAAAAGCAAGCTAGGGATAAGACAAATCCCTCACTCTACGAGCTATTTTGAACAAAATCAATCAAATCAGCTTCTCTCTCATTCTCATTAATAGAGGGGAGCTCAACAATGAATTAAGCTGGCTATTTTTAACTACACAATGAACACGCGCATATAATGCCCAAAACGTTGATAGCCCAGAGGTATGATACAGTGATTGCCTTTTACGTACGAAACAAACTACTGTGCAGAGAGGATAAAAGAGCTAGTGAGAGGAGAGCCCTTGTACAATAAGTAATACGCTGCATATCTGCAAATTGGATGTATGTAATGAAACAGGTCAGTGAACTCTCCTGAATTTTTATTGCTCTTTATCTCTACTGTCGTGGGCTTTTTTAGAAACCCAGAGGTCGAGAAGAATTGTTTCAGTAAATTTCTTCACGTTTGCTTCTTTAACTTTGATTACTCAGAATGAAAAAGAAATGGCTTTATACCTTTTGCAGAAAGTAATATTGCTCTTTATTGAAAGAACCTATTCTTCTCTTATTAAAAGATAATTTTATGTTTGTTTAACTTTTATGAAGCCCCAAAAATGCTTTTTTTTTTTCGACTACGTTGAACAGAAAATAGGAGCTCTCCATCTTTTTTTTTTTTTTTTTTTTTTTTGAACAGTTTGGTATTGTGATAAAAGAGAGTCATTTGTTGAGGCTTTTCATGACAGTGTAGGCAGACGCTATGGAACTTCCTTGCTGTGAGCAGGGAAAAGTTTTATTTGACAAGACAGAAAAAATGGGCGGGAGCTTGTGTAATTTGCCTCTTCAATACACATTTATACAGCCATCCAAGACATTCATTTCAACCTTTGATAAGGAGATCTTTTTGATAGCATCAGACCGGCATACATCACATAACATCGGCAAATATTGTTATTGTATTCTTTCCATTTTACTTACTACGCTACTTTTTTGCCATCAGTGTTTATTGGACGTGTAGGCAGCAAGCAAAACAGTTGGCCTTATGTACATCGAAGAAGAGAAAAAGATGCTATCTATAATAGTCGACAAGCCAGTATCGTAACACTCCTTAATGAACGTTATTAACTCTAAACGGAGGCCCCGCCATTTTTGTCCTTTTTATTCAGACTCTTTAACATCCTGCCCCCTCCCCCCACCCTTTTGTCTACCATTTCTTAAACTCTTACTATGGGCCGTTTTTCGCTAAGTGTTCTATATGGTAGAGTTAGCGAAACAATAACAGTTTAAAGAAGAATTGTAGAGGAATTCATCCTTTTTTCTTTTTTTTTTTTTGGCTTTTGAAGTTTATTGTAACGTAATGATCGTCTTACGAAAGGGCTCCCAAATTGCTGGGTATAGAAGAGCCATAAATCCCGTAAATATATATGCCTTCTTAGGAAAGGAGAGCGTGTATATGGCCTATAACACAGTAACGACGTGTCTGATACGGGTATAGCTGCAACAAACAAAGAAGAAGACCTGGGATGGGAGGATCTACAATATATTCTTTGTTACTTGTACCTGAAATAGTTGGCTTTCTTTTCTTGATCAGCGTACTGTCCGGTTTCCGTCGATCTTTTTTACCGAAAATATAGACTTTGTGTCATCGGGCATCAGAAAGGAGAAAAATTGACATTTGCAAAGTGAAAGCCTGAGTCGTAGGATGTTGAGAGTCGAACAGCAGAGGAGGCTTCCATTGATCATTTGAAGCCTCGTATTTAGGCTATACGTTGGGCATGTCTGTATCATCCCATGTCCTGTTTACGTTGACTGAATATAAAGAACAATAATCGTATAAAAAGAATGTAACTCTCTGAATAAATTCAAGAGGCATCTTTTCATCTCTCCTCTCATACTTTTGTTTATCGTAAGAGTACGCTTGCTCTATTCTTAGCTCTATTCGCGACACCTAGCAGAGCGAACAGTAATCCTCTGAATCTGTCTTTGGACAAATCAAAAAGAGCTAATGTCTTGTACAAAGCTACGAGGATCACAAAGTATTTGGATATTTTTGAAACTCGAAAGAAAAAAGCTGTCCGTTTTATTATTTTAGAGATAGAGTCTTGTTTAAATATTATTGAAGTTACATGGTTACATCTAATTCACTAGAAGATATCACGACACTAGGTTTAAAAACATAAAATCCTCTCGAACGCAGATATTGCTTGGAAAAAACCTCAAAAGAAAAATATAGAAAAAAGTGTCGTGTTATAACGGTGATTGAATATTATAGAGCATATAAAAGGAACATGACTCTCTGAATAGAATAAAGAATAATCCTCTTTTTCTCTTTACTAAAACTTTGTGTTTAGTATAAGATTACCCTTGTTTTATCGTTAGCTCAGTGCGCGACAAAAGAAACCATGACTTTTACTGCTCTATTAACCTCAAAAAGGAAACATTACTACGCGACGCTAGATTATTGCAACTCAAAAATTAAGGGCCGACACCGGGATTTGAACCCGGGATCTCGTGAATCCGAATCACGAAAGTTAACCACTCCTACACATCGGCTCCTTTTCACAAAAAAAAATTTTAGCTTGTAATACGGAAGATGAAAATATAAAATCACGTGATGTATCTGGTCGGATGCCCTATGAATGGACCGGTGAGAGGAAGCTTCAAGGCCTAGCAATGTTCCCCTTAGTTCAAGAGAGAATCACCCTCCTTGTGTATGCTTAAGTCGCCACTTTTCCTCCTTTTCCAATGGCAAGAGCTTATGAAAAAATAAAAACGTACTTTCTTTGTTTACCATCAAGTGATAGAGTAAAATACCTTTTTGAATGGTTTATTGATAGATTTATAACCAGTGTTTTAGTTGGAAAAAAAAAACCAACTGGGGATTTAACTCAATGTCTCCACTGGCATTCTAACGATTAAAAAGCATCTTTTAGATCAGTATGACAAAAGGGATGGGGGGGGAATTGGTTTGTTTAAGAATGACTTGAACGTCGAGCATCAATTTTACGCATATCAGGAACGCCTAATTCAGCTTTGGCATCGGATGCGAGTGGTAGCTGTGTTAGTCGATGAGTATTGTTATTGTTACTACCACTACTCCTGTTACTATCAACGGCAGCACCTGTCGATGTGTTTCGCACCTCAGTGAAAGTATGACTACTATGACTACTGATGATGTCGACACCGGCAGTAGAAGTTGATGGGAGGTCAACTCCTACTTTGGATGGTCCTTTTTGAGTTTTCGTTTGCTGAGATGTCAACAGCTCTCTCTCGTGACCTAGGGTAGAAGCTGACATTTCAGTGGATAGTTGTGGTTCTTGTTGTTGCTGATACGTGTCTCTACATTGATAAAATCCACATGTTTGCTTTGACCAGCCGGATCCACATCGCCAACAAAATTTAAATCCACAAAGTAAGCAATCGACTTTATTACATCCTTCGTCTCTTTCTATCATGATGGAACAATTTGGACATGGTTTTGTGTGATTTAATTTCCATTGCATATTGGATATTGTTTCTTGACTATCAAGTTGTTGTTGTTGCTGTTGTTGCTGTTGTTGCTGTTGTTGCTGTAGTTGACGGCGTAGATGGTTTAAACAGTTCCTCTCTTCAGGATGCGCGTGTTCACCACATTGCAAACAGAGGGTATTGTCACAGGTGGGGCATGTTTCCACTGGAAAAAGAGATATATGTTGAAATTGAAGCTGTTTCCAAAGTTCGGGTATAATCTCAAGAGAAATGAGTTGTTTGGAAACAGAGGAGGCAAGGAGGTAAAGGGTGTCATTTTGAGTGATGGCCATGTTCCTGAAAGCTGGTATAATGGATTGGTATAGCTCATAGACTTTGCCGCGTTGTGGTGGCACGGCTCTCGTGTTGGCTGAGTTTAGTGTCGCTGATGAATAGGTCAACGTGTTTTTGTGTACAGATTGACACAACGTCTGGAGGCTCTTGAGTGCTTCTTGTTCGGCTGGAGTGACCAACAAAGACAGTGTATCGATATCACGCAAGAGCTTTTCTATTTTTTCTGCCTTTGTTCCATTGTCCGTAGCTGATGTACGTGGTGAGGGACATGGCTCAACGGGGGACTGACATGTTGGACAGTAGCGTTGAAAGGGTCGATAGGGCTGATTGTACTTGTTGTATTTTTCGATGATTTCTTTGGAAACATAAATGCTCCATTCGGATTTCTTGATTTTTTCTTGACAGACTATGTAACAAAAACAAAGAGACGTTGAATTAGAGAAGGGGATGTGATCTAAAATGGAATAGCTGTCTTTTTTCTCTGTCAGTCCAACTTACCAGGACATTTGATATGAGTGACACCTAATCCCCAAGATTGATGGATCGTTTCTTCTATATATCTGCATGGGGAGGGATGAGTGACAAGGATGTTGATGTTTTTTCTTTTTCTTTTTTTTCTTTTTTTTTTCTTTCTGTTTTTCTTTTTTGTTTTTCGGTTTACATTTTTGCAATTTCGTGGGTTTACCTTGTAAAGCAATCTCTACAAAATTGATCTCTGCAAGCGTCCAGACAAAGGTTGTACATTTGATCGAGACAGATGGAACATCTTTGCAGCCAGAAATACATTTGGTTCATTTCATCTTCTACTATGTAATGATCATGCTGGTCGTCCTCATCATCATCATCAGAAGAAGAATGAGCCACTTTTGGTGCTGTGGACGAAGAAGAGAGTGTGAAGGAGGAAAAAAAGGAAGAAGTGGTGGTGGTGGTGGTGGTGGTTGTCTGTTTGTTGTTGCCTTGATGGTTTAAATAATGTTGTGAGATGATTGTCTTGTAAATCCATGATACGACAAAAGTGAATGTCCTTAGAAAGATAGCAGGCATAAATAATGTAGGATAAAAAAGATAAAAGAAAGGCAGACAATAACAAAAAATGAGATTGGCAATGTTGAATTTCTCAAACAAATAAGTAGCTGTGGTTTTGGACTTTCTATTGCTGTCGTTGGTAGTCATAACAAACTGTTCTAATCGACACTCTGAGGAAAGGGTAAAGGGCTGTATGAGTAGTTGATAGTTAATATAAGGGTATGGAAGAAAAAAGGGAGCAAAGAAAAAGGGGGGAGTGGTGAAGTGAGAGTGTCTGGTTCATTTCGCTCTTTTTTGTAATGAGAATTGGAATACCGCTTTAGCAGAAAAGAACAATGGTTAGCGTGTGGTGGTGGTATGCGTGTAGAGGGGTTAAACCAAAAACCCAAATCATGCAGACAATCCAGCAGCAACCATTTTCATTTGTTCCCCGCAATTTTTTCTTTTCTCACCTTGTCGTCATAATATTTTAAATGCCGACGAACAATTAAAAAAACTTTATAATGGGTAAAAAAAAGAATGAACAAATTAAAAAACCGATCCATTTTGAATTTGACAAAAAGGTCGACCAGGAGGCGGTCAAAAAGAAGAGATGTATGTTCACATAGTGCTTTTTCTTTTTTCTTTTCCAACAAAGCTAAAACCAAAAAAAAAAAAACCAGAGATTTGAAGGTAGGTGGTACAGCATAAATGTGGGTGTGTACACAAATATGCAATCACGACAGAAAAAAGGTAAGGGGGAGGGCAGCTCTTTCTTATTTTCATCATGTACAAATTAGGCAAAACGGGGGGGGTGGGCGGGGACGGATTTGAATATAATTTTCAAGAATAGATTACCACGACAATTTATCAATCATTTGAAAAGGGACGCTTGCTTTTATTTGCAAAATAAATACTGATGGTATAGGGCGTGTATCATATATACATTTACGGAATAGTTTTTTTGTTTTACATGTTTGCGTTTTTGTGTGTGTGTGTGTATGTGGGTGGGTGTGTGTGGGTGTGGGCGGGTGAATAAAACGTATATAAGCGAGTGGGGGGTGTTGCAAGGTATAAATAAAAAAAGATACGTACATATATATATATATATATGGTTATATATATGTATGAATACCAGAGAAATGGATGTATGTATATAATGTTATGTAGGCAGGTGCGTGCGTAGTAGGGAGATATGTACAATTTCTGTTGGTCGCGTGATATCATTTTGCACTAAAGTGATGCTAAATCCATTGATAAACGAATGTCTTCTTCTTGCTGTTTAGCGAATTCAGCATGATTTAAATTTAATAAAGAGTCATTTTCACATGATTCTGGGATAAAGCATGTCCTTGGTTGAAATTTTGTAAAATCCATGAAACTGGTATGCATGACATCGTTCATCTCCGTAGTGGTACTGTTGACAGTAGTAGTAGTAGTAGTAGTAGTAGCCGTTGTGTTGATGTTGCTATGGGTTGGAAAGACAACATCAATAAATTCATAGTCAGCAAATAAATCTTCATTGTGCTGAGGATGACATTTACGTTTTTTATGTTGCTGTTGCTGTAGCTGCTGTTGTTGTTGTTGTTGTGACTGTGGATAAGGGAGACAGTATTGACTATGATGAGTGGATGACGAGTAAATGCTCTCTAAATCATCGTATTCTTCCTCGTCTTCTGCACCAATCAGATCCGGAATCAGCTTTTTACTGTTGTTGCTTAGATCAGTCTCATCGTCCCAATCCAGTAACTCGTATATGGGAGTACTCAAGCCAAGGATATTCAGTAACTCAGCATCATCAATGACTGCGGTCATTGAATAATGAGAGTAGTAGTTTTCTTGCTCTTCTTGCTGTCGTTGCTGAGATTGACTGTCAATGGTAAGCATGGTTATGTATTATATAGAAATAAACTTTTCAACGCGAAAGATAGGAGAATAGATGAAGCCTTTTTTTTTTTGTGTGTGTGTGTTTCTGCAAAAAAAAAAATAAAGGTAAAATCGAAGAGAAAAGGCTTGTATTTATACAAGTTGGATTTTTTTTTTTTTTTTACCCCTTAATTTTGTTTTTTTGAAAAAGCGACCCGAAAGCGGAGTTGAATGATTTAATTATAAAAAATCCCAAAGTCGTTTTACCTTTAATTCTTTCGTGTCGCGTTTCGATAGTTACACGTACTATTTTTTTTAATTTTTTTTTTTTTGTTTATTCTCGTTCGTTCCCTTATTTTCGTGGTCGTTCCCGATAAGCGTGTTACAAACGAAGGAACTGCCAATCGAGACTTTTTAACAATCAAGTGCGCTTGACTTTTGAAAATAGAAAACTTTTCTTTTTTTTTTTTTTTTTTTTTTTTTTTTTTTTCTTTCATTGTTTCGTACGCCCCTCATTCATGATTCGTTGGGAAATAATTATGGAGGGAAAAAGGGACCAGGATCGACTTTAAATATAGCAATTTTCTTTTGTATGCCATCGTTTCTTCTTGAATCGCTCAGGTATTTGAAGTATTTGAAGGTTATTAATAATTAGGGAGGGGGGGGAAAAAAAGTTGATCTGACCACTTTAAAATAAGTTAGGAGTGGCTTGTTGTTGTACGTGGAGGAAAAAAAAAAAAAAAAAAAAAGAAAGTTCTTCTTGATTGACAATATCATATGATATTTCATAATGCTTCTTGTATATAATCTATTTCATGTGTGAGCCAAATAAACAAGTAGAAGCAGACAAGGAAAAAGGTAAGGGATAGACTGCTGCATATGGTTTTTCTAAATGATAACGTAAGGGGAGACATCCATTTAAGCATGTTCCAAAATAGATGGCGCATCCTTTGTCTTTTTTTCACGCCAAGCAGACATATCCTATGCGGTGTATAAAATAAAGCTACTACCTCCCTAATCTCAATAAATCGAGCTAAGCTCTTTTTTATCATTTATGGGAAACTGTAGAGTCGGGAAGTCAAGGAGGATTTAAAGGAAAGCTCCGTATTTTCATTATGCAGAGAGTAACCCCGGTATCCAATCATTAGCTTATTTATTATAACATGGGGCGAGGGAGTATTTGATTCTATTTTGAAGTGTAAACTAGACTCTCTCTCTCGTCTGTCAAACAATGGAAACTAAAAATCATTCGATCCCAATTTCGGCCGATTGTGTGTGTGTGCTTATAATGGACCATTGTACACATTATGATTGGCCAACGTAGCAAAGAAAAAAAAAAATAGATTGTGTTTTTGTCAACAAAAAAAAAAGAGTCAACTCTAAAGGAGTTCCAACTCATTGTTCAACACACACACACACAATACACACACAAATGTCATTATTCACTATCGGATAGGTTTGTTTGTAAGACACATTCATTCACACAACGATGAGTGGTATAATAATGATTCAAGGGCACACCTACTTCTACATCACAAGATCCGTATTTGTTGTTATTGTGAACCGTTTCTGTCATGATTGCTGTGCTTCGTCATTATGCTTGTCACATGAGTCTCACTCATTTGCCATTTGTCTGTACAGGGAAAACAATAAACGATCTGCAAGTGGTTTACGCTGATTATGTAAGTACGAAGGGTGGACAAAGAAAAAAAATTAAAAAAAAACCGCTAAAAACCACACATGTGATCGTTTGATAGAATACGTCCTTTGTATCGTTGTTTTCTTTTGCTAGTCTTAATAGACGAAAAAGTCACAGGGTACCCCTCCTACAGTAGAAAACAGTTTTTAGCTAAACAACAGCTGCTAAAGTTACTGCATTGGGATGATCTATGTGAGGCATAGGGTTTATTCATATATAAACCTATTTGCAAAGATACTAAAAATAAAAAGTGGGGGCAAGCAAGCTCATTTTTTCTCTTTCACCTTGATACCCGATAGCTTCTTCTATCAAGGTTCTTCTTTACTTATTTATGACTATAAGGGGGGGAGGGCCCTGTTTCTAAAAGAAAGAGAACAGCTTAGCCGTCTTTTTTATTTCATATTATGGGTCTTTTCTACAATGTCACTGTTACATAAGCTTATGGATGAGTTATCACTTTTTCGTGCCACGACAATAAAAAGAGGCGACCCTCTCCTCCTCAAGCCAGCCGCCAACATGTTTTGCTACGACCTTTTCCTCTCACCCAGCGTGCTAGATGACACACAACGCATTCCATTCTGGTTTAGAACACCCTTGCAGAGAGGTAAGGCACAAAAGCGTCCAGGAAGGTTGGATTCGCCACAAGAACTCTTTCTTATAGACTATCCACCCTACGGACGGGGCAGAGAGACGCCGAATGTTTTGCTACGACTTTTTCATGGAATGCATACGGGGGTGGGTGGGAAGAGGGGAGAGAGAGAGAGAGAGAGAGCGAGCCAAGATTGACCTGCTTGCTTCCCGAGAGAGAGAAGGGAATAACCGCAAAACAGATCCACCGCTTCACGCGCGTGCGCTTCTGGGGCTGAGAAGGGGCCTTCACACTAGACAATCGTATCCACCTGAGAGACAGGTGGTGCGGGGGCGGAAAGGCAGGAGATAGATGGTACCGGCCCCACCTTCTTGACCAGCCAATGCCCACAGCGCAGGATGTTTTGCTACGACTTTTTCTTTTATGTTACGAAAAGAAAACAAAAAAGTCCAGCGGCGCCATCTTTGGAAGGAGATGGCGCGACCTTTCACAGTAGCCGAGAGACCAGACAGGGAGAAGAAAGAGAAAGAACAGGAAGAGAGACAGAGAGAGAGAGAGAGAGAGAGAGAGACAGCATTGGTTTCAAGTCACAAAGCTGATATACAACACCATGGATGATTAATAAGAATGGTTAGCTCCAAGAGATTTATTGTTGACTTGATTAATCTAGGTCATGCATTGATATACTATACCCAGCACAAGAAACAAAAGCTAGCATTCAAGCTGTCATCAACCGACATCCGACGAGCCATGGCCTTGACCTACAAAACCTTTGACAGAACTATTTGACCATGCAACAGATCGACCCATCGGTCAAAAACTTTTTTCATCACCATCCAATGACAACTATCCTTCAACTACAGATGATGGAGTCAACCATCTTTGTTGAAACTCCAGCCAAAAAGGAAAGCCTTTGCATATCCTTGCAGACAGCGAAGGCTGCAAAAAGAAGGCAAAAGAAGTGGAAAAATAAAAGAGTAAAGAAAAAAGGACAGAATTTCAACAAAAACTGATTTTTTTCGGCAAGTTCCTTTTTTTTTTTTTTTTTCTCCAAGCACTCGGCAAATAAGTTTTCATGACTCTTCCTTTTAGCTAGCCCGTGAATGCACGCACTATCATTTGTTTATCACACATCTCGTCGACGTGATGCTTTACGGAAAACGAAAACATAAAATAGATCTGTCAAGCTGAATCACTGTTTTCGAGCCCACTTATGCAACTACCGCTTTCAAAGAGCAGGGTATGCCATGTATACTGCCAGTATCCTTTCACCCTTTGTATGTTGACATGTCAGAGCGGAATTCCAAAAAAGAAACGATCTTTCCTCCATGTGAGCATGACAAAATAAAGGCACTTCAGGGCTTGCTGGGATGAGAGGACGATTTTTATTTTCCCCTGTATTTTAACAATGTTCAAGCTTGGTCCATTCACAAAACAATTAGTGAGCCATGCAGACAGAGGCATTCAGCAACCATTAAAAGTAGATGACTTTTTTTTTTTTTTTTTTTTTTTGTTCGTTTTGCCAATGATGTTTAATTTCTTTCTGACTTGAATGGTGGGGCAAAAAAAATAAAATAAAATCCAAAGGTCGCATCACGTTTTCCTCGTGTTTGCTATACAAAGCAGATAGTACCCAAGAGATATTTGACAGTTTCTTCTGCAAGCAAATCAAGTGCAAAAGCGAATAAAAGTAGAGATATTCAAACGCAACCCAAAGTAAGAAAGGAAAAGGTCTCTTGGATAGAGAAGGTTTCCATCCTGATATTTTCTTTTGTGGATAGACTTTTACATGGAAATCAGCGGTGGTATTAGCTATGACAGCAGCAGGTCTTTTAGTTTACTTTAAGCATGAAAAAGAAAGAATGTTACTCGAGAAAGCCAAACGACAAAGAGAAAAGATCAAGGCACTCGGCAAGCCAAACATTGGATGTCAGCCTTTTGAGTTATACAACGTCAATACAGAGAGACGTATCACCTCGGACCAACTATTACAGGGCTCGTTTTCGTTACTGTATTTTGGCTTTACGCATTGTCCCGATATCTGTCCTGAGGAATTAGACAAGATGGTCGAAGTGATGGAGGCGATAAAAAACGAACAGGCACACCACCAAGAACAACCCAAAAAGAAAAAGACAGCAGCCACAGCGGCTCATCGTTTACAGGGCATCTTTATTACTTGTGACCCATTACGAGACACAGCAGACGTAGTGAAAGAATATGTGAACGACTTTCATCCGGATCTCATCGGTCTTACCGGCTCTGCAGAAGAGCTGAAGAAGGTGGCGCGTTCTTACCGTGTCTATTCTTATGTTCCGCCCAACGTCACAGTAAAAGACGATTATCTCGTTGACCACTCTATCTTTATCTATCTTATGGATCCGCAAGGTCAGTTTGTGGATTGTTATTCAAGAGATACAACATCAGAGGAAATCATCGACAGTGTCAAAGACTACATGCAAGATTACAACAGCTTTAATAAAGAATAAAGCACACATAAAGTCCAAAAAAAAAGAAAAAAAAAATTCATTGAGGTATATCGTATATGTATAGATAGATATATATATATATGTATTTATGTATGTATGTTATTGTTTCGATGAGCCTTCATCTGGTTGTTTTGCTCAGCAAAAAAAAGAAAAAGAGGTGTGGGGGATATGTTGGTGGAGGTATTTCCTTTGGATCTCAGTTACAAAAGAACGTGTGCGGCTGCAGTGCTGGTCTGAGGAGTGGCGACGGCCGTTAACGTAGTGGTTGTGAAACTCGTGGCTGATGTCATAACACTAGTATTGCCATCGTCCACGTATCGATCACTGTTCTCACTGCTATGACTCACTGGACGGGCGAGATGTTTAGCTCTATGGTATTGATGGTAATATTGGTAATAGGTGCCTAGCGTGTTACTTCTACAAAGACTAGGTTTATGACGCTGATTGACGCATCCAGCGTCATCAGTACTCTTTCTACCGCTAGTGATAAGAGTCGATTTCGATTTGTTGATTTGTGATCTTGGAGGTGGAGATAATGAGGATGATAAAAGATGGTCCAAATCGTGGTTATCATTTTTGTCATAATAATACTGTTCTTTCAATATATCTACTAAATGGTTTTACATGAGATAGGTCATAGAGTTAAATGAAAAAGACATAAAAGCGTTAGTACGAAAGTCCTTCTCTTTTGCTTCCTTCCCTCCCCCCCCCAAAAAAAATGACATGATCATTACATAATAGAATCTACCTTTATTATAACTACCATTGCTGGTGTTGTTGTTGTTGTTGTTGTTCTTCAATTCAATTGAAGAAAAATAGCTTCTTGGCGTTGTGTTGGATAGGGGCGGTGTTTTCGTACAAGATGAGATATAACTGCTGTGCCTTTTTTTGAAATGGCTCTTATCTTTTTGCATGTTGGATGGTTCTTGTTTTATCTCGACCAGAGGATCTATATCTTTGATGTCTGTTGCTGTCAAACTACTACTACAAGGATTCGTTGTGGTTGTGGTTGTCGTAGTGTTCAGCTTTGTTTTGATTTTCTTTGAAATAAAAGTAGAGAATCTCTTCAGCTTTTGTGTCAGCTTTTTACCATTGCTGTTTCTACTGCTGCTACTACTACTATAGCTATCTGTTTCATAGTTTGACATTAGGGTTTTGCTGTAACTCAAGATAAAAGGGTATAAGATCAAGGAAAGTTGTTTGAATGAAAAAGGAGTATAAGAAAGAGAGAGAGAGAGAGAGAGAGAGTGAGAAAGAAAGGATGTGATGCTTTTTCTTTTCTTTTTTTAAACATTTTAAAAGTCTAGGTAATGAAAAAAAAAGGGGGTTACAGCACAGATCATGTTCAAAATAAGAAATGCCTCTTTTTTTTTTTTTTTTTGGTCTATTGATATTCATAGGAAAAAGCTTTCAAAAAGAATGATTATTGGTTTAAACTTGATCGTTGCCTCAAGTGTTGGTAACGAGTCTATACTAAAAATTATAAATCCTTTCTTCAAAAAGATAGGATGGCGGTAGTTTAAAATGCCGCCATAGTTTGAAAAAAATAGACCAACGCATGATTGGAGAGATAAAAATGATGTGGGATTGATTGAGGTTTAGTTGGTGGCTAAAACGGGTGAATGGTATTCCAAGGTCTATGTGTGTATGTATAGATTGCTTGTCTATCTGCCGAGATGATTCTTTACTCTTCCTCATCATTATTCTATTACATATGATTACATGACTGTCTATCTATAGTATCCATATTTTCCAAAATGATGCGACAGTATACAAAGAACAAAAGATGGGGTCTACAATGGTCAAACATATGAAAATGCCGCTATTTTTAATCAAGAATTTCGCTGAAAAAACTATAATACAAGGTTATCTAACATGTTTCTTTTGCACGGGTCGCATGGGTTGGAAAAAGGGGAGGGTAAAAACCACATTAAAGATCTTCCATTTCAATATCAAGGGCTGCTGATGCTATCGTCGTCGTTCTGCCTCCTTTCTTTCCATTGTCTGTTGGTCCTAAGCCTGCTGCTCTATCCGCCTGATGAAAAGATGTCTAGTGAGCCAATGGAAAAATCCAGCCACGAAAAAATGAAAGAAACTAACCTCTTCTTGTGTATAAGGCTCTTCCTGTAGCTTCTTGAGTCTTCTTTTATGTAGTTTACTCTTTAAATGTTCTTTATAATGGTCATCTGTAATAAAATGTCGGCTATAGGTCCGTCGAAATATAGATTATACACACATGTGCGATTAAAACCGGATTCAAAATCCATAGAAATCTCCATTCCGTTCTACTTACGCACACTCCACACAATAATGCTGACCTAAACCCGGTAGATCTGTATCAATTTCTTTATGTTTTATCTTTTCGACGTTCTCTGGTTTTAAATCGTCATGGATCTGATCAAGATCTCTTGTATAGGCTCTTGTACGCTGTTTACGATAATTATCTCTAATGCCGTGATGTGTTCTCTTACGACGAAGTCTACAAGTCATTAACGTTAGCACTGAAAATAAATAGACTTGCATGTTATACTGAGCAATCGACATGTACCTGCCCATGATGTATTCGCTTGCGTTATAATGGCAGTTTGCAAAAAAAAAAAAGGCAGATCACTTTTTTTCTATTTTATGGGAAAAAAAAAGGCTTGGTGGCTGAGAATAGACTTTTCCTGGCCAGCATCAATCAACATGCTGGGTCCAACACGTTTTTTATTTTATTTTTTGTTCCTCTTCTCCCAACTCCACTTTTTTTCTTTTGCATAAAAAGTAATGAAAAGATCTCGCGATGTACAAATTGATGAAAAGATAGAATTTAGCAGTTTAATTCAACATCCACATATTTTACAAGGACTCAAAAATGCCGGCTATCAACAACCCTCACCTGTGCAGCTGAAAGCCATCCCTCTTGGACGTTTAGGCCTCGATTTGATTGCTCAGGCCAAGTCCGGAACTGGCAAAACCGTCGTTTTCAGCGTAATTGCTCTTGAAGCCGTCCAAACCAGTGTGAAAGCTCCACAAGTGTTGGTACTTGCGCCTACACGTGAAATAGCTGTTCAAATTCGTGATGTGCTACGTCAAATAGGTTCAGCCATGTCCACTTCTTCGTCGACGACAACAAACGCCTTTCGTTGCGAAGCCGTCATTGGCGGAGTAGCCAATCCATCCATGGCCGATGTTCAAGTGATTGTAGGCACGCCAGGAAGAGTGATGCGTCTGATGAATGATAAAAAATTACCTACCTCTCGCATCAAGTTGTTGGTGTTGGATGAGGCAGATAAATTAATGTCGGATAATTTTCCTGAACAAGTGGATTACATTGTATCGAACCTGCCCCCGATGCGGCAATCGGTAGCATTTTCAGCGACCTTTACAGACGATTTATTGATACAGTTAAAAAAGTATGTGCCGAAAAGCCCACACATCATTCAATTGACAGAAGGCGTACCGACATTGCAAGGTAACGTCCGTCAATCATTTTTCTTTCTCCCCCTCGCCCAAGTTTTTTTCCTGTGAACTGAACATCCCTCTCCTCCTTTCCTTTTCTTCGTCGTTTAGAGGTCCAGCAATATTATGTTGAATTACCCTTTGAGAATGAAGTAGGCCCCACAGATGAATCGTCAGATAGGCGTCGTTCGGCTGCCGACACGTTGATGATGTATAAAAAAAAGTTTGAACAAATAGAACACTTGCTCGGCAAAATATCGTTTTATCAATGCATGATTTTTGTCAACACGGTGCCGCGAGCCATGGATCTAGAGAATTGGTTGAATGATATGGGTTGGAAGACTGGATTTATACACGCTGGATTGACACAGGAAAAACGATTAGCAGTGATGGAACGGATGAGAGACTTTAAATTGAGAATTTTGGTGTGCAGTGATTTGGTAATGTAGAAAAAAAATAGCTAGTTCATTGTTGGGCCCATCCTAATGACTCACTGGATGGACCACTACCTCATATATATATATACAGATTGCACGGGGCATTGATATTGATAGAGTCAACTTGGTGATCAATGTAGAATTTCCACGGGATATTGATACCTATCTACATAGGGTAGGGCGAACAGGGAGATATGGTAAATATAACCCAAGTCAGGAGTTGTTGTTTGGGAGAAAGCATATCCACTTATTTCATTTTTTTGTATAGGGACATCGGGCATTGCTATTAGTTTGGTATGTGGATCGAATGACGTTGATTTTCTGGAAAAGTTAAAAAAAGAGCAGATTACTATCACGCCGTTACCTGGTAAAGGAAGGGAAAAGAGATATATCAACCCAGAGCTTGCTATTCACCGTTTTCTTTGGAATAGACAAGGTGTCGTATACTGAGTATAAGAAACTATTGTCGGAAAATGAACAAGCGTCATTATTGAAGCATGAATCGCAGAAGATTGAGGTAAGTGTATTAGAGCGGGTATTGCTCCTCCCCCCCCCCGCCCCCTTTTTCTGATGAACTTACCTCTTTTAAACACCCTCCCAGTCCAAGCCAATCAAATGGAAGCGCCATCCTAACAAAATTCAACATGAGGGTGATACAAGTGTCGATCTGACAAACAAAAGCAAACAAGGTTCAGGGGTCGACAGAAAGAAAAAAAAGCTTAGTTCAGACCAACCTTATTCTTTTGACAGGCAAACTGACAATAATGAGCCCATTCATGGTTATAATTCCCCTAGAGGACTTACACACCCTTTTTATGCCCGACCACCACACTCCTCGTTACCATCGCAACCACAACCACAACCACAACCGCAACCACAACAGCAGCAGCAGGCTTCGTCATCGTTGTCATGGAAACCATTCATTCCTCCCGACTTGTTCTTCTAGAAATGCCCAAACGAGAGAGAACAGCCCAAAAAAAAAGGCGGGAAAACGGCTTGAAAGAAGGAGGTAAAAAACAAAAACAAAACTACAACCACTTTATCTATTGGCGGCATAAACGTCTTTTATGGCATTTGAAAAAGAGAGTTTACCAGTGCACTCAACTCTATAGAAGGAGAGGGAAAAAAGGACATGCAGATGCATTCAGAAGACTTTTTTTCTAAAAAAAAAAAAAAAAAATAGATAGATTGCTGGATATACAATTATACTTTATGTATAGAGGAATGCAGGTGCTATATTACTTTTACAAAAGATGTACATGGCTAGACATATATTTTATATTCTATACCCACCCACTCCAACATGCATAACAACCTTGCATAGTGCACAAGATAAAAGTAATGTTGGGGGGAATAAACGAGATGACATTATTTGTTTTATTCTTCTTTTGTAAAAGAGGGAAAGTATATAGAGAGAGAGTGAGTGAGTGACTGAGAGAATGAGTGAGCATTGAGAGAGTGAGAGAGAACGCAGGCCGGCCGATTTCTTTCTTTTTTTCTGTTGAAACATATAAAGATAAGCGATGATGATAGATGTTGATTCAGGCATAAGTTAAATAAAAAAAAAAAAAGAGTTGAAAAGTAAAGGGGAAAGAAGCATACATAAAATTATACATACAAAAAAATAGAAAACAAACACGCAAAATATATACATAGAAAAAAGATCGGAAAGGGAAAGTGTCGTTCTGTATAAAATATAGTATGAAAGGAGCATAAGATCAAAGGAATTGTTCATTTGGTTTTTGCTTGATCTGTTGATTTGTTATACACCATTTGAAAATAAAATACGAAAAAGTCCTTTTTCCTTTTCTTTTTTTTTATAAGGCTGGAGTCGTGGTGGGTTTGGCAGTGAGTAGCGTGTTGGACGGTAACAAGTTGAAATAAGCATCAAAGTTGAGTTCTGTTGGTGAGTGTTGTGTCTGTTGCGGTTGCAGTTGTGGGTCTACAAAAATAGGCTCGGAAAAGCGACGGAAAAGCTCAAGATGGTGGTTGTTGTTATTGTTATTATTATTATTGTTGTTGTTGTTGTTGTTGTTGTTGTTATTTTGAATGGACGTAGTAGTGGTGATCGGAGATGTAGGGGTCGATAAATGTACATGACTGCTATGGACGGCAGATGTAGGATGGTTGTAAGGATAGCAATAAGCGGGTGGTGAGGATTGCTGTTGTTGCTGTTGCTGTGAAGGATAGGAATATCGACGTTGATCAAAGAGAAGAGGTTGCTGATGGCTTATGAGCCGTTTCATGTAGTGATGACTGATCGATGGCTCCATAGCCAACGTAGGGCTTATACTATGTTGACGAGGTTGTTGCTGTTGCTGCTTGTAATAATAATAGTGCTGATGTTGCTCTAAAGAGCTGGGTGTGACAGGCGTCATCAACAACTCTTCTTCATCTGCCACCGTGGTAGTCGTAGATGCATCGCTATTCAAGAAAGGAGGGTAAGACAAAGTGCGACTCATGGGTGCGGCCGTAGCATGGATGGCATGAGCGCTGGTCGTCGTTGTATAACACTCATGACAAGCACAAGGAACAGAGTAAACGGGCGATGAAGGGAAGTACAGGATCGATTCATTATCTCCTGCTATACCACCCACTGTACCGGTGTCCACTGGAGTCATCGCCATATGATGAGGCGATAAAACAGGACTGTGGTTACCTTTCCAGTGCTGTTGTGGACTGAATGGAGAATAGCCTGCGGGGCTCTTTTTCTCATTAAAAGGAGTCGTCGCTGTCGTCGTCGTCGTCGTAGCCATGAATGGCTGAAGACTTGATGGTAAAAGCAAACTCACTTTCTGTTCATTTTGTTGGTTGCCTCCTTTCAATGAGTCGTCCCTTGGGTTTTCTTCTGATGTGACATGTGGTGTTGGGGTTGCTGCTGCTGCTGCTGATTGCTTTTTTTTAGAATATTCCTTCTGTTTATTGGCTTTATCTTTGGCTCTGCGATTTTGAAACCAAACCTGAACTCCACGAGGTGTCATCACCAAAGTTTCAGCGAGCCATCGACGTACTGCTGCATTAGGCTTTGGGTTTCCAAGAAAAGCGGACTCCAATACCTTAAATTGAGCGCGTGAGGTACGGCGACGATGTTTGATCTCGAAGGGATTGTAAAAGGAAGTCTTGAATTTCTCGGTCGTCGTAACCGTTGTGTTTGTTGTGGCAGCTTTCTTGGTGTGGTTCCACTCTTCTTCCGCTAGCTGATGAGTATAAGGCACACCGCCGTTCAATGCTGCCATATTCCTTGTTAGATGCTGCTGCTGCTGCTGTTGGTTAGTCATTGTATTAAGCATTGTTGTTTGTTTGTAATTATACAGTGGTTAAAAAAAAAAGGAAAGTGTCTGTGTGTATATGTCTGTGTGGTTTTTTTTGTTTTGTTTTTTTTTTCGTGGAAACAAATATAGATATGTGTATTAATATGTAACAGATAGATGAAAAGAATCCTTTAGAGATTGAAAAAGAAAAAAAAAAAATAAGGTCAAAATAGAAATCGAGAATGATCGCCTAAAGCCGCTTTTATATGACGACGTTGCAAAAAAAAAAAATGCGGAGAGATAGCAACGATAAGGAAAAGCGAAAAAATAGACAGTGTAATGAATTAAGGGATTTTCGGCAGGAGACAAAATGATGATGTTTTAAGCGGGGAGAATAGACAGGGAGGACAAAAAACCTAGCGACATATGTAGCAAGTGAATAAGGGGTGTGTTCATAACCAGTAATATAAAGTTTAGAAGGGAGTGTAGGGATTATCAACCCCATTTAAACCATTCACACTTACACACACACACACACACATACACACACTTGTCATCCGATAGACTTTGATAATCCGCCTCAATACAAAGACAATCATATAATATGATAGTTAGATAGCATAGATCAGATAGGCTGTTGATCCGTACGTATCTTTAGAGAATATTCAATACGATCAGCCTTTAGTATTTCGTTATAAGATCAATCTGCTAAAGAAACAGAATTCCTTATCGAGATTATGATTTTGAGACAACACCAAGAAGGGTTCTGCGTTTGCAAGTACGTAATACAGCAAAAAAGAAGAGAAAGGAAACTTTTTTGATTTAATGCGCTATGAGTAAGGGGGGCAGTTGTTACTGATGCAAAAGCTTTATACATACGAGAGCGATAGCGAACGATAGGAACGGGGAGAGTAACCTAGTGGATAGAACGCGCGTCGAAAGAAAGCATCTTGAATTAAAATGGCATTTACAATACTTTAACCACGCGTTAAAATGCTGTAAAGTTGAAGAGTTGCCTCCATGTTGTACACAAACACCATTTCTCAGTCTCTATCTTACTTACACTTACACACAATTAAAGGAATTGATCGGCAAAGCATTCAACTATTTTAAATTCAGAAAAATGTGATTTTTAAAGGGAAAAAAAAAATTTCGAAGGGGATGGAGTCATTTGTTGATCTAACACTTAAGGACCGCTCATTTGAACAACAGAACAAAAAACCGTCTTAGAGATTATGGAGAACATTTTTAAAGCATCTTTGAAATTTTATTTTCATCATCTAACGCACATCTTGCATAAATGAGCAAAGGGGGAGGGGCCCTTTACCATTTTATGTGGGCTTATAATGAAATAAATGAAAAAAAGGAAATAAGAAAAAAAAAAAAAAATAGAGGTATGAAATGGTTTCTATTAAACGTGTTTCATCTATCTTGCTTCTTTGCAGAAGTTCAGTTATTCGTAACTTTTTTTTTTTTCAATGGTCAACATCACGGGTCTGGTACACGCTCAACCGTGGCAGTATGATTCGGGTGTAACATTGACTCTTTTCGTCCGTCTGTTTTTTGCACTGATTCAATGAGTGAATAGCTCCATACGCCTTGATGTAGAACTCAGTAAGTGTGCTCTGTAGTGGTTAAGAATGGCAAATAATAGCTCAATAACTTGGGTTGACAGTTACCATCGAGTATGAGATTCACTTTCAAAAGAGAATGCACTGAACACATATACTTTTCGGTGCAACCAAAAAAGAGAAAAAAAACCAAATCGGTGATATGTCTTGAAAAGAGATTCAGGGGCAACATGTTGGGAACTTCAACATATGACGTGATAAAGCTGTACCTTTTTACGGGAAGGTTGAGAACCATCTACGGATGCAATAACAGAACATCATAGAACAAAAAGAGAAGAAAACGACAAATTTGATCCCTTTCTCTATGGCTGATCTTGAAAAAACTTGTTTGTATCGATCGGGTTGAAAGATCTCTGTCTAATGAATTTCATAAGAGAGAAACGTGTACTCATCAAAATCACTATCATAAAAAAATGAATTTCACAATTTACATATAAAGAAATGCGTCTTCTATTGATAAAAGCAGCCATTCTTTTTAGCATTTCCGTTTTCCCCTAGAATGTTTTTTAAATTACGTACCTCCATAGATTGCATGTTAAGTGGGCAACGCTGTAAATAGCATCAACAACAAGAGTCTATCTCCCTCTATCTTCTATTTATTTCCAGATTTTCGGCTTTCGTACCTTTGCGGTTAATGCTGTATCACTCGAAAATGCATAACATCATCATTCTACTGCTGCTTAGCTTCGAGAATTCGCAATGTCTATGAGCACCCGTTGTCTTGGTCCTGATGGACACGAGTTCTTTATATAATCAAGAACAGCCAGAAAGCGGCGGCATTAATTAGAATAGCCTCCAGATGGGCCCTTTAATCACTTTAGCATATATTAGAATGATGAATCTGAGCTCATTATCTTTACTGAGTTTCCGTTTTGTGGGTAAGAGCTTCTTTCCAACACCCACTTTTGTCTTGATACTTTGGCCATAATCTTGTATTCCAGGACTTATAAGACCTGTGAAAACACATCGAATAATAATACAACTGAGTGGTTTGACGGCTAAGTCAACTTAGACCAGATACCTTTTGAGAATTCATTTTTATAGAGCATGAAATTCAGGGACAGGAAAAGTCTAAAAACATGACATTTAAATTCCAGACCAGCATTATCGACACATTGCAATTTATCAAAAATATGTGGATTCCGAGTTTAACAATACAAATGTTGAGACGCAGTTGTGAAAAGACTACAATATTGACGAGATAAAGAGTAATCATCTTTAGTTTAGCTAGGTGTACATAAAACATATTAAAGGAAGAAGCCGGGATACCAAAGGAGCCAGAAAGGGTCATTGTTGTATGCTCGTGCTTCTTTTTTCCCAAATGTGTGTGTGTGTGTGTTTTATGCTGCTTCTATGAGACGTTTCATATTAGTTTTGAGAATAAGACCAAACAATGATAAATTCAGTTTTCGGCCGGCCGAAGCGAAGCCTTTGTCGAAAACAGTTGATCTAATTACGGTAAGCTTATTTGTATCGTAAGGTACACAAGATAATCAGAGCCTCGATTTATCGTGTTTCGATAAGTAGGTTTAAAAGACAACTACTACTTGTTCCAGTGTTTCCATTGGACAATAAAGTTGATCTTCTGACGCTTAAAAGACTTAATCTACTGATCACTAGCTTTGAATTGATGTTGTACACTTGGTTGTTATTGAGACAGGAAACGCGTTTAAAATGGAAAGGGCTCGAATAGAAAGAAAAAGTATGATAGGGAAAGGATACGCTAATTATCCCTACATAGTTTTGCTCCAGTATTTTTCTCATCCTCGCTCTCCCTTTCTCTTCTATATTTCTTCATTTTATCTCTGGATACGACTTATCTTCTTATTGATGCCTAGGTTTGCCTTTCTGGAAAGCATGTTTCCAACAACCGCCGCCTCTATGGGCTATCCAAACACGAGGAGCAGTAGAAGCAGAAGTACAACAACAATAGCAACAGCTTCTACGGTTCTTTTGAGTGATAGTAACAGTGAGAACACTGCCACTGCTGCTGATAGTTCGTATTCTTCAACAGCTACTCAAGAAATCGACGTCAATGATCCAAAAGCGGTACTTGTCAGTAACCAGCAGGAAGAAGAGAAAATAAAGGAAACGGCATTGCCGAAACACCAGTTATTTTTACTGTCCATTGTTTTGGTTTGTGAACCCATCACAGCATCTATTTTGTTTCCTTTCATATACTTTATGGTAATCAATAGAACAATTCTTTTTCGTATGCTTAATTTTGACTAAACTAACGTGATGGGGATGGGGTTTTTTTTTTTTTTGTTTGCATAATGGATAGTTGCGAGATTTCCGTTTATCAGATGATGAAAAGGAAATTGGTTCTTATGCTGGATGGATCAGTAAGTGTTTCATTGATATATGGCAGATTGTTTCTCCCTCTCTACCCTCGAGCTATCACCGAGCATTGACAATGTTTTCTTTTTGGCTGTTTCAATTTATTAGCCTCCATGTTCTTTGTAGCTCAATTTTGCACATCTTTACTGTGGGGCAAACTTTCTGATCGATTTGGTAGACGACCTGTCTTATTGATTGGACTCATGGGAAATACCATCTGTTCATGTTTATTCGGCCTGAGCAAGAATTTGATATGGGCAATCTCATCACGTACTCTGTGTGGAATCATGAATGGAAATATGGGTGTGGCTAGAACAGCTGTTACAGAAATCACGGATGAAACGAATCGAACGAAAGCGTTCTCACTGTTTGGTTTGTGCTATGGATTAGGATTGATAGGTAATTGTCATTTCTTTTCATGCAATCTTCTAGATGTGTTATTTTTCATAATATTCCCTTTTTCTGGTACAAACACCTGTTGCGAATGACATTTACGTTAGTGGGTAAGATTCTAAAAGCGCTAGTTCAAATTTGCTTTTAAGTGTATCCCAAATCAATTAGCAACATCTGATTGATCATATCAATATTATTTTTCTTTTGTTGTTTGAATAATATGAAACTCAACCTTATTGATTATACGCCACTTTCTCAATGATGGCATAGGCCCTGTACTAGGTAAGAATTACACAAAACCGTAATGTGTCTCTTTTTTTTTGTGTCTACGACTCATTGGCTCTCTCCATTAAAATGTTGCTCCTCCACCATAGGTGGTTATTTGAGCAACCCTGTGGATCATTTCCCAAATATGTTTGGTCATAACCAATTCCTCAAGAATTATCCGTATTTCCTGCCATGCTTTGCAGCAGCAAGTATCTCGTTTGTGGGACTTCTCGTCTGCTACAAGTACTTGAACGAAAGCAGCCCTTATGTTTTAGCAAACAATGAATGCCAACAGCGAACGGAACGAGTATTGGCTGCAACCGAGACAACGCCCTTGTTGAATCAGAAGCTGAGCTTTACAAAAAGTCAAACAGCTTCTTCTGGCTCACTTAAAAATGTACCCAGAGCATCTTATATCACTATTCTTGGATTCACGTAAGGCTCACAAAAGCATCCTGCAATCCATATATACCAGACGAATGTCGAGGACTCATTTGTTGATTTGTACTATCTTTAGCGTCTTTACCTTTCATACTTTACTCTTTGACGAAGTGTTACCACTTTATTTTACAGCACCTTTTTCTGCTGGTGGATTAGGCTTAACGACGCGAGAATTTGCTAGTATACTGACCAGCTTTGGCATATTACAACTTGTCTTTTTGTCATTCATTTATCCGAGGTTAGCCAAATACTTTAATACGCTGATGCTGTGTCGTCTGGCATGTGTTTTACTGGTGATAGCGTATATGCTTTTTCCAGACTTGACCTTTATAAGGAAACTATCTGCTGTCATTAAAGAGCCATTCACCAGCAACAACAATGATGAATCGTGGTTGTTTACTGCGTCCTATGCTAGCTTGTTGACAGTTCGCTTTATAGCACATATAACTATTCACACTACTTTCAGTATAATGGTAACCTATTCTATTGTGCTCAGGTTTGCGTTTGATATTGTTATTTAACATAGAGATTGTAAACATTAGGTGAGCATATCAGCGCCTCCAGAGTTGATCGGTGTAGTTAATGGGTAAGCTGAACATCTTAAACAGGCAGTATCAAAAGGGAGCCTTTGTAATATTCATGCCAGACTGCATTATAAAATAGGGTCGTATCATCTGCATTGTCCTTAGGTCGAGCAATCAGTAAGCAGACAGAAAAAACGAGAATAACGAAATAAGCCAAGCAGCTTTTCAAAATGTTTCAACTCACAACACGATACTTTTTGTTGAATAGGTCCGACTTTTGGTGGTATGGTATGGTCTTATTCTTTACAGAAAGGCCAGGGATACCCATTTGATCATCATCTTGTCTATTATATCATTGCCGGAATGGCGTTGTTTAACGTTATACACAGTTACTATATTCCCGCGTCACTAGCATTAGGGGGCCAACGACGTCAAAAATCAACGTCAAATCTGATTTGATTTGCTCCACATAATAAAGACAAGTCCAAACAAATTCTTTCTTCTATTCGATCTGACTTCCACACAAAGTGTGTGTATTAAAATATATTCGATATCAACTCCATGTTGCCTCCTATGGCTTTTTTAATATTTACATTCACCCGTTTTTACTATTTTTGCCCATTCAAATCCTCAAGCGCAATAGGCTTTTGTTTGTGTTGCAAACAATCAGTTCAAAGGTGGAATTTTATTGGAAATTGTAATCTTTGCATTTTTATATCTATGCTTTGGTTTTTGTTCCCTACAACCTACCATCATGTCCTTTGTTTGTTATTCAGGTAACAGTGCAGAGAAGAATTCCATTTCAATTTTTCAGATGAGACAAAAATGGCAGCTATTATAAGACCAGGTAATAACTCGCTGGCGACTCCCAAGAGAACAGTTGTGGATTTAAGCTTTGAAGAAACGATAACGCGGGAATGTGAAAGAGCTCAGAACTCTTCACTTAAAAATCATTATGTAACCAAGGACAACAAAAACAATCACAGTAGTAGAATGAGCGACGAAGAGAGAGCTGATATGGAAGACGGAACCCCAACCCCATTACCTAAAATGCAATTGTTTTTGATTTCTATTGTCATGCTTTGCGAACCCATCACAAGTTCGATATTGTTTCCTTTTATCTACTTTATGGTAAGTTCAGGTTTTTTTCTTTCAATCTCAAAAATGCTACTACATAAATCAAGACTAAAAAGTAATGCTCCTTTCCTCGAAATTTGCTGGCATGTTGGAAGCTGAAAGATTTTCATTTATCAGACGATGAAAAGGAAATAGGATACTATGCAGGATGGATTGGTATTGTTACAGCATGAAGGGAATGTGCGTTTAAAAAAACTTAGGCACTAATAACCCTTTTGATGTTGTATATATACTATAAAGCATCTATGTTTTTTGTAGCCCAATTCTTCACGGCTGTCCAATGGGGAAGAATATCTGATAAATACGGCAAGCGACCAGTGATTCTTATTGGTCTTCTAGGCAATGCCGTATCATCATGCTTATTTGGATTAAGCAAGAATTTATATTGGGCTATTGCTTCTCGTACCCTGTGTGGTATGATGAACGGCAACACAGGGGTAGCAAGAACTGTTGTTAGCGAAATTACGGATAACACCAACAAAGCTCGAGCTTTCTCGCTATTTGGTTTGAATTGGGGCGTTGGCATGATTAGTAAGTTCTCTATCGATCATTCTTTGATATCAAGTTATTGTGATGTGCCAGCAGGGTTCTCACTAGGATTTTTATCACTCTTATCGTAGTTGGTAGGTCCTTTGTAAACAGCATTACCACATCTTTTGAACTAATAAACAATACTTCCTGAATTAAATTCACGTTATCACCAGGTCCTGCGCTGGGTAAGTGATTAATGAGGGTAGATGATATTGAAAGGAATTCAATGATTTTAAGTATTGAGAAGATGTATTAAACTGATCATTATATTTGAACAACAGGCGGCTATCTTTTGCGTCCAGCAGATAACTACCCTGGTGTTTTCGGCCATTGGCAATTCTTCATTAATTACCCTTATTTTTTACCTTGTTTCGTAGCTGGTCTTTTTTCCCTGATAACTTTTACCATCAGTTATTTTTTTCTGGAAGAGACTGGCCCCATTATCAAAAAAGAAAATCCGTCGGATAGCGACAATGAGGCAACGCCCCTTTTGAAGAATAGTAAAAGTCCTGTAGGCGTAAGAATCGGCCTAGATAATAAAAAGGCTTCAGCAAGTGCATCTGGATTTGGTTCTTTGCGCGCTATACCTAGGACAGCAATCTATGTTATTATAGGTTCAGCGTAAATCTATCATCAATATTTGTTTTGGAAAGACGAAAACATCACTGAACTTAATTGTCCATATAGTATGTATTCAACGCAATCCATGATTTTCAATGAAGCATTACCACTCTACTCAACCGCGCCTCCATATGCTGGCGGTTTGGGTCTGACATCTCGTGAACTAGCCAATATGCTGACGTTCTTTGGGCTTTTTCAAATATTTTTTCAATTTGCCATATACCCTGCATTAACCGCACGTTTCAATACAGTCGTTCTGTGTCGAATAGCTTACGTCGGATTCATTATAGCGTACATACTGCTCCCTGAACTCACCTTGCTGAAGTTATCCATACTTCTACAGCAACAAGTAGAAGGGTTTCAAGCGCCATGGGTTTTGACACTTTGTTACGGATTCCTATTACTGATTCGATTCACAGCAGCGACAATCGTCGTCACAGGATTTACAATCATGGTAATTAGATATACTTTGTGGAAAAATTCTTCTACTTAGATGGAGTGTTATTCATCTCAAGGTTTATATTTTTAGGTAAGTATGTCCGCCCCTCCTGAAATACTCGGTACCGTAAACGGGTGAAGTATAAAAAAGAAAAAAGAAAAAGATCGAGGCGTTTGCGATTTAATCGTGAGAGTAATTAATAATTTGTGGCTGTTACTTTCCGTGATTTTAATATAGTGTCAATGTGGCAGTAGTGTCCCTATCAAGAGCTTTCGGTAAGCGTCGTCTTCTATTGTGTATATTTTACAGTTACAAAAAGCTAATTTTATATTTATGCTCACGTAGGACCTACGTTTGGAGGCAGCGTTTGGTCCTTCTCGTTAAAAGAAGGAAATATATACCCATTTGACCACCACTTACTCTTTTACATTATGATTTGTATGATTTTCGTCGATTTGATTCAGACATATTTCCTTCCTGAACACATAGCCTTGGGAGGCCGAAAACGAAGAGCATGATAGATATTGTGACAATAGATACAGCAATACTATTGTATTCTTATAGATTTGTAGAGTTTGACACTCATTTATAAAAAAATGAAATTTTTGCCAGTTCTAAACTATTGATACACGGACGGGCTGAAAATTGTATACAGCACAACCGGTCGTTTTTATTATGAGTGCATACTTTTTCTTCAGGCAATGTATTCTGGTACTCAACCATGAAAGTGCAATGTCAAAGCCATCACAACTTTATCATCAGGTGTTGTTATTTAATGGTACTACATGCATATATCATCACTTGTCCAGAATAGACTCTGTAACACTCAGATAACAAAGAACTGTTTCAGCTTTAATCCGTCGATGCGCATTTGTCAATAGACAGGTTCGGTCATGATTAGTATAAATTGATTTTCTTCTTCTTATACCGGTACTTTTACTTGTGTTTTTTATTTATTTTTTTCTCTAGTTTATCATTTTGATAAGGTTAAGAACTCGTTCCCTGCTTTCCTTTGCTTTCGCTTCGAAAAAATAGAATGACTTTTGTAGAACGTATCTTTTATGTGTCGAGCCCTACACCTACTGCCAACGAGCGAACTGTCAGCAGTAGAAATGTTACGGTGACTAGCTACAACTCAATCGAAAAAGAAGAAGAGATGGTCTGCGATCATTTGGGTAATAGCAGCAGTGACAGGCAACATTTACAAGGTTCACTTTTACCGTTGGGACGAGCAATCTTTTTGAGCTCTTTCCTGTTATTGCTTGAGACGATATCCTTCACTTTTTTAGTGACTATGGACAAATCGACATTCACCCTAGTGAAAGCTATTATGGGCTCGATCTGCTTATTTTTCGCGAGTCAGTTCCTTACTACAGCTATTATTTTCAGGAAGACCGCCTCTACTGACTTGCATAGAATTAATAACAAAGTGTTATTGTTTGGACTTATTGCGGCGAATGCGTTGATGCAATGCTTGCTGATATTTCTGACAATGAAGGATATTGTTGTGAATGAAAGGATTTTTGAGTGGATTGTGATACCAGGATTATTTCTTTGTAGCAGCGCTATGAACGGATCCATAACTATTATTTTAGCATTGTTGTTTCAAACATCAACAGATTTTCGCTTTACGAGTTGAAAACTGAAAATCGAGGATGCAGTATAGTCGAGGTTAATTTCAGAGCATATCAGCACGCTTAAACACTTTGGATCCCGCAAGGCAATGTTCTCGATTCAACCACTGGACTGTAGATCTAATCAATTTCAGTCTGTCATCACTCACTTTAGTAACTTTCCCTCTATAACAAATCAAAATAAAGCGAAAACGAACAATCTCATTCATACTCTTGTGGTTCGTACTCAAGTTGTCCTTTTTTAAAGTTATTTATCGTTATTAGTAATGGAGAGATTCAATTATTGCTATAAGTTTGATCACTTTAAATTGTGCGTAATTTATAGAATGCTTCGTAAAGAAGTTATTACCAATGTGAAAGCAAAAAGATGATATAAAATGTTCATCAAACCTATGGCTCCCTTTGATAAATTGTTTGGCATATCTTAATCAACAAATTATTTTGGTTATAAAAAAAGGTCATTAATCGTACCAAAGGTTAAAAGATAATGTGCCAGCTATACAAAAATGCACTTCTATGTCGAAGTGCTTGACGGAATATTCGACAGAATAAGAGCTGCCAATCCCTTATCATGCGTTCTAAAAGAAATGTAGAATGTTAGAGTTTTGTCGATTCAATTGTTTGTAGCGTGAAGATATTTATATACACAAATAGTGGTTCCTCCTATTAGCGCTTATGTAGCTGCTGGCACAGCACGTTTATTGTACTCTTTAAGAATAATTGGTTCTATAACAAAATTTGAGTAGCTTTACATTATAATGCGCTACCTGCACTTGTAAGTTGTAAAGAGCATTATTTGCTCGAACAAACAATGACAATTCTCGTTTTGCACAGATAAAGGAAGCTTTTTCTCAATCAAGGCAACCAACCTTCTGCATGAATGAGCTGGCAAAAATTAAAAATACTCAGCTTAATGTGACGTTCAACCTACAGAGCCGAAAAAGGTGCAAACCTTTTGTTTTCTATTTTTTTTTTTTTTTTTTTCATTCAGTTGCTCTCCTTTTTCCTAAAACTACCAAAGTTGAACATGAGTCAATTACCGAGTGAATTGAGAGAAGGGCATTTAAAGGAAGCTACAAAAGTGTTCAAAACGATAGCACCGACAACGCTAACAACTACAAGAGCTCAGAATACTCCAGTAATTACTGCTGCTACCGCTGCTACTACAACGAATACACAGCCTTTGCAGAAAAATGTGCCTGCATTTTTGAATAAACTGTATAGGTAACAGTTATATGTGGGAACATGCATGTATAATCAAAGTAAAATATAATTGACTAATTCATTGGTATAGTATGGTCAATGATCCAGAGTCGGATGACCTTATTTGCTGGGCAGATGATGGTCTGTCATTCTTTGTAAATCGACAAGAAGATTTCGCTCGAAAAGTTTTGCCACGTTTTTTTAAGCATAACAAATTTTCCTCCTTCGTTCGACAACTCAATATGTACGGTTTCCATAAAGTGCCTCATTTGCAGCAAGGCGTGTTAGAGACAGATAATGAATCCGAACGCTGGGAATTCAGCAATCCTCACTTTCAACGCAATCAACCGGATTTACTGTTATTAGTGACCCGGAAAAAGGGACCCACATCATCCTCCGGTAATGGCGGCCATGATGGAGAGAAGGAAATTTCGAGCTTAGATTTACAACATATTTTAGAAGAAATACAATCCATAAAGAAACACCAGCTCAATATATCGACACAATTACAAAATATTCAAAGAGATAATCAAGTGTTATGGAATGAAACTATACAAGCGAGAGAGCGACATCTGCGTCACCAAGAAACAATCGACAAGATTTTAAGGTTTTTGGCATCAGTTTTTTCAAATGGTGAAAAGAGACATGCTATACCGAGGAAGAGAAGATATTTGTTAGAGTCTGGACATGCTTCTGGTCAGAATGGCAATATAGAAGAGGAACTTATGTCGCAACCACAAGATGAGATTCTAAGTACTACCGGTAGTATTGATAATAATATCAGTAATACTAGCAGCGATAGTAACCGACCAACGAAAGTGCCACGTAGACAACAGCCGTCGGCTACTAGTAGCTCGGCATCAACTACTTTCAATATTGATGACTTCGTCAATGGTAGGAGTGACCCAAGTCAACTTAGCACAGCATTGCCATCTCATGTGAATCAGAACGCCTTATCTTCCACCGGTTCTTCTGATCTAGCCGATGCTATTGCCTTGAACAATCAAGCAAAAAATGGTAGGTGCTAATTTTAGTCATTGTTTACAACAGTAATTGCAATCTAATAAGTCTTACCTATTTTATGCAGAAAACCCGACCTTAACAACAATTCCTGATCTCTCAAACATTGCTAATTTGAATGTATCCAGTATACCACAATTACAAAGTCTACAAAGCTTAATTACTCTCGCGCAAGCTAATCCTAATTTATTGAACCAATTAACGATGGATTCTCTCTTTTCAATGCCACCTAACTCACCGACAACACAACCAAAACAATCATCAAATGTTAGTTTAACTCAATCTCAAGCGATAGCACAACCGACTACATCGATTAGTACCATAAATTCAAATTTATCAACTCCAACGAGCACGATAACTTCTGTCCCTAATGCTTCTAACGATAACACTATTAATACCAACACAAGTAATTCACAGCAAATTGTATTACCGCCTATATCTGCAGCAACTATTCATCCCGCTACGTCTACTTCTACAACAAACGATCAACTTATACACTATGGTGCACCAGCAACTCCTTCATTGAATCAAGTCACTAATAATCTTTCAAGTATTGCCAGTTCAGCGGAATCTATCAATCAGGATATTGATGAACTGGGACTCAGCTTGCAAGCATTAGCAGAACATCTGGGTTTTGACCCTTCAAAACTCATAACTGAAGGAGATTCGGTTGCCACGAATTCAATAGCGAATGCTGATACAGGAGACCTAATTGATATGGACGACTTTTTAAACGCTTATGGTATGCTAACTTTTTCCATTATTGGCTGTTGATGACACCGTACTTAAGTTTTTCTTTTTTTTTTTTTATTTGGGGTTGATGGAAACTCTAGGTTCTGATATACCTGATATGACTTCAACTGCCGATACACCAGCTACTCCATTATCTGCAGCAACAGATACAGCAAAAGTGACAACAACCAATAGCACTTCGTCAGCGACACAAACACCAAGTATGCCTAGATCTCCGAGTCCAGCTGTTGCTGGTAACAATCTTTCGTAGATACACGATAGAAAAAGTCTTCTCTATAAAGAATAGTTGGCACAATTTGTTTTCTTTAAGGTTGGGCTCCTTTTTTTGGATTATGGTCATGCTCCCACATGTCACCATTTTAAGAATAGCTCGTAATTGTAAGCTTTCTTTTTAGCTACTATTACTGTTCGCTTTATTTCTAACAATATCTCTTTCATGTTGTTGACCGTTTTATTGTTATGTCGTGACTTTCCCAGGTCTATTCGATTAAAATTAAAAAATGTACCTGATCTTCTCAATTTCTTTTGTTTCAAGAGATGACTGAAGACTGTAAGATTGTAGCGTTTGTAAATAGATCGGATAAAGGTACAACGTAGCATCTCAAGTTCTGTGTCTAGCGTGACAGATCATTTAAGAAAACTCTTGAATTCTCGTTACAATTTTCAGATGTCGATAATTTGAAGGAATTGTACTTGCCTAATCCACGTTCAAGCATAAGATCGGTATATCTTTACAACGATAAAGGAAGACTCTACGAAGTTCAAAAGGTATCTAATGGAAGATCGTCTTGGCTTTTAGACAGTCATTTATACAAAGGTTCGATTCACACTTAAGTAAAAATACTCGTACAATTTGTCATCGATCTGAAAATTGATCTCATTCTTGCAACAAAGATGGAGGCGTTCGTTTTATAACGCCCGTGGATCCTTTGCTCATAGCTCTGCCTATTTTTCAGAATGCATTTCAGCAGGACAAGAATGAGTTCAAAACACTTGATGATATACTTTGTCGCCAAAATGTGAAGATTGATTATCCCGAATTAGACGAAGATTTGACACCAGAGATATTAGAACAGAAGCGGGCACAACCATTGGATGTTCATCGTTTAATTAATATTTCTGGGTTCATTGAACAGCTAGCACATATCTGCGATATGCAAGGTAGACTTCACAGCTTGCTTATTGACCAACTGTTTGTGTATTAATGCTAAGTGTAACGAATTCTGTCAATAAGAAATCGCACCCGCTTTCTTTGCATACAGATTAAATGAAAAATCAGTGCTTACCTGGCTCGAGAAGAAAGTAGATAGATTATTGAATAATCCAACATTCAAGGCTTACTTTACTGAAAATGAAGATGAGAACACCGTCAAATTGGAAGCTGTGTACACATTATCAAATTATTTGAACAGACAATGGTTCGAAAAGCTTTTGGACAAATTACAGTAAGTATATTATTCATGAGAGCTATTATTAGCTGTCCCTAATGTTTACATTCTACAGATTGAAAGACGTGCAAGATAGTAATAGTATGGAGGATATCACTAATTATGTCACTGACGCCTCACCATCCAGTTTCTTTAAACGAACGCACCCGGACGAAGTCGAAACAAAATCTGTGAAGGTAAAATATTATAGAATAAAAAACCCATAAGATTTTTAACATGTATTATGGCCTTACCTATAGAAAAAGAGACCCGATGTTCCTCGAAGTTTAGCAAAGGTTAATACAAGTGGAATGAAATCAATCACATCTTTCTTCGCAAAAAAGCAATAGTCGGCAATCTTCTTTTTAATTATAATTTTGACATTCGCATTAATTGTATACCTGTATGAATATATAAACGCGCTTACCAAAGTGTATCGTATTATGCTTACACACTCTGCTAGATTTGAGCTTTTTTTTTTCTGATTTTCTATTGCCACCAGTCGAAATGTATATTCGTACAACTTCCATTGATACAAGCGCCCTACAAGGGTGCTGTGATAATCTGCGAGCGTCACCTAATTTATATCCCTTATCTTTAACTGCTTCATCATTTTTCGCTTTCTTTCCATACACACTTGTACAGCTTCCTCTTGTAGATTCTTCATATAGTTTTGGACTTTAACTGTACTTCTATGTTTCTTTTTCTAGTTCGGCAGCAATGTAATTATATCGAGGTTTTGGCCAAGTAGCTAAAGTCCTTAGTTGATATATATAACGTAGCATCGCCGTTAAGGTCAATCAATATTTAATAAAACTATATAATATAATATCTGAAATTTGTATCCAAATCATAAATTCTATCCTTTTTAGAAAAAGATGTCCACACAAGAAATATAAAATATAATGTAATCAATGTTTGTTTGTATACACATACTCGTATTGAATCATTATTACACTCTAATTGTACAACCATTTGCATCAAATTTCCCTTTAAAGCTTTTCAACATTACATCGAATTAATATCTATTTAGTCTTCCTGAGTATTCGTCTTTTCATCTATGAATGACTCAATTAGCAATATCTGGTATTTCATGCAGGTATCCATACAGTTTCTATTAACCTTTTTCCCAAAATTTCAATGTTTTGGTTTTGGCTTCAAAAACTGTTCGTGTTTGGATTAGGTCATCTTCATGTAAACTTCTACTTGATGCAGTTTCTGAGTGAAGTACTCGCTTTTGTAATCCTAAGTAATGTTGCTGTTCAAGTAGATATTTCATGGTAGCTTCGCCAAAAATAATGAGTCTGAGGTCAGGTTTATAGTGCAAAAGTTGGAATCACTACCTACCAGATTAGGCTGAGGCTAATATTAGCGAAAGCCGCAATTTTTTCAATTTTCTTGATTAGAGATGCACCCCGTATTTTCCCATAACTCCGATCTTCGGGCCATCCGACCATCACCAAGAGTTACTTTTGATCACGTGGACGCAACTTTAGCTATAATAACTACAATTAGTTTGTGTTTTTTTAAAACTATTACGTTTGCGGTGCTTTTGCGTGGAAGGTTTGTGTTAAAATAAGTAGTAAATGTTATATACGTAAACGTATATAACGGTAAATTGATATAATTTGAGAGTAAGTAAACAAAATATGTTTCTATCGAAAAGTAAATATAAGAAATTTAACTGGTTTGATCTTCTTATATTATGAATAAACTAACTATAAATGATTGATCGTGTAAAAATGTAGATCAATACTAAAAGAATCAATAAAAAAAAATATAAACTAATCAAAACGAAGAAAACAAATCAAAATCCTGAAATATAATATAAAACTTGAAATTAACAAAATTCCAATAATCAAAATAAAATGTTTATAGTAAAATATGAATGCCCAAAAGAAGAGAGAGTTCCTAATATCAAGTTATGAATAGAATTTATACTAAAATTAATATGTATATCGATGTATGTAATTATGTAAGTGACATTTAAAGTCCGTATTAAATATTTGTCTTCAATAGTGTACGTGATTTTGTGCCGGACTGCTGAGTTACTCCGGGTCGAACTTGTCAATTCGGAAGGCGAATTCTTACAATCTTTTACGCTACGCATCAAACCAACAAGATTTCGTGGTGTAGTCGGTTATCACGCCTGTCTAACACACAGGCGGTCCCCGGTTCGAATCCGGGCGAAATCATTTTTTTGTTCTCTTTATAAGTGGAAACGTCTCATGCTCTATAGTGTCTTGCTCGTTTATAATGGAGCTGACTGCTGTCGTGCCTACTAGGATAGCTTTATTAAATTCTTATTTTCTATTTTTACTATTAGGATCCTATTTTTTAACAGAGAGGAAAAAAGTTTGACGTTCATCTTTATTTCATATTCACTTGTCTTTTATACCATTATATTGTTACATAAGGTTACTAATTAGTATCACCTATTTTAGGACAAGACACTGCTATGGCTTTAAGTATACTTGGTTATTTGTGAGAAATAATGGCCTGGAAGCAGTTTGACCTGATAGGGAAAATCAATTAGAGAGTAGTGAACATTAGTAGAGTATATCTACTTCCCACTATACTGGTGTAAAATGAATATAAAGTATCAAGTTGATTACTTCTGGGAATGTAGCGATTAGACTATTAAGTATAACGTCATTATTTTGAGAAGTGATATAGAGGAGTTGAAAGCAGTAGTAGGTAAATTTCCAAATTGTATTAACAGTATTATGCAACTATATCAGATGTGAAAACCTAATGGAGATAACAGCAAGTATCACTCAAGATTATCGCATAAACACATTAGAAAAGGAAAAATCACAGCTAATACTGAGTAGGTAGGCACATACAACTTGTCAATTTTAAATTTTATATTGGGCAAGAAGTAATTCTCTTTTTCAAAAAGGGCTGGTGAACACAATGATACGTCTTAATGTGGTAGTATACAAAACGGCTTATTTATTACTCGCGTTGAAAATCAATGTACCAAGACTATTTTGCTCCACATCGGTATCATTCTTTGGTTGCTCTTCGAAGAGGCTTTCCCACTGACTTTTGGGAACAATAGCACCAAATAATAACGTTAGGTAAGTTCCAAGCTGGCGATGAGACAATAAAAAAAACCACTGAGCTACTTTATTTAATTGCACATGCATTTATTATTCATCTTACCTTGTCCAATTCGCGTACTATATCTTCGAGAACCATAATATATGCGTAGTAGAATAAGCATATGTTGTCTTTCTCTAATACTTGTTGTGAACGAACGACAGGTAGTTGTCTTAATTGAATAACCAATGATTCCCATGCCTTTCTCGCCGGTGGTAGGTAAGGAGGCAACGGTGTTTTTAATCGCATAGCGGAAGCTAACATATACAAATATAACAAGATGTTTCCCACCATTTCCCTCCTTTCCATTTTTACTGGCATTATGAAATCATTTTGCACTTGTTCATACCATTCCTCTTTGAGAATGACTATCCGCATTGTCGTGAGTTTATCTGTCAAGTTGTGTAAGGATCCAAGAATATCGCTATAAGTAGAAACTGGGAATGCGCCTTTCAGACGAGGTTCATTAGGTGTCTGATTCAACAGCTCGCGTAAATCGAGCAAACTACGCTGAAGACCTAACTCAAGCTCGACAAACATTTGTGCTGTCTGCTGCTGTTGTTCGTTTACTGTAAGGATGGACGCTGGCACATTCCTGTCGCCTTGTTGCTGCTGCGTCTGCTCATCCAAATCAAGAGTGGCTGACGATAATAGCGGTTTCGAATAAATGCGAACCAATTTCTGATAGAGCCATGCTAATCGTAATAAGAAATCGGAGACACCTTTGCGCAATTCCACCCTAGCCTCATAAGGCCACACATAAGCAGTCATAAATAAGCCGAGAATGACACCCACCAGAATAGCTAAACATCTTTGTAATGCTAAATGGGTTACTTCCACACGATTTGTTTCCCGATCATTGTATTTATTCAACATGACCAAGTTGTAAGCCAGTAAAGTGAACTGACCAAATTTGCCATGTTTGTGGTGCAATATGATCCAGAAATTGGGAAGGGAAAAAAGCCAGGTACCTACAATAAGGACGTACATGTTACCTGGGAATACTAGATAAAGGCACATGGCGGCAAAACAGCCCAGTATCGTAGAAAATATACGATAGACAGCAACAAGATTAGTACCACCTACAGTAGGAGTCATGACTACCATCAACTATGTGTCATTGATCAACATAAATGGAGCAATATTAAAAGTATGCCCTACATTTTCATGGTATTTTGGCCCATTCTGTATTACCGTAATGAGTGCCCATTCCATTCGCCACTCACGGAACCATTCTCCTGTGGATTCCCGAAAAGCAGGTAATGCCAACAAAACAGCACCTAAAGTAGCTTTTGTTGCATATCTGAACTTTTGTAGTTTAAATAGAGAAAAGGCTTGCCAAACACGTAAGATCATTCTTCTCCATTTTGTTTTAGGCACAGGTGTATGCAAGGTGTTCATTTTATGGCGTTCGTTAGGCTTAAATAGAGCAACTTTTCTTTTTTTTCTGACTTCGGCAGTGGAGCTGGTTCTCTTTCTTCTCAACTGCTTCCAAACCCATTTGAAGAAGCAGGGAGCTTTTTGCTGTTTCTTTTGGTGCAAGTTTTGAACAGACTCGACCAAGGAGATAAGTTCCTTTGCAAATTCTATCATGTTGAATACAAAGAAATAAGCCAAGAAGGCGTTGTCATTAGGATTATGAAAGTAGGAATAGTCTTCCAACGGGCTCAACAAGTGGTTGTTGTCTTTTTTTTCCTGCTGTTGAGTATCAGGAAGAGGAAGATGATGATGATGATGTTTTCGACGATGTTTGTTCAATCGCTTGACCGCTTGTCGTTGCGAAACTTCGAAGAGCGCAATGGCTTTAACTAAATTATCTCTCAAGGTGTGAAAGTCAGGTCTAATTCTATTATTCCTTTGCCCACTATGATTGTCAGAAAATCCGCTCTGCAAATGAATGATGGTTTGCTTGCAGGTATAAGCAAGCGATTTCAAAGGCTGATGAATGGTGTGAATAAACTCAATGAGTACACCTTCCTCTGCTTCATTGTCTTTTCTGTCAACTTCAATACTGTTCGTGTCGCCCCGTTTGGTGTCATCATGAGTGAAGCTTTTCGATGAATGTTGTTGTAAGTTTTTTTGGCGTTTTAACTCTCCTTCAAACTTACGGCGATGATGATCGGGTCTAATGTGCCAAGTTTGAGCCTTCTTTTTTCCCTTTCCAGTCATGGAAGGGATATCTTGACGCATCAGCAGTAGTTCAAACTGAAGCCCACAACTACTTCTTAAGCCATCCACCGATTGGGCCAACCGTTGCATACTTTTAACGACAGCATCAAACTCATTGGAGCATTCTCTCATATCTGCGTTCCAAATAACCTCCAGCTTTGCTTCTTTCAACGATTTTTGCAAAGAGGTGAAGCTGGCTCGATGAGAATCAATGGCCGTCTTTAGCGAATCATTGGCTTTGAATTCAGGTACGTCCTCATCCAGTAAGAATGTTTTTGTCAGCAGTTTGAGAAGAACCTTGTAAGACATTAGTGTGGCCTCGAGATCTTTTCTATACATCATCATCAAGAGAGAAAGTTTAGGTTACAAAGTTTATTCCCAATGAATAAAAAAATAAGGAGCTTACTTTAATTTTTTACTTGCTGAAGTTGGCCAAAAAAGAACACAACACAAAATGGTTATCAAAGTACCTGTCGCCACAGCAGACACGATCTGTTGAATTCGTGTCGTATTGAACTCACCCTTATTGGCCGAACCTTCTCTCACGACAATAATAAATAGGATGATGAAACATAAACTGGAGGCTAAAAATTGTAGAAAAGGCCATTTATGGCAGTCGTTGAGGCACAAATAGTGAGCGATAAACATTCGATGACAGAAAAAGAAAAACTAGATTGTTATACAAATTTTTTGATGGATTGCGCCTTACCAGTAGCTACGGGCGGTTTATTCCAATGGGCCTTTAAAAAGGCGATAACAAATGTTGCACCGGTCAACCAAACACCAAGCGATACAGCATGTGCTATGGTGAGCATATCACGATCAATGAAAAAATCTGTTGTCAGCATGGATCCAAAGCAAATCAGCAAAGCGAAAAGCACATATCCCCAGCCATAGATAGCTGCTTCCACCATTCCTCCTAATGACTTGGCAGGATTAAAAAATACCGTAGCTGTAGCTACCAAATGACTCGATACACGATTATTGCCGATCATGACATTCAATAGGGGGACAAAAGTAAACAGACTACCCAACATGTAGGCAAAACTGCATTTCAAAACAAGCTGCTGTTTTGGCGTGAAGGAGAGGCACCAAACAAAGGCACGTTTTACGCGACTGATAAAAGATGTCTTGAATGAGTCTGTTTCGATGCTTTTCTTTTTTAGTAATGGTAATGACATAGCGCTATCACGTTCGCTGGTGGTATCTTCCTCTTCAGCACCATCATGTGTTGAAGAAGAGTCATAGGCGATGCTGGCATAAGATTTCTTTTTTTTTCCCAACAACAAAGGGGTCTTTGTGTTTGAAAGGGAGCTATTCGTATCTTTGAAGCTACGTACAACGTTTCATTAGCAGATCTTGTTTAACATTCGCTCCGACCTATCACCCAAATGCTACTGACTACCTTTCATGGTGGCATTTCTCACTTTTTATAGGATGTTGTTGTGCATAGAGTTCGTCTTCGTCTTCGTCGTTCGTTACTGCTCCGCTGTGATGATGATCTTCGGTCCTATTTTGATCCAATATGGGAAGAGTTGAAAGTGACACTGTTCGTTTCTGTAATGTGCCGTCGTCCAGCACAACACCAAAGACACTATACAAAGAGGGCGATCCGGTGGTGGTCGGTAGAGATGTGCCTAACAAGTTCTCATAACCACCTCCAACAGTGAAGCTCACTGCTGAAGCAGTGCTGTCCATGGTCGTGCTGAAATAATTGGTGGTAGCTAAACTACTGCTCTGCTGAGTGTAAGAAAGCATCGATGTATGTGTGTTTGTAGAGGAACAAGGTATCGGTGTAGCATTCCAAGGAAGTCTCTTATGGGTATTCGAGTCTGGTGTCGCGTCATCCGCCATGATAAGGATGATTGATAAGTCGCAGTAATAAGTAGATAAGAAACAGAAACAGAGAGGGAAAAAAAAAAAAAAGAAAAGAGAAACGATGCGTTGCACTTGATACAGAACAAAATACAAAAAAAAGGAAAGATGACAGGAAAACCTTGATTTGTGTAAAAAAGGGGGAGGAGGTACTAAATAGACCGTTTCAAATGCTTTGTATTCCCTTTCTTTAATCATCCATAGCCCATCCGACTTTCCATCTCAAAACTTAAAAGCCTTTTGTCAACTTTCCAAACAGTTAATGCTCAAGCAAGAAGATAAGCTGAAATACTTGACAAGTGCATCTTGGAAAAAAAAAAGAATAAAAAAAATGGGTTCGACATTGAATCCTTTCTTTTTTTTTTTATATGTTTTTTTTTTGTGCTTTCTCTTTAATCGTCAGTAGTGTGTATAAATAATAGGCTGGGCAGCATAAGTGAACAAATGGGATTAGCTATTGGTTAATTTTCTTTTGTTATCGTCTCTTCCTTCTCTAATGTCTAGCGGGCATCTTGATGTTATCAAAGGCTTCACGTTCGACACGCTCGGCTGCAACTTCGTCAATGTAGGGTTGAAGATATCTAGTATCCTATAACATTCCAGAAAATACATTAAAAATGGGTTCTCTCGATGCATTGTCTATTTCCTCTTTCCCGCCCTCTCTAAAATCAATCCAAACTTCCAACAGATAATAGTCATTTGTTTTGTTTTTTTTTTTTTCTTACCTCTGTTTCTTTCACCCATTGGTTCTTTGGTAAAAGTTGATGCGTCATAGAGCATTGTTGAGCAACACGAATACGATAAGCACGATCGTAGGCTGCACGAGGTTCGGCAATCTCAAGACGACGAAGTGCTTCTTGTACGATTTCACTTTCTTCAGAGATTAGATCGTCATATCTAAGACCTGTGAGAGAAGGAGAGATGAAGGAAAGGAATGTCAGAGGAAAACGGGTTGTAAACAATAAAAACAAACTTGGGGTTCGCTTTGTTATTTTACCAATCTTTCTATAGGAAGCTGCACCAGCATAAGCATTGGCGACAGGGGTTAAAATTTTCTTGAGTAGACTAGAGCTTTGAACGACTGATTTGAGTGTTAAATACATTTATTCGATTTATTATAAAAGAAGAGTGGGGAGATATATGGCAGAGAAAAGCGGTGCAATAATGGAAAAGATTCAAAAGGAAAGGAAAGAAAAAACCGACAGAACAACCCCCCGCTTCCCCCGCTTTCAATGATAACAACCCTTTTTGATGATGTCGCAAGGGGAGACAAAAGATTTAAAAAAAAAAAGTCGGACTTGTAAAAAACACAGGGCAGTTCGTTTCTACAAAAAGGAAACAATAGGTTCGAATAGGATGGAGGTGAAACAAATCACACTCTGCTTTAATGCAGCCACCCGCTTATGGTTAAAAAAAGCGGGATTTTGGACTGTGGAGGCAGACCACATCATTTGCTGACGTCATTGCAATGACAAATGCGGTTTTGTAGGATGGTTGGCATTAGAAGAAATGGGTATATATGTATTATATAATTATTTTGCATTCAAAGAGGGGAGAGAGAAGGATTTTTCTTTTTCTTTTTATTCCTGATGCTTAACTATTATTTACGTATTGGCGCATCCGATCCAATTCTTTATGCACATCCTTTCTACTAACGGTGGGTCTTCTAGCGGTAGGTCGCGATGGTATCTCTGCAGTACCTGAAAGGAGTATTGAATTACTTACTGTATCGTCTCCTCCAGGTAAGCTATTACCACTTAGAGCATTCGAAGAGTTTGTGACAGTCGTATTAGCTCCATTGCTACTGCTACTACCAGCGCCACCTGAAGCCTTTTTGACGAGGAGGGATTGGAAAAAGTTGGCCAAGACTTCATGAGAAGGACCAGCATTGCCTGCTTGATGAATACTACTCAAACCGCCCACGCCACCTGCGTTATCTGAAACGCCACCACCACCGATGGCAGAAGCATTGGCTACGGAAGACAGTAGCTTGGAGGCATTACTACCACTGCTGCCAACATTTCCATTACCGCCCAAAATACTTGCACCAGCGGCCATACTCGATGTGGCTAGTCTGTTGAGAGCACTGGCTGTTGCATTGTTATTGCTAGCGCCGGTGAGGCGATCTTCTGTAACACCAGAAGCCGAGCGCATGAATAAATCATTGACAGAGCTTGCCGTACTGATGGGACCGACAATGCCTGGTCTTTGAGTAGGCGTGGCACCTGTGCCTTTCCTTTTCGGTAAATAATCGCTTCCATATTGTTGTAGTGTTTCGAAATGTCTCTCCAAAAATGCTTGTTCATCCTCGCAAGTGACTGGTGGAGATATATTATTCAGTGGCTAAAGGGAGAATGATCAGCTCCTTCTCTCTGTTTTCTGACCGGCCCCGCAATGTTAAAAAAAGCATTTTACCTGATCTGTTGCATTTGGATTCTCTATAATTTCCTCATAGTTAGATCGTGCACCACGTAAAGGCTGCTGTCTGTCTACGACGGCGTCCATATCCGAATCCCAGCCCTCATTGACTGCCTCACAATCAAACGCTTCTATTAGAATACGTATTTTGCCCCAAGAGTCCCATCCTGCTGGCACGATAATGACATCACGTTCGACCACTTGCGCTTTTAATTTAAATGGATATGGTTTGTTAGGTGTTGAGAGTAATCGATGGAGGATATATTGTCGTAAATTATGAAAGGTATAAGGCTGTAAAGTAGAGGTATAAAATAATGCGGCACCATCTGTGATGAAAATTAAATCTCAATATGGGTGGATGATTCCATAGACAATCAGTTTTTCATATAAGCCTTACATTTCATACAGATGCATCGTAGTGTTTGTTGAATGAAATCAAAATGTTCTTCTTTGTAATCAAGTGTTTGTTCGAGAGTGTTTTGTGCGTCACTCTTTTTTTTTTTTTTTTTTTTTTTTTTTTTTTTTTCGTCCCAAGAAAAAAGAAAACGTCTATCGATGAGTAACCCGAGGCCATGGCGAACAAGTCTCTCTTGTAGGCTTAAATACAGAACAAAACTTACCTTACAACACACAATAATGATAGGAACTCCTAGATTATTCGTCAACATGCCCTGTGTTAGGGGCAATGTCACTTGCTCAACAGCTGTCGTTGTAATGACTAGCGGTGAGGGTACAAAGCTGGTGTTGGTTGCTGCAGCTTTTGAATTTGTATTTGTATAGGCTGTATCGTCCTCTGAAGGATCGTTGGCGTCCGATCCTGTCGAGTTAGAATTGGCATTAGCACTTGTGGAATTAAATGTAGTTGCTGTCAAAGGCTCCGTATACGTCTGCAAATAATGCTGAACTACAAAGACAAGTTATCAGTTACAGAGTGGGTAAGACCCAACGATAAAATTGGTTTTGCAAAAATAGCACCTACGCCTCTCTCTCAACTCATCCACAATGACTTTTCCTTTACTCCAATTACTCCTCGTAGTATGCTCGTTGGATCCACCTTTGCATATTTCATTCAGACGACACTCTAATACATCTATCCATCTCTCTAATGTCTCTAGAAAGGTCCAAGGACGCGTCCAATCTAACACAATGATGACAGCTGAATCGCTCAATGTTTCTGGACAAAGCGCGAATTTCAATAGGGGTCTGTATTCTGATGCAGATAATCCTAATTGATAAACGCCTAACCGAGCAATAGCTATCCCGATAAAATCATAGCTAGCATTCAGCAAACACAGTTTTACACATGACATCCATTGGCTCACTCCCTCCCGAAAAGGGGGCGATAAACCTCGCATGTTTTTATTCATACCTTCGTTTTCTTCATCTTGCACATCCATATAAGTATAACCTAACGCTAAGGTATGGGTTGCCTCATCTGTATTGTCGTCGTTGTGTAGTCCACCATTCACGCCGTAACTGCTTGCAATACCAAAATGATTGTTAGCTGAACCTCCTCCATCTGCTGCTACTGATACTGAAGTGGAAGCATGATGAATGCCATCCTGGTTCACTTCCTCTTCTCCATTTTCATTATTGAATACTCGAGGTCCAGGGTCATTTTTTAAATAGTGAATCAACGTAGATTTACCACACTTTGGATCGCCTTTGATAAATAACACAGAAAAAAAAAAAAAAAAAAAAAAAAAAAGAGAAAGTCAACAACCACTCCTCCATTATAAAAAAATCGAGGTTTATTCACCCAAAATTAAGAGTTTTTTCGCTGAAACCATTTTAGATGAGGCCACACTCGACAAAATACTGGACCATATTTCTTCTTTTTCTGTATTCGTGGAAGTAGACGTCGTTGTTTGTGTTGTATGGCTGGCAAAGGTAGACTGAAATGGTAATGCACTAATAGTCATTCTTATGTTTGAAATGAATGAGAAAAAGTGTGAAGTGTGTGAGAGAGAGAGAGAGGAATAAAAAAAAAAATAAAAAAAAATAGAGATTTGAATTTCATTTAAGCTGTGATCTAATTTTTACTGAAGAATAGAAAAGGGCAGCCAAACGCGTTTTATCATTGGCTGACAGCAACCAGAGAAATTCAGGGCAGAAACATAGCGCGGCTATCCAGACTCCATTCAGGAACATCTGTACGCATTACACTCTTTTTGTGATGTGCAAAGGTCTCTTTTTGTTTATTATAGCTGAATCGTTTATAATTTAGCCGCTGAAATGAGTACTGAGCATTCGTTTCATAGAGTCCCTTCTCAGCCCAATCGATTTTGTGATATTCATTTGAAGGTCACTTTGCCGTACAACTTTTTTGAATTACTATAGCACTCGTACTCAAATCGTTGTCTCTGTTTTGAGTGTACCAATGCCTTTAATTGATCCTACACATTCTTGTTTATTGTCTACGCTGCATCTAAGCCATCAGTGTTGTTTCTGCATTGTATAAAAGTGGGATCGGTACATAGAAGCCTTAACGCCAAAATTAGAGTGCTAATACAGGACAGAACAGAACAAAGCTACGGTGTGAACGGCAGTAAATATTATTCATGTACGACAAAGATTGCCAGAACCAAAGGAGGAAACCCATTGTAAAGAGTAAAATGAGATTTTTATGAGTACACATAGCAATGGATAACACACTTTCAAAATCCTTTTGCATTGTATTTGATTGAGAATGGATACGCCTACTTGCATCCGTCAACATTTTCACTTGGTACAAGGTTCTGCTTTTGAGTCAAACTAAGATATATACCATGTCCTTGATGTTTACATTTCCCTCTTTCTCCAACCGGTTTAGAGTTGAATACATGCCGAAACCAAGTGTTTTTTTTTAAAAAAGAAGTCTTTTGAGGTAGAACAAGGCTTGCTGACTGTCAGTTCAGCGAAAGACGATAGTAGTATTGATCTTTGTAAATACACATGACCAAACAATTTTCCTTTAAAAAGTAATGCTATTTGATTTATGCACTCGTATTCTATTTTTAGCAGAAAGAGTTGCGCTGATCGTCTTTGCATCAAAAGAAAAGAGTGCTTTATGTGCTTCCACCTCCTCTTTGAACCGCGTCATCGAATCAAAAACGTGCATTAACAACGCCCGCCTATTCTCTTTCCGCTTGACATGTAAGTAGCTCTGTTTTCTCTTTTCAAGCACCATGTTGACGTAAAGTTTCTGGTAACAGCAATTTCAACAAAAAAGAGATAGGAAGGACTCTCTTAGAATGAAGAATGCTCTCTATTTGTTATTATTTGTTGTTGTTTTTGTGTATAGGTGAATGATACTCATAGCTAGTCACCGAAACACTTTTCTTTTTTTTTTTTTTTTTTTTTTTTTTTTTTTTTTTTTATTTCGTGTAGCATCATTGACTGCCTCGGATGACCTGCCATGATTTGACCAGCAAAAATTTTGTTTGTCGTGCAAATGACTGAAATATGGAATTTCTTTGTTCTCTTACTTTTGGGAAGCGTTGGTTTCTATTGTGTAGCATTCTTTTATGTTCTTGTGGTCCATCATTGCGTATCACTTCTTTTTTTGGGGGGGAAAGTTATTGGTAAATGACGTATACAGCATGGGAGCACTCTGTTTGTATTCATACCATCATTGAAAACAGCCTATACAGTAGTCTATGTCTTTTATGCGACTTATTGAGCAGACCACGACGACAAAGAGAGAACAGAAGGCGAACAAAGAAGGGAGGGAGGGGTGAGGAGGAGGGGTGGTCTTCAATGAGTGAGAGCCAAGTCAGAGAAGTCAGGTGAGCTCTCTGTTGGATGAACGGCTTTTTGGACTAACAGATTTGGATATATTGAGGGGTTAAGTCTAGGGATGATGTTTATATTGTATCGAAAAGAAAAAAAAAAAAAGGTTGGCTTTCTTCAGAGAAGACACACACACACACAGAAAATCCGGAGAAAGAGATTAGAAAAGGGGATTGGGTACACGAGTCTCACCTTAAGGTTTGGCTCTGCGAAAGTTGCCGTTTGTTTGGAAGTGAATGCTACTCAACTTTTCAATGCTTCTTTCGTACGACTCAAGAACAAGAAGCACCCTTTTGTGCTAGAGTCAACGTTAAACACGGCTCTGAAGCACTTTATAGGTGATATGTTGACAGTTCACCACAGACAATGGACACAACGTCAGCGTCGTGTTCATTGTTGATTGCGCCCTAGACATTTTCGTGATGTATAGGGAAACAAGGAAAACTGTCTTTCTGATGAGAATCTCTTTTTTGCCTCGTATTTTCAAATAGGAAAAATTCTTTTATTTTAAGCGAGCCAAACCGATATTTTTCTTTTTGCTTTTTTTTTCTTATAGAAAAAAGGGATGATGATAATAGGCCAGATAGGAAAGGGGCGGGAGGAGACGAAAAGAAATAAGGAAAAAAGGGCGGGGCGTGAAGATCCTGTCTGTCTCGCTCTCAGCAGCGTCCCTAAGTCATCTCTAAGTGCAGTTCTGTAGCAGTCATGAGTGTACATATTGACTTTACAGTATTGAAATGGTAGATGTGGGTTGAGCAGATGAAGGGTACGTTCCCTGTTTGTGAGGAAGAAAAACAACTCACTGCTCCTCAGTCGAACTGTACATTTTGTATTAAGATTATGATTTTCCATTCACCCGTGAAATGCAGGTCAAAAACTATATTGCTAACAAAACAAAATATAAACAGTTTTTTTTTTTTTTTTTTTTTTTTTTTTTTTGTGTTTTTCTTCGAACATGAGCCTTTTTTTTTTCTGTTCTACTGGTCGCTCTTGTGATCCATAGCCCCTTGATTCTTCATCGTGACCAGAAATCCGCCACTTGAGAGATAATGAAAAAAAAAGTTTGTATATAAAAAAGAAAAAAAGAGACTTTATGGACTTTGTTCTTTCTTTTTTCTAGTTTGTTCATCTACTTTTTTGTTCTCGCGTTAGTTTATTTAGTGCCATCAATAAAGCATTTTGTCTTTTTTTTTTTTCCGCGAAAATTTTAAAATTGACAACTGTCTCATACATCGATCATGGAAGGACTCTATCAAAGCCCACCTTATAGTTATTTGCCTCAAGTCAACACTGCAGCAGCAACGTCAGCTGTTGACAGCTACTCTACCACAGCGACTGCAGCAACGACGCATAACAACAGTTATGACAATGTTTTTGAAAGACCTCTTCCTATTCCTCAGATAAGCGATTATCAGCAAGGACAGCGTACAGCAACACCCGACGCTTACTCTTCATCCGCTTCTAACAGTGCTATGTGGTCCAACCATCATCATCATCACCACCATCAACATCAGCATTCTCCATTGATTCACTATCAGCAACAACAACAACAACAACAACATCCTCCTTATCAACCCCTCCACAGCTTTTATCATTATACTACGCCTGCTACACCAGGCACACCTACTTCCAACCATCATACTGCTTTTCACCACATGTTAATGTCCACTACCAATGCACCGCGTCCAAAGTTGACGACCAATATTTGGGAGGATGAAGGCACCGTCTGTTATCAAGTGGATGCGAAAGGCATTTGCGTAGCCCGTCGTCAAGGTACATACTTATACGTACATATGTATTAAATGATCATCTCTCCTTAAATTTTATATTCCCCCACTTTGTTACCCTTTTTATTAACCTACCAAAGTTCTTTTTTTTTTTTTTTTTTTTTTTTTTTTCTTTTCAGATAATGATATGATTAACGGTACTAAATTACTCAACGTGGTTGGTATGTCACGGGGTAAACGTGATGGCATACTCAAGAATGAAAAAGGCCGTGTTGTTGTGAAAGTGGGCGCCATGCATTTGAAAGGTGTCTGGATACCTTTTCTTCGTGCCAGAGAGTTGGCTATCAAGTTCAAAATCATGGATATTTTGTATCCTCTTTTTACCGAAGATCCCAGTGTTTATATGTGCCAAAATACGACGCTCAACAACAACGATCCTGAAAGTAGTAACTCACCGACGGTTGCTGCTGCTACTGCTGCTGCTGCTGCTGATATGAATGAAGATGAGAACAGTACGATTCCTACAGCTTCCAGTTTATTAGCCTCTATTATGGATCATCAAAACGCTAAAAACGATAGAACAAATGATCTACTTTTCAGATCCGCCTCTCTGTCCTCGGCAACCTCTTCTTCCAACCACTATCCTGCTCCTCTTCCCCCTCCTCCTCATCAACTTCAACAGCACCAAACTATAGCAACAGACGCGAATGGTGGCTATGAGAATAATAAAACGGCTACTTCTTACAACAACAATAGTCATTATGCATATAATTTAAGCAACATCAACCATCCGTTCAATGAAGATCATTCTCTTCAAGGTGAGTAGAACCTTATTTTTATTTTTATTTTTTTTGTTTGTGTATTTTACGGGGACGCAAGAAATTTTTCTTTTTTGCTGATCATTGCTACTCTTATAGATTCTCACCACAGCCATAGCCCTACTCTCCATCGATCCTATACGACTCACATCGCCCGTGAATCGGCAGAAGAGAGTACCCACCCTAACTTTTATTATCAAGAGTATTACCATCCGCATCCGTCACAAGCCTCTCGTCCACCCCATCATAATAGACATAGTATTAGTAGTCTATCCAGTCATCACTCTGCTTCTTATTTATATCATACTTCTGTTGCTCCTCCACACGACGAAGCTGGCAGTTCTCTCTACGACAAACTAAATCAAGTCACTGCTGCTAATGAAGCCGCCGCCGCCGCCGCCGCCGCTGCTGCTGCTGCTGCTGCTGCTACCACTTCATCCTATTATACGGCTGGGGCTTCTGCTTATTACAGTACTGCTACAGCGGCAACGAACAGTAACTCTTCTCCATCTCTTGCCATGCCTACTGCAATGACCCCTCTCTCCACTCTTGATACAGTGACGGCTAACCATCACTATCAACAACAACAAGATTTAAGTGCTGGATCAAGTACGCCTTCTTCTTGGTACTCACCTGAAACGCCAACAGCCGCCTTATTTCAACAGCAACAACAACAACAACAACAACAACAACAACGACAACGACAACAGAAAGAAATGGCTTCTGCTGGCATTAAAACCGAAGATGATCTTCTCCCTAGCTCCAACCAAACAACCACAGGCAAAAAGAGAAGAAGAAAGATGTCCACGGACCAAGATGTGTCCGATAAGAAACGGCCTTCTTCTTGTTCATCTTCTGCTTTATCATCACCTCGATCTCCCACATCTTCTCTCCCCTCCTCCTCTTCCTCTTCCTCTTCCTCCTCGAAAGCCAAAGTAAAGAAAGCAAAGCTGTCCTCATCGTTCAAGAAAAGTATGAACACCACGCTGCCCTCTTTGTCGGAAGAAACACGTTCTATGGTGAAGAGCAAAGATTAAGCCATTCTCTCTCTGTCTCTCTTGTCTTGTCCTCAATATATATATACATATATAATACATAGATAGCAACTGAAAAAGATCATTTATTTATTAACCCCCACCCCCCCCCCCACTATTTCAGCATCCATAGAGCCTGAGAGACCAAAAAAAAAAACCAAAAACCAAACAACAACCTAATACATCCTGGCATTGAATTTCTTTATTTATCATTCAGTTTACTTATACAACACATAACATGGCATTTTTAATAGAAAACAACAAAGCTCAATAAAAAAAAAAAAAAAGAAATAATGTTTTTTTATTCGTTGAACAAAAAAATGATCCAACTAAAAGTCATCCTTCATTCGTCTCAATTGACCGAGAATATCTTCAATTTTGGCACTCTCAGGATCCTTGACGATCCGTTGAGCCACTTCTGGTAGATGGACTCTGAGGAATGGATTGGTTCGTTTTTCGTTTTCCATGGTGGAGGGAGTGGTGCAACCGACGGAATTTGCCCAGGCCCTCTTTTCTTGCATGTCTTGATTGTGGGGTTCGACGGTCAGGGCAAATCGCAAATTACTCACTGTGTATTCATGACCAAAGTAAACTTTGGTCTTGTCGGGCAAGTCGCTCAAGACAGACAAGGCAGCGTACATGTCTTTGGGCGCACCTTCGAAAAAGCGACCGCAACCACTGCTGAAAAGACAATCACCGGTAAAGACGGAGGGCTCGGGCTGAGCGATATAGTAGCAGATGTGGTCCATGGTATGGCCAGCTGTTCCTAGCGCTTTGATGGTGAGCGAGCCGAGAGAAATGTCCTCGTTGTGCTTGACAATATGAGTGACGCTGTCTACGCGGTCCGATCCACCGTAGCATGGAATGCGTGTGTAACGAGGATGTTTGAGGAGCTTAGGATTACCTCCTGCGTGATCCCAATGATGATGGGTTGTCAAAATCCTTTTTTTATAAAAAGAGAAATCTCGTTAACCCCGTGTCCGTTCTCTCTCTCGTTCTCTACCGTGCCAATTCATTTGCTTTCGTTACATGGATAATTGATAATCAGAATACTCTTCTAAAGCCTTCAGTACTTTGTCGGGCTCCACAGGATCGACAACAGCAGCTATCGATAGACAATCATCATCATCATCAGTCATTTTTTGCTAACAAGGCCATGTGGGGGCGAGTAGGAAATACCTTTTTTGGACTCTTCATCCAAAATCAAATAAGAATAGCTATTTTTGTTGTTGTTGTTTGCATAAATTACGTGCTCGTCAGTTCATGTTTATGTTTTATCCCATGAAACATCTTTTTTTTTTTTTTTTTATTGACTCTACTTGTCATCAAGACAGGGTACAGGCTTTACAAGCATCTTTGTTTTATTTAAAATGGAACGTGTTTGATAAAGACGAGAAAGAAGCATTCAAATGAAAAAAAAAAAAAAAATCAAAAATGGGGGGAAGCGGATGGATGCCAAAAAGTGACATAAAAGTCGGAGAGTCGTGTGTTTTTCTTTTTGGTTTTTACCAGTCACTCTTTTTTCATGCAAATTTTGTCCTCTTTTGGGCAAACACAACTTCCCTCCCCTTTGGATGGGGGAGATCCCGAGCAGGCGCTCTTTCTCTTTTTTCACCCATTCACCCATTTACAGCGAGATACCCTTACTACTGACTCTTCATTACTCTATCACCAGCCACTTTAGCGTACATTCCTTTTCTCTATTTTACGCAGGATCAATGACTTGAAAGATAAAAAAGTTATGAAGTATTCATACCATAACCCTCCACCTTCCTCCATGATGAAGCCTATGATAATGAAACGATCCAGGTCTACCGAGTCACTTGAAAGAGCTTTAAAGAAATATAAACCTTTTCAGCAACCGTCAGCGGAAGAAGAGTCCACAACACCTTCACCACCACCCGCTGTACCGCAGCCGTAAGTGGATAAGGTTTTTTCTAACTTTATTGGCCATGGTCTTGTTGGCAAGATCGACCCTTCATCATCGTCTAATGGGCTCCCGTTTTCTTTTTACTGTAGATGGCATGCGAATACTACTTTATACCCTCCACAACAGCAATCACCACCACCTTATGTCACGTCTCATTTACTCCATCATCCACATCCAATAGAAAACAAGGTCATCAAATCCCTCTCCATCTCCACAAGGTCCACCTCCTATGCATCGGAACAGTCATCACCTATCGATCATCGTACTGACATAGCCAAGAAAGATACCCATCCCCAAGAGAATTATTATCGATCGGTGAATCACTTTTTATACAATGTTCATGTGGCTAGACATGGCGATCCAGAAACAAGAGAAAGTTGGTGGGAACATACTGATACAGCTTGCATGCAACCACAAGAAGATATGCTTATGGACGAAGATCATGCTTACTACGAGCAACAACAGCGCCATGACTATGAAAGTAACAATGCCATTTTAAGACAAGCCTTTTTAATGCGACAACAACAACAGCAACAGCAACATCAACAGCATGATTGAACATAGCAAGGACACTGCTTACGTAATTACTCACTGTCCATGGAAGTAGCCTTCCTTTGAATAAACCTTTTTCATTTTTTTTCACATGCTAAAAACGAATACAAAGAGGCGTTTAAAATTTTTTAGAAAAAGCATGTGTTTAAGGTACCAGTGATTGGAAAATAGTAAATGAGGGCTGTGTTCAAGTAAGCTTTTATTTGCCCAATTTAGCGCTTTTAAATTTTTTGTAGCCCTTTTTTTTTTTTTCATTTTTCATTCTTGTTTTTGCACGTTCAATTTTTTTTTTTACCCCACAATTTTTTTATTTTATTGCATGTAATTTACCTTGTTTCCCTTCCACTCTTTTCTTTTTTTTATTTCTTTATCTTGTTTTTAATTCATCACTCAGACTGTACCAAACACAATGACTTCCTTGCTGAATTACACCAGTCTCGATTCCATTCAAGACAATGTCAGTCATGTCCGTCAAGTCTTTCATATGGGTAAACCTCGCGATATGTATTGGCGAAAGTACCAGCTTCAACGACTTTATGACATGATCAGTGAGAATGAAAAGAAACTATGTGACGCCATGAAAAAAGATATGAACAAGCCTTTGAATGAAGCCATGAGTGGTGACATTGCGCCTGTATTGGACGAATGTCTCTATTTCCTTGACGTAAACCCTAAATTCAATAAACACGACCTATACAAAGAGAAACATGTGAAAAGTGGTTGACCACTCCTCTTTCATGTTGATAGCAATTGGACGATTTAGCAAAAGATATCAAGGTCAAGCCTCGATCGGGTTTGAACAAGATGGAAAAAGTGGTCATTAGAAGAGATCCTTTGGGTGTTGTGCTGATTTTAGGCAGTTGGAATTATCCTGTTCAAGTAAGGATATACACACACAGATACAGAAAAAAAAAAAAACACAGGTAGTTTTGCAGTGTCTCTTACGCCCTTTTATTATCCTAGCTCTCTTTAGTGCCTTTTGCCGGGGCGATTGCAGCTGGTAATGCCGTCATTCTCAAGGTAAATAAAAAACTCAAGCTGCTGCATCTCGGGCTTACTTTGTTCATCAACAACCCTTGTCTTGTATTATTTTTATTTTTTTTTCTTTTTGTAGCTGTCGGAAGTGTCACCCCATACAGCAGCTGTCATCACGGAACTTTTCCCCAAATACATGGACACGAGCTGTTACCGTCTTGTCAATGGCGGTGTCGAGGAAACAACAGCACTCTTGAAGGAAAAGTTTGACCACATCTTTTACACGGGTAACTCCAACGTGGCCAAGATTGTCATGACGGCCGCCGCTCAACACTTGACACCCGTGACCTTAGAATTGGGTGGTAAATCGTAAAGTATCCAGATAGTGAACGGTCCAGGTTGAAAAGGATATCATCACTTAACGCGGTTTTTCTCTTTTTAGACCGGCTGTCATTTTACCCGATGCCAATATGCAACTTACGGCCAATCGTATTGCATTTGGTAAACTATACAATGCTGGACAGATTTGTATTGCAGTGGATTACGTCCTTTGTCCAGCCTCCCGTTTGTCAGAATTTGTCTCTGCTTTCAAAAAGACATTGCACGACTGGTATAAAAACGATCCTCAAAAGACCGACTCGTATGCTCGTATTGTCAATGAACGTCATTTCGACCGTTTAGCCAACCTACTTCAACATCGCCAGAGCGGTGATATTGCCGTGGGGGGTCACATGGACCGAGCGGATCGTTATATTGCTCCTACGCTGATCACGCATGTCCGTCCGGACGACCCTGTGTTGATGGGGGATGAAATCTTTGGTCCTATTTTACCCGTCATTACGTACAACGAGGATGTAGAAGAAGCCATGGGTGTTATCCGAAAGCGAGAACCTCCCTTGGCGCTTTATATCTTTACTAAAAAACCACAGTTAGCAGAAAAAAGTAAGGGAAAAAAAAAAAAAAAAGTGACACCCTGATAGCGACACCTTTTTACTGAGTGATCGCCATTGATGTAATCTATTAGTTTTAAAGAATACGCCTTCCGGTGGTGTTTGTGTCAATGATTGTTTGATGCATCAGGCAGAATACGGCATTCCCTTTGGTGGCGTAGGTCATTCTGGTATGGGCAATTATCATGGAGCGAAATCCTATGCTACCTTTACGCACGAAAGATCCATGCTGATCAAGAAGCAAACGATGGAGAGTGTCATGAGTATTCGTTATCCTCCTTACAACCAACGCAAATATAACCTTTTGCGTATGGTGTTGGTCAAGCCTGCTTTCTTGGTTGCTTTGAAAAAGTACAACAAGCCAATCAAAGCACTTGCTCTCATCCTTGTTTTGGTTGGATTGTATCTAAAAAGACAATCATAAAAGAGAAAAATGTTGTCCATCGCTTCCTAGCGAGGTTGGGGGAGGGGGGGGGGAAAAGGACATAACAAAACCAACTAAAAAAAAAACTCGAGATTCCCACGCTTTATTCTCACCGTTTCCCCTTCCATAGTAGATTAACTGTCTCAAAATCCATCATAAATAACATGTGTGAAATACAAGAAAAAAACCTGATTTTTTTTTTTTTTTTTGTTTTTTGTTTTTCTGTTTTCTCTCTCTCTCTCCAATTTTAATCTTTTTTTTTTTCGTCGTTTCGTCATGACACATATGCACAAATTTTTGAAAACAAACCAAGTGTCTGTCATTGGTGTTCCTTTCAATGGAGGACAGCCACATACGGGAGTTGAGCAAGGACCTGCTCGTCTGGTTGAGTTTGGACTCATTGAACAATTACAAGAGATGGGTTATCAAGTAGAGTATGAGGCGAATGCGAAATTACAAGAAAATCCTGATGCTTTCCGTACAGTATCCGCTGAAGAAGACAAGGATCCAGTCGCCCACTTGAAGCAGCCCGCTTATGTTTCAGCAGTAACCAAGCATGTGTCTGAGCAGATTCTGAAGAGTGCTCAGGAGGGTAAATTTGTATTGACATTGGGTGGCGATCATTCTGTAGGATTAAGTACCGTCTCTGGCGTGTTGGGAGCCTATCCAGACGCTCGTCTTATTTGGGTGGATGCCCATGCGGTAAGTGTGCAGGAGAAGGAGGGGGGGGGGAGGTGGTTCTATTCCTCCTCCGTCAGGCAAACTGACACACACACACACACACACACACACACACACACAATTTCTCACTCTCTCTCTTTCCCAACATAGGATATTAATACACCTCAATCCACTCCTTCCGGCAATATCCACGGCGTTCCTGTGAGCTTTTTGACGGGTATTGCTACGGGCCATCCTCAATTTAGCTGGGTCAAACCGTTACTCAGAACCGATCGTCTCGTCTACATTGGTCTTCGCGATATTGACGCGCCCGAAAAAAAGATTCTCCGTGAGCACAACATCAAGGCCTTTTCCATGCATCATGTCGATAAGTATGGCATTGGTCAGGTCGTGGAGATGGCACTCAATTACGTCAATCCCAACCGAGACCGTCCTCTTCATTTGTCGTTTGATGTGGATGCCCTTGATCCTTCCGTAGCTCCTAGTACAGGTACACCCGTCAGAGGAGGATTGACGTTCCGTGAAGGACATTATATCTGTGAAGCGTTGGCGGAAACCGGCTGTCTTGTCGCAGCCGATATTATGGAAGTCAACCCTGCATTAGAAGACACACAATCTGTCTTTCAGACCATTCAAGTGGGTTGTTCTTTGGCTCGTTGCTGTTTAGGAGAGACATTGTTGTAAGATGACTTTGTTTCTAAAAGACTCTCTTCCCTCCCCCCCTCTCTCTGAAAACTCTTAGATTGCTTTTTTAACTTGCGCCCCCGCCTTTCTCACGATGATGAATAGATTTTTTTTTTGATTTTTTTTTTTCCTGCTATTTGAAAATAATAATAAAATAATGCCATCTTTTTATTGGTTAAATCTTTCAGGCACGGCTTTTTTTTTTTTTTTTTTTTTCAGAGGTCTCGAATATTCCCAACACTAATGCAACCGTTCATTTTTCGGAATAGAATAAAGAAAAGCAACTCACTTTCTGGATAGCGTTTGTCTATCGATCGGGTCTTGTCAGCCAAGACACTGACGAGGTTCTCCTTCGTCCGGTCAATCCCTCCTTGTGGTTAAAAAACGGAAGTGATATTCCGGGCGAAAACGTGACTGTTCCAGCAAGCGGGCGGTTTTTTCTTTTTTTTTTTTTTCCGAGACGCGAAATGTATATCTTTGCTTTCACCCAACTTGCCTCCTTTTGTTGTCAGTTGAACACTTTTTTATTTTCTCATGCTAGATGAAAAAAGGAACGCGTCTCTTTCAGATAAAAAGAAAGGATAAAGGTGGGATGGGATGGTTGGTTGGTTGGTTGGGGGGGGGAAGTGGGCTTTTTTTCTTGAGAGTGCACGGACCGGTTCCGTTTCTCCCTCTTTTACAAGACCCCACAAACATGAAGAGGGAATACAAATTTGGCATACTTGGAGAATCTCACGCGATTTTTTCCCCTTCGTTTGTAAAACCAATCAACAGAATAACCCATTCATTAAAAATGAACTTTTCTTTTTTTTTTTTTTTTTTTTTCTCATCCTTCGCTCCCATCATTTATTAAAAAATTAAAAAATCACCTTTTTTTATTTCAGATCTACGATAAAAGTGAAAGACACTATTCAAATTTAAAAAGTTATTTTAATGGTTAAAGGAAACACAAAAAAAGAAGGTCCGTGCATGTCTGAGCTTTACCCAGTTTATACTTGAAACACCGCAGAATGCATAAAGAAAAAGAGAAAACTCCTCCATCTACAAAAGAGAATCATGGGACAAGGCGATGGAATGGTTTCTTTTTTAATTTTTTTTTTTTTTTTTTTTTCATAAAAGAGACAATGATCCATTAAAGTTTATTTTACAGAATGCAGGTTATCGGTTTTAAAAAAAAAGCAAAAAGGATTCCCAAAAAGGGAAATTTTTATTTTCTGATGTTTAATGTTTTTAGAGTACTTTGGCTTCGGGATAATTTAAAATGATGTTTGGATCTATCATGGTCATGGAACCCGTCGAGGCAGGATAATGACAATGAGGGATGACGGAAGCACCACCACCACCGCTTTTGAGTAGGTGTTGATAGGGTATATGCGTAGGATGATCATGACTGCTGGTATTATCTAGATAAAAAAAAGAAGAGGAGGGCGAAAGTGGGTCGTGGTCCACGTAACTGTCACGGTTCATGTTGTACTGTTTTTGGCAAGGTGGTTGCGTGGCCAGGGTCGTGGTGTTTGTATTCGTATGACTACTGCTGATACTACGACGACTACTACTACTACTACGACTACTGCGACTGCTCTTCAAGGAAGAGGAGGAGGTAGAGAGAGTCGAAGAAAGACTTTCTGGATAGCTATTTCTTTTATAATGATCGAATTGCTTTTGTTGTTGTTGTTGACAGTAATAAATAGTAGAAGCAGAGGCGTTGGTGGTGGTGGTGGTGGCGGTGGTAGAAACAGGACAAGAGGGAGAGAAAGAAGAATGGCCAGGAAAAGAGAGCGCTTTACCGAGATATTGATGGAGGTTTTCTGAAAAGGAGCGTGTTTGCTTGCGACTCTCGGATGGTGTATCATAGGGTGGATGGGTAGCCGTCATGGAAACTGCAGCCGTCGTCGTCGTCGTAGTAGTAGTAGGAAGAGGTGTACTTGTGGATGTTTTCAGATGTGGCAGAGACGTCGTCGTAGGAGAATGAGAGGGATGCTGTGGAGGATGGACATGGAGCGACTTTTTCTTTTTGATGGTCTTTTTATGAAAAATGTTCATAAAGACACTATTGAATTTTGATTTATGGTGGTGGTTGGTACAGTCATTTCCGGAAGCAATAACGGTGGCTTGTTGTTTTTGAGGAAGGACGGCTTTTAAATGGGACAAGCAATCGATACGTTCCATATAAATATGGCAGATAGACATTAAGCCGTCGATATCGTGTGGATCGGTCGCTCCTCCTCCATCATGACGAGATGCTTCTTTTTGTTGTTGTTGTTGCTGTAATGCGTTGAATAAATATTGGACGGCTTCAGTATAAGCGGCAATGGCGGAAGGGATGTCATTGGCGGCATCGTATTGAACGGCCATGTTGGCTTTCTCAATAGCCACATCAATGCAATGTTTGGTATCCATAGTGACAGAAGAAGTAGGCACTGGCATGAAGAGAGTGGAGTGGAGGAAAGAAATTGAAGAAATTGAACCGAAAAAAAAAAAAAAGAAAAAAAAAAAACAAAAAAAAAACAAAAGAGACAACGACTATTATCTATTAAAGAATTTTTTAATATTGTATTCCTTTTTATATTAAATAAAACGGATGGGATCTCTAATAGTTGTTCATTTTTTATTTTAAGAATCGCTTGATAAATGAGAATATATTATCACTCTTCAAGCAAAAGGGAGAGTGCTAATGGACGTTATTAATGATATAATAAATGAAGTTCTGTAGCGATCTTTTATAAATGAAAAGAAATGATTTGAACCAAAAGGAAGTTCAAAAGAGACTTGTTTTCCGGAATCCAAGTGCGGAACAGGTTCCGGTATCCCCTCCGTTCAGCCTTTTCATAGCCCGATTACCCCTTTTTTTTTTTTTATTACCACAAAGCTAAAAAGACGAGCTGGGTTTCTTTTCAATCACACCATCGATCATCAAATTACGCAAAACCTTATTATATAAACTTGCTTTTAAAACTGCACGTTTCGTAACCTACAGCATGTTGCAGTGGAAAAAGGGGTCCGTTTTTTACGGGTCAATAGTATAGATAAGAGATTGATTGAATTTTGAACCAAACCATTTTTCATTAAAGAGAAATATATAAAGCCAATTTATGTCAATTCATTAATACCATCTCATCTTTTCAAAGTGGGTCGTCTTGTTTAAAAAAAAAAAAAAAAAAAAAAAAAAAAAAAAAAAAAAAAAGAAAAGAAAAGCTAAAAATAGTCCCAACGGCTGCAGCAAGTGATTGAATGCCAGTTTCTGTAAAGTGCGAAAATCCGCTCTCATTCGATCTCTACTGTTTTGTCTTTTTTTACGATCGAAATTGTGTCTAGCTTTAAAAAAAGGAAAAAAAGAGAAACAAGGGTATTATGCATTTCATTTTATTTTTGTTCCTTCTGATAACCGACAATTGAAACAACCTACGACCTCCTTCCTCACCGAGCACCGGTGATTTTTGCTTGACCTGTGTTTATTTTATTGTTGTGTGGGTGGGTAACCCTACAATGGACAAAGAGGATGATCCCCCATTGTCTGCACACTGAATAACTCTTGCATGAATTTTTTGAAAAAGGACATGTGTTTAGCTACAATGCCAACAAACAAACAATGGTAAGCAATACACGTTTTTCTTTTCTTTTTTCGAAAAAATGGTCCGTGTGATGCTATGAAAACATGAAAGAAAGTGGGTATAAGCGTGTCTATTCTAATCTTAGAGACATATTACAACCTAATTCATGTTTAAATTTGATTTTTTTTTTTTTATTTTTTTTTTTGGCTGATGATGGTACTGTTGTCATCTGTTTCGTGACGTGGTACGGCAAACAACCATCCTTAGACTCTCTTTCATATTAAGAAAAGAATCGAGAAACGATCGATGTTGTGTCATCTGATACGACATGACAAAAAGTTGTCTTGACGCAAATAAAAAATCACCTGCTGGTTTTTTCCCTTTTGACATAGCTTAAAAAAAAAAAAAGATAATTTCTGGCTTTGTTTCGTTTACACATTCACAGAAAAATCGATGAACCTTACTTTCTCATAGAAACGGATGCAAATCAGACTTTTTTTTTTTTTTTTTTTTTTTTTTTTTTTTTTCATTGACTTACAAGCATTTATGGTTTAATGGAATCAACAATAAAAGGGGACTTTCAAGAGAATTTACTAAAAAAGTAGCAACAAGGTTTTTTCTTTTTCTGAGCAAATATAAACCTATATAAAGACGATGGCTCTTATCACTGCTTCAACTCCTCCTCTGTCTATGAACCTAGTTGCAGTAACAACCGTCATTTTACTCAACACGACAGGACAACGGTGATCACGTTGATTTCCTTAAAAAGGAGAATGTCTGTTCAGGCACATATAACATAGATGTGGAGAGCCTATCTGTGCAGCAAAGAAAGACGTATTCCCTTGATAATGACTTTTTTTTTTATTTTTTTTTCCTCTTTCCTGGAGGAGCATCCTAAAGATAGAACAGGGGAACTTGGTTTGGATCTGATGATGCTGATGTGTACCTTATAAACGTCAGTCTCATGGCCCCTTTTTTTTTTTCCCGAAACTTGCAGTTGCTTACTTGGAAAAAAAAAAAAAAGCAGAATTGAGATGAGATGAGATGAATGATAAATGTCAGGAAGCTTGGAAAGGTTTCAATCCATTTTTTGAATGTGTACGTAGAGAAATACAAAAAAAGAAAAAAAGTTTCTTAATAATGAATTACTTTTTTTTCGTAATTTCTTGGGTGGGATTGAAAATAAAAAAAAAAAAAAAAGTGTTTCAAGCTTATTCTGGACAAAGATATTCAATGAGCTTCCCACCCTCCCGCGGGGCCTCTTCAGTACGTAAGTTTTTTTTTTTTTTTTTTTTTTTTTCCCTCCCGCCCTTTGCGTTTCTCTTATTGTGTGTTTGCTCTCTTTCTCTCCTTCTGTCGATGGAATCAAAGAAACCATTTTTGACCCTATTAAGAATGCAATGATTGATTCGGATCGATGCCCCAGTTTCATTATAAAAAAAGGTTGCTGTCCTGTTGGGTAACGATAAAGTAAAAAAGTGTGTTATCAACAAAAGACGCGTTTAATAGGAAAAAGAAACCCAGAAGGGAAAAAGACGTTGGAGAAGAGGGGTATGTGTATGTGTACATGTATAGGTCGGTAAACCAACAGAATGGACAACCCACCAAAAAAAAAAAAAAAAAAAAAAAAAAAAATTGGTATGCTCCTACCCGCCATCATTTTTAAGGCTGATTGTAGTAAGAGAGATGTACTGTATGTATACGTGATTTTTACAGTAAAACCGGCTTTCCTTTTTGTATTCTTTTGTGTGTATCTGAAACTGATCGCAGACAAAAAAGAGACCATGGATAATCACTTTTGGCCACAAGAGAATGCGCAATAAAAAAACGATGCCAACGCGTAAAATAATGCAGAAATCAATTTGTTTGTTTATGTACTACCTAACAATAAAGTTCTTATGCAATGCATGCAAAAAGGACTGTGTACAATTCCCCTTTGTACCTGTAATAAAAGAAGAAAGAAACCAGATAAAAAGTTTACCCAGAAAAGAAAAAAAAAAGATGGAGCCCCTTTTTTCGCGTAACTTTGCTTTTTTATCTCTTGAAAAAGAAAGGGAAAAAAAAAAAAAAAAAAACTTCTGGGGTTCAGATTTGACCCGCCTTCTTTACTTGAGTCCGTAACGATAAAAAAGTCTATTTTTCATTACTGACGAAAATAAACATAGTAGGAAAAATTTTTTTTTTTTCTTTTTGATCACTTTTTTTACTTGTATAAAATAAGGGCTTCTTTTTTTCTTATCCACGCTGTCCTTTTTACAGAATCTGTTCTATTTAGTATTTTCATCCTTTTTCCTTTTTTTTGTTTTTTGGTAATTACAAAGTTTATACCTATCTATACCTATCTATATATAGATAAATATATATAGACATAGATATATATTCTATATATCACGTCATCCACATACCACACTGTATATATCTAGAATCTTTTTTCTTTGTAAAAAATACCAATGTTCCCGACTACCAGTACCACCTATACCGCTGATCCCTCGACACTGTACTATCATTCTCCACCTTCTTCTGCTCTCTTGGCTTCGTCTCAAAACGAAAAGCAATTGCAGTTGAATCCCCATCCTCTGGACATTTATCTTCACGAGACACCCCCAGCTACCATCATACCCTCTCAACAACATCACCGTCCTCCTTATCACCCTTCCTCTAGTAGCAGCCAAGAATCTGTCTGGCCCATCACGCCTCTTTCATCCACGAGCGGTGGTAGTCATGATAGCAGCAGTCATCACTGGACTTGCTTGAATTCTCATAGTACTCCTTTAGGCACACCCTCAGCTACCACGACCCCTCTTCATCCTCAGCATCAACACAGCAACAGCAGCAGTTGCAGCAACAACAACAACAACAACAACAACTATTTTACACATGTGACACATCCTACGATGCCAACCGCTATACCAGACCCTGCTTCTTTGATGTTGTTCACACCCACCTCTCCCATGTATGCTTCTTCCTTTTCACGCCATCACCCTTCACAACAGCATGTGCAACAACAACAACAACAACAACAAAAACCACGTATATCTACCTCTCTGTGGGATGATAAAGGCACTTTATGCTTTCAAGTCGATGTCAAAGGCATTTGCGTTGCTCGACGTCAAGGTAAGAATGATAAAGGGAGTCGCTTTTTTTCATGCTGATTCCTCATGCTTTTCATTTTTTATAGATAATGATATGATTAATGGTACAAAACTACTGAATGTGACAGGTATGTCACGGGGTAAGCGCGATGGCATACTCAAGAATGAAAAAGGACGCGTCGTTGTCAAGGTCGGAGCGATGCATTTAAAAGGTGTTTGGGTGACTTTTGCGAGAGCCAAGACGTTGGCGATCCAATACAACATTTATGATTTACTCTATCCTTTGTTTGTGGATGAACCCGCTCTTTATTTTAATACGGCTGCTACAGCAGCAGCAGCTGCAGCGGCGGCAGCAGCGGCGGCAGCTTTCTTTTTCAATCATCCACCTCCTCCTCATTGTGGTGGACCGCCACCACTACCACCACCACTACCACCACCACTACCACCACCCTCATCATCAACAACAACAACAACAACAACAACAACAACAGCAACAGCAACAGCATCACCACCGCCATTACTCTCTCATCCTCATGTACATCCTTCGTTGTCTCTTCCACCTCCACCTCTTCCTTCTTCCAACACGTCTTCTACATCTACCCAGCATTATCATCATGTTGTTTCACCTACCTCCTCGTTGCCTCTCCCTTCTCCTCCGCCTTCGCTTCATGCCCATCATCCTTACCATCGTCAACAACTTGTATTTCCTCCTTCTCATTCCTTTCAGCAACAAGGATCATTTGAAGAGTCGTTCACGACGACGACGACACCGACAACACCACTCTATCAGGAGAGTAGACAAGAATTGCCCGTGGCTCCTTCAGTACCTTCCATGATACCTCTTCCTTCCTTGGGTAAAAGTAGTAGTCATCGTATGCATCGTCCTCAGAGTCAGGATGAATGCTCCTCTTCTGTATCGTCGCCCTCTATACCAATAGCCCATGCCAAAATGGAACACCACGCACATCACCCGCACCACTCCGCGACCACGACGACTACTTCCCCTTTATCCCTACCCCATTCAATACCACCTCAAATTCAATTACCTCCTTATGATCCATTTCATATCCATGATAGTACTCCCATTCATTTCAGTTAACATGATTTCTATAAAGAATTAAAAAAATGTCAACATCTTGCAAGATGCTTCTTTTTTGATGAAAAGGCGGGGGTTGGTTTTTTTTATTGATTTTAGGTTTGAATCAATACAAGGTATATATATATATATATATATATATATATACAATGTATATACATGAATTTTTGTGTTGAAGGATGGCACTATCCCCCAACTCTCGTTTTCTTCTTGGATGGATGGGACTATGATTTCCTAAAGTCAAACACAGGATCAGGTTTATTCGCCAGTAACTATCATAAAGGGGGAAGGGTTTAGTTTGGGGTTTATCCGGGATCAGAAACAAATGAAAAAAAAAAAAAAAAAGATAAAGATCCTCCTCTCTTATTCCATTGTCCACTTTCTCTCTTGTCTCTCTTTTGTATAGGTTTCTTCTGCTCACCACTCAATCCCTCCCCTCCCCTCCCACGCGCCACATTTCTCAAAACTCATTCGTCCATCCGGTATGTTGAGGGTTTATCCGTTGCCCCCCACCCCCCGTTCAACCCTCTTTTCCTTTTAGGATAAATTACCGTATCTAATTCCAACATGACGTCGTCCGTCAACAAATGCCTCACATTGAGAGCTTGAATATTTTCTTTGGCTTGTGCGGGTGTCGATGCACCGATGATGACAGAGGTCACGTTTGGATTCTTCAAACACCAAGCAATGCCCAACTGAGCGGGAGTGACGTGCAATGTCTTTGCTATCTGACAGACACGCTTGATCTTTTCCAACTTGCGCCTTCCTTCCTCACTGAAAAGGCCACAACGCAGTCGATTGATGACTGGATGGTCCTGGATAGCGAAACGCGTATAAGGCGGAATGGTACCGTCGTTGTATTTGCCAGTGAGGAGTCCTGACGCCAAGGGAGACCATGTGCAAATGCCAAGTTTGTATTGCTTAAAGAGCGGACAGTATTCTTTCTCCACACGTTCTCGGTTCAGCATATTGTATTGAGGGGATTCTGTGATGGGCGCAATGAGATGCAGACGTTCAGCCACGTTCATGGCTTCTGTAATAAGGTAAGCGGGCCATTCGCTTGTGCCCCAGTAAAGGGCCATCCCTTTATCGATGCACCAGTTAAAGGCGCGAACCACTTCTTCCATTGGCGTATCGGGATCTGTGTTTTGGTTTTAGAGGGATGTCTCTTGCTTTTTTTTTTTTTTTTTTTTTTTTTCCTTCTTACCAGGTCGTTGAGCATAAAGGATATCGACATAATCTAATTGTAATCGTTGTAAACAGGCGACCGTGCCTTCAAACACATGTTTTCTGGATAATCCTCGATCATTCGGACCTTTGCCTCCCCAAAACACTTTGGTAGACACTACAAAATCACTTCTTCGAAGCCCCTTTTGACTTCTTAACGCCAGTCCTAAATCCACTTCTGCTTGGCCACCTAGGTTGAGACGACAGGAGAGTGAGTGATTCGTTTGTTTGTTTGCGTCACAGGGAGAAAAAAAAAAAAAAAAAAAAAAAAAAAAAAAAAAAAACGCCATGCCCTTACCTGCATGACTTTCTGCGACGTCAAAATGATTGATGCCCTTTTCCAAAGCAGTTTTCACGATTTCCGTTGTTTGTTCTTTTAGGAATCAAAAAAAATGGGGGGGGGTTTCTCATAAGTGATCCCTTTCTTTTGTTGCTTGTCGTTTTTCCTTTTTTCTTTTTTTTACATGAAAGTAATCTTGAACGTTTTTTTTATTACCGGGAGAGATTTGTCCTCCTGTTTTTGTTGTGGTTGTAGTATATGATAGATAAAGAAGGGCTGAGTATTCATGACACTATGATGTGTTGTTTATAGTGATCATGATGATGATGACGATCAGGAGTGTTTTTTTTACCAAATGTTATCCATGAACCCAAGGAGAGTATGCTCACTTTCAAGCCGGAATGGCCAACATAACGATACTCCATAGACTCTGTATTCAACATAAGAAATGATAATCACTTGGGGCAGAAAAAAAGATAGATTGAAAACAAAAAAGAGAGACAAGGAAAAAAAGAAAAAAAAAAAAAAAAAAAAAGAGAAAATCTATTTTTTTTCCCCTGGGCTAAATTATTTTACAGACAATAAGGCTTATCTACGATCGCACGTCGTAGGAAGAGAAACAGAAATAGACTCGGGTAGCCTGGGGTGGCTGTTCCTTCTTGTTCCTCTACAGCGCTGACTATCGACATGAATGTCTTCGTTGCCGGTGACGGATGCACCGTAAATAGGCAAGACGACCCTGTTTCTCAAGTCCTGGGTCTGCTCCCATTGATTCACCACGGTCTGCCAATCTTGCATTCTATCCGCCGAATCATTCCAGACACCACCCGGATAACAACACACCAACTGACGACGTGTGGTCAAGAACCGCGTCAAATAGTCCTTTTCGGACTCGCCTGCTCTTTTGGGGCCCGTCAGGGCCAAGAGACGCGGCAGGTTAATGTAGGGCTCGACATATTGCCAGCCATGTTGAACAATCGTGTCGTAAAAGATGGCTTTGCCAAGGTTGGATGTGACGCCAGCACTCGCCGCATATCTTAACGCGGGTTGCAAATACATGGCCTCTCCTACGTCGAGTTGCGTCTGGATAAAGACAGGATCCGAACACGCTGCATTCCTCCAAGCTTCAGGAAATTGTGGGAGCTGGCTCGTGTCGTCTCGCTGGGGATCACCAAAGCCATACGTCGTCAGTCTTTCAAGCGCGCTCAAGTAGTAAGCGAGGGGAGCGAAAGGTTGACGCCGCACGTATTCTTTGACCACGGCATAAGCGTCATTGGTACCTGTGGTGAATCCAATATAACCACTATCCATCCATTACAAACAAACAAACAACGATGAGTGATCCGGAGTGGGGGCGGCGGGCGGCTTTCTCTTTCTCTTTCTCTTTCTCTTTCTCTTTTACCTTGTATAACCTCGACAATCACCCAATTTTTCTGCAGCCTAATGAAACCATGCTTGATCTCGTGAGTCCTCCTCCTGTTTTTTTTCACTCCTTCTGATATAGTTTTTCACTTACGGCAAAACCCATCTTGGTATTTCCATTTTCAAACCTATCCCCCTTCCTTTGTCAGTTTCTGTTGATTTTCGTTTCAGGAACCCCCTCCCCCCACCACCACTCAAAAATACAAAACTTACACATTGGTGATTAAAATGGCCATGGTCTTTGTGTGTTCATCTATCTGTCCATGGGGTAAATGACTGATATCATAGAATCTATCCAATGAAGGGCAAGGATACATGCGACGGGCACATCAGGATGGTGAGACATGAGTGGGGAAAAAAAAAAAAAAAAAAAAAAAAAAAAAGCTCCTTTACGTGGTACAGTTACTCAGTTCAACACCTTTAAATCGACCCGTGGCCTTGAGGGAACTATCTGTACATAGGCCGAGGTCGGTGAGGGCGTCAAAGTTGAATTTTTGGCAGTTTTGTGGTGTGGGTGCAAAGTCATTTCCAGAACAGTAGTTTGGTGCAGTTGCAGCAAGAACGGACAAAGAACAAAAAGACGTGAAAAAAGGTGGTAGCATCCACGCCAAAGCAGATATTGATTTCATTGTTGGCAAGTAAAAAAAAAAAAAACAAAAAAAAAAGAATAGGTGAAATGGGTAGATAAAAAAGAAGGATTTACATCCTTTTTATTATAGATAGATAGAATGAAATAAAAATTAATTTTTGGTTCTTATTTGTATATTCTTACAGGTTTTTTTTTTTTTTTTTTTTTTTGTATTTAATTCACGTACTTATTCTTACAGTTTTTTTTTTCGATTAAAATCGTAAATACTACTAGGCAACTTTGGAAAAATGAGTATATTCATGAGAAAAACTATTTACATATTTTAGATAAATTTTAGAATAAATTCAGACGCACTTACCAGACATTACCCAAATTGTTATCGAATTGTGAGTTGCGTAATGAGGTAGAAACAGTAAGCATTCGGCCTCTGGTTACATTATAAATATATTACAATTTACACTGTAGGTATGTGTGAAGGAGTGATATCCATGACACATGAAAGTGGAACTAATCTCGTTTCCCGCAGGTCTGTGATTGTCATTTACTGCAAGCAAACATGAAAATAGCATGGATGTTTTTGGCAGCATGAACGTCGCGATTCCAAACTGTATTACAGTCTTTGCACTGCAATACAGCATATACTCTTCGCTTTGATGCTGCTGTCGTAACATTCTCCAAAATTTGATGTTTGCATACATTACATATTTGACTCGTCAGATATTCATCGATAGTGAGAGGTAAACTGGCTCGAGTGGCTTCCTCCCAGTTGTAAACTTTGACCATGACCTGAAGCCCAGTTTCTTAAAGTAATACATATCTGTAAGGTCAGATTCAGTTTTTTTGCCCGTCTTGTAGCCATCCACATTTGCTTCTTTTGCTAATCTCCAAAACGCCTGAGCATTACTTCTAGAGAGAGAGGCAGGCCATGAGGGGCTTGATCCCTGCTTCTTTCCATAGATATAATGTGCTCATTTTTTCGTTCTGCTACCGTCCAATTTTTACAAAAGTTTACAGAATTGTTGTCAGACAACACGTTTCATGTACGTCGTTTCTGGTGAGTGTTTCGTACTGTTTACCGGCAATGGAAAGAACGCTTGAGTAGTTTATACTTTTTAACAGCTGCGGGTCTTAAGTCGTCAGGTCACAGAAGGTCTTGAAATGTTCTTTGATGTCGTCCGGTGCCTTCTTACTATTTCCGGTCATCACGGCAAAGATATTTCTGAACAGAGTTTGCTCAATAACAGGGACACAAGATAGTGAAGCGCACTGGTGATTGCTCTTGTTTCCTCGTCGCATGAGTTCAAATTTTAAAAAATTCATCTCAAAATAAAATGATTAAATCTAAAAAGTATTTATGGTGTTTTCCAAAATCCATTATTCTGTTCGTCTAAAGCAAACAGTATGAAAGCGAATTATAAGGTAATTTAAAGCAATTTATTGTCGGTTTTCCCCCTCCTTAAAATAAAATAAAATAAGATAAAATAAAATAAAGGGGACTAACGGTAATAACAGTTGTATTGGCAAATGAGGTTCTCGAGACCTCGGCACGCTTGACAGCTGTAGCTAAATTTAAGTGTTCCCAGCTTCACTTTGTCAAGCAACTGCGGATTGTCTGCTTCATTCATGCAACAACATAAGAACCATCGCTCTGATGGTCTGCTTTGATGAATAAAAAGCTTCTTTTTGTGGTTCACACTCTTTTTTTTGTTTTTTTTTTGTTTTAAGAAAAAGAAAGCACCTCATGCTTGACGTCGATACTGTGTATGTGCACGCGCGTGTGCTACAAAAACTTGTAACTTTTTTTATTTTAGGGAGAACTTTATATAAAAAACCAAAATAAATAGAAAAAGGGATGAAACAATAAAATAGAAATGCAAGGAATATGCGGGAAAAGAAAAAACGAAACGTTTTGCTTGCACAGATTTGAATGTTGTGTTAGATATGCTCTGTTAACGACTTGAAAACGTGAATGAAAATTTGATTGGTATATATAGCGAAAAAAAAAAGAAAAAAAAAAAAAAGATAATATTACAAAAAAATGTTATATAGTCAGACAGCAAGTAAGCGAGCCTTAAGCAGTGTAAATGTTGACGGGTGTCATACTGTCAGGATTAATGATGGGTATCACTCGTTTGAACGATTTGGGCGATGTGTTGGGAGAAGACTGAGGCGAATAACGTTGTTGAATACGATCACGGTGTTCAAAAGAGGCATCGGTATCGTACAGAGGACAAGGACAAAATTCGTAATCGTCGTAGAAGTTTCGGGCAAGTTCGAGCTGAGCTCTAAGCTGGCCTAAACGATGACTGTTGCTATCACAGCTACTACTGCTACTACTGCTGCTACTACTGCTCGTACTTGTCACACTACTATTGCTACTGATATAGTTTGGTTGACGATGACGACGGTAAGATGGATAGGGTTGTGATTCCGGAGGATGAGAATAATATGGAGACTGTTGTTGATAATGATAAGAAGAAAAAGATGACATTGAAGGAGAGGCTATATATTCATATTATTTATATGATTTAGTCAGTTTATCTTTTATTTTTTATATATTTTTCAACTGCCTTTCCTTACCTTGATAGGGATTGTAGTTATGTTGTTGCTGTTGTTGGTGACAAGTAGTAGCGTTATAATGGTATGTCATATTCACAGGGCTCATTGTTTGTTTGGTTTTTTTTAAATAATAAGGTAAAAAAAAATAAAGAATAAAGAAAAAGCAAAAAAAAAGAGAGATGGAAATCCCTTTTATAGTCGTTGGAATTCAGCTTGTGGTGGTTATATACATTATGTCTAGTTAATGGACAAGTGTGTCTGTGTGAGTGTGAAATCTGGTGAGGGCGTTGAAGAAGTTTAACCTTTTCGTAACCAATCAAATCAGTTGAATGTGTCTATCAGAAACATAACATCCAATATACCTAATTTTTTCTCTTCTCTTTATAGACCTCGTTTCTCCCCTCATTGACCCTTTCTTCTCCCTTCGTATGGCTTTCCATCTTTGGTTTGTGTTATAGCCGGTTTCTTTATTATCTTACACATACAATATTCGATCCTAGCTGTCATAGAAAGAAAAAGAAAAGCTTCAAATAAACTTATCTTTAAAACCCCCCCCCCCCATGAACCCTAAATGAACGCCTTTTTTTTAACCGGAAAAACAACCATGGATATAACACACAGCCAAATTTAATTTTTTTTTATACTTTCCTTCTCTTTTTCTGCAGAGAAATCTCTCTTTTTTTCCCAAAAACAACAGAGGTGATCCATATTCGGATTTTCTAAATGTCGAAATGGCACGTGGTTGAGAGTCAATTTGTTCATGAGTAGTGTAATAATAAAGAGAAACGCCCTTGCATTGCTTGCTCTCTATTTTTAACGTGCACAAACATAAGGAGGGGGACAAATGTTTAGAGTATTAAAAAAAAAGGAAGCATTTATGTAACCTTATTGCGTTGAAATTTTTGTAACACTCATAAATCAAAAACTAAACTGAAAAAAGGTTAACTGCAAGTCCGTGAAAGGGGACACAAGCAGAACTCACTTTCCTTTTTTGTATCACATGATTAAATTTTATTTGTTCAAATCAAAGCCTTACCATAAATACAATGTCTACACACTCTCTTCTTCTTTTTTGAATATTTGTGCATGAATGGAGGACATCTTTTATCGTGATATAACAAACTATCCCTTTTTTGCAGGAAAACGATACTATACCTTTTAAGGAATATCCGCTTTTTTTTTGCTTCTTTTCAAAAAAATGCCGTAATATTGCGCCCTCAAACAGTTGTTTCTTTTTTCCCTTTGTCCTGATCCCAAATTCTGGAATGGCATATGTTTGACTTTCTTTTTTTTTTTTTTTTTTTTTTTTTTAAAAAAAAGTAACCTTTCTATTTCACTGCGCTTTATCGTTGTCCATTTCTGCCACACAATGACAAAAGTGGACTACCACGTGTAGGCGATAGTAGATAACGTACATTCACCATTGACTGGTTCAAATGAAATAGTATGCATGATAGACCATGACATTGACACATTGACAACAAGTACAACAATGTGGATTTTTAGACAACCCTTTCCCCTGTGACGAAGGGCCGTGCTTTGTGGGTGAATTCGTTCATTTGCCCCTCCCCCCTCCCACCCCCAATGCGAGTGATCTGGGCAAAGGTTCTCTTTTAACCTAGGATGGGCTCTACCCTCCCGCCCCGCCCTCCCTCGTAGGCAAACTACCCGTATATCCTGTGAATACCTGGTACATGACCAATGAAAACGCATGACCTCCAAAGTGAGCAACAACAGCTCATCCAATTGTAGCGCAGTCACTTTTTTTAATTTAAACCTCTCCCTCCCTTCTTTCCTTCCCTTTTTTCCCCCCTCCCTATCATAGAACATCCCATTTCCCCCCTCTCGTTGACAACGTCATCAAGCTCGTCCTCGCCAAGTCGATCCATACCATGAATTCAGCACCTATTCGAAAATTCCGTATTAAATCACCTTGTTCAACCGCCAATATCGGTCCAGGATTCGATGTCCTTGGTATCTCTCTTTCTCTTTATCTCACCATTGACGTTACCATTTACGACAAGAGCAGTCAGCTTCCTGCCTTCAAGATGACCTATTCAGGTGAGGGTGCGACCGATGTCCCTTTGACCCCAGAGGACAATTTGATTACCAAGACGGCGCTCTACGTCTTGGCTGCCAACGGTATCTTTGAACTCTCGGCAAACCCTCTTCATCTTCATGTCGATAATCCCATTCCTTTGGGACGTGGTTTGGGCTCTTCAGGCGCCGCGGTGGTCGGCGGTGTTCTTCTCGGCAACGCGCTTGGCAACCTCAAGCTGTCGCACGATCGACTCTTGGACTATTGCTTGATGATTGAGCGTCATCCTGATAATGTCGCTGCTGCGCTCATGGGCGGTTTCGTCGCTTCCTATTTGAGAGAGCTGGAGCCCGGTGTCATGGAGCATGTGCCCAGCTCGGAAACCTTACTGAGCCATGCTGTGGAAAAGAAAGAAAAGCAAGAAGCCATGCCACAACCACCGTTGGGGATTGGCCATTATGTGCGATTAGGCTGGAGCAAAGACATCAAATGTATCGCTATCATTCCTCAATTTCAAGTGGCCACAGCAAAAGCAAGAGCTGTTTTACCCAATCAATATGAAAGAAAAGATATTGTAAAGTAGTAGTAGTCGTGGTGGATATGTGTGTGTGTGTGTGTGTGTGTGTGTGTTATAGCCAAGAGGACTGAATGCACTCGGCAAAGGCGTTTGTTTTTCAATGTGCTGACAAATGATTTACTTATTTATTTATTTTTTGGGTCTTGTAGGTATTCAATTTTCAGAGATTAGCCGTGCTGACAACGGCACTCAGTCAAACACCACCCGACCCGGAACTCATTTACAACGCCATGCAAGATAAAATTCATCAACCTTATCGATCCACCCTCATTCCAGGATTACCTCAAGTGCTAAGTCAGGTCACCTATAAAAAACACGATGGATTATTGGGTATTTGTTTGTCAGGAGCAGGTCCTACCATTTTAGCGTTGGCCACAAAGAACTTTGATGACATTGCTAAAGCGGCCATTGATATCTTTAAACAACATGGTGATTTCAAAGTGATTTACAAGGTGCTGGATGTCGTTACAGACGGCTCAGCCTGTGTCGAGTTATAAAGGAGATGGAGATGAGAGCTTAAAAAAAAAAAAAAAAAAAATGAAACAAAAAAGGAGGTTTTAGAAGTCAGCGGGAAGAATTCATCTTAATTAAAAAAATGTTTATTTATTTGATACTGTATTTTGGTCCGTCCCTCTTTATTTTTATAATCATTAACACAAAGCAGTCGCTTAGGTTGACATCACAGGAATCTCTTTTTTTAAATATTAAGCGAGACCCGTGTCTGTGTGTGCGCCATGTCTGGAGCAACCCCGGAAAGCGTTCTTTGCAAAAGAGATATTTGGTTTCGAATTGCGTGATGCTTTCAACTTTTTAACGAGACGTAGTAACTAGATCACTTGCAGAAAACGTCAAAGGCTTTCCAAATGGAGTAATTTTAGTACCATTGTCATATTGTATATTATTTAATGTCAATGTCTACGCCTAGTCTTCTTCTCTCTCTCTTTTCCCTTTCCTCTTTTTTTTTTTTTTTATAAATTTTTTCTACGTCTTGACCTTTGACAGAAATAATCGTGTCAGATCACAATTCTAGATGAAGACAAGGTTAAAAGCTTTTTTGGCGTTTCATTTTTGCATTGTCTATTACTTGTCACACGCCCAAGCTTTACAATTAGGACAGCAATGTGATCCCAAGCCCAAATACAAGTATAGTTCATGTCCCCCCGATTCCTCTTTATTATTGAAAGAGGCGCTCTCCACTTCTGAAACAAGTAGTTAATCTTTCGTTTCTGTGTGCTTAGAAAAAGTTGGCAATATGAGGATGCATGTGATAATGTCTACCTTTACTGCGACCCATCGACGAGTACGTGTCAATATAAAGGATGTGCCCATACAGACTATCTACGAGGGTAATAAAAGTGAAGCCTGAAAGTAAAAAGAGACATACATGGCTAAGAAAACAAAGTATCTGCCTTTTCTGTTGTGCATGTATCAGATGGAATATCAGTTTCAGGGCATTTCCCGAAAGATGTAATGGAACAACCTTTTGTCCAGACAATCAATCCAGATGCACAGAGAAAGTACCTATTGGATCTCACTGTGAAATTGTAACGTATACAGTCTATTTCAGTATAATACGCGAATCCAGACCATGCGTGGGATGCTTACACGACCTTTTTATTCTTTCATCTGTCCTGCACCCCCCGCTTTAGCAAAGAGATGATGAGTGTGATACTATCCATTCTATTTGTCTCAATTCTACCTGCTTTGTTAAAGCCGCACCACTGGGTGGCAATTGTGGAATAGACATGTAAGTATACATTTCCAAAAAAAACAAACAACCCCTTTTCCGTCATTTTACTTACACCTATAACTTACACATACATGCACAGTACAACTTATATTACGAACGACGCGACAGGTGTAGAAATGGAACAAACGATCATTCGTGACAATTGTACGGATGGTCACTACTGTGATAATCATGATTCATTCACTTGCATCTGGTCCAAACAAAACGGTCTTCCTTGTCACCAAGACCGCGAATGCTTGTCAGGCACCTGTTCGAATGAAGGTGTCTGTGTGGACGGACCGGATATCTTTCATCCAATTCCTGCCTGGTCCTGGGGTGTCTTTGCCCTGGCGATTGTCCTCTTTATACTGATCGTCTTATCAGGACTTTGGGTTTTACATCGATACCAATCCAAGCTCGTACACCAAAAGAGGATCAAGTTCTTTGATGACAATGAAGCGTTTGGCAAATATGCCTCGTCGCTTCTCTTGAGCCAACAGCAGCGTTGTGATTCCCTTTCCACATTGGGATACAATGGGAGCGCTTCTCCTTCTCCCAGTTTGGCCAGTACAAATCAACTTTCTATGCAACAGCCACAAGGATTTATCTATCTCACAACACCCGATTATTACACTTCACAAGCATTAAGTCGAAAGAAAGGTGGAGCGCCGCCCCCGTCTTTTGCTTCGACCTCTTCTTTCAACAATCCGTTTGCAGCATCATCCGTATCACTTTCCTCGTCCTCTCATAACAATCACCCCTCCTAATTTTACGCAAGATACTAAGATAACCGACATTGTCCTTTCATGAAACAAAGCCAAATACCCCCCCCCCCCTCCAACATCTCCCATTTTGTGCGGATGAGTTGCATCAAGTTAGTGAGCCAATATCTTTTTTTTTTTTTTATTTTATTTTTTCTCAAATGTGTACATATAGATTTTTGATAAAGACTAAAAATCCTAGACATTCCCAAAAGCCCTTTTTTTAACCCTATTTCCTGAAAAGCTATATTCAAGAAAAGTTGAAAGCTTACAAAAAAGAAAAGCTTAAATACTTGTTCCCAACACAATACTATTTGACAAAGAAAAAAAACAACGGCACATCCTGTGCTTTTTTCTTTTGCAAAAAAAGTGTGCATTTATGAGAAACCGATGTGTGTGCGTGTGTGTGTGTGTGCACGTAAATGAAATGGCAAATAAAGTGTCACTAATAATGTTACACAGTGGCATTTTTCTTTTTGCATTTACGGAATTATTTCTATAGACAATTGCTGCATTTAACCAAAGCAGCAGCAGCAGCAGCAGCATCAGCACAGTAACAGTTGTCGTGGCAGTACACACCTCTTTAGCATAAAGGCAATGAATTTCAGGTACCGTATCCAATTCCCTTTTTCCTTTCTCTATTTCTTTTCGCCTTTCATTTTTATTTTTATTTTTTCAAATTCTTTTTTCAAGCACAACACAATAGAATAGAGATCCATTCTACATGGGACTTCTTTATGATATTAGATAGAAACCAACAGTTGTATACAGAACAAAAAAATAATTGCCATGAAAACTACTTTTCCCTGCCACCACCGCCTTCTTATTCAACGGTGATTGCTGAAAAGCAATGGACTGAAAAAGTATAAAGACTCATTTTTTTTTTATTCCATCACCTGATTTTTTTTTTTTTTTTTAATTTTCGTTTGGTATGTAATACTTAACCTTTTTATTTTTCCTTACTCTAATGAATAGTTGGATGAAATCAATGAATTATTGTTGACTCTTCGATTGTCCATACAAGATATCTATTTTATGATGACCATGTATCGACATTACTATCAAAGGTGAGGCGTCTTTCTTTCGTTTACCGTCATTGATCACAGTCTCTTTCCTTACCCTTTTATTCTTCTTTTTGTAGAGTCGAGCTGAAAAGTCAATATCTTTTAGACATGTTGAAAAAGAAATCACCGCATAGCCCTCTACGGTAAGGAACCATTTTAATTACTGTTCTTTCTTCTCATCTAAAGAAAAAAATGGAATGGTATCCTAGTAAAGCAAGATCGTCGTCCTCATGCAATGTTTTATCAAGCCAATCTATTGAAACTGTACAAGTAGATGATGATGATGATGAAGAACGAGAAGAAGAGGCCTTAATTACTCGCATGAATCAGACCGTAAGCTATTTAATTCGCGAAGCCGAAGTCAGTTTAGCACAAAACACTGTACCTACTGTCATTCAACTTGATACAGATGAGGATGATTGTATCTTTCATCGTCTACAGCAACAAAAGAAACGGTATCTGTACAGCCAATATACATTGACAATGACGATGAATCGCCTCATTCAATATGCGAAAACGTCCTCCTTCCGAGAAGATGCATCCACAAAAAACAACAATGTACAACAGGCACAGCAGCAGCAGCAGCAGCAGCAGCAGCAGCATAGCAACACCTGCCACTATCATTATCATTATCACTACCATTACCCGCTCAAGTCAGAGCATGCTACCACGCAGGATACCCCCAAGAAAGATACCATCACCATGACCACCACCCCACTTTATAAAGACCGTAACATAGCCAACTCCCAGGTGACTGGCACGCTCCACAAGCATCCACCGTCCTCTTCTTTATCTCATCCTTTACATCCTTTGAGCAAAACGCATACGAACCACGGCTATGATCATCAAACGCGTCATCATCGATGTTTACACCACCACCACCAGCACCACCACCAGCCGTATCCTAAACGTCATCGTCCTCAACTCTACCGTCTCTTATTCTTTGCCACCCTTGTACTTTTATATAACTTCCATCCGCATTACCCACTGTTTCCTTACTCCTCCAACCACATGTTAAAGCAGCATCATGTTATCTTTGAGAAACGCTTATGGCTTCGTCGGAAATCCCTTTTGATGAATACATGGAAAGCAAAACGGTTGTATTTATATCAATGGTGGATCCTAAAATCCAACTTATTTTTGTATATAGTGCGGCTACTTCTGAAGGGTCATTAAAAACGACAACGACACTCACTCTAACTGTACATAAAAAACAAAACAAACTTTGATCCATGTTACATTCTCCTCCTCCTCCTCCTCTTGAAAAATCAACAACAGAAATAGGTCGCCAACATGCGATGACTCCATGAATCGCTCAATGTAGTGGATGCGTATCTATAAGAATGTCCACAATGATGGCAACCTTTTTCCGCTTTTTTTTTTTTCTCCCCCCGATGTTGGTCATGTCTTTCGCTTATGCTGCTGGCTTTATTGTATTTGCATCCATAAATCTAGCTAGAACCGCTGTTTTCTTACGTTGCTCCTCTGCTTTTCTTTCTTCCTTTTCCAACTTGAATTGTTGCTTCCATAGATTCATTTGACCAAACCTGAGTTTTGTTAACAAGTCCATGGCTTGTCCCTTGGTAAGACTAGGCTTTTGACCACTGCTCAGACCGGTGCTGTTGTCCTTCCTGTCTTTCGCTTCAGCATCGGCAGAGGCGATATTCAACTTGTACCTGGCCAAGGCTTTCATTTGTGCCGGTGTCGCTTTTGTCGACCGATAGGGTGCTTTTCTCGACATCAAAAATGGGTTGACACTATTGCCAAACTTCTTCACCACCCAAGAATCGGCTGCTCTGATCGCACTGAATACATCGGAGGCTTCCAAGGGTATCTGAAATGGCTTTGAGAAAATATGGCGGCTCGTATTCGCATAGCGAAAGGTTCCCTTCCACAGCCGACTCTTCGTCTCATATTCAAGAACCAAAAATCCTTTTGTCAATACATGCAATACGCATTTCTTCTGACCGACGTCAACCCAGCCAAAATGAGAGGCTGCACGCACATTTTTGGCTACCGAAAAATCAGCAATGAGCTCCTGTAAGCTGTCGTATTCCGTAATACGGATCTTGATCCGGTCAAGATCCTCATCCTTCTCCTCCTCCTCCTCCTCCTCCTCCTCTGTTTCTTTGTCAATGTCTGTATGTTTGTTATCGTCTTCTTTTTCCTTTGTCTTTAAAGCTTCTTTTTCTAATTCTAAAATGTCTTTGTTGACTACCATTTTCGATGTGTCTAGTCCTAATAAAGTCGGTACCGTAATCACACCTGCCTGTCCTGTCCGTTTAAAGTTATCCACAAAGTCAATCACCAGGCAATCCTTCTTGTTGGGAAAAAGACGTAATCCACGACCAAACATTTGCTGAAAGAGTGTGGTGGATTTTGTTGGACGCGCTAATAAAATACAGTCCACACTAGGTATATCTGTGCCTTCTGTCAAGATGGCTTTTTTAATTTCAACAAGAAAGAGTTAGCTCCTATACACATTCTTCATCTCAATCACCCCCAGATAAAAAAACCAAGTTTCTTTTTCTCTTTTACCACAATTCACAAGTACGGGTAACTTTCTTTCACGAAATTCTTTCAATATGGATATTCTTTCTACTGCATTTGTTTTGCTGGTAATGCATTTGGCATGGATACCGGCGTCGATAAACGCATTACATAATTGAACCGTATGTTGGATATCCACAGCAAAAACCAACGTGGACTGTCGTTGCATGTCGTTCTTCCTGCTCAAAAGCTTTATCTTTTCGTCGTCCTCGGCCTCCTTCTTCAGCTTTGACATTTGCCTCTTTTCTTCTTGCTCCTCGTCCAACTCCCTCTTCACTACTTTCCAAAGCTGAGCATCCTTGTCTTCCTTGGCTTCTTTCTTTGCCCTGATCTCAGTCTCCTGATCGTTTATCGCAGCGCCTTGTTGTGCATATTTCCGCCAACTGGAGACAATGATTTGATTTCTCGTCTTGGTATTCACGGCTTCGGCTAATTGTGTCTTTACAAAGTCGCCCGTGGAGGAGGACAGTTTGACTTGAGTCAAGTCTACTTGAGTATCAACGGTCGTGACTCGCATGGGACATAAATAGCCTTGTTCAATCATCTCCATGAATCCAATATGAAAGGTAATCTTGTCAAAGACGGCTTTCAGAGCAAGTCCATCATGTCGTTTCGCAGTAGCTGTACAACCCCACAAGAGTAAGTCTGTGTTCTGTTGGGTTGTATTATCGCTGACGTTCGTGATATCGGCAAGCTCTTTTCTGGCATCCTCGGTCTTCTGGTGAAGGTCGTTGTCGCCGCCACGAGGTTTATTGGAAACGCCAAAATAATCAAGGATATAGGTATAGGTATCTGCCACAGCATGATGTGCTTCATCAATCAAGATGGCTTTGAATTGATCGGGTTGAAAACGTTCCAAACGAGTCGATCCCTTGAGCGACTTTTCCGTGGGCTTTCGACCCAAGGTAGGTACAGAGGCGATAATTACATCCGCACTATCTATATCAGCTTTTCTTTTCCCTTGCTCTATTTGTACATTCTATATTCAAACATCAGTCCTATCGAATGTTCCGAACTATACGTTATCAACCATCTTTTTTTATTACCAAGTTTGGATTGTATCTAGTAATTTGATTGTAAGCTTGATCTAATAACTCAGTACGATGAGCAAGCAATAACACTTTTGTCGCTTTGGGGGTTGGACAAGGGATTTTGGGTATAAGATTAGACATGACGACAGTTTTGCCACTCCCTTCATCGTTATAGAAAAAAAAAAAAAAGAACGATGAGCTCCATGGTGGGGATGGACGGACGATCACAACACAGCTTTTTCTTTTTCTTTTTTCTTTTTTTTTTTTTTTACCAACAGGCAAAGATACAATCTGTTTATTACAGCCGTTCTCAAACTCTCTTAAAGTTGTTTCTATACAATCTTTTTGATAAGGCCTCAACATGTCAAAAGTAATGGCTGTTGTATAACACGATTTTTGCTGAAAACGGCAAAGAAGAAATGATGAAGAGATCAATGGCCGAAAAATAGTGGAGTTGGTTATTCTAAACCATTGTCGCATAATATTCCGTATTTCCTTTCTTGTGTATCGCCTCTTTGAAACGCTACAAAGAAATCAGGAAAATATCTCTCCGTGCTAATTTTGATTATGGCAGAGGTAAAACGCAGTAAAAAGCATGTAAATGTCTTTTTTATGTCAGAAAAAAGGGGAAAGAAAAAAAAAATAAATTATTTTTTATTTCTCTTCTTCTTCTTTTTGGCTGGAGAAGCAGCAGCAGCAGCAGCAGCAGTAGATTTCTTACTGCTTTTGCGCTCGTCATGAAGAACAATGGGTTTAGCTGACAACACATCCTTTAGTCTTGCTCTTGATTGATCTACTCGTTCTAATAGTCTTTGTGATAACTTGACACCTTCTCTTCTCTTTTGTCGAGCCGTTTCAAAATCAAAAGGACATTCTACGCAATCTAGTTTTATCAGGGCTTGCATAATGGTTTCTGATAGATAAATGCCTTTCTCTTGCCATTTTTTCCTTTGTTTGGCGTCTTCTTCTGCATCTAGCGTCATGGTATCATCATTGTTGGCATACGCATTTATTTGCTCATCAAATTCGTCTATTTCTTTCTCTAACGTAGAACTGAGTCGGCTCACAATTTGATGAATCTTTTGTATCAAAGCATATTCTTCAGGATTGCCCGATGCCGTTTGTTGCTTCACGACGGATTCCTGTGCACAAAAGTGAAAATAAAGCAAAAAGATGAGCCCCTTTATTCCACACCATCAATGACATCTGACATCAGCTTACATCCGCTTTCTCCCCACTTAACGTCACCACTGAATTAGTATGAACACCAACACTTGCTAACGTAGCCGTATCGTCCTTCATGTTGGCTATCATAAAAAGCACGTTCTTTTTGTTTGAGTATTTCAAATGTTGTGGACTTGTTAAAGCACCATGGAAAGGTCCCAACAGTGGGGTCGTTCATTTTCGTTATTTACCTCCTGAAACTTGCAAAAGCATTGAAGCAATCGGTACATCCGTTAATTGTTTACATTTCTCTTTTAAATCCTTCACAGTAGCTTCATTGAAGCCTTTTCTGAATTCCTTAAAGTTCAATTGTAACTTTGAACCTTTCCAATCAAGAAAAACGGTGGTTCTTCTTTCTCTTTTCGAAACCTTGTGGTATCCAAAGAAGGACTTTATGGAAGCTACAAAGACCTTCCAAAAGAGAAAAACGATATAAAATATACTATAATACAATTTGAAAAAAAAGTGAAGGGTGTGTGTGTAGGGGAACTGCCGTTCTTTAACGTAAAGAGGGATAAAGAAAAAGAAATTTCACTTTTTGACAACTACACACACATCAAAAAGTAGATGAAAAAACTCAGCTACTTTTTTTTTGACAACTTTCTTTTTTTTTGAAAAGCCCAAAAAGTAACCATCCTCTTTCTTTTTGCAAACACAAAGAATATACCAATGGGTCGTCGTTCAAGACGGAAAAGAGAATGGAATTTGACTCCAATAGAGATCGATGAGGACGATTTGGAATCACATCGCTTGGACGCAAACCCTCATTGTAAGTCAAAACCATGGTGCTGTCATTAAGCATTTCGACGATCGATCGCCGCCTCCTTACTTTTGATCTCACTATTTTTTTGATCTAACAGATACACAAAGTTATCCAGAAAAGCAAGTCTTTGCAAGAACCAATAACTTTGTACCTACTTCTAAGAAAGCGGCTCGTTTGGTAAGTACCAACAAAAAAAGTCAGGATTTGCAAAGTGGAACTTTTGTCAACAGCATCGGATCACTGATCTCAATTCAAAAAAAAAAACCAAAAAGAATGTTGGTGAAATTTTCAAAGTAGCACCCGAGTTTGCAGAGCATACACTTAGTAGTTTTCGTTGGGAACAACTTTTTACTGATTATATTGGTGTGCAAAAGCGGCAAGAACAATTCGATCCATTGCGAGGCAATTCTCTACTGATAACAGATGACTCAGACAACGTAGTCCTCGCTTTTTTCAGTGCTGGCGAAAGTTTATCCACTTTAGTCGTTACTTCAAGTCAAAAAGCACCCTTCTCACCGCAGGCAACCGATCACAGCGAGTCATTCGATTTACCTTTTGACTCTTTTCATGTTGTAAAGTACTTTGATCTCAAATGGCCAATACGACAAATCACCATGTCACCTTTTACCACTCTTCCCTATAGACTATTTATTGTAAGAACCACCTCCACCCTACATCTATTCAAAATCACTCAACAACAAAAGGATCATAGTGGAATTCATATCGCGCAAATATACCATTTGAATCTAGCAGAACGCACTCTCAGCAACAACGCTGATATCGACTATTCTATGCCTGTCCACGTAGAAATGAGTCCTTTCGTACCCACACAGTTCTTATTTATTACGAACAATGGATACATAGCCCTCATCGATGCGGCAGATGATAATGTTATTCACGAATGGACTGTACCCATACCATTACCCAAAGAGAAACCGTCTGGTAACAATAAAGTGACACAGACGTACGTTTCTCGATGGGCATCTTGTGGGTTCGGTCCTAGCGCTACCAGTTTTCTTGTCGCTACACCAGAGACCGTCTCAGAATGGGTGCCGGACGGTCTATCGCTTAGGATGGAAAGGTTGATTTTCTCAACGATCGATCCAGCAGTTTCTGAAGAAGACCACCAGAAGAACAAGAAAAGGAAAAGGTTCAAAAAGAAGGATCGTATCACTTCTTTCAGTACAGTTCCAAGTGGCAAACCTGGACATCGTCTTTTTTGCTTCACGACACTGGATTATGTTGTGGTGATTGATTCATCTGCATATAAACACCCAATTATGATATTACCGCAGAGCCTAGACGAAACATGCTTTTCTTTACTGAAATTTGAAGAAGTAAAAAAGGATACTGGCGATTGTAGGTAGAAAAAAGGGGATACGTCTAATTTTTGTCAAGAAAGTCAAAATGTCACTGACACTCTATTTAATGGTGAATAGACCGTATTACACTTTTCTCTTATATAACCCAACACTTGTCGATTACCGATTTTCATTACGATTCTGAACCGCTTGACATTGAGCGCAAATTACAATATAACGGTACCTATCATTTACAGCTACCTCAAATTTCAATACATCATTCCCCTTCCGCTCAGCTAGCAAGTGTTGGATTGGCAGTCATACCAGCCATGCCTTCGAATAGTAGTGAAATCAATGACCTTGGACGAGCGAATAACGGTAGATATGCATTTCTAAGTATTTACCGACTGTTTGAAGATGGATCTCTGCGAGTAAAGTACATTGATTTCAAAAAGCAAGAGCACCTTGAAATTGATGATGATGCTGCTGCTGTAAAAGGACAAGAAGTCGAATTGTCAAGATACCCAAGATTTTCACTTGAAGAAGACTCCTGCAGTAGCAAACAACTATTATCACTCATGGAGACGGCAAGAAGAAAAGCGTTACCTTATGTCGGCAGAGTACCTGTCTCAGAGGCAGAGTTAGTCAATGTGACTATTGGCCGACTCAAACAGAAAGTAATGAACTATGTCCAATCGTACAAGGATGAAAAACCGATTGCTGGCGATCGGAAAAGCGCACTCTCAGCCACAGTAAGACAGATGCCGACTACTCGATCCTAGTAAGTATTCCTATGTTGAATAATATTCCTATAACAGTATATTGGAGACTGATTCGAATGATTGAAAAAAACATCTTTGCTTGCCTACTTCTTTAGTCGTGAACTGTTCAAAGACGATGAATTTCAAAAATACAGTACGGACAAATTAATTGAGTTTCTCCATCAATTGAAAGAATACGAGAAAATACAATTCTATATACACAAACCCAATTTAATACTTCCTGATGTGGGTGTTACAGAAATACCATACGAAGTATACAAAAAGGACATGATATGCTCCGGCATCATGCTTCAAAACAACAGTCTTCCAAATACCGAGTTATCAAACAGTACGCTACGTTTCTTAGACGAAGACTGGCAAGTCGATGATACCAACTACGCTGATATACCCTTCCCCGACGTTGAAGAAACAATACTTTCTAAAAACAGACGAGTGGAATCCATCGAATATAATCAAAAAAGCGAAAAGAGAGTAGAAAATGATCACCCTACGACAATCTTCCCAGAGATACTGACTGTTCCTGTCGACTCTATACCTGAACCCTCAACTGTACCCTCTATCAATGAAATCGCAACACAACCCGTACCGGGTGCCTTTGGTTCTAGGAAGAAGGAAGTTCCGAAAATGAAGAAAAAGAAACCAAAGGTTGCTGGTTTTCGTTAAGGCATATATTTGTTTTTGCACCAGAAATAAACTTTCATTTTACAATTGAGTGTATATACACGAGGCTTTGAAAAAGGTATTTCTATACCATCTATCCTTAAAAACGAGCGATCTCGCATGTCGTTATTTCTGGAAAGAAGGGCAGTTTGATGTTACAAACATCTTTTGCGTAAACAAACGCTTCAAACAGCTCTTTTTGATTTTCTTGGCTTTAGTGTGCAATTATGCATTATACAATGTCCTTTTTTTTTCGTTTTGCAGTAACATAAATATTTGAAAATAGAAAAGCGCGTGCTGTTGCTCAAAATCTTTTTTTTTTTTTTTTTTTTTTTTTCTTGTCCGTTCTCTTTGTCGATCAAAGAATTTTGAAATTACCAACGTCTATAAAATGAAAAAGAAATATAAAACAAAGTTCCCCGTTGTAAGTAATCTCATATAAAGCTTATAAACCGACCTACATTTGAACAGAATTATATTAAATAATTGTTTGTCTATACATCGTGTTTCTAGGCTCGCATTAAAAAAATTATGCAGTTGGATGAAGATGTTGGAAAAGTGGCACAAGCAACGCCCATTCTAATTTGTAGGCTAATAAAGAGTTTAGAGGCATAGAGTGCCTTTTGTCGAAATACTGACATGTTTACTCCTGTTAATCTAGCTAAAGCGTTAGAGCTATTTATGCAGTCATTGATAGATCAAGCATGTCAAGAATCTCGAGAAAGAAATGCTAAACGCTTAGCTATGGCTCATTTGTAAGTGAGATCTTTGCATTTTGGACATGGACGACCGAAATCTCACTGTATTGAACACTTTGTTTATTTTTCCAGGAAAAAAACTATTGAAACAGTAGAGCAATTTGATTTCTTGAAAGATATTGTAGCTAGCATTCCTGATCCTATCGAGCCACAAGCATTAGAAAGTCCAAATAAACGTGCACCAAGAAAATCAGCAAAAATGAGCGAAGACGCCGAATAGAAGGGCTCAGATTAGATGATACTTAATACATATGCACTTTCTGCCTTGTCTAGCTTTATTTTCTGCACCACCTATAATGTTTCTTTTTTTTTTTCTTTTTGTATGACCTTTTCACGCCTTCTCATTTGTAAATTGTACACCTAACTATTGACGCATCACTATTCAAAACACACAGTGACCAACGACATATATCTCTCGCTTCTCACCTCCATATCATATCTCTCAATCAATGATCATTATTAAAGACTGCTTTTTTAAGTTGTATGCTCAACTGCTATCCTCTCTTTCTCTCACCTTACTCGCAGAAAGGAGTCAAACTCAGAAACTGAAAGGCTCTTGTATGACAATTTGCGCGATGGCGTGCTTTTTCTTAGTAACGCTGTTTCCTCATTGAAAAAAGCAAAATGATTTATTAAATTGGATTTAAAGAACTTGTACGCACCATCTTTCTCAAACTCCCTTTTTTCTTCCACTTCTTTCTGCATTGGCTGCATATTCTCTATTAACTTTATTGTAGCTTGCAGCTTCGTTTATTAATTCTAAACAAGGGGAACGAAAAGCAAAAGAAGATGGAAAACGACCCTCAGAATATGTTTTCTAATCTTCCTTCTGCAAGTGGCTATGAGGGATCATCAAGTAATAATGCGGAAATCAGGGAAGAAACCACTCCTCTTCTTTCTAAATTTGATTCCAATCCATCTTCTTTGCTTGAAAATATGGTCTACTACAACTCACCTGCCCATGCTGTAACGCAGTTTCAATCTCACGACGAGGCGGAAGGAGACAGCACAATGAGAAAGCCTCAAACTACTTCACCATTTATCAACGCCAATGACAGCAGCAGCCTCCATAGACGATACTGGCCGTTCCAACCATCTAAACGACAAATGAGCGTAGCTCATGGGAGTATTGTGTTCGGCCTCATTTTATTCATTGCTCTCATTCTATCGGTCCTTGTTCGTCTTCCATCGTTCAGTCTGTTTAGTTATCATCCTACTTTCATGACAGCTTTTTTAGTGTGTATAACGGAAGGTGTAGCTCTGCTGCAGCCCACACCAGCAACAGTTGAAACAAAACAAAAAGGGTTTCGATGGCACTTGTTGGTTCAAGTGTTAGGCAGTGGCTGTTTGTTGATTGGATTCTTATGTATCTTTTATAACAAGCAATTACATAACAAACCTCATTTCCAATCGTAAGTAGGAAAAAACAAACAAAAAAAAAAAACAACCAATCATTGCTATGTAACAGACTTATTCAACGCAATTTTCATTACCAACCCTTGACGTGACAACCGACAATATGCTATTAGATTCCATGGCCAAATGGGCTTGACTATATTTATCTATGTTTGGTTACAGGCGATATTTGGCGTCATAATGGCTCTGATTCCTCGCTACGTGTTTGGTTCCGTTGAAAGAGGCAAGCAGTTATGGAAATACCATCGAATGACGGGATACGTATTACTGTTAGTGGTGTGGATAACAGCACAATTAGGTGTTAGAACAGATTACATGCTAGCTAATTTGATAAATACAAATCTACTCTACCTGCATTGGATTGTTCTCGTATTGGTCATTGCTGGATTATTTTATCGTTTCCGTATTCATAAAATAGGTTTCTAATTAACTCACAAAGAGAGTGTATCAATCAAACATAGTCTGATCACTGATAAATCGATCCCCCACCACCGTCACCTCAACTGTATGGGAGCACTGCTACTACTTCTTGACAAAAGTTAAGACAGCATATCAGCATAATTTGACTAGCATAAATGAATTGTGACCATTAAGCTGCCGCAATAGAGTGTCTTATTCGGCACAAAAGAGATCAGTTTTTTCGTTTTGCTGTTCATCTGTATGAATATGTTTCTTTTCAAGCTTTATATACACAAACAATTCCAATTTAGCAATGCTTAATTAATAAAACTGAAGCTCCAAGATTTTTTTGTGATTGCCGCTGAATATCATCTTTCTGTTAATGATAGCTCTTGAATGAAAAACATAATGATAAATAAATAAGAGCTTTATTGCAATCTAGTTGAATTATATAATGCACAACTTATGTCTAGCTTATCATTGCACATTATTATTATTAATTAAAACGTTATAAAAGTTATTGACATTCTTACTCTTTCTGTCGATGAAGCCTTTCACACTGGCAAATAAGTCTGAAGTAACTGGGCCATACAGCGAAGAGTTAAAGTCGAATATATTTTCTGGTACTGGTACATTTGTTTGCAAAGAATTTGGTGATGACAATCCAATCTTTTCGATACAATCCAAGCCAACGCTTGAGAAATTAGCAACTGATAATCGACGATAACGTTCGTCGGAATGTTTATGTAGGCTTTGATCCCATAGCACATCAGGATAAATCATGTTGACCACGCTATCGATAAAAGGGTACATAACAGAGGGATGAACAAGATACTGGCTTAAATTACGATGCACTTCTTGATAGCTTTGGCGCAATAGTGGATTTGAATAAAGTTTGTTGGTCAAAGGACGTGTGCGAAACCCAGGATGCTCGGAATAGTCACCACTCAACATCAAGTTTTGTTTGAACAGGCTTAAACCGAGACTCATGTCAAAATCGGTGGGTATATATATCATACGTAGTGTGTTGTGAATATTGTAAAGAGCAAAATTGTCTGCTAAAGTCATGTAGCCATCTGAAAAACCTAATAAGTCTTCTAAAACCATACTGTGTGGTTATCGAATACGAAAGAGAAAATAAATCAGCTAGCGAAAGATATTACAGGAATCTGTAACCTTGTTTCGGCAACTTACGCTCTAGTAAATCCCGTGGTGTCTAGATGTAGGTTCCATTCTTGCGCACTCGTTAAATTCGAACTGGTAGCTAGGAAGCTTGTGAAACTTTGCAAAGGCTCGTAATCTATATTCGTCAGCTTTCCACCTTGGCCAGCCTTGATTTTATATTGACCCATACCGTACATAGTAATATTCTGTTCGAAAGATAAATCAGAAGTAGCAATACGGCTGTTGCTGACACATTGGGTATTCTTATTGAAACAGTTGCAGGCATCTGCATTGACAGCTTGTCCCTGATAGAGAGGACCTGCTTTAAATTTTTGAACCCCTGAACCAAATTCGTTATTGGCCCAAGAATCTCTGAATGATTCAACCAAACCATAGAGACCGATAGGTCTCGTATTAAGAAATACTCTACGATAAGAAAAAAAGAAGAAAGAAAAGTTGCTTAGAACCATCTGACGCCACGTTACATCGAATGATTTTCGATTTATTGATTCCCTTCTTTTTTACCTAACATAGGAAAAATCCGATGTGGGAACACCGACTGAGTTCAATGCCGCATGGGCTACCCGTTCACGAACATACGAGGCATCAAATGCCATGGATCGTAATTTTAACTGTCTATAGCCATATAAATAATAACTTTTTGGTAACTTGATATTGTACGAGAGTTTAGGCATAGATCGTGAACTTCGACCAGCGATAGAAACTTTCACGTTTTCGAATGATTGAGAGTCTTGTAGACTATAAGTCATTGTTCACCATAGGAGGAAAAAGTGAGTGGTTTATCCATTTTTTGTTAATGAGATGACGGATTGTCTTACCCATAGTATGTCATGTTTAACTCGACTGCTTGGTCTTCGTCAGCATCATTATCATCATCTCCGTCTTCGATTGGAGCAGTTGCTGTAAGACTCGTAGCTTGGTTGTTTGTTGGCGTTCTCAATGTCGGTGGATGCAATAGAAGTTCTGCAGCTGTTTCGTTACCATAAAGATGAATGGTAGGAATAATACTGTGATTATGTAGTTGAGAGGGTATGCGAGATATGTAGGATAGAGGAGGGTAGATTTGCGGTAAGGAGGCAATGGTATGGATATTCGTCGAGCGATTATAAAAATCGTGATACACGTCTTGTTGCCGTGATAATTGTGGATCGAGTGCTCCTACTGGCGCTCGTATGAATGGCTCTGAGGATGTAATTTGCATTGTTTGCCTATCCACGATCTCATAAAAGTAACCTGTTTTGGCTACAGGTGCTCCCCCTTGATAGACAATACTGTAAGGATCAATCGTCAAAGGGAAGCGCTGATTATCGACATTGACAAGGACTTTGATATTACTGTCTGGCTCAAGTATCACACTGTAATGGGTAGTTTGCAGCTGCGCAACTGTTAATGTAGTAAATAAGGTTGTTAAGACTGATCCAATTGCAATTTTTACGTGATTAAAGTAGAGCAATATCATATTTTTTAGTCATTTGCGTTCTTCAACTCGAACTATTGCCTTTATGCCTTACCTATAGTAAAAAACATTACTTTTTGTATTCTTACTAACTTATAGATCAAGATATCCTTTCACAATAATCTCTGATTTTCTTACAAACAAAAAATGTTTTAGGAAAGAAGTTCAGTCTGTCTATTTATATGAGACCTGCTGACTATAAATTAACTTGGCGAGTGTTCTGGCTGGAATCCAATAAGGCAATTTGCCCAATTTTTCAGGCTTTTTTTTCCATGCCCAAAGCATGTAAACAGCGCTGAGGACGGGGAATGGAAGGCAAAGAAACATTCATCATAAAACGAGAAGCTTCTTTCGAAGTAATTCAGATACGACGTCATCTTAAGAAAATGCTTTTGTTTCGCCTTCTCGCCCCGGGGCTTATTGATGAGCTTTTCGACAGTTCTTTCAAATGGAACTTCAGTTCAGATGAAAGTTTCAAAAACAATTCCGATAAATTGGAACTATGCATTTAGTGCACTAATTCGTTCAGGAAGTTAAATGGGATTTCTGGACGTGGTAATCAAGGAACGCCGTCTTCTAGAAAATCCATAATAAAACATAAGAATTCTTCATTTGTACCTGTGGTAAACACTCTGGTGATAGTTACGGACGTTTACAGAGAGGATCAAATGATGGAGGTTATAAAAATTTTTTTTTCACGACGTGCAATGCAATCGATAGACACTGCTGTTGGTACACTCTTTTTACACTTATGCGCGATTCTTTGAAAAACTGAAAGGACGTTCTACTGCAATGCGGTTTCGATCTGTCACCTTCGTAAAACAGCAGTAGAAGCTTTTAACTGTTTGCACGCGTTGACCTTGTAATTTTTATTGATACGTACCCCAACTTGGTCAGTTACGGACATGCGCATCGTTATGGCGCAGCGTAAAAATTTTTTCTTCGGTGTGTTTTTTGCATGAGATATATCGAATTGGTTGAGTGTATCTAAAATTCGATTGACAGTAAATATGTAATGAATTACCGTGCATCCTTTATAATTTTGTAGATATCGGTAAGTTTGTTACTATACGCCCTTTTACGCTTTAGTGACTATGCGAAAATGAACGGAAAACTTATTAACTCAATTGTTCGCACTAAGTTTTTCTTCTTTTAAAGTATGTGTTACTAGACCAGGAATAAAATGAAGAACCAGCGTACACGGATTGCTTTTGAATCAAACGAAGGAAGTGAATAAGTGATTTGTTGTTAGGCATTCGATTCAAGCATCAGTTTTTTTTTTTTTCTTTCTTTTTTTTTCAACTTATGCTTGAATTGTTGTAATTTTTCTCAAATTGCTAAAAAGCTCTTATATAAGTTTTGTATCTACCTAGTAGCTTTTTGTGGAAGTGTACAACGATTTAAATTCAAGTTCCGTTTGCTTCTAGATCTTCAAGCATATTACAAACATTCACTGTGCACTGTAACGGCATCGCTACATTTTATAAGCGTTGTTTGACGTAAAAAAATAGCGTGTAACATACAGAAATTGTATCTGATCGCAGTTACCTAGTGTGTCTCAGGATAAACCAACGTTGCTAGTGTTATGAAAAACATAAAATGAAAAATTCTCGTATAGGATGTCTCCTTTCTATAGGACAAAGTCATTGTAAGTGTATTATGAAGAAATAGAAATAGTCCTAAAATGGATCTCGATATTTTTGATTTTTTACCAAGTTTAGAGGGATGCATTAAGTTTGTAGGGGGATAACATCACAGTGCTCAGTGGAAAAACGGCTTTAAAATGAGGTTCGTAACCGTGTTTACTCTTCTAAGGATAATTATGTCCCAGATTGAAAGAAGGTATATTTCAATAATATATATTGATATTATTAGGAAAATTAGTCAGTGATGGTTAGAAGAATTTGTATGTAAAACTGTTAACAAATACAGAAATCTGGAAAGAAGGGGGTGTTTACACAATGAAGGAAACAATAACGCTAGTAGAATCAATTTGTTGTACGGTTGCCAAAGTCGGGGTCAGTCATGGAAGGCTTTTGTGCCAAAATGGCATATAAGCCCATATACGATCTTGATTGATGCAAACCGTGTTTGACTCGATGGAGAAACTGATCGTAGTTTTGCTGCTGCTGCTGCTGATAATATTGGTGTGGTTTGAACCATGGCGATAACCCTTCCAGCACACCTTGATATAGGCTCAAGTAAGCATCGCCAATGGGTCCTCCCCAACCTAACGGCACTTCTCGATATTCGCTTCGTAATACTTGCATATGATGGTCAATAGGATGGTTCTTATTTTCTCCTCCTACTTCTGTTGTTGTGTCTCCTTTTCGCTTTTCTTTTCTACTCAATAATGACTCTAACTTCGCTCCTGCTGTAATATCTAATCCCATTGAGGCACAGAATGATTCGACTATAATGTATACGGATGGTTAAAATTCAGTATCTAGGATTTTAAGGTTGAGTGTAACTTGATAAAAATATTTACAAGTCTCTGTATAGGATTTTGCGAACGGATCTGCTGTAGTAATCTACAGAAATGCAAAAGTGGGATTTTTAGATAGGAAGTTGGGACGTTTGTTAAGTGTTTGTCCATGCGTGTGTGTGTGTGTTTATAAGTCTATTTACGCGCATATCCAGCTCAATACATTGGAAGCATCCTCCGTCCTTTAGAACTCGTTTGATTTCGGACAGTACAAAGGGCCATTCATTTACTCGAAAAGCAAGTACTACGAATCTATGGGGGTATAATTGTTAATAAATATATGATGTATATTTGAACTTTTTTTAGCTCGTATAAATTGTATACCTCATTTGTATAAAGTCTTCATTGAATCAGTATTAAGAATGTCTGAAATCAGCATAGCTCATTTGTTCAAAATATGGTTAAGCATGTCGGTACTTACCAAAGGTTTGGTCTGGAAATGGAAGTCCTTGTAGAACATCGGCTTCTTTAAAAGTAACATTAGAAGGGCGAATGATTTGGGGCCATAAACTAGACATATCAATGCCTGTAAATTGGCAATTCTGGTATTCCAGACTTGCTTCGCAGAGCCATGTTGCAGGACCGCAACATACATCTAAAATCTCCAGTCCGCCGGATTGAAAATCTAGTTGATTTATAGCTTCATTCATGAAATTACTGCCATTATGTATGATGAAACAATATTAGCGAACCCATCTGTATACCGAAATATAATAGTAATAAAGTAATAATGCTTTACAATCCAAGTAACTCTTTTGTGACAAAATGCTCTTCATGTAATCGATCGATTTCTTTATCGTCCATAGGGAGCATGTAAGCACTGGCAGGGTTTGCATGATAGGTTCTTCCGGCAATTATTCGTTTGCCTGTCTTTTTTGAAGCAGGTAATGATGATGCAGGATTCTGTCGCTCTTCATTGATCGAGTATTTATTATTAGTACTGTTCTTATGAAACGTGTCTATGCTTCCCACTCGACTGCCCGTTTTCGATCTGATGGTATTTGGTGACGTGCCTATTGCTTGTCGCTGTTGTTGCTGCTGCTGCTGCTGCTGTGATGCGAAATTAGATATGGATGAATCACGCGAAATATTACTGCCCATGTTGGATTGTAAATTGATCTCAATAAGCTGAGGCTTATCTTTTCTATGGAATATTGTATAGCTGCAACTGGTTGTTAAGTGCTAAATTTAATAGCAGCTATAGAAAATAAGAGGACAGAAAAGGACTGCTAGAAAAAGAAAATATGTATGTAATAATCAAAAAAGTTTAGGAAAAGAAGAAAAAGAAAAGAAAGAAAGCCAAAGAGCCAACATAGCTAAAAATCAATACTTTTGCTCACACACCAACTTCCACTTATACACACCCACTAGCACACGCGGACTCACACATTTAACGGAAACAAAGAAATGCACAAAACTATATTAGTAGTGTTGTGTAGCTTAATTTACTATCCCTGCTCCCTCTTTAATTGAGGGTTAAACAAAAGAAGTAAAAAAATAAAATAAAAAAAATTGAGGGATCTTCCGGGATATCAAAAAATGCTTGTCAACAGAAAGATCAGAAAAGATATTCAAGTTATTCAAACGCTTCTTAAGGTAATAAAACCCTGTACAATCTTTCAAGCCCTACACCAGCTTCTACAGCGGAGTAGAAGAAACTGTTGGCAATGGTTACATTTATAACGTAACTGATGAAGATGAATTCATGTCTATATTTTTGCATGAATTCAATAACTTTTTTTTTTTTTTCATGTTACCTCCTCTTCTTTAACATCAAGTCTGTCTTCTATATACTTTTATAGTTTATTATCTTGCCCTATACCTCGTCCCCTTTAGTTGATACAGAGACAGTCTCATTTTGTTCCTCGAAATCTTGTTTCTTTGTCATATTTCCTTTCTCAGATTAGACATACAGTTAATACCGTACACCCATTTGACATATGTTGGCATCTTGCAGAATCAGTACAAGTATCGTCTTAGACATTGATAAGAGCCCTCCTTGGTTGAGGCTCCTTTTTTAGGATCCTAACTTGAAGGTTCTTTCAATGACTCGTTTTGATCTATATACATATACACCCATGTTTTATTTTGTCAACTGAGCTGCCTCTCATTGTTCGTCATTTCAATATAACAACTATATTCATGTAAAATTTATCGGTGTACGCCAACGTATAAACGTCTTATCCTCATTCTTTGATTCTTTCATACGATAAAAGCTTATCTGATAATTGTTCGCGTAATTAGAAAAGGGGGATAAACTCTCTGTTTGTGTATCAACAAATCCTACTAAAGGACCAGACAATGTTTATTGACAATAGTATTAAAGTCTAAAAAGGAGAAAGAGAAAGGCTTACATGTTCTGTACGTACAGATCTAGGTCTAATAAGTGCAAAGAATCGATTTTTAGAAAGATTTACTTATAATAGTTTTCCAGGAACGAAGCCAGGAACCATCAGTTGCAGTTTAAGGTGTCCCCGCAAAATAGGGGTTTGATGAGTTTTTGCATGAATTATTTTGTGAAAGCATGAAAGGGGAACGATATTTTTAGTCATAGATCGGTATTATTGATGTTACTTTATAGCAGGGTAATAAAAGTGGAAACACAGCTTAATTTTAAAAGGGAAAATGTTTACAGATATAAATATGTATATATTCATATAAGGGTTTCATAAATGCAAAGCTATTGTCCCGTTAATTGTAATTCTACAGGACCCATAGCATATCATTTACTTGCCGTACATATAATTTTCATCTGGAATACCTAGTTTTTTGGATTCCTCATACAAGCGATAAGTAGTAAGACCATGGAACGCACTGTATTTCAAAACAGACTCCGGTAACGTACTACGGTCCCAAATAGAGCCAGAAAACTTCCTGCTATGTGCCAAACGGTCATATTCGTCCTTTGCTTCTACATATTGATCTCTATCCGGCCAATTGTTTAGATATTTTCCCACTGCATCCTCAAAAGAATAACTGGCGCCTTGGTAGTTGATCTTTCTCGAAATATCTACACATGGTCCCAAACTGAACCCTAACTTTTCTATCATCTGTTCTTCGAAAAATGCTGGACACCAACATACGCGACGTACAGCCGGATTTGTCAAGAGGCGTCCAAATTTAGAGGATTTCACAGCCTCCCGATTATTGATATGGCAAGATTGCTCAATAACACAGGTGTAGGACGACCCAGTGCTGCTAATATATAGCTGAATACCTTTCAATATAGGCGCACCTTTGAGTTCGACCGAATGGAAGCCTATAGAGACTGAGTAAGGAATGCCAGGCGGAGGAAGAATGACCATGTCCAAATGTTCTGGTGCAGACATTCTCAGCATATTCAATTCTGTTTCACCATCTTGATCAAACAAAAATGCTCCATCAACAAAAATCGGCAAATCCTCAGCCTTTTTCACTTTGTAATTATTACTGCCACTGTTTGTTTTTCCATAACTATTTCCACTATTCTTATCAGCGCTAGCATGACTATTGTTCATGTTAAATTTCATGGTTGCGTTCTGACCATGACTTGGATCATCGGTATGGCTGTTACTGCCTCCACTGGAACCTTTAGGAAGATCCATTGACGTATAGCTATAATCTATATCCTCGTCATCATCTTCGACAAAGTCATCCTCAGAGCTGTCCAAAAGATTCGGGTTGTTGGTACGTGGTCCGGAAAACGTTGTTCGAACAGGCATTCCCTTCATGGGGTAATTCATAAACGCAGGCCTAGCATCATCTTTATGCCAGTTATCCACTGAACCATCGTCTTTGTCGTTGTTGCCAGTCATATCGCTGTTGCTGTCACCCATTATACCCCAAGCACCCGGACTGCTTGTGATATTGAACTTTTGGATCTTTGGTGGCGATGCAGGTGTCTTCTGAGTGCTTTCGGATTCTGCCTTGTCATAATCTGCAAGCTCCAAATCCTTACCTTGTTTCCAATGGATGACACTCGAGCTAGCAAATGATTGCCACGTTGCAGCAGAATTGTCATTGCTTTCCAAATCTGTCATACTATATGTTCCTGATTGGTCACCGTTCGTGGTTTGATTATGGAAGGAATGTACATATTTATCTTTAGTAGGCTTAGCATTGAAATTAACTGATGACTGTTGTTGTTGCGGTTGTTGTTGTTGTTGTTGTTGCTGTTGCTGTTGCTGTTGCTGTTGTTGTTGTTGTTGTTGTTGTTGTTGTTGTTGTTGAGGCGCATAGAGTGATCTGCTTTGAGTGGAAGTATTAGGTGCAGATGATGGGCTTGAAATGGATAGATTTGCTGCTTGATGTTGTGGCGATTTGGGGTATCTATTATTCCTGTGGTTATTGGAACTGGGATTTGGAGAATGATATGGTGAAGTCGTTGAGGAAGTGGAACGAGCCTCCATGGGATGGGATCGTGGAGAACGATGCTGGTTAAAGCTGGGGCTACTGCTTCCATAATTGGTACTCGTAGGCCTAGAGGGCCGCTGCTGAGGTGGACGATGCAATTGTGTTTGTTGCTTCATTTCTGGAGAATGTGTTCGGTTCTCCACCTGTGACTTATACGTTGCTGCTGATGAGAGAGATATCTTTGGTGATACCGCATCTTTTGCTGTTAATCCAGATGGTTTTTCTATTTCTGCCTTAACTGCATCATTGACAAAGGAATGTGGCTATAGAACGTTTGAGGAACAAAGTTCGTTAGTGAATCATCAAACGCACATATACTTCCCTCATTAAGAAGGTTTATAATTTGGTTACACTATTGCTTTCAGTGTTATTTATAATGTTGCTTTTAACGTTATTATTGTTATTCCAAGACGTCGTGTTGAAGTCCGCACCTCCAAAAGGTGAATCCTGTAAACTCAATTCACCCCAACTTTCTGTTGGAATAGATTCTGGCTTTGGTTCTGGTGCAAATCTTCTTACATCTTGCGCTTGATGAGTGTCCGAATGCTTTTTTTCAAAATCGTCGTAATCATAGTATTCTTCATATTCGGCGACGCCATCTGAAACTCCTGCTGTTACTGCTGGCGATCCCAATGATGAGCTTCCCTCACCGGTTGTATCTTCTCTTTGTTGTAAGCTGTCCTTGATTGATAACTCAACAGCCTTTTGTAAATTCTTTTGATATTCCACTTGATTATCATCGTATCCATCATCCGTCACAGGTTGAGGAATGAACATATTGGAATTTATGATCTGTCCTTCATTATCCTTACTCTTGTACTTCTGTTTCGAATGATAGGAACTGGTATATGATTTCGGATGACGCACTGGCGGAGATGAGTGATCTTGGTTCGTATTAGCAGAATTTGTACTTGTCGGTGAGGGTGTTGTACCCTGAATTCTTTGTCGATGGAAACGTTGCAATGCTTTGGGAGAAGAGTCTGAAATAACCGTAAATGGATAGTAATATCTCTCAGAATCAGGATGCTCTGCTGTATACTTGTATAAAGCGTGTACACTGAGAACATCAAAGACGGCGTACACAAGGGCTTTAGGAGGCAGAGGAGTTTGTGTCCAGATACAATCGTGTTCAGTCAACTGGAAGGTCGTAAAGAAATGCTTAATTTTTTGAAATTGTGGTAATCCTTCCCATTCAGGGGCAAATTTGTCCATCGCTGTAGCCAAGTTTAATTGTTCAAGAGCAACTGGTTTCAATTTTGCTTGCAGGTCTAACACTGGTGCCTGAACAATAGGGCTCAAATAATGTTCAATAGCCATTGCATCAAAACGATAGGACCAGCCGACAATGTTGATACATTCATCTTCCAATACTGGCTTCAATTTCTTCATCAATGCCTCTTTACCCACTGCATCCACTTGTATAGCATACCCTTCACTCGCAGACACGCCAATTTGGAGCAACTTGAGGTGAGGTAAAGACTTTTTCACTGTCAGCATTTCACAGTCAATAGTAATATAGGGTGCCTTATATATCGCAATAATAACCCTGTCTAAACCTTCTGGCTTATTTACAGCAATGCACGTAGCTTTTTTGTTTTCACCTAACAACGGGACCTCAATGGTGCTTTCGTCAATCTGACGCCAACCTGGATCCAAACTGTAATCATACGCTTGAAAGTGACTTTGCTTATTTATCATACTTCTACTGCTTTTGCTGATATGGCTATCATGTTTAGGGTAGTTGGGAGTAATGGTATGTTGTTCTGATTGTTGAGAAAATATGTCGTCATAATGTTCACTCTGGTTCGCAAGATCTCTCAAAGGACCCACAACATTATTGATGACAGGTATATTCTTATTTTCGAAGAGGCTGATTAGCGCTAGGGACGCTTTTGCTGTTTGGATCAAACCTATCCAACTTTGGCGTTCTAGAACCTTTAAATCTTCAGCCATAGTAAATTCATGGAGATTGAGAAAAAAAAAAATTGACAATGAACACTATGCAATAAATATTATGAAGGAACCGTGTATTTCTGATTTTTCTTTTTGTTATTTTCCTCAGGCTGCATTGCGTAAAACTTTATGCTGTTCTAATACAACATTCGATCGCCGAATTAGAGGAAAAAACGAGATCTTTTATTGAATGCATGAAAGTACAAACAGTATAATGCTCATAAAGACTTTTTTTTTTAACAAAAAAGAGACTCTCTTTTTAATCATGTAAGATAGTGAGCAAAAAGATGCTTTAAATTAATTGAAATGAATTAGAAGATGATAGATCGTAGTTAGAATAAACTAAACTACATAAACATTGCCGGTATAAAAACTCGGGTCCCACTTTTGGACTGCATCCTTCAAAGCCTTTTGAACATCTGGATCACTTAATTGCATATTATTAGCGTCCAAGTCCTTCACAAGGTCCTTCAAAAAGTCTTGCACCGGCTTATTACTAACTGCTTTGAGAACGTCTTGATCAATTTTGCTACAGTCAGGAGCACCGGGAGGAGGTGAGGGAGAAGGAGGAGACGTAGCAGAATCCGGACTAGATCCGGGAGGAGTAGTAGTAGGAGGAGACGTAGCAGAATCCGGACTAGATCCGGGAGGAGTAGTAGTAGGAGAAGACGTACCATAATCCGGACTAAATCCGGGAGGACTAATAGGAGAAGGAAGAGGAGGAGGTTGGCGACGAGCAAGGCGAATATCGTTGAAACCGGCGGCTTCAACACCATTCACAACAGAAGCACTGAGACTGTCTGAGCTGACAACAGGTGAGGCAGACGCGAAAGCGATCAAGCAAGCAGCGGAAGTGAGAGTCAAGAGTTTGATTTGCATGTGAATTGGTTGGTTTTTATCTGAATAAGAGATGCGAAGAATGAAGAAAAGCGAAATTGAACGCAAAGTTGGTATCTGTTTATATTAGATCAAGAATGATGGGAAAAGCAAGCATTTTTATTTTTCATATACTTTGATATTGTTTCTTTGGAAGTTCCCCTACTTCAATATGCAGTTGAAGATTTCCGTAGACTGTAGTTTATTGTGGATTTATCTCTGTTTCTTATATGCGTATGAACTTTGTTTATGATCGAAGGATAAAGGAAAGGGGCCCTAATTGCTTTGAGCTGTATTTTGCTTATCTGCTCTTACTTCTTTATTTACATTATACTCTGCCATATAATGTGTATAAATGGATATAATATTCAAACGCTAACATAATAAGCAGGAGGCCGCCCCTGTTACTAAGCTTTTTTTCTTTTTTTTTATTTTTTTTATCGTAGAACCAGCACGAACACCGAACACTTGTGTTGACATGGCTTCAGAGCTGTAAAACCATACTCTCATCAGCATTTAAGAAGGAAAGTAAAGTATGTATAGACAGTTGGCTTACTAGTTAATCTAAGCACTCTTCTTGATGAGGTGCCTTCTATTATCGGTAGTTCAAAATAGCGATAGTTTGATATTGTGCATTGTAAGCTGCAACAATTCGCCGCTTTAGGTTGATCCATAATGTTAATATTATTGGACTAACGATGCAACCTGGCTGCATTTTCAGTGTATATCAGTTTAGTTTTTCAGGGATAAAGTTGCCCAGAATTCAAATTTCATGTCATTTGCCAGTTTTATAAACTTTAATCTTGTTTTTTGATCCTTCGCGTTATTGCAACAGTTGCACTTATAAGAAAGAGCTTAATTTTGCGAAGGATTTTCGCCTTTGTTAGCTTTTCCCCGTTCAGAATAGAAAGTCATAGCATTGTACCTCTATGATGCTAAATAGGCATACATTATGTGATTTCTTCTATGTACAGAATTATTGTCAAGGTAGAATGATTTAATGTACAAGTAAGCAGGTTTACGGATTAGCATTGCATTCGGAGCTTTGGTATCTCTTGTACAAACTCAACTACGCCAACACTTCCTAAATGTAGTATGATATACAGATCGACAGAAGCGCAGAATAATAACTATTTTTATTTGTTATAGATAAAAAAGTCGTGTACCATTCAGACTTCCAACATAAATAAGATAAATCCACATACTTGCAAAATAAGAATAAAATAGTATTCGACAATCTGCCAGAAACCCAGTTAAAAGTCTAAAAGTTGGAGATATTGCAGTGCTTATAAGAGGTAGAGTTGATAAAACTATAATCAAAGTACGTTATCATACATTTTTATATGCAGATTCTCAATAAACATGTAGAAAATTCCAAAGAAAGCTTCGAAAATGCATCTTAACGATATAATGCATGTGCTTTTAAGATGAGGTTTTGCTCGAACAGTATATTTTATTGATAAAAATAGAACAATTGATCTGCAAGAAAAAAAAATAGTGGTGATACTTAGTGTTGTATAAGTATCCAAAAATGATGAATTGCTTGTGTAAATATGTCAATACTACGATGATTTCATTCCCTGCTTCAAACTATACATATAACGATTAATTTTATTTTTTTTGTTAATCTTTAATACCAAAGTGTACTTTTTCTACTTAATTTATGCATTGATTTACATTGCTGTTATTGGTAATTGAAGTCGATGACGAAGGTGGAGTAATAGCGATCCAAGAATTAATGTTGATGTACAGCGTATATGCTTCAATGCCTACACCCCACAGAATAAGAATAACATCACAAAATTTTGCGAAGCTGCTTCTAGTGATTTTATAATGAAACATACCCGGAAAGATAAAGCAAAGTGGCATACAGGCAATAGAACCCACCAGAGAAACGAATTTATCTAATCCATCAGCGCCCACACCAAAGCTAATAGCCGCGCATGTGAGGGGAATGAGAGATCGTGTAAAGTTTTCAAGCCACTTGTACCGTAAATGTGTACGGTCACTTCGATGTTTCTTGAATAAAGCATGCTCGATTATGGTCAAAGGAGGATATAACATAAAAGGTGAAGATAAGATCATAGCAAGAGAGTAGAGTAATTGCACTGTTATAGATAAGGGCTCTCTAGGCATGTTAGCTACTACGCTCGCCTGCGTTCTATCTCCATATGCAATATAGCCAATGGAGCCGATAAACACAAAGATACTTGTACAAATGACCATCCCCAGTAGCAGGACTGAACCAAAATTATGAGGCTCTTTCATACCTTCCACTGTAATGGAGCCGTTATGGTCAATTATGTGTTTTGTTGGACAGTGAACTCATAATAGTGTACTAAAAATAAAAGCAATCATTTACCTATAGGAACGACCATACCGATACCTTCAAAGGAAAATACTGCTGTGCCTGTAATGTAATCAAGATTATGTTAAGATATGACAGGGCATTAGTAAACGTATATGCGCTTACTTCACATCTATTGGCTTTTACGCAATATACCTATCATTAGACCAAAGCTGGAAGAGTCAACAAATTTTAAGTTTGGACCTGGTCCTCTTTGACTTACAATTGCAGTAGATGAAAAGTACACAACGCAAGCCAAACCGAATAAAATGAATATATCTGCTATTATTGCCAGATAAGACAATTTGGCGATTTTTCGTATCCAAGTAATAGGAATAACGACGATAAGTACTACCCAAATGTAATGTCTCGCGTCAAACGGAGTTACACAATGGTTCAATGTTTGAACGGCCAATCCAATATTCTCGGATATAAAGATAAGATAGGAAGCAACGAAGACCATTTGCGAAATACATAAGAAGAAATCTATTAAATGATAGAGCCAATTTCCATACAAAGTTCTTGCGACTTCTCCATAGGATCCTCCCACACTTTGTTGAGCTTTAATGAGAATGTGAAATGATAGTGAACAAATGCTGGCAATGACGATCATTAAACAAATCGATAGAATCAACCCACCGGAGGCAAAACTAAGTTATAAGTTGTACAACTGAGCAATTTCATGAGGGAACATACGTCAGACTTTTACAGCTTACTCACGATCTTGGTAGAAAGACAACTCCTGTGCCTACAAAAGCTTTCAAGAGCATAAATAATGCTTTTCCTGATGTGGCTGTTCCTTCAGGGGCATGTTTGCTGTACGCTTTGATATCGTTCAAGTCGTTATTTATATTTGCACTAGTACTTCTACTACTTCGACAACTACTCTTAGTATCATATTATGGGACACGATGATATCATGTTGCGCTTCGTTTGATGGTAGCAATGTATTATAAGAACTTCTCCTGCCATTATGGCTTTTGTCTTTTTCTTCTTCGCGCTTTAGTGTTTCATGTAAGGAAAGACGAGGTTTGATTTGGCATCAGCAGAAAGAATTTGTAGGCAAAACGTGTATAAGGATACAGTGGATAAAGAAGCTAGTGATTTTACTTTTGATATTATTGATCTGCAGAAACGCCGGTAGTTATCGAAGGAGATTTGAAATGAAAAGGAAAAGTATGCATAATTTACGTTGAATATAGATTTCTCTGATAAAGCTTGTAGAAACTCAGAGATTTGCAGGTTCGTCAATGTTAGTATTGATTTGGCCACTTCCAGTTGCTTTCCCTATTTGAAATAAAGATACGATAAATGCATTTACCTGAAATAAGCAACTTAACTCATCCGAGACAGGAAAATTAACTTCTTAGCTGGATCAAAATCGCTCTAGCAGTAATGTAGGCATTACGATTAATGCTGGAAATATTGCTTTTGTACTTAAAGATGTAAACATCTTATTCGATTGTATTGATAAATTAACAAAAATTATTTACCGTTAGTTGTTCGGTTAGTAATAAAGAAGTTCTAAACTATTTTAAATGCATGCCCCTACATTTCATTGAAACAATACATATCAATGGAAACAGCATATGAAACAAAAACAAAAAGTATATTGTTAATGTGTTTAACCTCCGATTAACACTGATCAGTAGTAAGTGAATGATAAGCAACACGATATAAGGAAAAGGAGAAGAGGAGATCAGATACACCTGATGAGAATTACTTTAATTACGGCAAGTGATATGAATATCCTTTATGAAACATGCATCAACTAAATCATCAATAGAAACTATTCGAAAAAAGCTTCTATGTGGCACGCTTATCAAATGTAGCTAAAGACTAATCTACGCAATTTATTTATCAAGCTGAGGCTAGATGTGTTTATGTGTTCTTCAACACGTCCGACCATAGTAGTGCAGAATTACATCTTGAGCGGCTTTATTAGAAGATAACGTACACTAGATATAATACATATTAGTATCAGGGGAAAATAGTAAGTCCCAAGTGTTTAATCTTGAGTACCATTAGGAATTGACACGGAATTATTCTGGTTATCGTTATTATTAGTTATTCCAGAGGAGTCAAAATCATTGTTATCGTTGCTGGACGTTTGACTCCCAGGCCTTGAATTGTATGAAGAGTCCTTCTCCGCCGGACTATCCATAGTAGAAGAAGAATGCGATCTGTTGTCATCTTCGGGTTCTGGTACAGCCAGCTCGTCTGCCTTGGTCATGGCCAGATTAACACGCATGGCCAACCTGAACTCAAAATCATACTTGGTAAACTTCAGTGCGGAGCTCCAGAGCGAGCGACTACGTGTTTTATTGTTCAGCCCCCAAGCTGTAACACCAGCTTCCCAAAAAGCAAATGGCACGACCCATTTATCAATGTCCATTAAATCCTTCTGATCAATAATCCAATTAAGGTGAACAATTGCTTCCTTATAACGGCCAAGAGTGTTGAGGAGTGATGACCTGATCAACAGTAGAACACCACGTTGATTAAAATACTTGGGTGGTGGTGTTTCAGGTAAGAGTTCCACTGTTCGGATTCCATATTCCAGCTGTTCAATCTCTAATATCTTTCTGAGCGCCACATCTACGATTGTTAACGATTCATCCAGCGAATCATGACTCATAAAATCAAAGCCCATGAATAAATACAGATATTCTAAAGCTCCCAGCGTCATATCTAAATCTTGGTAACCGCTTTCTTGATAGTTTTGTACTTTACGGAGAATGTATTTTTCAAGGGTACTTGAGCCTTGCGTGCTGCTACAAGAACCAATTAAGCCTGGTATTTCTGCGTAGGCGAGGATAGCTTCTGTGCGATTTCCGGCCATATCAGCACAAGCACCTGTCAAATACCTGAAAAGAGCAGGTGACCAATAATTCTCTAAGTAAAGCATATCAAAAAGGCTTGCAGCCTCCTCCCATTGTTGTTCAAGCATATGATTGAGTGCTAACTCATAACTTGAAATATGCATCACTTCAACTTCTGCCCACTCGTTCTTGCTAATTTCAATTGCGTAACTAAAAGATTGCGTAGATAAGCTTAAATTTTTTGCAAGCCGCGATGAGCGACCGGCAAAATAAAGAAAGAATGCAGAATTAGGAAATGCACGTTGGGCATCCAATAGAGTCTATGCGGATTTATCATTAAGCGTTCTAACCAGCCATAAAAAAGCAACAAAAAATGTGTTTCCCATACCTCTATAGCGGGCAATGTATACTCATCTGTTAGAATATTCGGACATAAACTTGCCATTGCTGTATAATATGCCAATAGCCTATTATAATAATAGTGTTAATAAATACGTCATAAACCACCCGAAAAATAAAATAAAAGTATAACTAACATCAATGAGGCCATTGGTGATCGAATTCGTTTCTCTTCGACGCATAGTTTCAATAATGCAAAACCTAGATGTTTATCGGCTTTCCATCCAAAAGCGGAAACAATGCGGAGCACTTTTTTTGGAAGAGCCGACAGCACTAAGTGCACTGCACCAATTCTATATATTGTGATTATATAACAGCACGATAGATCATATTTGTCAACTGTTATTATATCTGCAGTAACAAATCAATCAATATTAGCACTTACCCGAATTGGATACCAGAAATTGTATCTCTATCGATAAACTCATTATATACTTGCCCCATGCACTTGTATTCTTGCCACACAATACTATAACTTGTATAAGCTTTTCTTCACAAAACGAAAATATATACGGTTCTTAAAATATGCATGCATTATAATACATGTATATTGCTCAAAGTGTTCAATTACCTCTTCTTAGATTCATACCGCATTTAATATATCCTAAGGCATTCTCTTGCAACAATTGTAAAATAGCTATCTGCAAGCAACATTCAGCTTTCGCGACATGGGCACGTAAGACACCATTAGAGATAAATGTAACTCTTTTCTTCTGAATTGATTTCAATGTTGCCGGTTCAGTATTTGTGGGAAGTGCTCTGGTCGCACGGGCAAATTTAATATAGTTGTAGTAGGAAGTCATGGCTTGATAAAAGGAATCGCCCATCGTTTTCTTAGTAGCAGCGTCGATTTGTGCCTTTGCAATGATGTAGGCCGAAGTTAATACATCAATAGCATTTTTTGTTGCTGCCACATCTGTTGTCTACATGAGTAAAGACCGAAATTTGGATTTAGGCATGTATACTGGTTTTGATAGCATTTAATTATCATTAATAAAGGGGAAAACTAGACGCTCGATGACCTTACCATTACAGCTATATCAATATAAGAAATATCTAAAGTTAATGGCGCTTTTGAATTTTTCATTTCAAGATGTCATATAAAGTTTTACCTTTCAAAAAAGCCATCGAACCCAAACCTAAAGCATGTAAGGGATCGCTGTAACAGCATGGCAGTATATTAGCGTAAGAGGAAGAAATTTGGCACCATTATAATCTATATACCTTTCAGCTCGTTTTTCAAATAATATTTTCGCTTTCATGAAACGATTATTGAACAAATGATGCACAGCACGCAGTACAGGCTCGTCTATTTACAATCCGTATGAGAGCACGGTCGAGTTATACTTCTAAGTGCGCAAACTATGTCCGACGGAGTGCAATCCTTACCTGCTCTTTCTTGCTGTCTTGGCGAAAGTGAATTTTCCTCTATATTTTTTACATCAACCTTATTCAAGGCAATAAGATTTTGACTATGAGTTTCGATATCCCCACTATCTTCGCTGGGACGCTCATTCATAGGCAATTGCATGCTTTGTCGGTGTGGAGGGTCAATACCAGGAGTAGGAGGAACCAGATCTTCAAACGCAACCTCTGTTGATTCTTTCAATACTGCTGCTTTATCTGCGAATATTTTGTTATCTTGTTGGCTTACATCTGTTGTACTAGATGCAATTTCGAAGCGTTCGCTATTACTATCCTCCTCGCTATCATTATTCTCATCTTTATTTTGAAAAATTGCATCGTTCATGGTATTAGAATTTTCGGCAGAGTGCACACTATGATCTTGAGATAGTCCGACAAAAGTTTGGTTAGCAGTACTGAGGTCTTCCTCATTTATTTCCTTCTCCGTTTTCATATCGCAACCTTCTTCTAATTCTCTAGCTTCATCATTATGCTGGTGAAGTTGTATTGTCGAGCGTAGTGCATTAATTACCAAATCTAACCCAATTCCTGCTAACGCAGCAGTTCCATCCTCACTTGTTATAACAGAGTTCACTTCATCCTTTTCGATTTCAGAATTGCTATCTGTTTTCTCTGTGTTAACCGCTGTTGTCCCTTGCTCTTTTTGTTGATTATCAATTGACGCTGTTGCAGCCGACGATGATATATTTTCTGTCGCTGAAGTATTTTCAATTGTATTCATTGCTGGAGGGTTGCTATCAGCATGTGTTATCACTGCAATTTTTTCTGCAGAAGGAGACAGAGTAATAGACTGTTCGTTAGTCATTTTTATTGTACACGTTAAAAGGAGATGTACTGTAAAAGAGGAACGAAAAAAGGCGACGGTTGGAAGAGCAATAAGATATTGTCTAACACTGTTGCTACAATGACTTTATTTTGGGCAAAGAGAATACACAAAAACTTTATTAGCGATTTGAACTTAGGATTGGTTACTTCGATAATTGAAGTAGCTGAAGAATTCAAAATTGTACAACACTCCACAAAAGAGACAGAAAAAGAAGAGATACTAAGAAATTATTCTTGGAGGACGTCCTTCAATTTCAGTACTGAGGGTCAAAGTTAGACACTTGACTATTCAATGTTCAAACCTGAGACAGGGCAGGAGGATATGAAAATCCCTCCCCTATCAAAGGTTGTTGACCGAACAGTTCGACTGACGAAACGCTGTAGGTTATATCCAACACTAGAAATCGCAGGTTTTGCAATTTTTGTTAATATTCCGCTCACAATTCCCTGTCGAGATGCATGCTGCAAGAAGATTTGTTTATGCATGTATCTCGTCACATTTACGTTGGCTTTATTTTCAAAGGTGGCTGAATATCCATTAGTTTTTGATCGTCTTGTCCAAAAATATTTGTACACTTTGAAAGCTTCATAGAAAACTCGTTAGATCCTTTCCATGAAAGCAGATAGAGTATTGAGACAATAAAAGTAACTCTCTACTAAGTTGTAATGTTAGTTTCTACAAACCATCCCCGCCCCCGCCTCCGCATATCAGTTCATTACGCATATATTTTCAAGATTATACGGCTTTGTGCGTCGGCTGCATCCTCCTCATGTAAGACTCTCAATTTTACACGCCAAACACTGTAGTTACCCAGCTTCATAACATAGCAACAACCTAAAGCCATTCCCTTCATAATAGTTAATCTAAGCTATGAAGAAACGCATTTTATTTTTCTGGAAATACAAAAAAAAAGCTACAATAAAATTTAAGCACGGTTAAGACGAGCGTTACGAGCTAATTGACGAGCATTGAGCTTGACGACCTTCTTATCAGCAGCACGGGGAGCAACTTCGTCCTTTTCAGCGAGGACAACTTCGATGTGACAAGGATGAGACATAAAGGGGTTGATTCTACCGTGAGCACGATAAGTACGACGACGGTGCTTGGGAGCTTGGTTAACAACAACGCTGGAAATGAAAAGTTCTTCAACATTCAAACCCTTAGCCTAGAGTTGAAAAGAAATAAATAGATTTGTTTGCGTCAATACACCTTTTTTTCACTTTTAAAATCCTCTACAAATTCGTCTCTTTCTGTTCGACTAAAATCTCTATGGTGACTAAATTGTCCATTCTGATACATACTTCAGCATTGCTTTCGGCATTCTTCAAAAGGTCAACGACGAACTTGACAGACTTAACGGGCCAACGGCCTTGAGTGGTACCGAATTCCTTAGCTTGGGCGGTACGACCAACACCACCATTGAATCTACGGAAAGGAATGCATTGCTTTTGTTCGGTGACGTTGTTAAGATAGGCATAAGCCTTGCTTAACTTCAAGCCCTTGATAGCAGCGGCGACTTCACGGGTGTTCTTGAACTATAAAAAAAGGATTGTACATACAATAAATATCGATGTCAAGAATTTCACAAGGATGCGAAAACACTTACGTGAACACGGAGGTAAGAACCTCTGGACTTGGAAGCTTTTTTTTAAGAATAATTCTATTAGTTAATGTACTTGAGGGTTAATACATTTTCACCTTGATCTTCACTTACCCTTGGCGGGGTTAGAAGGAGTAGCAGCGTATCTGACCATAGTTGCTCAACTGACTCTAAGATGGAGTAATAAGCAGTAATCAGTACATGTTGAACGTTGAATTAAACAGATCAAAACACTGGTGCAGGAACAGAGAAGTAGAGAGTTTGAAAAAGCCAAAACGATCCAAATTCTGCGAGAAAATGAGTGCCGATTGAACATGAATGGTTTTGTATTATTTTTGTTGTGGCATATCCATATCGTCAACATAGTCCTTTTTCTCGTTATCAACTTCAAATCCGTCCATCATCCATCCAAAATCGAGCATAAATTGTTGCTTATATCTGTACATTTCGTCATTTCCCTTCTCTCTACTTCTAGATTCTATTGATGCACCATATCGGTATACATACTGTCGATGAAAGGAAGGATTAATTAAGACAATGCTGGCTGCTTCGTATAATTCTCCATTTGGGTCTGCTGCTCAGATTACCCGGACCGGACTTTAAAGTTGTATCAATTGGTATCTCGGGCCTTCTTGTCGCTTCTTGTTGACCCTGAATGTAGAGCAGCAACGGCGCACGAATTAAAAAAGACCATTCTCCTGATCTGCTTACTGCTTAAGGGATCAGTATTGACTAATATACCTTCTCATCACAGGGTTTCTTGAAACCGTAAAATTACACAGCAACTGTTTTTTATGTATTGTTTTGGTGCGTACAAAATTTCACATACTCGGTTGATCGTGGAGAAATATTATATGGTGAGACACACCCTATTTGCAATGATTCTGTTGCTTTGTGCTATTGAAACTCCGGTAGGGTAGATCGCTTGCTCTACTATCACCTTAACAAATCACAATAATATTGATACTTCCTCTTTAATCATATCGTTCAGGTAAGGCTGTCAATTTGAAGCTATCAGTTGAGATATGTAGACAGAGATGAATGTGATGAATACAAATCAGTAGTTATTCAATGGATGTATGTGTTTGAATGATGGATTGACAAGTCAGCATCAATGATATTTATCACTATATGCCGCTTGAAGATTGTGCAGAATCTAAATGCATTATATATGACAGTTTCAATTTGTCTCTGACTGCAATTTCAATTGGAAGCTTGAGCTGTGTATAGAAGCCTGGAATAATAAAACTCACATTTTATCTGTCTTTCTTTAATTTTTATTCATCGATCGATTTACAGCCATGGGTGGTAAGTCCTTGTAGACAATAGTTGGATAGTGACAGGTTCATTTTACTCAATCAATACTACATTATTATTATAGCCTACAAGTATCTTGAGGAACTTGCCAGAAAGAAGCAATCCGACGTTGCTCGTTTCTTGCTCCGTGTCAGATGTTGGGAATTCAGACAACTCAATGTCATTCACCGTGCTTCTCGCCCTTCTCGTCCTGATAAGGCTCGTCGCTTGGGTTACAAGGCCAAACAAGGTTACGTTATCTACCGTATCCGTGTCCGTCGTGGTGGTCGTAAGAGACCAGTTCCCAAGGGTGCTACCTATGGTAAGCCCGTCAATGAAGGTGTTAGCCAACTTAAGTACCAACGTTCTCTTCGTGCTACTGCCGAAGAACGTGTCGGTCGCAAGTGTGCCAACCTCCGTGTCTTGAACTCCTACTGGATCAACCAAGATGCTACCTACAAGTACTACGAAGTTATCCTCGTTGATCCCTCTCACAAGGCTATTCGTCGTGATCCTCGTATCAACTGGATCGTCAATGCTGTTCACAAGCACCGTGAAGCCCGTGGTCTTACCTCCGTCGGTAAGAAGTCCCGTGGTCACAACAAGGGTCACCTTTTCAACAACACCAAGGGTTCTGGTCGTCGTGCCACCTGGAAGCGTCGCAACACCCTCTCTCTCCGTCGTTACCGTTAAATCTATTAACGCTATTTTTGTTAGTAGTATATGTTTATTATTGATAGAATGTGTGGGTAAATTTTTATTGCTTCTCTTTGATTTCAACTACTTTTACAAATCAATAAAGTTGCACTCATGATTGTAGTTCGAATGTGTGTCATGTTAGGTTTATTTCAGAAGAACACATGATGACGATGTTTGTTGGAGCTTCATCAATCTAAAGCACGTAGTGCACGTTTGATGTGGAGGAATGTAGAGTGTGCCTAAGTTCTCAAAGGGGCATTTGCTAATAGGGCGGGCGGATTCGAAGGAGTTTTTATGCGCGTAACTTTGAAAGGTACGATCGCAACCTTTGAAAGCAGAAAAGACGGCGAAGTGACAGAATAAAGCTACATAACATTAAATTAAAAAGGAAGAAAAGTTCAACTTTATTAAACCTTGCCAAACGTTTATCTTATTTATAAAAGGTAAATATATATAGAAATACAATACTTTATTTGAAAAAATAGGCAGCAGCGGCTGTAAGTAATCCACCCGCCAACGCACTTTCTAAGGTATATAAGATCAGTTTGTTTTTACTCAAAGTGAGACTGGATGAGTCTTGATTTTGGTTTAATACTGACGTATCATTTACATGATTCAACTTTTCAAATGTCTCTACAAAATGATTGGATTGTTCTGAGGGTGAGGAAGAAGCTAACTTTCGTAGCTCCTCATCTTTTATAAATTGTGACGACAATGGTGATGTTTCTATTATTGCATTATCATCAAATGGTATCGCTAGCGTCTCCTTACTTTCTTCTATAGGAAATTGCTGTGATGATGTTGTTGGTAATGGCGTGAATGAAGCTGATGTTTGTAGCTCCTCATCACTTATAAATGATGGCGATGATTCTGATGGTTCTATTGCTACATTATCGACAACTGGTATCGTCAGCATCTCCTCCTTGCTTTTTTCCGCTATTGGAACCGACTGTGATGATGTTGTTGGTAACGACGCTGATGATGCTTGCTGTAACAGAGTTTGAACGATATCCTTCTCTTCAAAAAGAGGATGTTGTGCCAACTCATTCAAAGTTGCTAGCAAAGCCGTCTGTTGTTGCAACGACAATTTATCCTTTTCATCTAATAAAGTTCTAAATTTCTCCTCCTCTTCGTTTACTTTAGCTACTAACAGTTCCTCAAATCGATCTGTTAGTTTTTGTCTTTTGCGCGGTTCAAATATCGTTTGTACAGCAACGAACAATAATAAATTCACCACCATCAGTGCCCATGTACCATAAGTACTGACACTCCTGATTTTATCACTCCATAATTGTTCCTCATGATATCGTTCCATAATTGATCTAGCCAATTCCATGTATTCTCTGTCCATTTGCTTTTCGGAAGCTTGATATTTTTCTTTAGCAGCCGCTTCGGCTTGACTGTGAGCATGCTCTAAGCGGTAAAGCTCTGTGAATTTTGTAACGTCATCACCTGTCCATAGATGTTTGCGTTGAAGAAGTTCGTTGATGCCTCTTTGTGTTGAAGATCTTGTTTCTATGGCTGCTTCATAAGCCAGTTTGGCTTCTTGAACTTGATCTCGTGTGGCCTCAAATACAGTAGCTTTTATCCATAAAGAACAAGGTTTAAAGAAAATTAACATAGGAGGAGAGGGATGATTGTGCGTGCTCTTCACAACATATAAACTTACCTTGATGGTTTACACGTTTTTTCATCGTATCAATTTCATTATACCCCGTCAATTCGTTCAACATACTACTGGCTTTTCTGAGTGCTTCTTTAGAATCGTTGACCTCTGCAGTGAGTGTTTTCAATTGTTGAGATGCTTGGTTTATTTTTTGAAGATATGCTTGTAGACGAGGTTTTAGGTCGGCTTGAAATCTCTCTAGATAAGCCTTGGTGGCAGCCAACGTCTTTTGCAATTGTGTATCTTTGTTGAATTTTGCTTTTCCGACAAGAGCGTTGTCTGCCTCAGTAGTATCTGTTTGTTGCTTTAACTGACAAAGTTCCTCCTGTTGCGATCGTTCAGGGTATGCAGAAGGAGTATGAGTGGAGAACGACGATGAACGTACAGCTGCGCTGCGAAATCTAAAACCCGGTTGAGAGAGGATGATGCGGTTTGAGGCGGCCGCCGTTATTCGCAAGCGACCAGAGAATGGATTCATTGTTGACATTGAGAGGTATAACGTTAAAGCTGGCAAAATACCCCTCGCTTCCCCTCAATTTCTTCATAATTGACGGCCGAAGTATTACATAATCACTATTTAAAGGTGTGCTGCCATTTGAAATGCAGCATCAAAAAGTGTAACCTCTTTTCCGCACAGCAACTCTTTGTAGTGATTATGGTAATGATCGAGTTTTGTTATAACTGATAATCATCCATACTATTACCAACATATCCTAGTCAGTTACTTTACACACAGATTTAGGTGATCTGAAGATCGAAGTTTTTTGTGAATCAGTGCCTAAAACAGCAGAGGTAAAGAATGTTCAATTAAAGGCAGTCTACGTTTTTAAAAGCGATCAACTCGAAACTAAAGACATTTCTTTTACATTTAAAGAACTTTTTAGCTCTATGTGCTAGTGGGTATTACGATAACTGTACTTTTCATAGAAATATAAAGGGCTTTATGGTTCAGGTAATGATTCATTAGGATACAATAAGTGGATTGTGAGCTTTACATTTTCATTATTGATTTTTTTAACTGATATATTACTTAGACAGGAGATCCCACTGGTACAGGAAAAGGAGGCAACTCTATATGGGGTAGGAAGTTTAATGATGAGATTCGATCTACTTTGAAGCATAATGCACGAGGCATAGTTTCCATGGCAAATTCAGGGCCGAACACAAATGGTTCGCAATTTTTCATCACATACGCAAAACATCCGCATTTGGATACAAAGTATACGGTTTTTGGAAAGTGAGTTAGGAAAGAAAGTGCTTTATATAATAGAACAGTAGATTACTGATACAGTGAAATAACAAAATACAGGGTAATTGATGGTGCTGATTCAACTTTGGATGCTTTGGAAAAAATTCCTACGGATGAAAAGAATAGACCTCTTCAGGACATACGTATAAAATCAGTGACGATCCATGCTAATCCAATAGCAGAAAAACAATAATTTGTAAATATATATGATATATAGTGCACTGTAAAGACGATGAATATAAAAAAGAATAAAGGGCATTTATAAATAGTACGTAAGTTATAAAGAATGTGTATAGTTATGATTAAAAAAGTCTAGAATGTCGACCATTGCCAGTCTGCAGGGACTGAGGGAATAGGGTTGAAAGCGGAATCTTTTGTCTTGTCTTTTGAATTGATGGAAACACCTCTGGAGGCATTCGCTTTAAGTGGCGTAACAATATCTAACGAAAATGGACATACGATCAGTAAATATATATCACTTAGCTTGAGTTTTTACTACAAACGAAGTTGTTCTTTTTCTTACCATCCCTGCCAAGTTCCGTAACACCTTCCATACCATGAGGTTGCTGCTGAGCCATGATACCGGCATGCCTCGTTCCTCTACCTCTCTTTAATGAGTTTGTCTGTTGCTGATGTTGTTGCTGTTCCGCTTTAGTGTTCTTTCTGATCGTTGCAGACGACGGCGAAGATGCCATTGCTTGCTTCTTTTCTAGTCTCCGTAGTTCATCTTGCCATTGTTTATACTCTACTGCGCAAGTGTTACAACCTCTTGATAAAACGCCCTTCGGATGAAATTGCGCAAACTGGTCCAAACGGAAATAGTTGGAACAATGGAAGGAACAGAAGATTTCTCCACACTTTCGACAATGATGTCTACGGTCAAATAAGCCGAAACGAACTGAACACTTTGCGTAATGACAACGATCTGCTTCATAGTCAGGCTGAAATTTTTGTAACAGGAAATAAAAGCACAAACACAATAAGCCTATGTACGTCTTTATTTTACAAGAAATAAGTCATACTTTACCCTCCAGTGGTCGCGAGACGGTGAGCCTACCACTTCGTCAAAGGTATAACTAAGAGGTGAGCGGGTAGAATTTATGGCGGTCGTACTATCGTTCGCTGTTGTTAATGACACATCTACAGCTGAATCGGTATCTCCAGCTGATGTTGAAGACGACTGTAGAAGTTGTTGTTGTAATGAAGCAGCGGAGGAAGAGGACGGCTGCGCAAGTGTAAGGTGTGAAGGTCTCTTTTTCCGAGTTAGTGAGTAAACATCCATTCAAGAATAAAACAGACACAAAAAGATATGAAAAGAGACCTAAAAAGTTAGAGTTCAGTATCTTATCATCACATGCGGCATCAGTCTGAAGCTTCAACAGAGGCTGGGCAAAATTAAAACTCCGGAAGGATGAAGATCGATCTTTTACTGTTTTTAGAAAGCCTCATTTTTGTCTGGTTGGTTTTTCCCCTTTTAGCCGTTGCTGTTCGCCGTGTAATTCGATGTCCTGGGTGTATACTTTGCGTAGTAAGCAGAAGTATTTTCTGACATATTCCAAAATAACTTACAATGATCAAGCAGGTTTAAAACCCCAGTTCTCCCTTATTCCAGTAGCATCGGAAAAGGTCTTCTTTTTTATTTGGTACAAATGGCTTGGAACATTTGAAACCAGTTTCTTTTTTTGCTCAGGTTTCGTACCTTTTATTGTAACTTGAGATTATATGCTCCTGATTCTTTGAAGATGTTGTAATAAATGGAGGTATTTTTCATTTTCAGCAACGAACATCAATGAAAAGAACATAAATGGATAGTCTGAACACTTCTAAAGCCTGATAAAAGACATGATCATCATTATTGTGTGATTTTCTGTCGAACCTGAACAGATCAACCCAATCAAAACAAGAAATTCAAGCCACAATCGTATATGGGTTGCTTAAAGATCCAAAGCCACATGGCTCGTTTTGCCTCCCCCACTCCATCCTCTTTTATCCTCTTTACACAGTTGATATTAGGATTAGAATTTTCGAAACGGTAAACGTTAAAAGCCAGAAGACAAATGAAAAGCAAATCTTACTCTTTCAGCAGTCAAGTTCTACTCCTTCTTGGGTATCAATAAAAACAAAGCGTCGAGTAACGTGTACATCAAAAATAGACAGGATGAATAGTTCACTGTTGCTCATGGTCCTTCTTTTCTTTTATTGCCATAGATCTGTCTGTCTAATTGGATACAGTTTTTTCGATCAATAACTAGAACTATAAACAATTGAGACAGCATGCCAAAAAGGGCAAAAATCGATAAGCTAAAAATGTGGTTCCAAGGTTTCATTTCCACACCTGAAACCATTTCTTGGATAGAACTGACAGACCGAAGGAATAGTAAAAGCTATTCCTTCTGTTTTACAATCTGTTTTCTCTATTAACGAGAGTAAAAGAAACTACGAGACGCGTCTAATATATCCATAGTTCTGTCGTCGCGCTTTTTCTATCTTTTCTTTCCTTACGTATCTCTTTTACGTTTGCAAATCATGATTGTTACTATTATAACTTGAACAGCATAGAAGAAGAGAAAGAAAAGCGAAAACAATATAACAAAATGGGCCATATTATTCATCCTTTCATGCCAATTTTACAAGACTGTGAAGATGAAATATATACTGCGTACAAACAAGTCGTATCAGAAGAAATCTTCTGTGACGAAATACGCACCAAAATCATGTCCGCACGTATATATTTTGCATTACTATTATTCAACATTTTATTCATTGTATACACGACCAGCTACTACATATACCGTATCAAATCAGCCAAGTGGTATGCACTATTATCTCCGACACCTGCGACAACGACATGGACCGCTACAACAGCAGAAAAGCTACGCTACAACATATCGAAACAATGGCAAACATACTCACTCGGCAAAAGGGGCTTATTCGGATATGTTTTAGGTGCATTGGGTCATCTTGTCTTTACCACCTTTGTCATCACGAATCAAGTTTTTGTTGGTGATTATACTTGCGAATTCTATCTGTGGGGTCCATTTGTTGGATTCTACATTTGGACGTACGCTATCGTTTGGCGTGCTTTACGTCTCCATCTACTGATTCGTGTGAATGAATTACAGCGACGCTATTTGTCTTCCGCTACGAAACGATCCAATAGGACACAACAGCAGTTACCATCCAATACCTCACACACAGCCAATGTCTCCGTTTACACCACTTCCTCTTCGAAAATGTCAGCAAAGGAAGACAAGGACTACACCTGGTTTATGCGACATAAGGATACCCTCAACTTGAGTACGACCCGTGAAGTTTTGCACTTTCTCGCTACATTACTTGTGATTGTGGTTATCATTATCATTGTTGAAACAACCTATATACGCCCCCCACATAGTTATCATTCAAAGGCACGCTGCAAGTATTTATACGGGAATATGCTCAATGTAGCCATGGTGGTCGGCTTCTTTATTCTGATTGTACCTTCTGTCGTATGGTATCTCAGGCGCGATAAAGACGCCCATGGTATCCGAAAAGAAATCATGATTACCATGGGTGTAGGAACGCCTTGTCTGGTCATGACGATCGTTTGGCAGCTCGTGTTTGACCCTCCTACTAGAAAAACGCCCTCTTCTATCCGCAATATATACGGACCTATGAACTGGCTGATGGTGGTGACAACGACAAATCATATTGTCAGTATTATTTGGCCCTTATTCAAAAAGATACCATTGACGACTTTGTCAACGAGAAATACTTCCATCATGGACTTACTTTTACCAAGGAAAAAAACAATCCAACGACGACAACAGCAACAACAACCACAACAACAACAGAATGGCCTATTAGCCAATCAGCAAAAATCCAAGTGTTGGTGGTGGTACCCATGTTCCAACAATAAGGCACTTTTTCATACGAAAGATTTGAATAGTGACCCATTGTACGATATGTCGCGAAACACAACGGCAGCAACAACACTTCCGACGTATCAGCAAGATGATCCGGTAGTAGAGCTGACTACGGAATCGTTGACCCAAGCTTTACTGAATCCTAAAATGCTCCGAGTATTGCAAACATGGGCTGTCAAAGATTTCAGTGTAGAGAATATCTTGTTTTATGAAAAATACATCGAATTCACACAAAAAATACAAGAGCATATTTCAAACAGCCTCACTCATCACTCACCACAACCGACAACATCAACCCCAGATCACTATACCAATGACAGCAAGATGCTGAATACACCTTTTGGCATCGAACTTATGCCAGAGTTGGTAGAGTTCTACAATACATTTATAGCAGATCAAGCACCTTTACAGATCAACATATCATTTGCCGCTAGAGAAAAGATAGATGCTGCCTTTGCACCGCTGGTACGCGAATGGATGATACAAGACACAAGCAATAACAACAATAATCAGAGCAGCGACCCGAACTTTCTAAAGCAACCATCCTCCTCTTCGTCACCTAAACAACAGCATCCACAAAAATTATTTGGAGAATTTCATGAGACGATCGTGGCATCTTCACCTTCTTCCCCGCCGCCATCAAGTGCAAACAACAGCACGCTAACAAACTCAAAGAAATTCACTGCTGCTTCAAAAACAAACAAACATCTGAACTGGCTTTTGGATACACCACCGCCACCTGTTGTCCGTAGTTACGAACCGTTTGAGTGCATCTTGCCACCTCATTCTGCTCCACATGATATGCGTAAACCCATGCCGATAGCGACGATGTTCAGCACCAAGTATACCGTGGCTCATCCTACATCTACCACAACGAGAACCACAACAACAAATGCTGACAGTACTCCTACTATTACGTTGTCTATTTCTAACACCGTACCTACGGTTCCTGTTGACACCAACACAGTTCAACCTGCATTAGCGCCGTCAAGTCGAATAGCTTCTGTATCATCTTTGCATAGCATCCCATCATCAAACATCACTTTACAATTATTTGAACAGGCTAGGAAAGAAGTATTCTGGAATATCTTTTCTGGTTTGTTCCCTAAAGTAGTAGCTGCTTATCGTAATCATCCTTCATCTGAGATCTAAAAGAACTGCATTCTTATCACCAGCTTGGTTTCGTTTCTTTTTTTATACAAAATGCATACACTTCCGCCTATTGTTCTTTTTCCAACCCCACAGATGATTTTGCCCTTTTTACTCGGGTGCCGTTTCCCATATATGGCAACCGTATCATCTCCACTTTCCTCCAGCCTCATACCACCCCCCCTCCACCTACTCACCGACCCCTTTAGGAGTTTTTTTTTTTTTTTTTTCCTTTCCTTCCAAAAATGCACTCTTGTATTTCAAAGCTTCCACTTGTTTCGTCCGTTTTCATACGACAGCAACAAAATTGTAAATTGAAGCCATGCTTACGGTTATTGTTCGTGCAGCCATCACAGCGACATTACACTTCAGGAACAGTAGCTGATACTACTGCTTCTGTTGGATCGATGAAAGAGCCCTTGTCACCGTTAGGTAGACATTTACAAGATTCTATCAAAGTAAGGTAGTTTCTTTCAGTCAGGCTTTCACGAACGACCCTAGTAAAAAGTACTTATGTTTCACGGGCTGTAAAAGTAGTTGACGGGACCGTTGACAGTGGCGCGATATATGAGGGAAGTACTTGTCAATCCACTCAGTGGTTATTATATGTTTAATGACGTTTTTGGCAAAAAAGGTGATTTTGTCACTTCACCCGAGATCAGTCAAGTGTTTGGTGAGGTAAAAAGAATAGGATTGTCTGTGTGGGTGTTAAGAATGACTTTTTTTGTTGAAAAGTACAGAGTTTTTTAATTCGGTTTTTCTTGCCTTTACACAACCCATGGTTTTTCTATTCTAGTTATGCGGTATTTGGTACCTGACAGAATGGATGAGGTTAGGACAGCCGTCGAAAACTCAAATTATTGAATTTGGACCTGGACGAGGCACATTAATGAGTGATATGTTGAGAACACTGGCTCAATTTCCTTACTTTTACAAGACATTGACGGATGTCCATCTGATTGAAGCAAGCCCGGGTCTTCGAAAGATACAAAGGGATCATTTGATTCAAGGATCACCATCAACAGACAAGGAGGTTGTGTGCGATAAAGGTGCTGATTCTTCAGAGACCATGACGAGAGAAGATGGTATTCGAGTGTCGTGGCACGATGGTATTGAACTTGTTCCAGGTAAAGAACGATAGAGGACACGACTGCTCTCCGTTTTCAATGCTCCATTCCTTCACTTACTTACCTCCACGTTTTCCCCCTGCTGCACTAGATGGCTGGTCATTGGTCATGGCTCATGAGTTCTTTGATGCATTACCTATTCACAGCTTTGAAAAAACAGATTCGGATTGGCGGGAACTGTTGATCGATATGGACGACAGTACAGAAACGCCTTACAATTTCAAGATTGTCAAATCCAGCAAGCCGACGGCTATTACAAAACTGCTCGGCACTCATGAAGAAAACCCTTTGAATCAACAAAAAGAGAAAAAGATAGGAGACAGAGTAGAGATATCACCGGATGCCTATAAATTCATGCACATAATAGCACAATTTCTGGGTCGAAATGGTGGTACGGGGTTGGCGATTGATTACGGACAGGATTATATTCAAGGAGATACGCTGAGAGCTATTCGAAAACATGCTATTGTACATCCCATGTCAGATCCTGGAAGTGCTGATTTGAGTGCGGATGTGGATTTTTCGTTTTTGAAACAGGCTATTCAACATTATAACAAGACAGAAGGAAAAGGTAGAAACATACATTACATGACGATAGGAAAGAGGGGGCATTGACAAATTTCTCATGTACTTTATGCCAATTTAGAATTGACGGCTTATGGACCGACGACTCAACAAGAGTTTTTAAAATCTTTGGGTATTGCAGCTCGTATAGAACAATTATTCAAGAATGCCAAGACATCCGAGCAAAGGAAAACGTTATTGGATGGTGCAGAAAGACTGATGGATTCTAAGGCTATGGGTAGAATCTACAAAGTGTTGGCATTCAGTAATGAGCAGATCAATAAGACTACCAAAAAACCAGTAGGATTTTAAGGAAAAATAAAAAAAAAGAAAAGAAAAGGACCTTGTTATCATGGTATAATTGAGTATGGCACATAAATACAATCATTTCTTTAAAACTAAAAAGCCTCTGGAGCTTTTTTGGGTATTTCAATGATACGGTCGTTATGAAAAATTTCTTGTTCTTGAAATGGTGGTAAACGTCCAAAGATTTCATCTGGATCCATGGTTGAGAATTGTAACTCTAGTTGTCTTCTGAGGTCAGGGTTTTGTGCCCAGCTTGGTATCGTTGAGGAGGAGGGTGGATTCTTTTCTTTTTGTAAAGATTTGTCCAAAGGCTGTTGTGTGGTCATTTCTTGTGGATGGATTGCTGTGGTGGTGGTGGAAGTAGTAGTGCTACGAGTAGCTGTGGTTGCTGCTGCGGTTGTTGAGGAAGAAAAGGGTTTATTAGAGAGAGACAACAATTTGGATCTCTTCAAAGGTGGTTCTGGCAATGCATCACTTATCACGATATCGTTATTGTTGGTATCATCATACTTATTGTCCCTGCTATTGTGCTCAGATATTCGTTCGGTGTGTTTCTGTTGGCTATCCGTTTCTTCAGCCAGTGATTGTTTTCGTTGGATGACGTTGGTTACTGGTGCTGATAATGATCCGTTGGATGACGTAGACGTAGCATTGGATCCAGTTGGAGGAACGCCGTTCAAATGCGTCGTGGCTGTTTTTTTAGCGGCCGTTATGTTGGCGTAGGTAGGTTGTTGCTGTTGCTTCTGTTGTTGTGCAAACCGTTTTGACACAACAATCTCGATTTCATCCTCTTGTTCGTCGAACTCTTCGTCATCCTCCTCCTCTTGTTGATCTTTTGCATCGTCTCTTTGGATGGGGCCACTATGAGAACCCCTACCTTTGATATCACTTGTTCCTTGCTCCATCGTGTGAGTTTGCTTTTTTGGATGAGCTTTGTGATGGACCGATGTCACCGACGTGTCAAGCGTAATGGATGGGCGAACGGATGGTGGTGTCCTCACAGTAACAACACTATCGATCGAATAAACTTTTGCATCTTTATGCGTTGTTTGGGACGATCCAACACTGCTGTCTTTTTCAATAATGGTTATTGCGTCTGTAGAGTCAATGTCGCGTTCTAATCTGTCCGTCTTTCTTGTGGTTGCATAGGTCGTTGCTTTAGGCTGAACATTTGACTGACGCTTTGTTATGACAGATGTTGGTTCTGATGCCAGTGCCTGCACTGATCTTGTGGGACGCTTCCAATGGATTAGATCACTATAGTTTTTGTTGACATCAGACGATATGTGTAAGGTTATAGATAGCTTCTAGGATGTTTGCACTTAAAAAGTAATTGTATCATGAGTGTAGCTGATGAACTTACTTGGGAGTACTATGTTGATCAAACCACTTCAAATGAACCTTCAGTATATCCTCTAAAAGTGTCAACTTTTCAACAGTAATTTCATCCCATTTTTCTCTCTGTTCGTGTGCCCAGATATAGCCCTTTTTGGTCGTTTCTTCTTTGGCCATGGCTGGCAATGGAACAACACAGTCAATGGAGAGATCAGAAAAATAAACACAGTAATTTACAAAAAGAAAAAAAAAAAAAGGTGCTTGATTTATTTTGAATCTGGATTTGATTTTTTTAATTTTTTGGCTAAAAGCTTGTATTGATTCTCTTTCCCTTTGTGTCTCAACCGTTTCTACGACAAAGACAGCTTCTTACTTATATCCAAGGCAGAGGCAAAGGCATGCAATCGACTATCGATCATCAACAATCCGTTTTGAGCCTTTTGTAATTCTACAACGCCCAATAGAATGATCAGTAAGCAGTTGGAGGAACACTATTGTAATATTTCGCGCGTCTTACCGGTCAAATGATGTAGTAAGTCGTTCAAAGGCAACTTGATACTTTGCAAGCTCCATTCATCGGGTTCCAATGCTGGTTCTTGAGCAAGCGATGTCTCTTTGTTGCTTGTATCAATGGTGACTCTTGCAATATAACAGCATGAATTCGTTAAGCCCGGTTCGTAAGCAACTGGAACTTGTACTAGTTCAAACTGATCTTTGGGTATCAGATAGCCAGTTTCTTCGCGTAGTTCTCTTTGCGCACAATCCAATGGATCGTGGTCATTCGCATCTATCAAGCCTGTACTTGTAAAGTCAGATGTCCAGCTTTATGGAAGGAAATAAGCCCCTCTTTTGAAGCGCAACTTTTTCTGTACCTGATGGAAACTCTATACAATAACGTTCAATGGCTGGTCTTTAAAAGAAGGAATTATCTTTTTTTGTCAGTAGAAAAGACAGCTAAAAAAAAAAAAAAAAAAAAAGGCTCGTACACTGGTTCTACCTATATTGAATAACGAGTAGAATTTCCGGTTCTTGACTTCCTCCTTCAGGCAACAGAAGAGCATGAATATCAATGGCTATGTTTAAAGGGAAATGGGATAATGTCATCAGGAGACTTATAAAGTCCTATCAGTAGAGGCGAAATTTTTACCATTCACTGCTACTGTGCCTTCTGACTGTGATGGTCGTTGTTGATTTCTGATGCAACGTTCCCATCGACGTTCAACATTCTTATCATCTCTATAGTTGACATATTCCAGACCGAGCCAATCACCTTTTCCCAAAGAAACAGGAGGCGATGTTATCTTGAGAGGTAATAAATCCTTAACCAAACGTTTATGTGACATTTTTTAAAACGAAAGAATTCAAAAAAAAGGGGGTGTATTGCTGACGAAAATGGAATTTTTGCTTTTTTTGGACATAGGAGAATTTCCCCCACCACCCTTTCTCCTTGTTATAATATACGTTGGTACAGTCTTTTCGGTTCAGATTCGGACAGCGTTGAGAGTTGTTTTCAGATGAAACGAATAGAAAATTGGGATATTAGGTACACTATTTTTGGATTTATTTTTGATAAATGTAGAGAACCGGTGAAATAGATAATAACAAAGCCCCCATTGTACGTGAGGACCTATAGACACGTGTTTGAAGGCGACTCTAAGTCGCGCCTTCATCAATATCAGGAGCTTCGATGCTTTTATGCATCAGCGAAACACGTTTAGATGCCGTGACCACTTGGGCGTAGGAGCGTTGAGAATGATTTTTGGGCTTGGGGCCGAGTTGGACTCTGCTGACCAAGAAAAGTGTTGGGAGTTGGGAAGAGCCATGATGCAAAAAGAAATCGGTCTAAGACAGCTTCGTAAAGAATCCCAATCTAATAATTGATCAGTCCAAAAACTTTCCTATGATCAGTATAAATATTCCCCATAAAAAGTCCGAATTTTTCTTCAAAGAAGCGAACATACTGTAATTCAGCTTAACCTACCAATTACAATGATAAAAAATCCTTGTTTAAAAGTAACGAAAAAGAAAAAAAAAAAAAAAAAAAAAAAAGTCCCACGAGGAAAAACCGTATGCGTACTGTACCTCTCTATTTACTCTTTTTTGCTTGTAAAAGAAATCTAATTTTATAAATTGTGAACCAAACTGTTGGTTGTAGTGTTCTTGAGATCATAGAAAGAAGTTTTTGATTGCCCGCTTTTTTTTTTTAAAAGACATGATGTTTGCAGAAACAAATGGAACAAAATGTCGACACATCATCTAAATTAAAACTCTCCTCCAGTTCCAATCTCTTTAGCGCGTGAGCGGCGCTTCATTTCTTTTCTTTTTCTGAGGGAAAAAAAAAAAAAAAAAAAGTTTCTCTTTCTCTTTTGCTCTTTCCCTTTCTCCCCCTTTCCGTTTATTAAAACATCGATTTTATTCAATGAGAATTCTTCTAAACCAATAAAAACCTTATTTTTTTCGCCTAGTGATATAGAAGACAATACCGGTCTTTTTTTTTTTTCCGTCAGAAAAAGAAAAAAAAAAAAAAAGGATGAACTTATTAGCCAAAGTTGATTTCAACTCTCTTTGTTTTCTTTTGCGAGATGAAATCAAAGGAAAAAAAAGGAACATTGTATCGAAAGAAAGCAAGAGTTCTTTGATTTGATATCATTTCGCAAAAAAAAAAAAAAGGCAAAGAAAGTGGAATGAAAAAAAAAACATATTGCTGATAGGATATTTCTAAATTGTTCTGATTTTTTTTTTTTTTTTTTTTGAATATTCGTAAAAACATGTTTCTTTTTTTTATTGCAAACAAAATAAAAAAAAACATATGCTTTAAAATCAAGATGAGTAAGTGGTAGTTGTAGAAGTGGAAGAAGTCGTCGATGATGAGGAGGATACTTTTTGCTGTTTGTCATCCGATAAACAACCATTCGTGGTTGTCATGGTCGTGGTTGTATAGGTGGTCGTGGTAGTGGTCGTGGTGGTCGTGGTGGTCGTGGTCGTGGTTCTAGTGTTATTGGTCGGCAGCGATGAAGAAGAGGTGGTGGCATCTAAACAGGAGGTAGTGGTATAAACAGTCTTTATTTCTTTGTCTAGAGACTGTTGGGTATTGGTATAGTATATGAGTCTTTGCTTGATACTCGTAGCTGTCTTCCATTCTTCCCAAACTTCAAATCGAAAAGAATCAATGCGTTCTCTTTTCACGTGTCCAAATTTGAGATGATTTGTCTCCATTTGGGTCAAGACAACCATTAATATATTACACAGTTTAGTAAATTTGCGAAAAGTGGTATCTAGATATTGATTGACATGCTTCAATAAACTACTCCTATGGCTACTCTTCTTCGGGATGTTGCTGCTATGGATACGTGAAATGATGTCGTTCTGCTGATGGAACGATTCGTAGCTTTCGTTGTCGTGGTAGGTGTGTTCTGATGGTGGCTGTTGTATCAGTTCGGGTTGGTATTTTTGTAGTGCAGGGCAGATGGAATCACTAAAAGCGGCCAATTCTCGCACCACTGCTTTTGCTTGGTATAGACAGCGACAGAACTCTATCAGTGTTTTGTCAGCAACGGATACATTCATCGTTGCCCTACTATGATGACTATAAAGATCCATCGAGGAGGGATGCTTTGGATTATTATTATTCACTGTTGTCACATAATCCAATGTGGTGGTATTACTTTCACCCTTCGACGAGGTGGTTGTAGTCGTGCTTGTTGTGCTTTTGATACCAGCCTTTGGATACGGATAATAGGCATTCTGATACTGATAAGGTGGGTATGGACGTTGAAGGGTATCTGGTTTCGTATCCAATACTTTCATTACAATTTTCAACAATATTTTCGAAAAAGAAAAAAAAAAAATTAATAAATAAAAAAAAGTGAGGCTAGAGAAAAAAAAAAAGACAGAAATTCCTCACTTTTAGCCATTTTTGAAAAAATGGAAATTTTTATGGTGGACAAAAAAAAAAAAAAAAAAAAGTAAAAAAAGAAAAAGTCATTTTGACCCTTTGTTGGAATTTTCTATCCCCGCTTATTGCTTCCGTGGGGTTCCTCAAACTTCCATTATTACAAATTTGGAAAAGACCGTTCAGATTGAATTTCCGTTTCTGAAAGTACAAAAAGCTCTTTAGAAAGAAAAAGACTTTTTTCATTTGATCAAGTTCCCGTAAAAGACGATGGAGGACAAACTACTGCTTGCTATCGTCCATGAGAGACAAAAAAAAAAAAAAAAACCCCTGATGTTTGTACACAAAATGTTTGACATCGTCTCATATGAAATACTGTGCGGTTTGCCTCAGACAGCTGCTTAAAAAACTCAAAAAAAGAGTGTTTATCCGTTACGTAGGCATTCAAACGCATTGAATGAAACGTCTTTGAGTAACTCTTTTCAACATTCTATTTTCCAAAAGGGCCCAACATAAGAAATTGTCCTACGTATAATTCTTTTGTCATGAATATCATTTGTTATCTCATGATGTCAAAAAGAGATGCATTTATTTATCAAGATACACATCACCTGAAATATAGATGTGATATGGTTTTGAAACTCACTTTCTGCTTCCTGTGAATATGCAGGAAATTAAAAACACGCCCCCCTCTTTCATCAGTGTAATTTTTGCCTTTTTTGTAAAGGCGACGAAAATCGTGATTTTTTTTTTTCTTCGATAGACATACAATTCCCATATAAACATTTACTTATCGATATTTTAAAGTATTCCCATATTTTTATAAATCATCCTACTTTTTGTGGTTTTTTTTCAGTAGCATGGATATCATTCATTCTATTTATTTATTTTTTTTACCGTCCATTTTTCTTTTCCATTCTGTCGTTTCACTAAGAGCATCATGGTGATGATCATAACAGCTGTATTACGCTTTTTCCAAGCCAGAACAATTAATCAAATGGATTATATGTCATGATGAGAAAGAAAAAATCCGATCTTCCATTGAACAAAATGGATAAATGGCTATCATCATTTTGGTTTTTGGTTCAAAATGAACTGGTTTTTTCTTTTTTCAATGTAAGAAATACATGTCTTCCAAAATTAGAAAGAAGCATGATGTTAGGAAAAGGAGTGCGTCTACGATCTGATGACAAGCAAAAGAATTCTTTCTATCCCTTTCTACGTGTTTCTCGTCTTTTTTTTTTTTTTTTTTTTTTTTATTCTCAAAAAAATCAAAAAACTATGTACAAAAAAAAAATAAAAGAATAAAATAGAGTCAAATGGTAAAAAGAAGGGACTGTTTACTTTTTCTTTTGTTGTTGGCCTTCTTTGCCAATAACAGTAACATTTTTCTGACCCAGTAACTGCTTGACGGCCTTCACCTTGGCTTGCTTTTGTCCTATTTGAGGATTGTACTTTTGCATCACCTTGATTTCTCTCTCCTTCATCTCGCGTTCCTTTCTCTTTAACTTTTTCTTTTGCGCTCTTAGACGCTTTCTTTCTGCTTGGTCCATCTCTGTCGTTGATTTCAATTCTGTACGCTTCTTGTCGTACACTTCTTCCGGTGCTAATAAGGTTGCCTCTGATACATTCACTGGCGTCACTTCTTCCATACTGATCGCTGCTGCATTACTGACAATCGTCATTTCAGGTTTGACTGCCTTGGGTGTGTAGTGGAAGTTGGAAAGTGCGTCTAACTTGTAGCAGAGGTCATTGAACATGTGTGTGATCTCATCATGTTCTTTCTCTAAAGCTTCGTCACGCGCATCCTTCTTTTGTTCTCCTGCCTGCTGATGGATAAAATCGTCTTCGTAGATCTCTGCAAGAGATTGCTTGGACTTCTCATCACTCAGCTCGACTCTCTTGGAGGGCACAAACGGCTTCAGCGTGGGGTCTACTTTACGCTCCACATCATCAAACATATTATCCAAAATACGCTTTTTGATCATCTCTTCTAGTGTGTTGGTGGTCTCTTGAGTAATCACAGGAACGGGTTTATTGGCATGCTCAAATTCGAGATCTTCCTCCAAAAGACTGTTGACAGGTCTTGCCTTGGCCGTTGCTTCACCTTGTAATGTCCAATGTCTACCTTGGATATTCTCTTGTTCAAACTGTTCAATCTGTTGTTGAATCCGTTCCTGTTGTTTCTGGAAAGCTGACTTTTCGTCTTCTTCTTCTTCTTCATTATCAGACTTGTCCGAGGCATCCTCGTCAGCAAAGAGATCCCTTGCAGGTCCCTCTGAAGCATCATCACTCTCCATTCTATCGTCATCGTCCTCTTCTATTTCCGAGCCTGGCTTTTCAGCTGCCTCTTCTTCCTCCTCCTCTTTCTCGAATTGAACTTTCTTTTCAACTGAAGCCTCGGCTTTTCTTCTCTTTTCAATCGTTTTTCGGTCGCCAAAGAAATCATCAAACGTCATTTCTATAACAGACAAAGAAAGGGGCCATTCATTACACTGTGCATCTTTGACCTGATATTAGCTTTTTACTGTCTATTTACCAGCAGCTTGAACAACATCATCCTCGTCATCCTCTTCATCTTGACTTTCTTCTTCTTCATCCAAGTCTTGATCAAAATCAACATCATCGTCATCCTCTTCACGATCGGACAACATGTCGAGTCTTTCTTGTTCATCTGTCCATTTATTAAATTCTTCCAAATTGAAGAAATCATCATCTACTTCTGAAGTCTTTTTCTTGGGTCTAATCGAGAAACAAGTGGGCAAATGAGTAAAAAAAAGAGAAAGAAGCGTGCACCCAAAACAAAAAAAAAAAAAAAAACCTACATATAATCGTCTTCTTCTTCTATTTCATCTTTATCCTCTTTTTCAACATCTGAACTCTCTCCATTACTTTCTAATGGTTCATCATCCTCTGATTCTTTCATTTCTTCATCCTCTTCTTCACTTTGGAAACCTTCCTCATGGTCTACATCCATCGACTGACCAGACACACTTTCGCTTTCATCATCAGTTGTATCTCTTTGTTGTTGTGGTAGTGATGGCGATGTCTCTTTTTTGCTAAAAGATTTTAACTTGGACGATGCATAATCTAAAAAGGGTTCGTTTTGAGTTACAAGTTCCTCCCACACTTGATCCGTATCGAACCCTTCTACAAACAGCTCTGTAAACGGTGATAGTTGAGACGTTTCCACTTTTTTTGCTAGTGACAGACGAGTCAAATGGATACAATGAGAACGGCAACATCAATGAAAAGAACAGTTGACAAATTTACCATCATCATAAAAGTGTTTTGCAATAGCAAGTGCATTATCTGCTAATTTCTGGTTGGTCGTAAAAAAAACTTGTGGTTTATCTACCACATCAGTTATAAATTGACTAAGAGGATGTTTACTAGTAGGCATGAGACTAAACTATCCAAATAGATACAAAGGACTGTGACGATCTGTATTCAAGAGCAATAAAGGTCAAGAGAAATTTTGAGTGGGTTCATTTTTCAAAATAAAAAAAGCCACATGAACCGACCCTTTTTTTTCTGCGGAAAGTCAAAACATACTTTTTAAGCCCATAATAAAAATGGATGGTCTCCAGTGTAAATTATAATAAAAGTACTTTTTTGATAATCTAGCTATTTCTGTTGCATGCACGCTTTTCTTTTGTATGGAACATAAAAGATATTTATGAAAAAAAGAAAAAGCCAAATAATATATGTAAAATGTAGTGGATAGCTGTGTTCAAGTTTGCAAAAAAAAAAAAAAAAAAAAAAAAATGTTTCCAAGATTTAGCAACGACAAAGAAAAAACCATAGATAGGTTCTGCTTTTAATCTTTAGCATCAGGCTTTCTTACAACAGCAGAAGATGCGTCTTCTTCCGCATTAAAATAAGTCTTGTCTCGGTGAGTATCCGACATGGAGCATCTTCCAGCGGAATCACTACCTACAGCAGTGGTTCCTTCAAAATGTGTATCGTTATCTTCGTGATGCATTTGACCTGTCGTCTGTGTGTCGATCCCATGGATATCATCCGATGGCCACCTGACAGATCCATCCCCGCGGTGGATAGCTTGCTCACCAGGATCATTAGGATGGTGTACAGCACCAGTAGCAGCAACGCCTGCGCCTGCGCCTGCTGTTCCAAGAGCACCAGAAACGAAGGCTGTACTAGTGGGCCTACTTGCGTCCACATAAGCTTCAGGACAACCTTCACTACTACCTATCTGGCTACCGTCATAATAACTACTGGAATAGTAGCTTTCGTTCTTGCTCATAGCCGCGGCAGTGGCTGCTGCTGCTGCTGCTGTTCCCAATGCCGCCGGCTGAGCTGGAGAAGTGGCATGATACGGAGGATGATTCGCCATGGTGTATCCAGCGCTATGATCCCCAGAAAGATAGGAATGATAATATCCTCCTCCACCATGACCGGATGTAGTATCCACCGTATCACTAGGCTGAGACAAGTGCGGTGAAGGAGGAGAGTAAGGAGAGTAATAGTACGTATCGTCTCGCGCAGATGGAGCTTGGGGTCGTCCTACGTAGGCGTCGGGTCCGTATTCCAATTTCAAAGCGGGTGGTACAAATGCTCTTGCTTCCACAGCAGTACTGGACGGTATCGTTTCAACACATGCGTTGTCTTGGCCCTCTGTTGTGTATTGATACATATCCGCGCTGCTGCTGCTACTGTTGGATGTGATCCATTTTTTTCGATGCCTGCGTTTGGCTCGTTTGATACAAAAGAAAGCTAAGGCACCTAACACAAATGATGTAGAGAAAAAATGACTAAATGCATAAAGACGGAAAAGAACATAAACAACGGCTGTTTTTACCAACAAGACCAGCACCTACGACAGCGCCTACGATACCGCCAATAAGTGCACCCGTGTTTGTTAAACTACTAGCATGAACTGCAGGAAACGTTATCCAGCCAACCGGTTTTAGTATAAAATGAGCTTTGTTTCCCTTCCACAAGTAAACGTAAAAAGAGAAAAAAAAAAAAAAAAAAAAACCCCCCGTTCTTACCTGCTGACTCTGTGGGAGAGGGTGGATCTGAAGAGAAAATGGTACTACTGGGTAAAACTGAATCAACCAAAGTGGTGGGCATATTTGAATCGGTGGCTGTCATTGAACCTGTGTCTATCGTTGGAGAAGGCACAGAGTTGCTATCTGTTGGCGTTATCACACTGCTTTCTGTCCCTGTAGGGACGGTTGTATCAGTGGCAGATGCAGAATCCGTTGGAGTTGCTGCCTAGACAGGTAGTTATAAATAAGAAGAGGCAAAGAATGAATGAAAGGGCGCGTCATGCCAACAAATAGGAAATGAGCTAAAATACTTTACTGGATCGGTAGAAGAGTGTTTCTTACGCCTTCTACGTCTTCCTCTTCCCCACCATCCTGGTGGCGGAGGAGGTGGTGGAGGTGGTGGCCATGGATAGTTCGTTGGCCAATCAGGCGGAGGAGGTGGTGGTACATATCCGCTCACTCCTGGTGGTGGTGGAGGAGGAGGCAGAGGATAGCCTGATGGCCAGCCTGCAGGTGGTGGTGGTGGATAGGCAGCTGTAGATACAGGAACACCTTCATCCTCTACAGAGTCATCCTCCTCATCATATCCTGCATCAGCGTCAGTGGGTGTGGCATCCAGGCGGTATATGTTGGGCACGGTAAAGCATTCGAGCTGTTTTGCACGATAAGACTGTGTTGGTGTTGCATTGTTTGTTATTGTGGCTGTACTACGCTGAACACTGACAACTCTATCTGTACTGTACGTCATGCCAAGCACGAATAGAACTTTTTTACTCTTTAAAACAAATAACTGGCGGATAACAGAAAAGCGAAATCCGCGTACACTGTAAGTCTGTAACGATTTAAAATATATATAAAAAAATAAAACGGAAACAAAAAAAAAAGAAAAAAAGGATTTTTTTTTTTTTTTTGTTGTGTTTCTTGATAGCTAATATTGTTGTGTTTTCGCGAAAATTTTCTAAACAGATCTATAGTTGTTATGGCTATTGTTGGCTGTCTCTTAATGGTAACCCGACTGAAACGACGGCTCAGATTTTCAGCACCTTCAAAATCAGGAACATTATTAGATTCTGGTTCGTTGGATTCCAAATCAATCATGTCCGAATGATTGATCTTTGAAAACACGACAGGTGGGGGTTTTCCCTGTAAAAAGATATTCGAACAGTTACTACAAACATTTGCTTTGACTACACCCAATCACTCTTATGTAAGTATTTGAGGACATTTGGCTTGCTGTTTATTGGCGATACCTGTAGTATTCGAAAATAAAAGCTCACATGTTTTATTGACAAAACCAATGTGGCTGTTGGCAGAGGCGGACTTTTGATGGCCCCCACTTACTTTCCAATTTTGGACTTTTTTGGAGGGAAGGAGAGTGGCTTGTTACTGTTGTTGTTGGTGGAAAAGAAAGGCCTAGGCGTACATCTTCTATTGTTCGAATTTTGGTAGCAGCCATATGCAGTAAGTGGTTTTCTCTCTCTCTCATACACTTAATTTCAATTGCTTACAAATAACCTTCAATGTATATCTCACTATCTAGAACGAGTTGTTGGCATTATACATTTCTCCAAAGTAGACGTCATCAGCCACAAGATAATACCACGCATAGACTAGGAAAAGGAAAACAATACGTCAAATATATGTCGCATGTAAACTAAATAAAAGTACGATCAGCTAAAGTAAGGGCGATACTATAACAAGTGAATGGCAAGAAATGAAACAAGGAAAAAACAGTCTCCGCTCTAGGGCAGGTCAACACTTACAATTGTATCATGTTGAAAGTGTTCAATATCACACAAAGAACAGTCTCTTCAGTATGATTCTCGCGGTGCCTCTTCGTGGTGATGCCAAGAATGTAGTATGGCGGCAGCATTTGAGTTACAAAAGCCTAGAAATCATGATCTCAAGGCAGCTATTATCTGTCAAAAATGTCTATGTTAGCTAAATTAATAACCATTACGTGCTAAAGATGCGTACTTTTCAATAAGAAAAACCGGCATTTCATCTGTCGAATTGACTTGATTGTCAAGCGTAAACTGTAGTTAGACAGTGTGTCATTATATCTGCCAATTTCAATCAGCTGTTTGGAGAGAATATCGTAGTGGACATTGAAACTGGAACATTTATAAAGTTCGGCTTCAACTAACCATTCATAATGCCAGAGAAAAGGGTTTAGTTTTCAAAAACTAATGGGCCAACCTTTGTGATCTATCTCTGTCGCTTAATATAACGTGCTTTCATGAATAACCCGTTCAGCTTAATTTTTGTCGATCATGTGTAAAAGATTCCAGCCAAGTATACGTATCATTATAAATTTTCGATTGTTGATAACCCAGGAAATTGAAAATTCAATACATATTCCTTCATTTCTGATCATTGATATGCAGTATAAGTTATATATGCATACACATATATTTGTTGTCGAACGACGATTGATCCAAGTCAACATTCCCCTTTTGGTTTAAAGTACGTAATGCCGCTTTTTCAGGACTAGTTCATATAGAAGCCTTCTACGCAAAAACCCCATCTCTAATTTAGTTCTGCGATGCAGAAAGCATATTTGAAAGACCTTCAGTAATAGTTAAGAGAAAAATATTGAACTTGATACATCCATCCATCAAGTGTTCATCAGTAGTTGAAAGCTCTTTTTGTTTAAACGGCTACTAAATAATTTACAGCTTTCACCCTTTAGCAATGGTATATAAGCCCCACATAAAGAATGATAACAATAATAATGTTTTTATTCTTCATCTGCTAAAAAGCTCAAATGCATTTTTGCACTTTCAACGCTGTTGTTTATTTCTAGTTTTATAAATGATACTCATATGGGTTCATTTTCATATAGTTTCAGAGCGCTTGAACTCTCAACGTAAGCAGGATGTACGTGGCGATCCACATAGAGCTGGCCTTGAAGTCAAGTATCAATATACTTGACTGGACCATTGACAAAATCAGATCCGAAAACTCGCTGCTCAATACATGTCCTCCCTCTTACCTGCCTTATTTACTGCAACCTAAATCAATGTAAATTTCCACGACCCATATTCGTAAAAGATAATGTTTGCTTAGGAGTAAGATATGGTAGGTATCATCAAAATGTTTCGAGCACTGTTTAGCCGATCTAAAGAAAGAGTGGTAAGAACAATTATACTTGAGGCATCGAATAGATGTAAGATTGCTCAGGTTTCTATTTCTTCCAACAAAATTTATTGCTATAAAAGCTGACATGTCAAAAGCTGTCATATGAATTGTTATCTAGCCAAGTGATACTGAAAGCACATTCCTTTTGAATATACTTGTTTAAATGATTGTGCATTGTAATATACCAACATTATTTGAATTGTATGCTTTTATAAGAACTTATTCGTATTTGACAATCCTCTTCATCATTAATGGCTATAATTTCACATAGTTCTCGCCATAGCCATGACTGGTCGATCAAAATAAACTGCAGTCATTTATAGAACATATTCTATCTTTTATCATAATAATATCAATCAGACATTTTGCCCGTATTTCTGTTCATAATACAAAAATAATACGTATCGACAATAAGTACGAAGCAACCAAAACAGATGATTACGTAATCATAAGCTAATGAATTGCAAAAAATATTGATAACTGTGAGGTTCGAACTCACGCCTCCGAAGAGAATAGGGCCTAAACCTACCGCCATAGACCACTCGGCCAAGTTACCAATTGTGAAAGTTTTTTCTTTACCTTTTTTAGATCCGTTAAATATTACACACGGTCACGTGAGATTTTGTGACTTGCCGAAATCCAATCAAATTCGCCGTGCGCTTTGCAGTTAGATTCTTTTGTATGTTTTATTTGCTGAACAATCTACTTCCATATTGTACCATATGAAGTCTTGGCTGCAAGTACTTTGATGCATATAGTAACAAATTGCTTTTGCTGAGATTTGGTTTTTTTCGTTATACTTTTATTGCTAAGCTTGGCTATGCTTCATTTTCTTTATCAACATTATATGCAAACTAGTTTGCTTTTAATGTACGTAAATTATGTCAGAACCAAAGAATATTTACCGAACAAACGACTATTTCAGGTTAACCTGCAAATCATAATTGACGCAGAGGAGCTTTTTCTTCGTTCTCTTTGCTTCACCTTCTCAGCAACTTGTTTGTATGCTTCTTATAATATTCGTTCGCTAGACTTTCTAAAATAAAATATACACATTTCGGTCTGATTTTTGCAATTTTATGATCAATCCATTCATGCTGCAGTGCAAACCATCAAGGTTAGCGTTTGAGTCCATTCGAAGAAGATATACGCCCTCATGCCAATTCAAAACTATTTCATTACTGCACGATATTTGAGTACTGGCCCAAACTTTTAACCCTGTATGCTCTTTGAGTTTTTGTAACTTGCTTATGGTTGGTTTTGCCAGGTAGGCTCCCTCAAATTTCTTTGTAAGTTTTTTGCTTATGTAATTAATGCAAACCTCCTCAAAGTTGACAAAAATTCTGCCCTTTTTCCTATTTCTTATTCTCTCCAACTCTTTTCATTTGATAAACTGCTGTGAAACTCTGTTATGCCACCAATTACACGTCAAAGACAACGACAGCAAAAGTTATCAGACTACTTTCTCCCTCAAAACAGTTTGCCTGATAACGTCACAATTATCATTAAAAAATCTGCGCCGATCGCAAAGTAAATGTTAGCCAAGTGCAAGTAATTCGAATCGACCCTATCTGATCTCTGTCTTATTTGCGATACTTTAGAAAAAACAAAAGACAAAAAACCGAGGAAGATGATGAAGAAGGAAATGTGGATGATGTTATATTACGTCACAGGAACAAAAAAGTCAGAATAATAGACGATACAGATGAGGAAGACAGTAGAGACGAGGTGCTCAACAGTGAATTGTCTGACCAAGATAAGCGAGAATCTTCAGCGACCAATGCTGATGAAGACGAGGAGGAGGAGGACAACAAGGATATCAAAATAGATAGACGTTTGTGTAGAAAAAAGAGAAGACTGATAGCAGATTCTGATGAAGAGACATTTGTTGAAAATAATGAAGATGTGATAGTTAAGGATACCGCAATAGAGAGCACTGAGGATAATAACCCATCGGGTACGCTATAAAAAAAACCACAGCAAACGTAAATAGAAACGTATAGATTCCAGGTATTGGTTAACCGATCATTTTATCAATTTCGTAGAATCACAAGATATAAAGGAGGATCTGGATTTTTTAGACAAATCAGGTTGAGTACTACTCAAGTTGTGTAGGTCTGTCATTCAGTTATACTGATTATGATAAAAAAAAAAAAGACATTCTAGATCAAAGAATCAGAGTCAGGCAGTCATCGCGTTATAGCCAGGCTTTGAAAAAATTGAAAGGTAAAGGTGTATTTGTGTATGCCCAGGGATCGTTGAAAGAGTTGGTAACCATGAATTATTCAGATAGAAAATCAAAACTATCACAATATGATCAAGTTGAAAAAGGACCTATTGAGTCATATACTACACAACCTTCAAATACAGCGATTGTGATTGACGACACTGATGATAGCTCTGAGCACCATAGCAACGCAACTGACAGTTTTGCTGAATCAGAAGAAGAAGAAGGTTTTGTCGTGGATGATGATGTTATTGATGGTGTCAAGAGTACAGCCAAGAGTACAACAATGGAACTACCGCGTAAGGATTTGTCAGAATTATAAGAGCACTCGTAGTATAACATTGACCATTCTCTATTTGATAAATAGCGGAATTCAGCAAACAGCGTGTTCAATCATTTAATGGCCATTTGAAAACATATATTGAATATTTAGTTGAATTAATACTAAATCCAGTATTTGACATAGGTATTCTAATACTATTTGCGAACGCCACAATACATCAGTAACTAATGGCTTTGATTGATGTGCTACAGCAACGAAACCGTGGTACGAAATGTCTAAACAGGTTGTTTTGAGACGTGTGCAGGGTTACAAGGATTCAATGGTAACCAGTGACGCTTGGCTCCCTCCTTTTAAGGTAAACATAATGCAAGATGAGCTAGGCCGCAGGAATGCTTTAGTTATTACAACATTACTTCGGTTGTACATTAACACTTTTCATCAACAAAATGGTAGGAAGCTGTTGATAAACATGTAAACTGGAAGCAAACTGGTTTCATACATATTGATTCAAATGGCTTCGGATTAGCATGTGAAGCGTGCAGATCTAACAAACCGGCTAGTATCCAAATAACCCTTTCATCAAATGACCGCTTTTCCGATCCAACTGTTTTATACCTCGGAACTGAATGCTGTCGGAAGGGTGAAATGTATCATCACTTTTACCACTTTCAGCAACACATGTATCAAAAGGTCAAAAAATTGGTAGACAGCGTACGTCGCAAGAGAAAAGAAAGTACGACTGAAGCCATTTTTGAGCACTTACTATCTAAAGGCTATGTCTACAAGGTAAGAGTATGCATTTCATTTCAAAGAATGACCATGATTAGAAGATTTGAAAAAATGATAAATTACTTTTTCATAGCTTACGAAAAACGTAAAAAAGGCATTTAATGATGTCGTCATGATTTACAATCTGCAGGGCCAGAGAGCACGTGTTGATGATTTATCTTCCTCAGAGGATGAATAGCTTGAATTTTTTTAGTTTTATTTATGGAATGAAAGCAACAAATGTCGGATACCAGAACAGACGGTGCTCAATTGGAATAGTTGTGTTTTCTTTCATTTTGCATAAAATACTGTACTTATAAATTAAATGCATCAATTACTACAAATGTGTATAACGATTCTTTTTTGCATTATAGGATATTTAATATGAATGATTTAGCTATTGTCTTGATTAGCCCTTATTAGTATACTGATAGAGTATATGAACTATGAGACCCAATTTCGAGATAGATTAATGAAACATGATAAATGTATATGCTATGAGTGCGTGAAGAGGCACAAACAAAAAATCAAAGAAATGCTGTAATACTTAAGAACAGTACGTGATTTAATACAAAAAAAAAAAAAAAAAGCTGTAATACTTAAGCGCCTTATCAAGCAATTCAGTATTACCACTTTGAATACAGCTCTTAATTTTTTCAATTTGGACATAAGTATTGTCACATATTGCTTTGATTCCTTTTGTTTTCTCTACTTCTTCACCAAGTAAATGCTCAACGTTTTTCATAGCTATCTTGTACAAAAGTTTCATCGTTGTAGCTTGACCATCACTTACACGATGTGTTATGGAAAGTTTTTCCGAAACCAATTGCCGCTAAAGGATCCAACTGTTCACTTGATTCAATTGTTGATATAGTTGTTGACGACATTAGAAGACAAAGTTTTGCCCAAAACAGATTGGGAATTTCTTTACTAAGTGGATGACGTGTGGCAAGAGCTAGTATGTTGTTTATTGACGCGGTTACGCTGGATACACCTACTATTAAAACAACCATATTTCTCATATACCAAAGTAGAATATTTCACTGCACGACACATGTACTTTTCATTAATATCTTTTTGAGCCTCTACCATTAGTGGGGGGGGAGTTCACTATTGATGGCTTTAGGAAGATATAAACCATCGCAAGCACATTTGTTCAAAAATTCATTTGGTGCTGCGGTATACTGATCTTCCGGGGCGTTAACCAAACTTTTACTGATAATATTGATGATTCCGGTATCAGTTAATACTGCCTTGCTTATTAGATCACTTCCAGAAACATGTTCTTTCGGTAGTAAGTAATATGATTTTTCTACATCATTATCGTGTGTGTGTGTGAGTGTGAGAACATTGATCTATGCAGTTTTATCCAAATAAATATTTAATTGGTTTTGGCAAGAAAATCAAGTGAAGAAGCACTGCTATTATCGATAACATGGTCAGCAATGTATCGTTTGTTTATACCTTCGTATGCAATATGCGAATAAATCCCTATTTTAGTTTATCATGGCCTACATATCAATAGCCATACACATATTTTAAAGACTGCTAAGAAAATATTCCACCACCAACTACTGATAATCTTTAAAGAATGTAAATTGTTCTGATATTTGGCTATTGTCAGGTAGGAGAAAGCACGTGAAAATTAATTCTAAAAGCCTATTGAGAACAAGGGTAAAATTTTTCTTTCGTGGGGTCGACGCACCCTAAGAGGGTGAATTTGTAAAAGTACCCATGGCCTGATCTAGTGATACTTGCCATGGTAACGTATTATAGTAAAATAAGTAAACCATATATCCTAAATGATAAACTGCTCAAACTTGATAGAGTAGCTAATCTCATACAAGAATTATCACTCATTCCACCATTTTCAACTTCACTTTTCTTATTTTAGCAGTGGTGAGGTATATCGATCTTGTATACCTTGTGTACAAGTTTATCACAGCTTATACGGTGCTGTCAGCTAATCACTTAATTCACAGGAGTCATACACTACCAGGTCAAGTAGTTTCTGCTAATTTACTGGTCTGCAATATTGCATAATTCATTATACTGAATAAAGTGAGCTATAATCTTAATATATGCATCTTCTATAAATACGACAGTTGTTGCTTGCTGATTGCTCTCCATTCTTAAGCAATAATGAATATAAAGGCAGCTACGAGTTTAAATCAGGCATTGTTTTAAGTTTCGATCAAACTTAAAACAATTGCAATAAGGCGATCTAGACTTTACCACATTATTTACTGATCCACCCTAACTTACTGCTATTACAGTAAATGATCAAATCCCTACCTTGTTGCTTCAAATCATTCTTAAACTTTAATACATCAGAAACTCTGCGAGTTAGATAATCTGAAATGTTATAAGCTCTAGAAGCATATTTTTTTTTTCTTTACTTATTTTATTATCCAATCTTCATAGGGTAAAAGGTGAGGTAGCGAGGTAAGAACGGCTGATCGACATTAAATCTCATCGGAAAGCTCATCAGTATTTGATCGGCTGTTGTTTACACTTAATAAGCGCATGACCAGTTCAAACATAAAAACAGCAGAAGCATTTGTTGGAAATGCGCGTAGAAATGACGGTAGAAACCCTATGGAAGTTTTAGTGAACATATCAGTTGAAGCTGTTCTCTTTTTCTTCAAAAAATCAATTGTATACCTCTGTAAAAACCTCTTAACCCTTCCGTTTGGTATACATATTTAGCGACTGATGTTGGTGTAGGAAATAGCTTGGGTGTCACATCAGGTTGTGTCATAAATCGGTTCTTCACCATGTCTGCAAAATATTGTCATCCAATGAATAATTTGATAGTTAAGAATGACTCATTTAGGAAGATTGTAATACCTGCAGGAAATGCACCTAACCAGAAAGCAGTGGCACTACCACCACCCGCAATGAAAGATATGCTACCTGCATCTAAACTGGTACGTTTCTTCAGTTCTCTTGTAAAGATCTCGTATGAACTCCAGAAAACAAAAAACCAGCTTCTAAATAGCATTGTAGGTGTTAGGCCTTGCCATAGCCCAAATATACCATTGTTTTTAACCTGAAGACAATAGAATTAAGTAAATAATCAATTCAAATGAAAAGGTCACTGGATCTTACCACTTTCCGAACACAATCAATGGGACCTTTGTATACTTTTGTTTTGCCGTTATTGTACTGTACTTGTAATCTTGCTTTGATATGTTCGACAGGAGTAGCTACAAATGACACGGTGAGGCCCCCTGCTAGCCCTGCCAAGCCATGCTGAAAGAGGCTCAGAGGTTTATCTTTTCCATTCCAGTTGTTCTGTAAAAACAATCGAGTATTATGTAGAGTCCCTAACCTACAACAGTAACGTTCAATAAGCAATGGTTGTTTTTTAAGCTCATGCGCTGTATATAACATTAGGAAATATCATACATAATGCTATCCATAAACATCCAGCCTATTAAAGGTGGTGTTGCACCTTTATATAACGCTGTAGGCCCTTCATTTTTCAAAGTTTTCAATAAGCAATCTAAGGGTCCTTTGAAGTGTGATTTGCTTGTTGTTTGTAGGCGAATTTTTACAGTATCTATAAAAGGGAGTCTGGTATATCAGCAATCGTAATTAAATAAATCCCCCTAAAAACAATGCAGAAGAAGACCGCTTACCGAAAGGGTGCCCTACAGCTAACTTGGTTATGCCTGAGGCGACACCTGCTGCAAATCCTCGCACTCTATTTCTCATAGACTGATCTGCTAATTCGGGATCTGCAACTGATATCTTGCTGTTGTCAGACATACTTTGCTGTCAGATAAGGATATTCAAGAGTGATATATAACTGGAGAAAAAGAAGATGAGGGCAATGCTACACAAGTCAATTCATATAATTGCCTAATCTGTCTCACTTTTAAAAAGTAAAAAAACGAAGTTTATTTGAAGAGAGATCTCCTTCTTCTTATTGGTGGTTTATTGTCCCCTTCTTCCTATTTCATTGCTTTCTTTTTTTACAAATCCTTTCCTTTAAAGTTCGGTTAAAATTAGTATGAATGGAGAAGATTGGAAAGACATTGATTATTCCTTAGGGGAGACACAAATTCCTTCAGCTTTGAAATTGGACGCAAGTATTGTACACAATATTTGCCGCTTTTTAAACAGTAGGAAAGATCGTTATGAAGCCACGTTGATTCACCCGAAATGGTCCTATGCTGCACATTCAGTTTTATGGGAAGAGATCAGCTTTGATCACCCTTCCATGTTCCGTAAATTTTATCAAGCAGTTATGAACAACAACAAGTCAGCTCAGTACGTCAAATCAATTCAGTTTACGTTAAAGGATCGCCCTCCCCATCCACACAGTACTCACTTATTCAACGACATTATTAAATCTACATCACCTCGCCATGCAGGTGACAATGGCGTCCTGACGAAAAGATTAGATATCTTGTTGCAGATCGTTAAGGCTTGTGAAAACATTACAACACTTGCAATATATGGGTGGTGTTTAAAGTCGACTCATGTGGAGACACTAGCCACTATCGCGAGAAACTTGTCGTCATTATATTTAATAGGTGCCGACCCTGATCCTAACGTGACTAAGAAACTACCGCCCCCTATCCATATCAAAAGTATCGCACCACGCTTGCGATCGCTCCGTTTGGACGGCGATTTCAAGTTGAATGACGCATGGGCAGCTGCGTTAGTTCAAAAAGCAGCACGTTTAGAAGAGTTACAACTCTCTTTAACAAGCATGAATAATGAACAGACTCTTCAAGCAATCTGCTCACAACGTTTACTTCATTTGACAAAGTTAATATTAACAGACGCTGCTGTGCTATATGAGCAGCATATTACATGCATCTTGCGGGCTTTTCCGAAATTGACACATTTTTGCCTAGAAGGAGTGAAGCAATCACTTAGCTTGATCACTATTATACGCGCTGTTCATTATTGCCCGCAATTACGAAGCCTTGAAATACGCGCCTCACCTTCAATGGATGATCAAGCATCTCTTTCTTCCAATATAACTGACATTTTACGTTCACTAAAAGAGGAAGTAAAGCAAAATAAGTGGTCAGCATCTTTATCAAATTCATCCACAGCGATGTTGAGCCGATTTGTAATTGAGAATATGCCTGTAACGGATGTGGAAATGCAATTATTAAGTCCTTATTTACGTCAATTGCAAACACTTGGGTTGAAAAATTGTCCCAATATCACTGACACATCTTTTGATCATATACTTGTTGATCAAAATGACAATAGTGAAGTCAAATACTTGCGCATAGTTCATATAATTCAATGCCAACAAATTACATCCACTATTCTCAGTAAATTAGCGACTTCAACACAATATGCATATCAAACTGTGCAAAATATATATATTGATCAATGTGGGGAAATGACACCAAAAGATATATACCAATTGTGTCATAAATGTGCCGATTACAACCTTCGGCATCTCACATTGGTCAATTACCTTGAGTTAAAGAAGACGGTGGTAGGTTCCTTCAATAACTATCGGAGTGATGATTATCAACCATATATTCTTTACTTGGATCGACAAGCTATCGACGGTTTAGCCAATACAACCGATTCCTCAGTCAAAACATTACCGAAACCTTGTTCTATCACTGGAGTTGAAATTGTAATACTTGCTACGCACCTCAATATGGATGTGGATGACTTGGTCGATCTTTTACATAAAGTCAAGGAGGTAATTTATTCGGAAAATATAACGTTCATCAATTATTGTTAGAAATTCATCGCCGTCTTTTCTGTTTCTCCTTGCTTTTTGCATTTATCACTAGGAAGCGAATGACAATAGGCAGGTTGAAAATCAGCAACAAACTTTTAAACCCGTAGCTCGTAAGTGTATAGCGATTTCTTAAAAACCAAGCTCAATGAAGAATCAATAGATCCTAAAAGGTCTCTTATTCGTCTCTTTGTACTCATAGATGATGCAAAGATTAGAAAACCTGCTGATCGTTTACAGCAATTGAAAATGGAGGCAATGGTATATTCACAACAGCAACGGCCTACCACTCCTGCTCTATGGTCTAGTGACTTGAAAGCAAATGATGACAGAGAAAACCATTCAGCATTTGATACGATACAAGAGGGTGACTCTTACGAAGAATTTGACGAATTCGATGACCGCGGTGACAGTCCCTATATCGATTATAGTGAAGAGGACCAGCAAAGAGATTCTGAGAACAGCCAATATGATGAAGAAGAAGATGAAGTAGAGGGTCCACACGAGGACTATGATGATGTTAATGAAAATAGTGACGGCTATGAAAATACGGACGGTTTTAGGAATAACGATAACAATGGTGATAACGGTGATGATATTGCCAATAAAGATGATAGTGATGACGAGGAGGAGGAGTATGTAAAATCCTCCTACCTTACAGAATTTAGAGGACAACATGCAAAGACGTCAATTGCCAGTGCAAAAAATAGTTTGCCAGCAACTTGGCGTGATCAGTCTATGAATAATTATGGTGCAGACAGAAATTTGAACTTGGGCTCATGGGGCTCTCCTGCCAACATCACGTGGGCCTCATCTGCGGCCGCATCTACAGCAACCGCATCTGTAATTAATGGTGTAAACGGTAATAGCGATAATCATAAGGAACCACTATCGTTCAGAAATATAAATCCTCAACAACAGCAGCAATCTTTGCAACAACAATTCAGCGCTGGTGCTTGGAATGCTTACAAAGAAGAGAACTATCGAGACCAATGGAAGCAGGACCCTTTGACTTCTTCCAATACAAACGATCTCAATCAATCTACCAAACACTTTGCACCTGCTCATCACCGTAATGCGCCCAATGTTATACAATCCGATGGATGGGGCCAGACTAAAGGATATACGCCTTGGGAACAGACTGAAGGCTATGTGAAAGATGTGATCGACGAACAATCAAAACAAGAATTTTGGAGTCAAAGCAACGATGGTAAATGGATAAAACTCTCTTCGGTGAGCCCTTCTATATCTTCTGCTGCACATCATAACAATGATGTTGCTGATTCAGGTGGTGTTGTTTTCGAGGATGAAGGTTTCGCTCGACTTCAGCGTACCCCTCCACCCCCTCTGATTACAGATATAATGTTCTCTGAAGCTCAAAGAAAGGCAGTAAAAAAGCAACCAAACAAGACAGCTCCAAATACCAAAAGAGCGGCTGCTACTACTAATACTATGGCCCGTTTTAGAGCTAATTCGGTTGTTAGTTCGGACAACAGTGTAAGTTGGGATGATGAAGACAAGGATGAAGTGATTTTAAAGACGTATCATAATAACAATAAGACCGCAACAACTACCAACCAAAATAAACAGAATAATACTGCTGGAGGTTTTAATGGAAAGAAAGCCGCTATTAGTGGAACAAGCAATGCCGCTGCTGTAAGATCATGGCATGAACACTTTAAAACCGAAGGTAAAGGAGTATACTATAGCCTGTTGGAGTTCAAATCTCTGACTTTTTTTCAATTAACTTTTGCTTTAGATATTGAGAGTAAAGCAGCAAAAGATACTTGGAGTTCATACCCTCATACTAGCATGAATAATCAAAGCACAAAGCAAACGTTCTCACGCTCCCCTGGTCCTGCTCAACCTCGGACTATTACATCCTCCAATCATGGTAATAACTCTTCCGGTTCTCTAAATAATAGTTTAGCCTCTATCGGTACCAGCGATAACAACAATAAAATTCCTCGTGCAAGTACGCCAACGGCAACGGAGACGCTCATTGATACAGACAATACACCAATATTTAATTTTGATCTCTTTTCGCCTGCTATCAACGACAAACCTGCAAATATGCCTACAAGTGATTTATGGGACTCTATCAGCAATTTGAGCTTGCAAACAGGTCCACAGTTACGCATGGATTCAGTTCTAACCCCCACAATGAAAGAGAGTAATGAGAAGTTACAGCAAGCTTCTTCAATACCCAGAGCAGCAAACACAACAACAGAAGTCATCGATTTCTTTGATATCAATAATGGGCGGAAAGACGATGACATACATTTTGTTCAATCAGTTCCCGGCACAACTTCTGAGAGGGAAATGCAAATGAAAGACACGCAGGAAAAAAAGGATACTTTAGTATCTTTATTAGATGATAACAGCAGCAGCAATAATAACATAGTTTTACCTACACCCACTATAACGAATACCGGTCATAATTTATTAGAAGAATTCATGTCGTCCACTGTAACTACGCCTCAGTTTTCCAACGCCATAGTATCAAAGAAAGAGGAGCAGCAGCAGCACGAACAACAACAACAACAAACGAATCGTAGATTGGATCGTATATCTTCAATAGCGAATAATGTCATTGATACTTCTCGCGTCCCTACCACTTCTGCTACAGTCTCTGAGCCAGCAACAACAAAAACTACGATATCTGTTAATAATACTTCGGTGTCTGTACCCGATGAGATTCAAGATTTTTCTTCACTTCTAAAAGAACAGCAGCAAGAGCCCTCGCCACCCGCGGCAATACTAAGCACTCCTTTCAATCACTTACCGCAGGATACAGATACGACACAAAGCGCTCTTAATAATCATCAAGTACAAGATTCTGACCAGCAGCAGCAAGATTCCCCAGATAATACAGCAATTTTGCCTGATAATGAAGCCAGTAACCAGCCCAAAAAAAGTAGACCTGTAAAAATGAAGCTTCAGGTCCCAGGAGAGAATAATGAATATGTATACGAGGTTTTGAAGATTTATGAGGTAACGTAAAACATATCTAGTCAACAGGCGAAACTCAACGTTGATTAATATGATTTTACATTTTATAGGAAGATGATTATGAAAAAGTGGTTAGAGAATTCTGCGATAGATTGAAGTTGCCCGAGATCACATATGAACACATAAGAGATCAGGCTAAAGATCGTTTGACTGCAAGGAAGACCAAAAAGGTCTTTAGTAATTATGCCAAGACTCGTAAAAATAGAAAATCACCATGAAAATGATAATGCATGTCCCAACCGTACTACCATCTTTAATCAATGAGTTTGCAGATACATGGTGATATCAACATAACATTGTAAATTATATACACTACAGTGTAAGAACAACTATATATATATTATTTTTGGGTTCTTACCTATATACCGGCCGCTTCCTTTCTTAAGTAAAAGATAAACCATTGTTCACTGCTCTCTCTTCAAACTATTTATGCACTATATTGGTAACCACTGCTTAAAACCATGTCATTACTATTCCTCTGAGCTCAACTGAGAATCAATTTATATTTGGCTGATCCCCTTTGTTTCTAGTCTTTTTTTTTTTTCGTTTAAATTCGTGTTGCTCGGTAGGCTCTAAAACACTTTTTCTTTATGGATTACGCCACCGAGAAAAAAGTTCGCCCTCTTTATGGTACGCTTGCTGATATTATGCATTCTCTTGTCAAGGTTTATCAAAAATTAACCAATCTCTTACGTATATATTCTACTTGACCTTTCATTAAAGAGGCTATCGATGAAGGGCAAAACAAGCTGGCCCTTCAACATTGTGCCAAATTACTGAAGAAGAATCCCGATTGGCCTTTAATTAAGGTAATTTTGAGCTTAGGAACAAAACAAAAATCCTGCTTCTGTCTGTTGAAAAGATCAGCAACTAACAACATTTAACATGGGATGAAGGCATTAAAAGCGCTTGTTCTCGTTCGCATAGGAAAAGAAGAAGAAGCCTTCGATCTATGTCAACAAGTGAAAGCTGTTATACCTACAGATGAACCTACACTACAAGCTTCTAGCATGGCCCTAAAAGAACTTGGAAAACGTAAGGAAGTGAAAAAACCCCTCCTTAGAAATGAAAGAATTCAAAGCTTTAACTGAAAATAACATTGTTTTACTCATTCTATAGACTCGGTTATTGTTGAATTGTACGAGAACGCTGCTAACCTACAACCCAAGAATGAAGAATTTGCCAACCATTGGTTTATGGCTATGGTTCGTAATAGCGACTACAAAGGTCAGCAAGCAGCTGCTGTCAAGCTTCATCGACTCTTCAAGCATAATAAATATTTGTTCTGGGCTATTATGTCACTTGCCCTGCAAGGAAATGACAGAAACAAAATAGCCTATACATTAGCTGAACGTATGATGGGCAAAGCAATGCAAGAAGGCCGATTAGATCAAGTAGAACATATGCGATTATTTTTATTGATATTAATGGATCAGGGAAAATACAAGGAAGCGTTGGAATTGCTTGACACTACTTACAAAGAGGAAAGCGACAAAAGCAGTAAAGGACTCAATTTAGCAGAAAAGGCTTTGAAAGATCCTGAGATTCGTCAGATCAAATCAGAGCTTTTGCGTGAAAATCAATGTTGGGATGCCGTAATGGAGATGAGCCGGGAAGTGCTGGAAAAAGAAAATTCAGATGATTGGTTCCATTGGTTGGCTTATTTTGAAGCTATGGATGCAGTAGTTAAGGATAATGAAAATGTGATAGCGAAAACAGAACAGTTAATTGAAGCGACACAGAAAGTTATGCTGAATAATCAAAAGTTTTTGAAGCGTGGACCCTTTTTAGCAGAATTAGAGTTGGATTATAGATTATTTAAACTCGGCAAGAGAGGTAAAAAAGCAAAATTGTGAAAATGATAGGTTTGAGGCGAAAAGAAAAGAAAAAGACTAATATAAAAGAGCATCCGAATTAGATGAGAATACGGTTTTGGAACATTTAATCAGTTATTTTGATAGATTCGGATCTAAAAGCTGTGTTTTTGAAGACCTACAAACCTATGTCGACTTTTTGAAATCAGATACTGAGAAAGCAACGTTCCTTCTCAACCAATTCAAAAGTACCATTCATCCAACAAGTGAAAAAGCAGCTCGTATAAAAAACGTGTATAAGAATGTCAATATTAGAAAGCTTGAGCATGTCCTTGGATTACATTCAATTGTCAACCAGGAACAAGCACTCAGTTTAGTTACTGAACTATGGAACGAGTATCAAGAAGCATTACCATTAGGTGAACATTTGGAAAAGACTGAAATGCAATTCGGCGATGAATTTGTGATATTAGCTAGTCATGTTCTATTAGAACTGTATCATCAACAAAACAAGTATAATGCCTACTTAATTCAAGCAATCACTTTATTGGAGACTGCATTAACGAAGAGTATTCATAACTTTCAAATGAAACTGATTTTAGTTCGCATGTATTTAATGCTTGGTAAGTTATGAATATGTTTAATACGAAGACGATAAATTGTTTGCAATTTTCGTTAACTCAATATTTGTTGATTAGGCGTTTATACGCGTGCTTTTGAGATTTATAGAACAATGGAGATAAAACAGATTCAGTTCGATACAATGATGTAAGGATTGATGCATGTATATATTGTAATCAGCACAGGATTTTAATGAAACCGCTTTACAATTTGAATAGCCACTACTTTACAGATAAATTTATCTCACTCGGTTGTAATGATCAATTGGAATCTATTTTTTACGAATCGTTATCAATTTATAAGAGTAATGAGGTCGAGGTATGTCTTATATTCAACACATAAAAACCCTCATATCATCTTGCAATTGAGTTGAGATAAGAATTACCATTCTTACACTGCTATCTTTACATGCGATAGACGCCAGAAATGCTTGTCAAAGCTTACCAATTTGGCACTTTTTCAAAGGTAGAGTACCATAGCAAGCATAATGGAAAACATTATCAATTAACATTCAATCTTCTTATTTTTTCAGATTCAAGAATTTATTGAATTTCGTCGTCGCTTGGATACATCCTTACAGCATACTATCACCAACATTGAAACAACACGAATGGGCTTCACTCATTCTTCCTTTCAAACAAAGTATGCTATTCAGTATTTCCAAGAACTTGATGTTGCTAGCATTGGCTTTACGGAAACCTTTATTGCTGAACGTTCCGATAATCGTGACTTTAAGGTTTTCAGTAACTTCAATAACGAGGATCAAACTACTGCTGAGACATTATGTAAACCTGTTATGTCATCATCTAATCCTGTTTGGGCTCAAATCTTTGGTTATGTATTGAATATAATGAGTGTTGTTTGTGAAACGAAAGATACCAGTAGGGCTTTATCTGGTTTAGTGCAGGGATTGAAGCAAAGCTTGGCTAAAGAGAACATCAAGGCCTTTATTACAGAAAAGGAGCTTAGCTTGGCTAGTTATGTTGCAGAACTCGCTGAAGCGTTAGATTGTATCAAGAACAGGGGAAATAATGATGACGCAGCGAAAACTCTCCAGGAAGCCAATGACATTTTGAAACACCAATGTAAGTTTGATCCGTTGAAGATACGAAGAGAATAGAATCGGAATACTGACATGTATACCCTCACTTTAAGTGATGGATGCCGGTTCATTCACTGAAGAAAATTCCTGTTGGAGCACGTTCCATAGTGTTTCTATCACTTTAGAGGTAGATCTTTTTCTAACAATCTAAAATAATTGTGTAATTTTTACTAATACGTATAATTCATTTAGGCATTCAACTATGGGTCAGTCTTGATAGAGATGCTAAATCGTGCACTAGGTTTAAATAGTAAAGACGCTAGAAGGAAGGCATCGGAAAAAGCATCAAGCGATCTGTTTGTAAGTTGTTCCCTTCATAGGGAGTGTTGGTGTGTGTAAAATTGACTGACGATGGTGATTGACATAATATTTGCTCTTCGATCTTAGATGGCTAGCTTTATTGAACTCCAAGAGACAGCTAAAAACTCATTGTTAAACATTCAAAAGATATCGCGCGAAGGCAAAAACTTGTTTAAGTTCCAACTACAGAAAAGGCTATGTAAGGCTATACTAGCACCAGATAATAGTGCAACCGCAAGCTTTTTGAAAACAAGCAAGGAATGTCAAGATATGTTGACGAACAAAATATTAAAAGATATGGTCCAAAGTTGGAACTTATCTGTAACCCAGCTTTCAGACGAAATTGATAGACGTGTACAAAAGTTGTAGCATAATAAAGAAAGAGTTTCCAGTGTGAACAATAGCTTTGAACAGCGAGTTATTTTGATCAGCAATAACTTCAGTGCATAAAGGCCCTTGTTCCAATAAATGTGTTGCCATTTGGGATTACTTGAACACCCTCTTTTCCAAGGAGAGCAGTGTTTAGCTATCTTATGCAAGATGTTTGTACTTTGAAGTTTCATGAAATATATTACTTGCCTAATGCCATATACCCTTTGCATGTTAGATTTAAAAAAGGCTCGAGCTCTTTGCATTGGTGGCTTATTGCGTACAGTGCATCTGCTGCTGTTTATTCCAACACGTCGTTTCATCATTTACTATAGAGATTTACTGACCCTAAATCATGCACTCATATAGTTTCGCTTGGGTGGCTCTGCTCATGCATCAAATCTTAAAACAATGGCAAGTGTGTACATACATATCACGATCATAAACTTAAGATTCAGAAAAAGTCAAGACAAGTATGTACGGTGCTTGTATAAGAAAGTTCGATAAGAAGCATGCTGAATAAGCTCAGGAGTATAAGTATAGTGCTTGTCCGAATCAGTTTCGATTAATTAAAAAAGCATATCTTTTGAAATCAACAAGTAAAGATGCATATAAAAAGGGTGTATTCAACTTTTTTTAATTGAACCCTAACAGTTTATACAGTTCAGAGGAAAAGAAGTGATACGGAACGATCAAGAGACCAGAATTATCTCCTTGATTTTTCCTGGAATGTGTCTCATACGTGTTTCCATAATGGATGATAATGATAACATTTCAACCTAAAATGCACAGACCTAAGTTTAACCATAAAAAAACTCCCTTCCAGCAAATAGCCCCTTTTACTTATTAATATTTCCTCTTTCGAATTGCATTAAAAACAATTAAACAAAGCAAGAGATAGTATCGATTGGTTTGTACATTTTTTAAAAATGTGTGATTTGAGTCCGTCAGAAGAAAGAAAACTAAGACAGATGACCACCAACATAAATTGATGGAATTGTGTTTTCGACTAGTAGGATAATCATGTGTGTATGTAAACTCCACTACCTTGGCGGCAACGTACACCATGTAAGCCCTATAACATTCACAGGAACCATTTAGGCACAAGAAATAAAGGAATAGGGGACGGAAACCGGATATACAAACCAAGCTTGTCAGTCAAATTCTCGTTTAAGATTATAAACGTGAAAAATGGAAAAGTAGTTTGTTTATTCCTCTTCTGTAAGCCAAACAGCGAAAGCTACTGATCATTCATTGTTAAACTTTTTTCTTTTTCAAACTATATGCAGCTATTATTCTTATGCATTAAAACGGTACAGAAGGTAAGAAAAAGTGACAGAGATGTTGTACAAAGTAAAGAATGAAGCGCGGGTTTTCGTTGGAGGAGTTGGGTTGTTTCTATCATTCTACACGAAGATTAGGTGTAGACAAAAATTGTTTTGAATTAAATTTAGTTCAAGTAAGGTTAAATAGGTGTTCAAACTCGGATGTAGAGCACTCCTATCTCTCGCTCTTTTGAGACAGCACAGAATGTTTAAGTTGTCTATGTATGTGCGAAGAAGGTGAGTCTAAAATAGGGGCGAAAGAACTAATGAATCATGGAAGAAAAAAAAAAAAGGCGTGCAAGTGCTTCCAAATCCATTACATTAAATTTTTGTTCTATTTTGTTTGGCTTGGTGTTTGGGAGAGACTTATGTCATAACATGCGATCTTTCTCTTCATTTGCGGGGTATTGTTTGCTTCCTTTAATACGGTGTACTATGGACCTTACCCTTGCTTGCATAGTATGTTTTGTTGTCAACGATAAATCAAATACTAAGCAGCTATGTGTATAGCTTACTCTCAAAAAGGTTTCGATCCATTTTTAGTTGATGTAAGCTTAAAGTTTACCACAATGACAAATCGATAAGTATAAGATCATAAGCTTTATCAATATGCCGCTTTTTTTTTCTGTTGTAGTTTGCTTAATAAAGAATTACACTGACATAACCAAATCCTTATTCCCTAAGATGTTCTATTCTTCTGTACCTTATGCCCTAGTTCCGGCAATACTAAGCGTGTCAATCTCAAAACACAGTTAGACCTAAACATTAAAAGGTAACTGTTGAATTACGACCTGATCTTCTCTGGATACGATAATCTTTCTTACCGAGTCACCTTACTTTTTTGGTCGTTATCACCCTTTACCCTTAACATTATCACCATTCGTAATTCTTAATTTATATATAGTGGCTTTCCCCTGAATAAGATATCATGTAGATATATTTTAAGCGGAAAAAAATACACAACACCTCAAAACACAGTGAGATCTGCAAAGAAAAAGAAAAGAATATAAATTCTTCAGCCCCTACTGCTTGCTATTACTTTAGCGTATATAAAAGCAACTGCTTTTTTTTACAATTGATCATATCGTCTTCTTCTCACTTCCATTGCTTTTCTCTTTTAACTTTTCTTAATAAACCCTAAAAGCCAATCCTTTTACAACAACTCTTCTCTTTTTACAATTATTCCAAAAGAGATAATGGCTCTGAACTTACTTCCACAGCAAAACCAGTCATATACACGCGGTTTGCTATCAACCACGACTGCTTCTTATGCAGCAAATCACCAACAATCTGAATATGATGATCAAAAGTATCATCGTCAGTATTCTGATCAATTTCAACCTGCTTACCAACTTCAATATGGCAGTAGTAATATCAACAACAACATGGCAAGTTCTCTTCATCAGCATCAAGAATTGAATGCGGTTGAGCTAATGGCGATTCCTATGAGTCTATCAATTTACAATGGCCGCGATCAACACACGGCTCCAGAGGCATTTGAAGCCATCGTACAGGATTATCTTGGAAATCTCTCTTCCAAAAAAAGAGATAAAGCACTGATTGATCAAGCTCGTTACAATATGATACTACAAGTTCTAAAAAATCCTCGCAATACAGCCGTGTCTACTGCACAGTTTCGTTTTTGGGTTAAGAAAATGTTTCAACTTTATAATAACCATAATAGATATGGTCAGCCCTCGGTGTGTCATGACGGGAAACCAGTGGCTATGCGGGAACAATTATACGATATTTTGGTGGGAGCGCACCGTGAAGCTCATCATGGAGGAAGGGACAAAACATCTGCTCTCGTTCGTAAAAGATATTCATGGATTCCAAAAGAATTAATAGCTCGGTTCGTTCGACATTGCCCATTCTGTATCTCTCGTCGTAATGGAACCAATCTTAATTATTTTGAGCAGCAGCAACAACCTGAAACACATTTTAATAATGATGACTTTATTGATCGTCAGAGAGAACCATCTTTGACTAGCAGTAGTTCATGTGGTTCTTCTACAGCTTCACAACCAGAAGAAATTGCACTTATAACCGCAGCTACTGCATTTCATCAAAAACGTCAGCAGCAAAATCAAAAGAATTTGATGGAAAATAATCACAAAACAGCTATAAATGTCAATATTTTAGACCAGCAACAACAGCAGATATTGTACCCCACTTGCAATAATAGCAGTATCATTGATACTGACATGACTTCCTCAAACCTGACAGCTGTAAAGTCATACTTAATGACGCATCCTGCATCACTTTACAGGAACGTTATGCCCTGCAGCAGCACAGACGTTGATGGCATAATAAATGAACCCATGACATTTCAACCAACAGCAGCATTTTATCTTCCTAACAATAATACACACTTGTATACCAACAATAATATAAGCTCCAGCAACAAGGACCCTCTCCAATTGATAACTACTTCTAAAAATAGTCATAATATGCCTATTGCTCCTCTCAATATCATCACGACTACTACTGGGGCAGTTGGTTTTGACTATTACTCCCAGTCATTATCGCCTTCTTCATCTACAACGTCCGCTTTACCGTCATCACCTATTTACCCTGCATATTTTAACGTGAATGACAAAGCTTCGAATGTCAACTTTGCTAGTGTTCCGAATGAACCTCTTGTACAACATAAACATCAACAAATGACACATATTCACATGCTAGCTTCTCCTTCCATGCGCTTGATACCTCATCCTCTTCAAGAACAACGACAACAACAGCACTTACTTCTCTAAAAAGCGATACTTCAAAAATATAAGCCAGTAATATATCTTAATCCTTGCTTATGTTAGGGTGCTACTATTACCGTATTGATACTCACAATCCTCCCTTTCCATTCGTTCCTATATGGTTTTCTACTTTATTTTATTTTTTTTCTTTATTTTTTTCCTCAGTCGATACTTTCTTCCTATATTATGCTTGCTGGATAAATAAAAGTTGAGCAATTTGTACAATATAGAAAAGTTAAATCATTCAATAGTGATATTACTGATTATACTATTGTTTGATTATCCCATTCTTTAGGCAAGACACATACCAGAGAGATTAAGCTGTATTGATCTATGAGCCATTACTATGATTTATCATCTAAGTACCAGGAGATATTGATAGTACAATCCATTATTGTTATATCGCATCCCCTTATTAGTTTTACTTTTCAATTATTTTACCATCTCCCGAAGAATACTAAATGACAGCCTTCTTCAATCACAAATGACTGTAGTTTTGAATGTATAGAATCCAAGCTGGGCTGTTGCTTGTACATTATTTCTCCTATAACTTTTCTTATGGGTCAAGATCTTCCTAATCAAATAACTTGATAAATTATCTATCAATCTACTGAAGGCTATAAAAAGTTAAACTAACTCCAAACATGGAAGAAATGTAAACGTAAAGGAAAATCCACGGGATAATTGAACACTATGTATCATTTTTCTACTCTTCACCAAACCTGACTGGAAGTCTACTATCTCATCTTATCCTGCCTCTCTAACTTATTAACTTTTGTCTGCTTATAAAGTAATAGCTGCTACATTTATTTGATTGATAGACCTACCTATTACTCGGCTGTTCACACCCTAAAAAACTGCAACTACTGTTGCGCCAACAGTCTACTATATCCATATGATCAACAACTAAGCACATCGAAAAGCTCAAATTCTTATCTTCGTTGAGTTACTCAACTCTTACCTAACCTAGTTAGTAATGTCAAAATATTACGTACCATGAAGGCGCACACTATTTTAGACCAACCTAAAGGCAATAAGACATACTTAGAAGAGAAATAACAAAGAAATATCGATTCATAGAATGACTGAAATATTAGAACATAGGCAAATCTATTTTACATACTTGACCGTAAAAGATTCTATTGCGTGACCACATTTGATTACTCAACTAGAAAGTATTTCATTACATATTGTCAGGTCTTATTTTCGATGTAGAACAGCGTGAACTGTTATTGGCCCGACGAATGCTCCCTATCTTATTATCAATAAAGGATAAGAGAGAGACTCAACGACTTAGATTCAAGTTAGCAACTTAATCAAAGTCGCATTGTATAATCAAATGCCACGATTGTCACAATTATCACAATTAACTTAACCTCTTTTTCAATATAAATAGTCATCGAGTATTCGCGACGATGGCTTGTTCATTTAGATCATAAAATAAACAGATCGGAATACTTGGAACCATTTAAACCAACAACAAGGATGATGTTTAGGGAATAGTTTATTCTACTTATCACGTTCTGAGCTCTAATTCCTAAAAACATTCTAAGAAACCCAGATTTACTGCTTCAACCGGTTATCGTACACTACAGCAAAGATTTCAGGCACACTTCAACCTTACGAGTAATCTCGATATATCGCAGTGGCACTATGCAATTCATTATCAGGAACAGTATTACTCAGTTGTCACTATTACTTTCTTAATTCTTCTATAAGCTCAGTTCTACGTCACATTCATATGAAAGACCATCTAAATTGTATTACAAAATAAAATCACGGAAGAACATTTGTTCGGTCTCGTTAACTCACGGAGTCTTTACTTAACTTACCAAATTGTTATTTCTGATATCAAGAGATATCACATACTATTTTCTAATTATCATCAACTGCCTATATGTCGCCAGTAATGACGGATTGTTCTGACCTTACTGAATACTTTCTGATGTAGTTTACAAGGCTAAACATCCATCCCTCATTTTATATCATATTTCTCTATGTTATTCTTTTTGTCGTATTTGAGGGTAGATGATATACAAATATTAAAGATTATAGTTCACTTTATGAAGGATAAAGGTGAATTATACAATATTGCACACCAGAAATAATTAGAAACTACATAAACTCTAATAAATAGTACCATGAATTAAGTGTTGTGTTTAGTTGACAGCATCATATGAGATGTGGAGAACTCGTATACAAATTATACAAGATCCTCAAACCTCATTATTGCTGAAATAATATAAAGTAGAGTAGGAAACGAATATAAAATAAGTGATGGTTTTTATACGAGATTAGCTACCTCGTATAAGACTGAACAGGTTGTCATTTAGGATGTATAGTTTACTCATTTTACTGTAATACGTTACTATATGACATAGGGTATATAGTAGAATTAATATATGGACATGCAGGATATATTGATTCAACACCAAGATATAATAGGTTATAGGTACTATTCTCTACTTTCGGCATAAAAAATAAGATAATAGGCTGTGGTCGTCCTTTACAATAACTGTTTACTCAACTCAAACACCATGCACGAATACCATTCTCCTAATTAATACTATTTTCCTGCAAGCAGTGTTACATAATGGTTACCACAGGAAAATAGGTTAGTTGCATGATCACTAGATAAAGCCATGGATACGTTTACAAGTCCTTTCACTCCGGGTAGATGCGTAATCTCCTCAAGGGAGAATTCTATTCTTTTACGGTTCAGAAGACGTACGTCTTCTTTGAGTAGAATAACTCAGCTGTCAGTTTCTAGGTTCCGCAATATGAAGAAGATATTTGAATCTTGATATAAAATAAAGACTTACTGGTTTGATCTCGTTAAGCCTTTTACTGTTTTTAACTAAGTGTTATTTAACTCTCAAGTCGTCAAATACCACACTTTTATCATTTTATTATGTATTTTTTCGTTACCTTATCACATAGTGCTTACTACACGCAAGCCAACTTTGTAATTATCATATTCTAAACGACTCATCTCTATAAAGAAGTCTTATGATATTACTCTACCATAAGCCATTTTCATCGAAAATGATGACTGGCAACCCTGTAGTGCGTCGAATCAGACGGGTGATGTAAGATGCAGACTTCAGTAGGTTTCTATTGGAGACAAAAGGGCGTCTTGACTATACAGACTAAGATCTACTGATTTTACAAATATAGAGAATGTTTCAATCATCTCTAAGGTGTATCTCATTGGAAGGCATATCATGCTATGAAACATGGATATACTGATTGAGGAAGCTTACAGTATTTAACAATGTAATCGTATAAAAATATCAATAACACAAAATTAACAGAAGATCAATCTTCCTTCTTCCTACAAAATCATAATATAAAGTAATAAACAGAAAGAAGAACCTTTACATATAATGAATGCCAACTTACGACAATAATAACCCGCAGGGACAATAGTGTCGTGCCTCAAAATAGGTGATACTAATTAGTAACCTTATAAGGAGCAGTGATCTACTAGTTGAAAGAAGGATCATCCAAGATAACGCGACGGACGTTGGTGTTACTTGTAACTCTGAACAGAAATTACAACAAAGAATAATAAGAATACTGTTTATTTAACACAAGAGTAAGATGTAATATTCAGGAAGAACAAAAAAAGCAGATAAAAACAATGAAAGATATTATGGATTGAGAGGCAGGCCATATTTATACGTTTATCAAGTGGAACCTCTCTAATGAAAAGTAATTCACTCATTACAAACCTTATGTAACAATATAATAGTGTTAATAGGTGTAGAGTAGGTAAAGGAGCTTCAGTAGAGTCAGAGAATATAGGTTTAACAGTGAAATAAGACTCGAGCGAGTAATGAGCACCAGGTTATTAGTAACCAACTTTTATTGTCTCAAGTGTATTATATGATTTGATTTATGATCTTTGACTAAATGAATAACTCTAACAATAAACTGAGATGTATCTGGTACAAGCTGGTTATGTTAAGAGCAATGAAGTCAAAAGAGTAAGTTCTAAATGATTAATACTACTTCGCAGAAGTAGAAGGCAGAATAACACTTGATTAGTGTAGACGTTAAGATAAGATTTTTGAGATAAGCGAGATCTAATGTTTATTGTTCTGTCAAATTTGTGGGGTTTATATAGTTTTTTTAGAATAGGGGTCTGAATAAAATTGTTTTTCATTGGCTAGTTACGTAGGTAACTATAGTATAAAAGACAAGTAATATGAAATAAACATGAAGGTCAAGCTTTTTCTCTCTCTTAGAAAAACAGGATTGTAGCAATAAAATAAGAAAATAAGAACTTAATTAAAGAAGCTATCCTCGTAGGCACGACAATAGATAAAAAGAAACATACAGTATCAAAAAACGTGATACGCAACCAAAAAATTTCCCCAACGGGGAATCGAACCCCGGCCATGTCGGTGAAAGCGACAGATCCTAGCCACTGGACCATTGAGGACATACATTATTATTATATGTAACGTAAAATATGTTAGTAAAGCTTACGAAGCGGTCACATGATTTTGATACAATTCTGGACCGGGGAGGTTGAGCGTTAGTGGGAGTAACGTGTTTGGTGAGATAATAACTACAATACTCGAGTACGTACAACCAGGTAGAGAATACATTCTACCACGGTCTATCTATATTGCATCTAATATAGGTTATATAAACATAGAACAAGATACAGGCCTAAGTATGATAATCACAACTGAACCTGAAATTAGTGACTAGCATACGCGTACTCAAATAATATAATTTCCCATTAAACCTCACAGAGTATATAATCCTTCTACTTCATCTGAGGAATAATAAAGAGACCTGAGTTCATAGTCATCGACTTACAACAGTTATCAATTCTAATAAGCAAATACAACACTCATATGAGAGATCAAACCTTAACTCATCTTCTTTCCAATCATCGTTTTAAAAGCCATTCATGATGACAGTTCTAACGCCTACAATTGAAGCATGCAGTTATCATTATGCTATATTGATCGACCAAACTGATAACGCGGCTGCATCCACAATCCTTGTCCATCAGCTGTCAGTGCTGTAGCTTAAACATTGTGGAATGGTTATAGGTGTTAGCAGAGTAGAGATATTTGTACGAAATGACCTCAATTGCGTGACCAGTTGTTAGTATTTCTTATAAAGAGTTCTTGAGCCCTTATTGTCCAAAGCATAAATACTTTGGCTTACCACCAGCTGTTGAACCAATGTATCCCACCAATACATATACTAATTCTGTCATGAATCCATAATATGGTATAGTCGAAGATGCCAGAAGTAAAGAAATTTTTATGAATAAATTTGCTCCGCAGCTGTATGAGGTAGCTAATCTTGGGGGAGAAGTATCGTTAAGCCTTGTTTCCCGCTCCCCAACCTCCAATCTTGTTTATCATTATGTGTTTGGACGAAATTCAAACGTACGTAATTGTAACACTCCGCTTACCGAGATGAGTATTATATCATTGTTAAATGTGAGATGTTATGACCAATTTGCTCATGCAAATACTTTCAATCGAGCCTTAAATACGGTAAATTCTCGAATCAAAGACAGTACACAAAGTGTCAGGGGTCGGTTAGGTATAGAAGAATAGGAATTATAAGCAGTGCGAGGAAGTGTAATTTGATTTATATTGTAAACTTCGTTAACCATTCAGCTTGTATGTATATTTATTTCACTTGGGTTAAACGCTATGCCAAGATCGTTATCATTCAAAGTTGTCAGTTGTTGGTGAGCGTTTTATACAAGGTTCTCCATTGCATGATTTTTTAGCAGTTGTGGCCTCGTTATCGGTAGCAGGTCTGGAATTTGACAGATCTTTCGTGTCATTTGTACTCATTTGCTGTCTATCTTTTATGTTGCCGCTATCAACTTTTTCGCTTTCAAGTGTTGTAGCTCGTGACGACTGTACCTCAGTAGTGGCTAAATTTGATTGTAGGTTTGACAAAGTGGTGTTGCTGTCACTACTGCTGGTTGACAGTGATCTGTTATCCTATGTCGTCATTTACCAACAAATGGCAATCAATTGCTGAATCACTTTGTTAAACGCCACAAATAAATATAAGAACTTACCTTTTTAGGCATGTTCGAGAAATTCAGGTTTATCTGCGTCTCATCTTCGGTTGGTTTATGATGCCTACTGCATAGGTCTGCTTTTTGTCTTAGGCTTCTCCAAGCTTCGACCCGCTTATCGGCATTGTTACCTCTCTCCAATTTCCTATTAAATTGAGAAAAGATTCATTTATACATTCAGGTTAAAGCTTCGTGCGTAAGCAATTTCAAAGACATTACTGTGTTTCAGCTTCATTATATTTCGCCACTTGTTCTTCAAATAGAGATTCATCTAGCTTCATTAATAGCTGTAAAGTATTATACACCAGTCCACTAATAGTCTTATTCCAATGTTCTTTTGAATGTTTGTACAGAGAGGGGAATATGATCGGCATGATCACCTCAATATTATCATTTATAATTTGAATGACATCTTCATAAGTATAGAAATACAGAGCCCGCTCCGCAACCTATGTGATATCAACATTATGGTGTTAGTTATTTTTGTTTTTTATAACATTGATCATAATATTGTTACCTGAAAATGAGGACTGGAAACACATTTAGCCAACCTCTGAAAGAAGGGGATCATAACGACTTCAAAATCTGCTGTTTCTGCTACATCTAATATTTCCTCGAACTCTGTCAAAAATATAACCTCTTTCACGCTGTTCACTTTAGGCCAGTATCGCATTAGGCCTTGAACCACTCCCGGAACAAGGTCAGGATCTTTTTCCAAAAATTGCACCACACAATATGTTAGCTGAGGGCTGTAATTTGGTAAAGATACTGGTTTATGAAGAGGTATGAGGACTTTGAATAGAAAAGTCTTGTGCTCATTTTTCAAAGGCAAAGCAAATCCATTGATGATACTATTTTTCCCAGAAATGTTTAGAATTTTCTCAATGATATGGTAAAAGACCTCGATGGCAAAGCTGCTATACATCCTCGTAGTTCACCTTACCTTCCTAGAATTTCTAATAATTCAGCTACACCATTAAACTGCTCTGTTTCGTATATGAATTGGAAAAAGATATTGTTGATAGATCGACGTATAAACGCACGGAGATTTAAGAATTTCCCATAGATTCGATGCAATATGGTTTTGAGAAAATCTCTCTCACGTGGATCTTCCGTATTGAACAATTCTAAAAGCTATAGTAACGGAATCTGATCAATTTTTTCGCACATATATTACTCTTCCGCTGTTGCTACTTCACCTGCAAAATAAATTTCTGATCAATGTATTTCCGGGCAATTTGTGGATTGAATTCTGGTGACTCGACAAATCTTAAGAAAAATTCATACACCAATTGAAGGTGAGGCCATGCTGTCTCTAATGCAGGCTCTTCGTCGTCTAAATCATATCCTTCACTGTTCGAGACTGCTTGAGGCGAGATAGTACGAAATGTATTCACTGAAAACTAAATCAACGAAAAAGGAGATTTATACAATTCATCTTAATAGCTTTGTTTTCATCTAAAGTTCTAATTTAACCTATTTACCATTCTAATCACATCGGGGTATATCACATCCGTAACGGCTCCTCTTACTGTTGCTACATATTCGAGCATTTCTTGCAATTCCTGTCTCTTAATTTCTTTATTTCGTAAGTCGGCTGACGGGTCGTTGAAATCAAATACAACTTGACATTGTTTCAACTTTATAATCAATAATTCTGGTCTTTTGGATACAGGTACATCTAGTTTGAGTGATCATCAAGGGGATGCTAGTTAATCGAGCAAAAATCGTCATATTTTCATATTTCAATAGTCAACTCACCATTAAAAGGAGGCGTTTTTTCTAATTGTGCTCTATTCCTTGTCATATATATCCTAGAAGATTTCTGACGCCTGGGACTACTTCGCACAGATGGTATGGTATCTTTAGGTGTATCTTTCAAAATCTTGTTTGTTACTTCCAATGACCGTGCACCTCCAGCCATACTATTCATATTACGTGTAATTACGCCTTGTTGTTTATGCTGTTGCTATCAATGAAAGGTCAAATAAAGGCGGACTATGTTCAAGAGCTAAAATAATTGTCGTTTGCAAAGCTTACGGTATCGGTATGATCATTTATGGTGGAATCAGTAGCATCAGTATTATTTTCTCTAGATGAATAGTCGACATCCGCTGTTGCTGCATTAGCAGTTGCACCTAGTGATGTTGTTTTCGATTGGGAATTATTCGTTGTGGCCGAGGAACGAGATTTCGTTAAAGGTGAATGTTTGGCGGACTTGTTGTTATTATTGTCTTTGTGTGCTTTATTTCTAGAAAGCTGGAAAAAAGACGGTTGAATATAACATCTGCATTGTAGAAAAATAGTACACACTTACTACTCCTTTAAGGCCTTTCATCATCTTGCACTGTGATTATACGGGTGACGGTAAGTTGGAAAATCAGCAATGGTAGTAAACAAAAAAAGGTAAAAAAAGAACTGGTTGTTTGACAGAGAAGGAATAGCGGGACAGGAAAAAAAGTTGCATAAGCAACCACCACCATTTTTTTTTTTTTTTTCTCGCTTTGCTCATTCGCCCAGCTTGTAGGAGAACTCCAAATCACTCTTTGGTTATCATTCAATTCATGCGGTGTTAATGAATATTTTCTACTGACTTTAACAATTATCTTGTTCTTCTGTCAAGTCTTTATTTTGATGCAGTTTGATAAAGTTATTGGGGTCACATTTTTTGAGGTTATGCTTAGAGAGCAAAATAAAATAGAGGGTTCAAACGTATAAATTTCCCGTTGAATTCTTTAAAGAGGCCACTGGATTTAATTATCTCTTCTTGAGGAACATCATCTGTAGCCGCAGATAAAACAGCAGGTCTTCTCTACATGTCATGCCAAATACCTGATTGTCGAAATGATCCACTATGCTATATTTGGCTTTACATATTCCAAGGCTAGACAAATCACTCAAATGACGAAGGTGGATAAAACTGCTGGATAAGGATTTTCAGTTCAGTAGCCGTGGAAATGTAGGGAGAACTGTGAGTATGTAACTGAAGCCTCCATAATATTCGATCTAGTACCTTCGGCAAGGACTATGAGATTTGACCATTATCGCCACCTATAACAATGAGAACGCTATCAAAAGTAATCTTACGAGGAAATGTTGCTTGTTAAGTAAAGTCGAATGCAGTTTTTTGTGATAAATGTGAATCACTTGTTGATCTATTTCTATGTCATAAAAGATTTGTTCTTTATAAGCATGTTGATCGATTCATTCATTTCATCAGAAGCTTCACTTTGACCATAATACCAGTCATCAGAATTGACCAGATTACGTTCGAGTTCATCAGTTTTATCATTTTAATCAAATATAAGGCACTGTCAAGCGCAGTATTAACTTACTAGGATGATTATTCATTGCCTTTGAAAGATATCAGAAAATTAAAAAGTAATATCAAGGAAATGTATGATTTAGGGTATCAAAATCGTATATACACTATTCATTCCGTGAGACTTCAAGATGCGTCACATCAGTATACAACGTGGATAACGAAAAGAGAGCATACTAATCACCGAAAATAAAGATAACAGTTTTCCAAGAATATTTAGACAACCCTTGATTCATCATCATATAAAGCCAAACATTCCTGGCTGCTCTTTGAGCGTTTTAATGTACTACGGTGTCAATGGTACGGGTGGTCCTTAAGCCGTCAGATGACAACCTTCAACAAAAGGTAGTAACAAGCGAGGATAAATTATCTTCACAGGTGGACGTATCATATTATGATTCTTTTGTGGAATATGCTCTAGGATATAGTCTTCATGTCTTTTGATCACTTTTCCTTTGTGCATGAAGTAGTCTTCAGAGCATTTGAAAATTAATTGGTACCCCCTCAATTCATCTTAACATGCATAATTGAGCATAGTAGGTATGATGAGCATTGCCCTCGGTAAAAGAGGGTTTTGGAATGGTATACAACATCTTGTACCATAAAAGGCTTTAAACGGTTAAATTAGTGCTTCGCTAAGTCACCATAAGTCAGGGCATTGCCGATTATTCTGCTTCGTATTCTTGCGTGATTTTATCACTATTTGTTCACTATTTGTTATCAGATATTATAGATTGAGACGGTTATCTCAACAACCGGAGAGCCGATTTGCCTCTATTACAGCATTAGCTCACTATTTGTTATTAGCAGTGTGCGATGAGGACAGTTCGTTCTTCCAATGCTTGCCCTACGATCATCATATATATATTCTTTACATCTCTTTCAAAACCTACCGTCTTTCGCCAATGGACAAAATATAAGTAGCAAGAACCCAAGCTGTCGTTCCATTATTGCGAGGTTACTTGCTGACAACAGCTTTAAGAATTATGTGAAACATCTTATTCACACCTATCAGGCCACAGTTGATAATTGCTACCAAAAATCAAACTGTTTGATTCCATAAGTGTGGGAATCATGAATTTAATTTGACCGATCACTCCAGTTTCTGTGTTAATTGCAATTGCTTCCCTGGCTGAAATAATGCACGAGCCAGTATTATCAAAGACTTAATCTCTTATCTCATTTTAGAGATAATTAACGTCGAAGTGTATGTGATATTGATCGTATGTTACGAAATGAGATTCGAGGGAACTTCGAATTGATTACAATACAGTAAGTACAGCATTTAAGGGCACTATTAGTGTCGGGCATCATGATCTATTCAAATACGTTTCATGAGGTTCAGCAACAATAACTCCGTAGAAGCAGGCTTAAATAACAAAAAAAAAGCAAGAAAAAAGAAGAGTTCCAGGTACGTTGCTGTATGCATGTAGCTGTTGATAATAATAAGAAGTCAGAAAACTTTCAATAGATGTCTCTTATAATAATTGGGCGGCTCGACTCTAACTTTGTTTCTTTTTTATAGTTTTTCCAAAATAGTATTTCGAACAGTATCCTTGAAACGCATCTTCTTAAGTGTATGAAAGGCAATTCCAATAAGCGTACACAGATACTAGAAAGGTTATCACACTGAACGGAATGAAGATCACATCTCGATTTATTGTATTTCACTCTAAGTGCTTTACCTTTTAAACGTGAGATAGTAATTTATTATTCTGGATAAATGAACATCCAGGATCTTTTAATTTTGAAGGTGGAATTCAAGGTATATCTATTATGCATAATAATGCATGTACATATAAATTATTGAATTGGTTGAAAGGGTATATTGTAGAAATAATATAACGTATTTAGTCAAATATCTCAAGAGGAGCCAATTTATCCACACCAAACAGGAATTCATTGTTTTTCTCTTCTTCTTCCATAAAAAAGTTTGGCCATATCACCAGATGCCCTTTGATATGCTGAATCAATTCGTGTACTGTAACTTGCTTATCACTGCTACAGTCGTCAATACCGTTTATTCCATTATCGTTACAATTTAAAGTATTTAATGGAAGAGTAGTAGCATTTCCTGCGGCTACAGTGGTTTTTGTACCGCCATGTTTGATATCAGTACGGCCCAAAAAAAGCTTCGCCATTTTGCTATAATTGTCATACTGTTCCCATGTACGCACGTTATTATCAGGAGTAATCAAAAAGGCACGACGGAAGAGATCAGTGTTGACTCTAGCTAGCATATGCCAAACGTTTTGGAAGTCATCAGAAAGTGGATCTTGTAAAATACGGTAGATGTCGCCCACTGTTTTATTCTCAAGAAAAGAAGTATCCAATTTTGAGCTGCCGTAATAGTCTGATGCCAAATCCACACCAGCTTTGCCATCACCATTAGGGTCCGTATCAGGAGTTAAAGAACTCCAAAAGTCTAGAAAATCTTCTTTCGTACTCTTCCTTTTACCAAAGATAGACTTTGTAGGTGACACAATCGATGTTGATCTTTTATCTACATTTGTAGTTGACAATACAGCTGCAGTTTCCTGATTGCTGGAATGCTGACTGTCGTTTGGATTTGTGGTCTGTGCTTTTTCTAAGGAGGATGGATCTGCGTTCAAACCTTGTTTTTTTCCTTTTGCAATCACATTTGCCACAGTTGCAGCTTGTACCAACTTTTTTGCGTCCTCTTCTTTATTGCTGCTCTTTTTTTCGCTCTTGCTGAGCAAGAATCTACGCCTCTTATGCTTCTTATGCCTTCTTATATTTTTCAAATTCATATTCTTTAAAGATCCGCCATCATTGCTACTTGTGTCAGAACTGTCAGACGAAAATTGTGTATGCGACATTTCAAATTGCTTCCGGTTTGTGGAGTGTAATTGATGACCATCCTTTTCCTCCATTTTAATTCGTTCTTTTTCCTGTGTTCCTGGATTGCCACCCAGCACTTGAACATATGGAGGCAAACAGTCAATAGTATCATTCTTATCTCCATCACTTATTTTCCTATCTGTCCATGCCGACTGATTTAAGTAAGTTGCTGTGGAAGTGTTATTGTTCATGCTACTTGTATACAATTCGCGTTTCATTTGATCCACATCTAGACCAATATGTTCACACATTAGATGCATTCTGAGGGTATGTGCAAATCGACCTACTTTAGCAGGTTGATTGTTTATAAATGAGTCAATGAGTTCGTTATCGTCGTCTTCAACAAAGGCTGCAATTTCAGAATCTCGTGAGCCTAATTGAGAACGTTCATTGATGTTAGCAGATCCAATGATAACTGCTTTATCATCCACAATCATTATCTATTTTGCGTAAAAAAAAAAAAAGTTTTGTCAGTGTGTATAAGTTGGGAGGAACAAAAAGCTAAATTTTTTTTTAACAAACCTTCGAATGAATGTACACTTGTTCTGTTACATATTGACCATTCAATTCTGCCCAGTTACGCAAACCGTAAAAGTTAATATATTCATGTGTATGGGTTATACCAGCCGTATGAAGTCGCCCTAAAAGTGAATCAGGGCCTTGACCTACAGTAATGTATTGATATTTCATAATTAGGCGAACAGTAGTTGCTTCTGTTTCATCTATGTTGGCAGGAAATCCAGGGACAAGTGGAAGAACAATAATGGCCCGCCACTTTTCACCTTGTTTATGAGCACGTATGATACGGTCGTAAATGGCTTCACCAATCTTATTCTCTATAATCGTCTTGCCGTCCTTGTTGGAAGTGATGAAAAATTGATTTTCTACAAGAGATGGGCAGGTAGTGATCAGTATAATCAGACTTTTTTGCGTAAGTATATCATTAGTGACCCAAAATAAAAGAAAAAGCTTCGTACCGATGTAAATAAAATATTCTGAGGCTCTAATTGACTCACAATAGGCATTTTGAATACTTTTCTCAGTATGATCGATAGATCCAATACTCCATGGTGACACACTACGTAGAATTTGCACGTTACAAGAGCGAGAGGTATGAGGATGGCAAATACGAGGATCATCATTACTCAGTTGATGTGTATAGCTTTCAGGTATTGGCAATAACATAGGCGTAGGCTTTTTTGGCGCCGTTGGCTTTTTGCGACGCAAAAAATTCCACCTTTGAATGAAATGACGAGCTACATCACGAGCTGCTGGGCCCACGATACGCATAGAGACATCATGCCATGGCATACGTGGTAGAGTAGTTCGATCCTGATTGTCTTCAAAAGGCTTTTCCAGAGTATGAAAATCAATAATACGAGGGTTGGAGTAATCTTTGCCTGGCCAAATTTGTGGATGATCATTGTCTATATCCAGTTCAGGCTTCAGGTCATCTACCAATATGTGACCTGGGGTATCATATCGTCCAAAACATTGATCAATACCTCCTACAAAGGCAATTTCATTATCAACTATACAGATTTTTTCATGATGTGCCCAAAAGAAAATACTGTTTTTGTCAAATATATCTAATGCACGTGAGGGATGACGTTGAACAAAGATATTTGGAGAGAGTTGTAGCAAGTGTCGTTTCGTTTGATGTGAGAATAAGGGTAAAGCCATGGCAACTTCTTTGTAGATGACAATATAAATTTTGACGCCTTGATCAGCTTTACGTTTAAGAACACGATCAAGCCTCCATTCAAGGTTTTGTGCGGCAGGTCTTCGCAGAAACTACATATTCATATGACAAGGAATCGTCAATTAATGATTATCTTAGCTTTTATGAATTAGACTAGCTCTCTAGGTTAATTTACCAGTTCAGGGGACAGCCACCAATCATGTATATATATACTTTCTTTCGCATTATCTAAAGCGACAGAGACATCCCAGAAATAGTCTCTACCGTCAACAAACCATGCAACACTTGAATTTGTCCGAATGGGAGCAAAACTGTTGAAACGGTGTTCTTTGCACCATATGGAATTGGAAGCCATGAATCGAATGGATTTTTCCAATTGTTTTGCTTGCTCTTCGTTCTTAGCGCGGAGATGATAAATACCGTGCATATTGCTGAGACATAGAGTGGATTTGGCTTTGGCAAAGTGAGATGCATTTACGAGTACATTGCTGAAAAATATACGTTTACTTTTTGTCTTGCGATGATCAGATTTATCTCCGGATAAAGCTAATCGATGTAAGTCAAATTTGTGATCGAATAAGAACACATCATAGATTTCCGACTAAATACAAGTATCATCAGCGGTGAAAGATAAGAGTATATTAAAAACAATAAGCACTGTAATTCTCTGACTACGACTTTCAAGAATTTATTTTACCTGAGTAGGGTCTTCTACACAAACAACATAAGTATCACGGATAATGAACCACATTGGCTGTTGATGTCTTCTTCCACGAGTTGTTGGTATTGAGCACGTTAAACCATCCTCCAGAAGGTTTCGACGTTTTTGCTTCGGACCATTATCAGTCCGACTTTGAAGAACAGCATAATCTTCTTTACCACGAGCTACAGTATTTGCTTCAGGATACTGAGCAGCTAGTTGTAAACCCAAATGCGAAATCTCCAAAAATTTACACAGTCGATTGACAGGCGCACATGGTCCCAAAGAGGCAATGAATTGATTCAAGTATTCTTCCAATGCTTGAAATACGGTGTCATCAGCTTGCTGCAATATAATAGCATCAGTCGTATCGAAATTGGAGGACATAATACTTGCATTTGCTGGTGAGTCTACCATCATTTTTCTCTCATCGGGATCAATGATATCAGAAATATTCATGACAGTAACATCGTTAACCAGTTGTTGCCTCGTCACAGCAGAGGTAACAGCATCTTCATCGATAATAGATGTAGGAGCTGTATGGTGACTTGTATCAGTTAGTTGTCTGCTCTTAGATGATAACATTCGTTCCTGTTGTAGTCGCTGAGGTGTTTGCTGTTGAGCCTGATGCTGTTGTTGCCACTTCTGCGGCTGGCACTGATCTTTCCTTAACCTTTTACCAAAGTAGTGCCGAGGTATACTAGGAAATTGTGGAGGACGTGTATAGTTTCCCATGAAACCTTCTCTCAAATGCGACTCTCTCTTATTATTGTACTTCTTTTTATAATGGTAATGTAGTTTGACAAAGTCCCAAAATCGGCGGTAAACAACCCAACTAATTTTCCCTGTGCCTGATCCATATTGAACAGTGATCTTAAACATAGTGCCCCGTTTATTGATATTACTGTTGTCGCCCTTTATCTTTCGTTTCCCTCTCGATATCAGGCCTTTATTATATCGTTGACCATCATTCTGTTGTAGTGTATTATGTTGCATATTCTCATCATTCTCATTTCTACTGATTATTACCGAAAGGTTTCCAAGAATGATAGGTATTCGTTTTCGGCCTTCTTCATCATTTGCAAAAAACATAGCCATAACAAGTGGTGTCAACGTGTTCATTTCAGCTTGTCTTTCAATGGGACTCGCGGAATGAATTGTATGAAGTTGTTGCTTATGTTTCGCATCAGCGATGCCTCGATTCGTTCCCACCCATTTCTTTAAAATTTTCCAACCATCATGAGGAGCTGTCTCAAACCGGCTTAATACACGGCGAGCTCGATTCTGTGGTCGTTTTTCTCGATCTGCAGGATCGAGACGATGTGGAGATACCTGCTGCTGCTGATGCACATAATACGAGGATGCGTTATCAAGATTATCATATTCTGAATGATTGACACTTAAACGAGGCGTTGTTGCTACACTAGAGACGAAAAAGTCAGACCTATGTTGTGGCAGGAAATGGTGCTTATTCGGAATACATGTTAGCTGTTGCTGCTGTTGACTATGCGATTGATTATTCGTATTCGGAATTATAGACACTGATTCTTTCTCGTCATATGCATCTGATATAGATGGTTGTATCTTCATTTGTATTGATACTGTATCTGGAGGTTCTATCACTGTATTTGACATTTATAATATGAATATATGGTATAATAAGGTTGATAAAAAATGAAAATGAAAATATAAGAGTAGAAAGCTATTTCTATGATGGAAGAAAAAATTAGAAAAGAAATACTTGACAAGAGTTTTTGTAAACGTTACATTTTAAATTCCCAAAAAAAGAAAAATCCAGGCACAAGCATAACCGTAAAAATGACGAAATGCATCAGGTGGGGAAATTTTCTGTTTTCTTTATTTGATCGGCGGTTTCCATGATAAAACCCTGCAAAGTTGCATTAGCAAAATTACTCTGCTGCAAGTCCTTTCACCAAGGATAAAAATTACATTTGCGTCAGGCAACACTTAAAAGTATAGGCAGCAGTAGGGGCTTGAATGTACTTATCAGTATATCGTATAATTTTGAATTGACCAGTAATAGTGTGTCTCTTGGAGCAGGCAATTTGAACGAACTAATTGAAAGAAGCTGCTTTACTCAATACAACATCGATTGAAGTCCGCTTTGTTTAAAGAAAGAAAACTAAAGAAAATAAACATGCTATGGTAAACTGAATCAAATGGCGCCATGCTTTGCCGATCTGTTTTCTAGAACTCAATCAATCCTGCTCTACACAACGTTGGATGATAAGAAATGAAAGTTGAGCAGAAATGCAGCTGCAAACGGTTTGGAATATCTGATCTCCTGTAACATAAGGGTAGCTTTATTCCATGAAGAAAAAAACAGATATGGCCAAACATTGTCTATAGAGGGCAAGGGCACTGAAATCATTAATTGATATTTACACAACAATTTTGATGGTATCAATGAAAGGCTGTATAGTTTGTATATAGTAGAACATAATACAACTCATCCCTGCTATTGCTTCTTCCGGAGTGATTGATGTTGTTCGTCTAACTGAAATCTATTTACTGTTGCTGTTGACCCATCTTTTGCATTTTTTCTCCAACTCGAGTATTTACATCGAAAAATTTAGCTACACAGTTGTCGATACAGGATTGATCTTGTGCTGTCAATTCTCCTGAAGAGCTGCTGTTATCTAGTTTGATACATTTGGCATGACAAGAGTCAACAATCCTGGTTCAAGCAGAGAAAGAAGCATCAAGGCCATCAGTTTTGTGACATCCCTACTCATTTGGTTTTCGATTTTTTTTCTGGGATAGGTAAACCTAACTTGTTGAATAAATCAGTGACCATTTCTAATTCTTGCTCAGCCATAGCAATATTTTGAGGGTTAATGGTTTGTTGTTGTTGACCTGCACCACCGAAGAATGACATGTTTCTTGTTTGATCTGTATAATATCTACAGCTTTTATAGTGAAAAAAGACTATATTACAAACAAGCTACCCCATGATATTACGCATTTGCATAAAACCCAGTCACCTGTCAAAATTACAGTTTTTTATCTTATAATTCGGACTTTCATACTGTTTGCTTCAGACGAACAGAATCATGGATTTTGGAAATACCATAAATACTTTTTAGATTGTGGTAATTTTAGTTTGAGATGAATTTAGAATTTGAACTTAGGGCACTGTAAAAACGGAGGGGTAACAAGGAAACAAGAGCAATAACCAGCGCGCTTAACTATCCTGTGTAAAATGTTAAGCATACTATAACATCAAAAAACTAGTTGAGGAGCAAAGATACGCCACTGTCTCGTGATGTTGTCAATGAATGTAGCAGAACATACACAATTTTGTGAACAGATCTTGAAAGTAGCAGCCTATACTTCAAAAGTTTTGTACTTGGGATCTCTGTTTGTCAACTACCTGTTCAACAAGTTGCTTGAAATCAAAGATGCTGATGTTCCTGTTATTGAGCAAACTCTGTTCAGAAATGATAAGAAGGCACCGGACGACATCAAAGAACATCTCAAAACCTTCTGTGACCTGACGACTTTGGACCCGCAGCTGTTAAAAAGTATAAACTACTCAAGCGTTCTTTCCATTGCCGGTAAACAGTACGAAACACTCACCAGAAACGACGTACATGAAACGTGTTGTCTGACAACAATTCTGTAAACTTCTGTAAAAATTTGATGGTAGCAGAACGAAAAAATGAGCACATTATATCTATGGAAAGAAGCAGGGATCAAGCCCCTCATGGCCTGCCTCTCTCTCTCTAGAAGTGATGCTCTGGACAAGATAGTCGCCAATCTCACTGCCATATAGGAAAAGTATCAGCCAAGTGATTGCGACTCAAAAATACTGTATTCTAAGCCGCACTTATTCGTCAAGTGATTCAACTTTCTCTCTAAGGAGGTCCAAAAGAAGGTTTTTATTATGGAGCCACAAGCAGCAAAAGTTGCATCGAAGGCTTACATTCGTCGAAAACTTCTCGAAATTCCATTTGCTGCTACGTTGAATAGGAAGAAGTTTAATTCTCTGCTTGAGCAAACATTAACAGCAGTCAATTCAGATAAGCCTTTTCTCCCGGGGAAACAACTACAGAACCTCGCGTCACAACAGATATCCATGATCCAAGTCTTCATCGACACCGTAAAAAGCAGAATCAATGATGGAACTTTCAGCCCTACAAAATACACAGATATCAGAGGCCATCGCTTTTTTCATTCGCACCATGATACTCAGTGAAAACCAGAGACATTCCAAAGCGATGCTCAGGCGTTTTGGAGATTAGCGAAAGAAGCAATTTGGATGGCTACAAGACGGGCAAAAAAACTGAATCTGACCTTACAGATATGTATTACTTCAAGAAACTGGGCTTCAGGTCATGGTCAAAGTTTACAACTGGGAGGAAGCAATTCGAGCAAGTTACCTCTCAATATCGATGGATATCTGACTAGTCAAATATGTAATATATGCAAACATCAGTGTTTGGAGAATGTTACGACAGCAGCATCAAAGCGAAGAGTACATGCTGTATTGCAGTGCAAAGACTGTATTACAGTTTGGAATCGCGACGTCAATGCTGCCAAAAACATCCATGATATTTTCATGTTTGCTGCAGTAAATGACAATCAAAGACCTGCGGTTTTCAAACGAGATTAGTCCCACTTTCATGTGCCATTGATATCACTTCTTCACACATACCTACAGTGTAAATTGTAATATATTTATAAAGTAACCAGAGGCCGAATGCTTACTGTTTCTACCTCATTACTCAACTCACAATTCGATAACAATTTGGGTAATGTCTGGTAAAAGTGCGTCTGAATTTATTATAAAATTTATAAAATATGTAAGTTTTTTTTCTCATAAATATACTGCATTTTTCCAAAGTTGCCTAGTAGTATTTCCGAATTCAATCGAAAAAAAATTGTAACTCGAAATGCGGAGACTTTCAAGCGCAACACCCCAAAGTTGAAATGGATTTTACTTTTTCGATCGTTTAAAGCGTCTAAACGCACACCTTTTTTTTATTATAAAAAATCATACAACACCGTGAGTCGTTTGTGGGTTCCTTATTGTTCTAAGGATTCACAATTACGGCTTATAGGTAATCATCACGTTTTCATTTCGCTTATTATAATAAAAGACATTGCTCTAAGGATTCACAATTATGGCTTATAGCAATTGCGTCCAGAGAGACATTAGCTTGACTTCCCGTGTGTCGAACGATCAAAACTCTCCAATATTCAATTTCAGTCAGATTCTTTAATCCCCGTATCAAAGTGAAAGGGCGGAAAAATGTGTTTTATATAAGAATTATCACATAATAAGAGACGGCTGATAGCATAATAAATTAGATGACGTATACGTGTATGTACAAATCTAAGGCTAATACATATTACTGCTTTTGTTGTTGCTCATTTACTAAAGATTCAATTTTCATTGAATTAGATGGTGTATAAGTTTGTTGAGTGCTGTTATTTTCTTCCTCATCGCTGTCAATCGTTATAACATTACCATTTGTCGGTTTGGTAACACTCATACCCGGGGTTATTAGAGGAGAGATTTGCTGCTGCTGCTGTTCTAACTGCACAGTTTGTGATGCGAAAGGAGAAGGTATGTGTGTAACTGTATCTCTTTCTGTGGTAATAGATGCGACTGTAGGTGTTGTAGTAGTCGATAGTTGTTTATTATTGTTTAATTGTTGTTGATTGCTCGGCGCCTCGCTTTTAGTAGTAGCAGATTCAGCTATAAACATAATCTTTCATTATATGTCCTAACATTTTCAAGCACGACAACCCTAGCATTATCAAACTTACACTTTGTCAGCGAAGCTGTAATAGTTGCAGAAGTGGATTCTGCGGGCGGTGAAGTCGTTGCAGACGCTGGTCGTTTCCGTTTTTTACTCGTAGTATCCTGAAAGCTACCAAGAATTGCCTTTGATGCCGTCGGTAAATTGGAAGAGGAAGCAGAAATGTTATCAGCTGCCGATACTGTATTGGATGATGAAGACTTCTTATCCGAAGACGACACCTTCAATTTGTAGTTGCTATACTGTCTACTCATCTCATACGTTGTCATCCAGCCTTCTGGCCAGCAGGATAAGAGGCGCTGATACATTTGCTTCCGGGATTTACTTTCGGATGCAAGAGCATCTGGTTTCACATTATTGTCTTTACTCTTACTGTATTTACAGAGGGATTAGTTTACTTGGCTACTATAGGCGCAAAAAATTCAGAGGAAACTTACGCTATATCATTCACTAACTGCACGGAAGCTTCCTCCGTTTTCATTATATCATACAGGATCTTCTTTACTTCATCGTTGCATTTGAATTTGGGAGCAGGAATTTCTTCTGTTTTTGTAGCTCCAACTGCGGAATCCTCTCCTTCCTTCCCCTCAACTGCTGGTGCTGCTGGTGCTGCTGCTGCCTTTGAAGCTTGAGCCAGAGCCACCTGTTCATTATAAAGTCTTTGTTGGTCTGGCATCTGTCTGTCAATTGTTTGCTTCAATTTGATGATTAACTCGTCGATTTCCTGCTGTAATTCGTCGACTCGTATTTGACCCGCTTTCGTTGTTAGAAATTTCTGATTTCAGATTAAAGAATTATCAGTTCTACATTGCTTACTATTTTTTGAATACATTCGTGTGTATTATATACCCTTAATGTGAATCTATTATAAGGTAGAATGGTCATCAGATGCTGAACGAGGTTGTCATCAATCACTCTGTGTTTGCGTAGCATAATCAACCCAGCTTCCAATACTGTAGGTTTCAATACTGTAGGAAATTTAGACTTGTTTGCGAAAGTTTCTTTTTTGACATCCTCTTGTAACTTTTCCATTAATACTTGGATTTCAGGATCCAGTGGTAACTAGTAAAAGTTGATGAATTAATTAGTCATTCTTACCATATCACTTCTTTATTGTCTATCATTTACCAACACTTTTGATTTAACTTTTTTATGAGTCGTCCCTTCCTTCTTTGATACTTGTGATTGAGAGTTATTCGAGATGGGTTCAGCTTTCTTCGCTGTAGGTGCTTTTGAATGGTGCTCTTCTGATTTCTTCTTCTTCTTTACATGTTCGTCCGATTTTTTTGCGGCAGTTGGTGTACTCATACTAGACAATGAAGTAACACCACTGGGCTTCTTCACTTTATTTGTTGCAACAATACTGCTAGATGACGTTGATGGCGCAGTGGTATTCGCAGTAGGCTTTTTTCTCAATTTGTTATTATCATCATTGCCAGTAGCCTTTTTATTCGTTGAGAGAGATGAAGGTGTAGTAGATGCCACCGCCGTCGTTGCTTTTCCTTTTGATGCAGTTTTCCGCTTTGGCACTATTGTTGAATCAGTAGATGACGAGGTAGTTTTACTATTATTGTTAAAATAAAGGGTCAGTTTCTTAGAAGAGTTCAAACAATTTTCTTTAATGTTAAACTTAAGCACCTTTCTTGTTGTCCGAGAGATCCATGATAAACAAAAAACCCACTATGTTCAGCCGTTGTGTATTCCATATCATCATCCAACAATAATTCACTGTCATCAATAAATGGGTCTTCATAATCGTAATCGTCCGGTAATTTCTTTTTCGAGCCCTTTGTAATAGGAAAAGCCAGTCAGCATCATTCTCGATACAAATTTAAGAAAGCTCAATATTGTTCATATATTCAGCTTACTGGTAATGTGCCATCTTCGCCTGCTTCAGATTCGTCCTCGCTATCGCTGCCGTTTGTTCCACTAACCCCATTCTTGTTCTTTCCATCAATATCTTCCATAGCATATAATTTCGCATTTCTTAATAACTGCTCAAAAAAAGCATCTTCATCTTTGTTTTGTAAGGCGGCTAATGGCTGCCTAGTGTCCAAGCCCATATTTTGCTGCTCTTCTGCTCGTTTTAGTTCCCGTTTATAAAGTTGTCGAAAGTTGAATACATAAGGACGCGGACAATCCGTCATTTGGACGCGGACTCTTACAGTAGTTAGGTGGTTTGAGTTTTTTGTTAATGTATTTGAATCATTTTTATGGGGTTTCCCGATTGGTACTATTGGATCAAGATCCATTGCAGTAGAAGTGACGTTAGCGTCCAGATCTTTTGGTAAAGAAGCTGCACGACTAGATTGAGGGGCTGACACATCGGTCGTCTGTGTCGAAGTGTTGGGGGATGTGCTACCAATGATTCCAAGGGTTGAATCAGCTGTGATTTTTTTTTCGACTGTTGCTTGCATCATAATTCTATCAACGCTCAATGTTTCAAATAGGATAGTGGAGAATAAAGAGACGTTTGAAAGGTTAAAAAAAAATTTGTATTGTCGCTTTGTTTAAAGTGACAGCAGTTACAGCTAAGATTTCTTGTATATGCTTAAAAGATACACTTTTACAATGAAATAATGGTGTTTTGTTTGAAAGTCAGCTGTTGTTGTTGAGACGTTCTTGCAATAATTGGCACCGATTATTAATTTTTTTGGGAATAGATACGTACAAGTTTTTGCTATTCTTACAAATGGCTAAGGGTAGAAATAAGGGGGGAAAGTAACAAAAGGAAAATAATATGATACAAATTTGCAAACTATATCCAAGAGTGCGTGCAACCGTTTTAATATTGAGTACGCGACACTGCATGAAAACGACTGGATAGGAATGTGTTAAGAGGTAGGGGAGGGAAACCATAAATATACAGACCGGATACACAGCCAGAACGTGGCTAGAATGAATCCTAACTGTTCGAGCGTCTGAGCAATTGACGGAAAACCTGCGCTATCGGATAATGTAGATATCGCTATCCATACTTTCTTACGAGACCAATAAAGCTGCCAAGACGGACGTAGAAGGGAAGAAGAGGGATGACTCTGGGATTGCCAATCCTTTCCAAAGACCCTGAAGAAAGTCTGTCCAATGCGTGACAGATTTCGGGAGGATAATTGCGTCTGGCCCAAAGACCACAGTTTGGGAGCCGATATAACTGAGAACGAGAGAAATCAACGGAAGGACTAGTATGCGCCACTATGTTAACTGGCAGCAAGAAAATGCAGCAAAGATGGCATGAACGCTTGCAGTTTAGGGATCCACTTGAGAAGTCGGGGTGTTTTTATAGATTCTCAGATTGAGCAAGACCGTACTTGTTGATGCTGAAGCATTCCACTTGTTGTAGAGCTTGTGTATAGACTGAAGCACGGATATAACGTTCATCAAGAGAGACGATAGCAACTTGTAGTGTAATGTTTTTATTTTGGTATTAGATAGCAGAATACAGTGACTCACAAAACTGCGACAATTTTTGCAAATTTTGCATAAATCGCAACTTTACCATCAATTTTCATGAATAAAGATACAAAAAATGAAAACGAGCAATAGAATTAGGACCCTTCAAGCTCTTATTCCATATATAGTTTGTGGCATTTGCATGAACCGATCATCCATCAATTTGGAAAATTGACCGATGGGCGAACTTTTGGACATCACGCATAAAATGAGAGATGTCAAAAGATCACTCGCCTGCAGAAAAGCGAAGTCAATTACTATTCGTACCATTCATTTAATGCTTTTAATGCATTTTTCCGTTTTTGTTTCGTACAATTTACACATTTACAACTAATCACCTTTAACTCAAGCGATGAGACCAATTATTATGATAAAAAAGATGGATGTTCTATCTAGACTTAATGGTACTGAGTCAAACAGAAGCATTGCCAAAGCTTTTGGAGTTTCAACCAGAACAGCCGACCGCATTGCTAAAGATCATCAATCCGCATCTGACAACAAAGGTGGTAGACCATCAAAAATCAGCAAATTACTCGGTAGAAAAATTGTAAGATCTTTTTACACTGGGCATTTACAGCTGTAGAAGCTGCCCGGAGCCTACGTGCTCAAGGGTATGATATTTCTCCTCAGACGATACGCAGACTTTGATTCAAAGATTAATAAGTCAGCTCTGCCACTGACTAATGATCGACGAAAGAATCGCTTGAAATGGGCCAAAGCTCACAGAAACTGGACGGTTGAGGATTGGAAACGAGTTGTTTTTAGTGACGAAATTAAAATAAACTGTTTAGGTTCGGACGGAAAGATGTGGACTTGGGTTAAAAAGGGTGAACCCTTTCAGGAGCACAATGTCAACTTCGCTTACAAAGGTGGTGGAGGAAATCTGATGTTGTGGTCCTGCTTCACTCAATATGGATCTGGGTTCATGGCCAAGATCGAGGGCGGGATGGACGCCAAATTGTATTGCGAAATACTGAAGGGTGACTTCATGGAGACCCTTAAAGATTATGGGCTTAAAAAGGATGATTTTGTCTTTCAGCAGGACAATGATCCGAAGCATACTGTCACGTTCTGACCTCTAATTCATATAACAATCTGAAAAACAATCCAGATTTAATGCCTTTATCAGTTATAGTGTACTGGAACAAATAAGATTCCAGGCACACTGGGACAAATAAGATTTCATCAGGCACACTTCAACCTTACTGGTAATCTAGATATATCTCAGTGGCGTTTGTACAATTCATTAACAGGAACAATATTACTCGGTTGTCACTACTACTTTCTTAATTCCACTATAAGCTCAGTTTAACCTCGCATTCATATAAAAGACCATTCAATTTCTAAACCAAAATAAAATCATCCAAGAACTATTGTTCGGTCTCGCTGACTCACTCAGTCTCTACATTTAAAACTTATTAAATTATAGCTCCTGATATCTAAGAATATCACAGGTATCTTCACCATGGTTGAGCGCGGGTACTTACTCATTGAGAGGTTAGAGGATCGGACTGTAAGCAATTGGCGACGAATATATAAATAGAATGATAAGACCACTAACCAATGTCCGCTTTCTGACAGATCATTGTGAAAGAGTGAATTATTATTGAAGTACTATGTACTATGGATCTGTTAACCTCATATGTAGCATTTGTAGATCATAATTAATATCAGTCGCTGTATTTCAACTGTGCAAGATTCTAGAAGAAGTCTAATCTCATATTATGGCTATATGGTTACTCCTAATGTCATAACTCCGATCATTATGTAATAACTCTGGCTCATATATACAACAATTTATTTCTAAATCAAGTCGATTACTCATATGATGTTGTCTCGGATGTACATACAGATCATCTCTTCTTCCGGGATCGATAAGAATTGTTCTGACAAAGCTATCACTCAAAATTAAACCAATCATTATAAGGATCTGTAGTCTCTTATTTAGCATTATGTAATAATCTACGCGTAATATGATGTTGGATACAACACATTTCCTTATAACTGTAATGAGTGAATTACTTTTCATTAGAGAGGTTTCATTCGACAAACATATAAATATGGCCTGCTTCTCAATTCATAATATCTTTAGTGATTTTTATCTGTTTTTCCTGTATATTATGTGGTATTTCCATACCTCCTACAATATATAAAGACGAATTAGACACACTTTCAAGCAATTGACTCGTTATTATGATCATAGAATCATAATAACACTTGTACACGTCATCGTGTATTTCTAAAGATGCGCATATAAAATGCTGCATTATTGGTGGCTGAGAAATTAAGGAACGAGGACTTTTTTTATTTTTTCATTTTTTTAAATACAAACATTCAGTTTGCTGTGAAGGCTCCCCTCTCTGATTTTCAGTGTATAATAAAAGGACTAAAGGAGACTCATTTCACCTTACAGTTTATATCAATTATAAGTCGCGTTCACAACTACAAATAACCACAAATATCACATATTATACTTTTCTCTTGTTTTAATAAAAAGTAGTCTAGCTTATCTTGTTAGTAACTTCTGTTCAGAGTTGTAAGTAACACCAACCTCCAGTCGGATCATCGCCTCCTGCCTCTTTACAATAACATTGACTATAAAACATATTATTTGTTACATTTTTTGATTCAAAGAAAAATACACTTAATAAACATTAAAATCAAAACTATAACGATATAACTTGCTCTTGTAAACTACTTTCCGCTCCGGATAACTGTATTTGAATTACTTATTTTGATCTAAATAACTTCACCTCGCTGCTAAATCACTCTCTAATATTTTAAAACACCTTCTACAGTAAACCTGCCAAATGCAAAACTTTACAGTAGCTGAGTGTGAATGTTTAGAGAAGCGCTGGGTAAGTGAATGTCACATCCTCAGTAGATATCAGCAGGCCAGACACTCCTGAGGAAAGTATAAATGAAAGCGGAAGCAAAAGAGGAACAGAACAATTAATTGAGATAGAACCAGAAAGTCGGGAAGCTTATAAGAAGCAACGGCTCTTTAGCATAGTTCAACCAGATTAATTATAAATACTCATTCCTGATCTACATATTAATAAAGGACATCTTCTTCCACTTCTCTAAACTTATTCCATATTGTTGTATTTGCTTATTTAAAAAATTGATAACAGTTGTAAGTCGATGACTATGAACTTAGGTGTCTTTATTATTCTTCAGATGAAGTAGAAGGATTATTTACTTTGTGAGGTTTAATGGGAATTATATTATTTGAGGACGCGTATGCTAGTCACTAATTTCAGGTTCAGATGCTTATTGGGTGATTATCATACTTAGGCCTATATCTTGTTCTATGTTGTACATAACCTATATTAGATGCAATATAGATAGACCGTGGTAGAATGTTGTTGTATACGATAAGATCAAAGTATAAGAAAAAGAAAACAGAAGGAAATCAGTGAAGACCAAGTTATCTTCTTTTATTAGATAGAATATTCTGATAAAGAACTCAAATAAGAATGAAGACAAAAACCATGTAGGAAAAAAGTACTTCTATTTATATTTGTGGATATTGTAAAAAACTTTTTCTATCGAGACTCTTAGGTACAAGATGCCTTGATGATAAAAGAAAAGACATACCCAATTGTTACTGCACGGTTCATCATGCTATAGCGGTGCCTTGACCGATTGGATCGGTGACAGGAGGTAAGTGGGTTGATCTAACTAAAGGTTCCTTTGACCCGTACTTCAGCAGTTTCATTATAACTAACGTGACGGACAGGATAAACTATTCCTTAATTCTGCCGACGTCTACGTTTCAGTCTTATTGAATTCTGTCAGAATGTAAAGGGTTAAAGTAAGGATCAACAAGTTAGAAGATAATGGCCTAAGTAGATTAGATTTATGTATTGTGGTTTGATGTGCTAAATAAAGTTATCTGATTTAATCAAATCCAAATACTATAATATCTTATTTCTAAATGAAGTCAATTATTCATCTAATGTTGTCT